GATGCAGACCGGCTGCCAAAATTTCAGCTCTTGCCCGCGCTGCATGCCCTTTATTCGGGGGTTCGCCTTATCAACAATACCCAGGTTCCTGCAGGCCTCCTCGTGATTATCGAATTGGTACTCCTGGGCGTCTAGCCACTTTTCATGCATCGAGATCCTCTCATAATCCTCCAATGTTGGTTGGATGAGCAGATCATTTGCATCTGTACTGGTATCAAACGACCACTGGAGATTCTCTGCGGTCTGGTATGCGCTTGACTCGAAAACGCGGTTGTCCAGCATTTTCCTCATATCCACTGCTTTCTTGACGCGCTTGGGTTTTCTTGGTGTGGTATCACTGACATCATCAGTTTCCACACTTTCAGCACTCTCAGCAGTCGCGACCATCTCCTCTGCCTGTGCTATGGTTTGAGGGCCTGATAACTGCAGGGCGGCTTCTATGCGAGCATAGGCCCAAAACGGATCTTTAAGATCAAAGGTCTCCGACTGCCGTTTGAGGATCAGCCTTTGTCGGTCACTCAACGGCTCGTGCTCCCAGACTTGGGTCCGTGGTTGCTGTGCCCCCAACGGACCCGGGAACTCATCTTCGGTTGTGTCTGCAAGTGATGACAGCGATGATTCTCCATCTGACTCTGGTTCTTGTACCTCCTTCGGGTCCGCCTTGCTCTTAGCTGCGGAATCAGCCCCTGCCTTGGCCGCTTGCTGCGCCCTAGTGTTGTGCACTTTGATGGATTTGTACTCTATCATTTTTTTTGATCACTGGAGTCAGCTGTGAAAGCCTTTTCCAGAATGCTCCCGAATTCTTACCTGGCAGGGTCTCCCCGAAAATCGCCTTTCCGCCACTTGGCTTATTTATTTGCGACGGGCTATGCATCTGTATGAGAATGTTCTTCAAAGTCCATATTGCCGTGTCCATGATGTTCTCAGGGAGGTTCTTCTGAAAGAACACTCCCCCCCGTCTGTGCGTGTTTTCCGATCTCACATTATGGACGAAGTATGCGAGGTGTTCGTTAAGATCCCATCCGGTTTTCTCGACATGGCGACGGCTGTATTTCGCGACGCCCCGTGCTTCTCCTTTAATTATTAGCTCCTGGATCCGGGCCAGCCCGGCTCCGCGCTTCTGCTTAGCAGTCGGGTTTTTCGCCAGATAGTCCCAAAGTTCTAGCCAGTACGGTTTGACTAAGTCTGACACTAACCACTCCCTCCAGTCGTCTTCGGAATTGAGTTTCAGTAACTCCAGCAGTCCCCTTTTGCCTTTCTTGGCCAGCTCCTGTGCCGCTGTCACCTCTGCTGTATTGTTGCTTGCAGAGGAGGGTTCTAAGCTGTGTTTGTTACCTATTTCTTCCATATTAGTACTGTCTCCTTGCGTCGTCTGCAAAAGCATTTCAGCTCACCTCTCGACCAATGGATGACTGTTTCTTCGGGCGTTTCGGGCGTTTCTGCCATTTTGATGCTGGTAGCCTTCTCCATGACGGTCTAGTTGTGAAGAAGAAGTGTAAAGGAGAGAGATAGTAAAAGATTGAGAGAGAGGGAGGGAGGAAGTGACAGAAACAACTTAAGAGAGTGATGTAGAGAAGAGAAAGAGTGAGAGAATGAGAAGAGAGAAAGATGTAATATATATAAGAAGAGAGTGAAGTAACAGTGAATTGATAGTAAATTGACAGTGAATTGACAGTAAGGTAACAGTGATTCAGTGAATAACCTGTGGAGAACTTACTTACTATAAAAAAAAAGAAATAGTAATATAATTATTTGTAGATAGATTAGAAATAGAAAAGTAATAAGCTTTTAATAATAATAAATAATTATAAAATAAGCTTCAAACAGTTACTTTCTTGTTGTTTTCTTAAATATAGTTTCAAAATAGTGTAATAACTATTATATACAGTATAATAGGGATGCTTACTATTTATTTTAGTCAGCAACTATTAGGAACTGTTATGCAACTGGTCACAACTAGCCACAACTGGCCACAACTGGCCACAACCTCGCGGTAACTTCCGCCAGCGGCCTACTATGTATGTATACAGCTTGGCAAGCAAGTCAAGTGGTAGGTTGATGAGATCATCTGCTCGTTATCCATCTATCCATCCATCTATCTATCTTTAGATAGTGGCAGTTCCTTACACCCTACATCCCTGGTTCCAAAAGACACAGTTGTCCGGACATGCATACACACTACATCTAAGTAGGTAGTAGGTTAGTACATATCTACCTGGATAGGCAGCTGCCTGCAGCATATCTACTAGTATGGGCAGTGCATTTCGAAGAGCTCTACGGGCCAAACAAAGCAGTCAGTCGCGGATAGTTTTCACTCCTTCAGCGACTCCAGGAACCTGGAGTTCGAGGTGGAGGCTCGTGATTGGTCGCATCGTTGGGGGATCAGGGCGCGTTAGTTAGTTGTTGTTGTTGTTGGTGGTGGTGGTGGTGGTGGTTGTGTTGTTGTTCCTTGTCTGAGTGGGAGCATCACTTTGAAAGTCTAGCTTGGTTCGTCTGGATTTGAGTGGTGGTGGTGGTGGTGGTGGTGATGATGATGATGATGATGATGGTTTAGACAGCAGATAAGTTGGGGGGGGAGGGAGGGGAGTGTGGTATAGGTGGAAGAGAAGAAGAGAGAGACGGAAGTGGGATGGGGAGTATAAAGGATGGAGGGGCGGTTCACTTATCTCTGACGGGGCTACTCCGTAGAATCTCTCGATTGGGTCCAGGTGTACATCCGCCCCCCCGTATACTGACACTGGCAGCAGGCGGTTGTTTGTACAGCGTGGCTGTTGTTGGCTGTCTGCTTCTACGCGCCGGCTTGCGGATCCAGCGATACGCTCGGGTAGAGGAGATTATGTGATTGCGACGGAGGGTGGTGATAACGGTAACGGAGAGGGAAGAAGACCCGACCAGCTCAGTTAGCCCGTAAGTAAGTAGCCCGTAGCCCGTAGCCCGTAGTCCGTAGCCCGTTGCCCGTAACCCGTCAGTTGGTCGGAGGATTAGGAAGACAGGAACGAACGGGGAGGCTTCGAGAAGGATGTTGGGCTGTGCGTCTGCAGTAGCGGATGCCGTGGGATGAATCGAGTAGTGGTGCTCGAGCAGGATGAAGAATGGATCAGTGGGCAAGTGGGCACATGAAGTCAGTTGGAGGTCTGAAATCCGAGGTCTGATGTCTGAAGTATATCACCCATTTCCATCATCAGTGTGTATCCTTGGTTTTCTGTCTCATGTTGATGCTGATTGTCGCCATCGCCCATCCCCCCCCATCCCCCCATCCGCCATTATTCCCCCATCCATCATCAGGCACACACTCCCTCCCTGTCAGGCCGCCGTGCATCTCCACTGGCTGGGTGTATTATCCAGTAGTAGCAGTAAAGAGGAATCCCCAGTATCACCTCTGTATATCTAGTCCGGAGTGGTATTATTATGATTGTTTTATTCCGGGTTATTCCCACGCAAGGATCCGAGTGTGCGTTCGGCGTGTCTTCCATGGGCCTTCCATCATTGGACCTGTTCCATCTGGTCCATCAGGCCCAGTCCTGCCAATCTCTCCTCGCCTTTTGTCGCCCTCCTCTTCTACTCCTGCATTTTCCTCTTTCCTCCAGATCTCGTGGGCGGTGAATTTCCCCATCTTCCATCATCATCATTTTCATCATCATCATCATCATTCTCTGGTTTTCTCTTTTCGTCATCAGACAAAGAGACGTTGTCTTGTCTAGTACCCGTCAACTGATCGGCTGGTGGTGATATCGCCCCTTCAGCCCAACCAGCCTTGCAGCCGGGCAACACCTTGTCAGTCGATCGACTACTACACGAAATACTCCTCGCCCTTCTCATTTGCCCGGGGGACTCTCCATGCTTTCTCTATTCCATTGCATTGTCGCTCCCTCTACCTTTGAACCTCATTAGTAGTTAGTTCCCTGATCACCACAGCGACAACAACCACCACCACAACCACCACCACCACTGCCGCCATCACAAGAACAAGAAAGCCAACTGCATCCACCTCCTCCACAACGACATCATTGTGCGACCAGTGGGACTCGGATTGACTGGGCAAAAGCCGTGCCTGGCCAACAGCCCGAATTCTCACCGACTTCTCTAGGGAGATTGATCGCGATTTATTTATATCGTTGAAATCCGACTTTATACTTTTCATTTCTCTGTCCCGTCGTCATTGCCCATTGGCCTTCTTTAGCACGGTTTTCTATTGCCAGTTTTGCTTTTGGCCCCTACTTTTCTTTTTCCTCCCTCTCGCTCTTCTCACCCACAGACACGGCTATCCTTTGCTTTAATCTGAGAGTGCTGCTTTTGTCTTTCGTTCCTGCTTGGTCGGACTGGTGAACCTTTGCACGCACGATTGCTGTCACTGCTGACCCCAGGATCCCGTCGCAATTCATATGGACATCTCCATCCCAACCCCTCGGGTGTCCAAGTCGTTCTCCGTACGACAGCTTCGCGACCGTGTGGTGCTGGATGGCCATCTCCATCGCCGACAGTTCCTGTAGCCCGACGAGGTCACTGGGGCTGCTGTTGGACCCGGAAAAGACCAACCTCCCCCGTCCCAAGCAGAGCATGTGGCATCGGCTGGGCCTTCGCCGGTGGCTGGGCCGCGATGATCGAGATTTCTCCTCCCAGTCCCCGTCCGCGTCCCCGTCCGCGTCCCAGTCCCCCGCCGCCGACGCTGCTGCCCCCACCGCGAATAAACCCAATTCTCCCGCCGCCCACAACACTTCCAATGGTAATCTCAACCACCACAACAACTCCCGCCCCCGCCACTCCAACAAGTCCCACGACAACCTCACGCGTCGACTCTCCCGGAAGGTAGGCGTGGGACTTCCTCGAGCCACCACCTTCAAGCGTCAGAATTCCGAGCGTCGCGACAACCTCTCCCCCCAAGAACCCGAACCCCGTCGCGCCGTCAGCTCCCACCGGTCCAGGTCCCCACCGCCCACCGTGGACCCCAGATTGTCCGCACCCGAGGTTCAGTGGCGCGAGGACCCGAACGAGACCACGGTTGGCCGGCTCTCCGAGGCGAATGAGGACATCGACTTCCGCTCGGAATGGAACCCCTGCCCTGACGTGACGGAAACTCCCGAGGAGCTACCAGACGAGACCCTCGAGATGGAATTGGAGAGGCGATGGATTTTGAACCTGAGCATGCATTTCCGGGATCGCTCCGAGCGGGAAAAGTTTTTCGTGACGTACGCTGAGACGCCCACTCGCTGGCGACGGGTCACCGTCTCCTGCGATTACCGCGGCGCGCCCCTGATTCCCTGGAACAAGACCTGAAGGAGCTGCGCTACCAGCGAGACAAATGTGCCCGCATTTACGAGTCGATCCGAGAGTCACTAACGGAGATTCAATTCTACGACACGGTGACGAACCTGAAACTAGAGACGCGTGACGGGCGCCTGCACGTCCACGTCACGGAAGACGTGAACGAGATCATCCCCTATCCGCCAGTTTCGTGCATTGGACATCTACCGGAGGCGCGGCTGGTCCGGGAAAACCAGCTCCATTTCGAGGCGCATCTGTCGGGATTTGTCTATAATGTGCAGTTAGACGGCCAGACCTATATCAAAAAGGAAATCCCCGGCCCCGACACAGTAGATGAATTTCTATACGAGATCAATGCGCTCCACGCTCTGGAAGGCACCCCTTATGTTGTTCGAGTGGAAGGGATAGTGGTCGATGACCAGGAGGAGGTGGTTAAGGGCCTGCTCATTGGCTTTGCGGAGAAAGGGGCATTGGTCGATATTCTATATGAAAATCGGGGGGCGATCAGCTGGGAGCGGCGGGAGCGCTGGGCAAAGCAAATAGTCCACGGGCTCTGCGAGATTCATGAAGCTGGCTATGTGCAAGGGGACTTCACTCTTTCCAACATCGTGGTGGATGCAAACGACGACGCCAAAATCATCGATATCAATCGTCGGGGATGTCCAGTGGGATGGGAGCCTCCCGAAATCGCAAAAAAGATCGAGAGTAACCAACGAATCTCGATGTATATCGGCGTCAAAACGGACCTTTTCCAGCTGGGCATGACCCTGTGGGCTCTGGCCATGGAAGAGGATGAACCAGAACGTCAGCCACGCCCTTTGATGCTAGGTGAGGACATACCCGTGCCGAATTACTACCGTAGGTTGGTCTCTATCTGTTTAAGCGCCGCTCCCCGACACCGACTGTCGGCGAAGGAGCTTCTCGGCTTTTTCCCTCGCAGTACCCGGGTGACAGATCATTCATTTCCTCGGATACACCCTGCTCATACTGGTCTCGGGGTTGCCTTGCAAAATGGCGCTTTGCCATTGTACGATCCGCGGGCAGCCTTTCTGTATCAGCACACGCGGCCTGTAGTAAATGGCTCTTTCGATACCCAATTGTCGCCGGACGAAACATATTCATCGCCTCACTACAACGTTGATTCTGCCCATTCTCCGACAAGGGAGCAACTTGACGTGACTAGTGAGCAGAATGGCATCACGAGGGCGATAGAGAGACAGCTTCGGGCGCCTGCAGAGCCGCGCATGAATGGGTACACGCATTCGCCATCGGTTAATGGGGTCCCACAGACTTTCTTGAGAAGCCCCCAGGAGTCCCTTGATCCCGATTCCCCGGATCTAAGGCAGGACGGTCTTAATATGGATGGTCCGTACTATCGGAGAGCTTCAGTAGACGGTGCAGCTGATCTGATGCCTTTCGAAACGAGAGCCTTGTCTGGGACACTTGCGGGCGTTGGCCATCCTGGCTATGCTCTGAGATCCAGTTCCACGAACAATTTGTCGGATATGGGGAGATATCAAGAGTCTCCGCTGTCATCGGCAGACACGCAGTCCACTGATCTGTATCCGGCTCCCCTATCGGACTTGGGACATGCACTGATCGAAGGTCAAGATTGGCCCATGGAATCGCCGTCGCGCTCGGTGTCTTCTCTCCTGCATTCCATCCTTCCCATCAACCCTGCAGCCAATCTGTCCGACCAGAAGATGATAGAATCCGATGCAGCCCAATTCTCGCAATTACGCATTGACTCGGCACTGGGGTACCCTCATCAAGGTCTTCAGGAACCCACCTCCTACCTCAGCGATTCCCATTTACCAATCAACCCAGCATTCACCGAGAAGGCTTTGACTTCGGTATGACATAAAGGATGATTTTCTAGATTGACTTTTGCAAGCCGTCCAAGTACTTGTTATCCATGATCAGGCGAACAGTGCGCGATACCCCCTGCCAATTTGCACTGTACAGTTAACTGCTTTGAAGCGTTGCTCTATTCAGCGGGCATCATGGCGAACTTGGCGTTTACCACCGTGAATCTCGGGGTTTATTGTTTTTGTTTTGTTTCACTTCCACTTTTCCCCACCCTTACTCGTTCTAAAAAGCCCCGGGTCCCTGTTTCTGTCGCAATCTCGGGAACTGGATGGATAAGTGTCCCTACAGATGAACGGACATCTTCCTGTTCCCCCAAATGGCGTGGCGTTCATCTTCCGCTTTTATTTTCAAATCTACCTCACGACTAACGACCGGACGGATCTTGTCTTTTTCTCTCTCTCTCTCTTCGAATTTCTGCGCATTTGACACCAGTCCCATGTACATTGGTTGTTAATAATATTCTAAGCAGCAGCTGTATTAATCAAGGATGATTTGATCTAACCAACCCAGCCCAACCCAACCCAAGCTCAGCCCCGTGACTAGGTCTTTGCTCCCTTCTCTCTCTCTCTCTCTCTCTCTTCTAGTTGCTCAATCCTCATTCAAGCGTACACACATACACCATCATCACATTCATCATAGTAACAATCCATCAACCACTCACTCCCCCTTCTTCGTGAGGAACTCCTCAAAACTCCGCTGCCACGGCCCCGCATCCACCCCCAGCCCCCTACCAATCAACACAATCTTACATTGTGTCTTGGCCTCCTGCTTCGGCTCCGCATCCCGGATCTCGAATATCTCCCGCACGGCCTGGATGATCTTCGTTGACCCGTCATCGAGCACCAAGATGCCCTTCAAGCGGTGGATCTCGAAGTTCTCGGGCCCCGGAATCCCAGATACCGGCGGGAAGGTCGAGTCCCAGAGCACGGATTGGAGCCAAGTGTCGACGAGGGAGACCTGGGAGGGGTGAATTGGGGGGGTTGTGATTGAGAGGGTGGAGATAGCCTAGGATATCAAACAATTTTCATTGGTTTTTAGCTTTCCACGCAGCAAAGGAGTGATACAAAGAAAGGAAGGAAACAAGGGAGTCAAAAGGAGGGGGAGAGGGAAAGAACTCACCGAATCAATATGGCTATGGCCCTTCTCCGCAAACTCCAAACTATCCAAATGATCATACGCATGCAGATCCAGCACCACGCCCTCGATTTCAGGCGTCTTACTATGATCCGTGACGTGGATCTTCGCGGCACTGTTAATCGCGACCACGCGGTCCCGGACCAGGGCTAGTTGCTCCTCCGTGACGAGGTCGGCTTTGTTCAGGACTATCACGTCCGCGTGCGAGATCTGCATGTGTGCCATGGAGAGGACGGGGCCCGAGTACGCGTGGTCGTGGTCGTGTCCAGAGTCGTGGCTGGAGACGGTTTCTTCGGGGGTGGGTTCGTCGAGAAGACGCAGGATGTTCTTGGCGTCGACGAGCGTGACGATGCCGTCGAGGTAGATGCTACTTCCGAGGTTGTCGTCTACCCAGAATACCGGGGCGATGTTGCCCGGGTCGGCGAGCCCGGTCGTCTCGAGCAGGATATAGTCGAATGTGCCTCGGCGTTCCATGAGGGATTCGATAGCCATTACGCCGGTGTCTCTGGTATTTTGGTAAGTTTTGAGATTGATGGAGACGATGGGGAGAGAAACAGAGGAGGAACAGTACTTGACAGAGCAGCAGATGCAGCCGTTGCCGACTTCCATCCATTCGGTCACTTCTTGGCCGTCTTGGTTGACGGTCAGGGGTTTCTCGATATCGGAGGCTTGATGATTGATGGATCCGTCAGTTCGGAGGTGCCATTTGCAGGCAATATGGTTGGCTATGAGTGACAGTCTTACAGTCTCCGAATTCTACTCATCTTTAGCATCTAGGAAGTTATCGTTGTGTTGGTTCCGGACTGACCGTTCATGATCACGGCGATCTTCTTGCCATGTTTCTCGGTGAGGATGTAGTTCAGTAGTGTGGTCTTCCCCGCTCCGAGATAGCCTGCCACGAGGGTTAGTGGGATCTACGATCCGGTAGCTACATCTGTCGCATCGATCATACCGGTCACAAGCGTGATGGGCACCCGGTTCTGGGGCGGCGTGTCCGCTGACGTCGATGGCGCCGGGTCGGGGAGTTGGGCAACATCGACTAGTTGGGGCGGGGCGTCGTCGTCGTCTATGTCTATCATGGTGTTTAGGAGGAGAGAGGGAATCGAGGGGGAAGGGAAAAGATGGAGGGGGAGTGGAAGAGGTATATCAGCGGTATATCTCGACAGGCGGAAGGCGGAAGACGGAAGGCATCGAAGCTCCGACCCTCCCGATCCTCAGGCATGACATGACGTTACCCCAACAGGCAGTAGGGCTTAGGGCACCGCCAGCCATGGGCTCCAATCAACGGACGCCCGTCTGGCCAGCTCCATCTTATCTCCTTCTCTCCAGATCGCCTTCTCCAATTCTCGTCTCTCCTTTCGCCCCTTCCAGGCTTCCAATTCCCAACTTCCAACTTCCACCCACCCTCCTTTGACTCACTTTGTTCCGCTCGCTCCTTGCGACCCGCTACCCGCCTACAGCCTCACGCCATGGCTGCTGCGGGAGTTTCCCAAGCCAGCTCCCCGCGCTTACCCAGTCCTCCCCCGTTCACGGAGGTCCAGATCGGGCCCAAGTCTCCATCAGTCGGCGAGTCCTTCGACAACGAGACCGAACAATTGCTAGGCGCCTCCAAGACTGCCGAGGACGGCTCGACGCGGAGAATCCGACCCGGCACGAGGGCTGTCGACATGGCTTACGGCCCTCCTTTGATCCCTCTTTCACAGGTATATACCCGTGTAAACACGCCCTGTCTGTGTCCGCAGGCCCGCTGACCAGCCCCCTTCCTCCGACAGCTTGACTCCCCCTTCCAACTCCAGGAACACCTCAAAGCCCTTTACAATCATTACACAAGACCCGAAGGCACGGATACAGTTGTCCCAATTAGCCGTGACGTCGCGATCCAACTCGCGGAGCCTCCGGATGGCGTCGACCGGTCGCTCTGGCTGTACGAACTCTGTCGTTTCCTAACCATGAAAGTAAACAATCTCATCATCGCCTTCTTCGCCGACTCCCCTCCCTGCTCCTCCCAGACGTGTCCCGAGATGCGTGCGTCCGAGTGGCAGTACCTCTGCGCCGTCCACGATCCCCCCAAAGCGTGTTGCGCGATCGACTACTGCTGCCACACCCTTGATTGGGCCACCAACATCCTCACATCGCCGAAATACTTCCCCAGCAGGCTGACGCTGGGGTCTGAGACTGCCGGGGGCGCACAAGCAAGCATGAGACACCTGACCAACATCTTCCGTCGGCTGTATCGCATCTTCGCACACGCCTGGTTCCAACACCGCGAGGTGTTCTGGCAGGTGGAGGGCCACGACGGGCTCTACATCTTCTTCAAGACGGTCTGCGATATGTACAACCTAATTCCGGAAGACAATTACACAGTTCCCGCGGAGGCTGAAGGCGTAGATGTGCATCAGCCACCGGCGCCGGAGCACACGGATGGACGTCGGATGACAATCCTGCGAAAGGATCCCGAGCCGTTCCCCGTGTCGCTTGAAAATATCGAGCCCGCGGCGATCAGCACCGGTGCCACCACGAGGCGCCACAAGAATAGCCCGTCGATCGGCTCGGGCGTCACCACCATCAGCGAAAGCGCGGAGGATGATGACCAGCCGAAGCAGCAGGCGGTTGCAGCGGCGACGGCCGCCGTGGCTGCTGCTGCCGCTGCTGCGGCTCCAGCTTCAACTCCAGCTCCTGCCGCCGCTCCTGTCATTATTCATGCTCCGGCTCCGGCTCCGGCCCCGGCCCCGGCTCCAGAGGCTCCAGCTCCTGCTGCTCCCGCTCAAGAAGCTGAGCAAGCGCCAGATGTGACCAATGAGGAGCCGAAGGAATCTGTTCAGCCGTCATCTCCTGATAGCAATGGGTCCCAGGTCACCGTGGCTGAAGTCCACGAGGATGAGGACGAGGCTGAGTCTGCGGCTGACGTTGGTTCTGAACCTGCTCCGGCCGTTTTGGAGACCACAACCGAAGAGAAGCCGGAGTCGGCCGAGCCAGATTCCAAGGCTGACGCAGAAGAGCTGCCCGCAGAAGTGGCAAGCGAACCGACTGCGGAGACTTCAGAAACTACGGAAACCGCAGAGACCGCGGAGACCGCGGAGACCTCGGAGGTCGAGACGGCGCCGGAACAAGAGGCACCCAGCGAGCAGGAACCGCAGGCGGGGACCGAGGCAGGGAGCGAGCTGGCGGCGGAGGCCTAGTCGCACACTTTATTTTCCTACTATGACATGATGGCATGTGTCTATACCACGGCTGTAATATGTATTGCTTGATGTGGGTTCACGGCAGACGACGGAGGCACTGATGTAATATACGACTCGAGCGAGTTTAATGATACCCTCCATTGATCTACCTCCGTTGGACTAGGTGTCTCTGTAGGAGCTGTGTTGGACACAGTAGCAAATCTGTAGTTTCTACTAACACAATAGTGTTGATTGCGGTGGATATCTCCGCGTAACTCCGACAATCGATACGGCGATCATCGTCTCCACATTGTCTTCCACCACAACCACCACCACCACCACCACCACCACCACCACACCCCTCTGCCATTCCACCTGCTCATAGTCACCACTACCTTCCTCTCAAGCCCAACAATACTACACACGCCAACACCATACATGTCCACCTCCACTCCAACCCCGCGCAGCAAAAGCAGCAGCACAACCACATCTAAAATGTCCGCAATCCTCAAATCCAGTCCCATCCACTTTGGGCCCTTCCTCGTCACAACCCAGGTACCTGCCCTCTTCCCCCCCCCCCCCCCCCAAAACCAAACCAACCTAGTAACCCCTCAAAAACTAGGTCTTCCACCTCACCCCATACACCTTCGCCCTTGTCAACCTCAAACCCATCCTCCCGGGCCACGTCCTAATCTCTCCCCGCCGCGTCGTCCCCCGAGTCTCCGACCTTACGCCCACCGAAACCTCCGACCTATTTCTCACCGTCCAGCGCGTCTCCCGCATGGTGGAACGGGTATATCGCGCCTCCAGCTTGAATATCGCTATCCAGGATGGCGTGGATGCGGGACAGAGCGTGCCGCATGTTCATGCGCATGTGATTCCGAGGCGGAGGGGGGATTTGGATCATAAGGGGGCACGGATGCGGTTTATGAGATGTTGGATGGGGAGGAAGGGGATCTAAGGGCTGCATTTGGGGAAAAGAGGAGAGAGGGGTTCCCGAAGGTTGATAATGAGGCGAGGGAGGCTAGGTCGTTGGAGGAGATGGAGGGGGAGGCCAAGATGTTGGCGGAGGAGATGGAGAAAGAGATGGAGATGGAGAAAGAGATGGAGATGGAGATAAAGAGGGGGGAGTTGGATTGAGGGGTTAAGTTGGGTTGGGTTGGAATTCGATAGATTGGTGAGTGTATATACTGGTTTGTGTACTCTATAGAGTTGTATATGTGGGATATATCGTATGTGAGTAAGGGTTCGTCTATTGCTACATGGTCGTCTATTGACTCGATCTGATCGCATCTAAGTGCTGAAATAGAAGAAAAAGGGGGAGAAAGAAAACCGAGAACGCCGCACGGTGATCCGCCGTGGTCATGAGCCCTGACAAGACAATTAATCCGTCCACGGTCGTAAACATCAAGATGAACCCGAACATGAACATTCAACGCCGTCCATATGTTATGTGGTGTAGAGGGTACATGCGCCGGCAGCAAAAATTAAGCCGTAGCGTCCTTCTTCTCCTCGGCCTTCTTCTTCCAAAACGTCTCCCGCTCCTGCATCACCGCCGCCGCCCACTCCTTCGTCTCCGGCAGCTGAATCCGCCCCGCAACGTGGCAGAACTCCGACAGATCCAGGCCGTGCGTGCGCTCATACTCGACCATCTGCAGGAGCAGCTCCATCTTATCGACGTCGTGGACGAACAAGGCCTCCAGAGTCTCGTTGTCCTCGTACTCGCGGAACACCTTCAGGATCTCATCCCCCGTCAGCATGCCACCCGGCACCCCGCCCAGCAGGTTCTTGGCGATGTAATCCATAACATCGGCCTCGCGGCGGGCCTTCTCGGACTTGTCGACGCGGTCGACCGGGGTAATGTCGCCGACCAGAGACTCGGCCATGTCGTGGATCAGCGCCATCTTCATGCAGTGGGGCAGGTTGATGCGCGAGGCGAGCGACGGCGGGGCCAGCATCGTCATCACCGACATCCGGTACATGTGATCGGAGATCGATTCGCCGGAGTTGATCCCGAATCGGCGCCAGCCTTCGCGCTTGGTGGTCTTCAGGCGCTCGAGGAGGTGGAAGAAGGGGATGGGGGAGGCGGAGTTCTCTTCGGGGGGGTGGGGAAGGGTTGCGAGGACTGTAATGGTTAGTTTGGTGGTCTATCTATAAATAAATGTATGGAGGTGAATCTGGTGGGCAATAATGGTGGAGGGGTGAGGAGGGGCTTACCGGACTGGGTGGTCCAGAGGGCATTGGAGGGGTTTTCGGAGCCCATGGTTGTGGTATTGAGAAAAGAGAGTGGAGAGGGTATATTAAGAAGAGTAGAGACAGAGAAGCAAGAGGGAAGAGCAAGAAAAAAGCAGGAGAAGAGCAAGAGAAGACGGAGAGAAACTGCGGGGAGAAAAAGCGGTCGATGCAATCGGACCAGTCAGCGGCGCCTCATTTGTTTGGGCATCCGCCATTCACTCCGTCCGTCTTCTTACGAACTACTCAGAACAGTCGGTTCCGGGGCAAGACTGGTATGCTCCCACCTTCATGTGCACGCATTAACTACACATACTGACCACTGGCCACTGACCACCCTCAGAACCATGCAGTCCAGAACCCTCCGCCCCAAACCCCCCAACTGGTCCCCTCAACCTCCGCTCGCTGTCTTTGCCCGCAACCTCCAGCTCCTCCAGCTGGATCGCCACGATGACGGGCCTCACATCTCCCTCAGCTCCCTCGAAGACACCTCGCAGAACCAGCGCCAGCGTATCCGAGCCATCGAATGGGCCCTGTATCACCTCGTCGCCCTCTGGGACCCCGACACCGCTCGGGATGTATGCAGCCATGTCCACGGTGATGCCGATTGAGCTGACGACCTACAGAAACTCCGTCCTTTCTTCCCTCCCCTCGAACCGCTACAGTCCGTCAATCTGCGCGCCGCCCTGTTCCGTGTACTGGCCGAATTGAAGAAGCAGGGTGACCTCGGCAGAGAGTCCATTCTCCGCAAGTCAATGTTGGATGACTGCAAGGGCGAGAAATTCGAAGAGCTTCTCGCCATCTTCTCCACCGCGGTTCTGCGGAAGACTTTGTCTGCTTCCTCGGACCCTAGCTTGCAAACAACCGCTATGCGATTGTCGCTGGCCTCGAACCTGACTCGTCAGGAATACGAGCTTATGCTCCCCTTGGTCCTCGCCCATCGCGTCTCCTTGAACCAGATCGGAGATCGTCGCAACCGAACCCTGAATACCCACGAAAAGTTCACCCAATTGCTGGACCTCAAGAAACATCGGCTAGATGAGCGTTCCAAGGAGAACCTGCCCCAGCTCCCCGACTCCGGCGCCAATATCGACGCGCTGTCCCGCGACCTCAAGGGCAACTGGCTGGGCAGCAAGGAATGGGCCGATACCCTGCTTCACGGCGGCGCACAAAGCAGCAGCGACGCCTTCCTCGATCTCCCATTTGACACCGCCTGGGCGAAGGCGAACGAGTCAAGCGTGGGGGATCTCCGCACCAACACATCCCCGGATTTGCTCGTCGATCTGGAGTCTCGCGTCCTCCGCCAACGTGCCCGGCTGCAGCGCTGGCGTCAGTACAGCGCCTCCATGCGCCGACATGAACGCGTGGAGTCGACAAGCTCGTCGAAACCCTCGCCGCTTGCGTTCCGAGAGCACCAGACCCTCACGGTAGCAAGCATCTCCAAAGCCGTCCGTCAGCCGGTCGAACGGGCCTCTCTCAAGGCAGACGACCGGGCCCTACTCTTCTCCATGACGGAGTCCTTAGCGCGAATCAACGGCCGTCCTGCACGTCACCACAGCAGAAATGACTCGAAATCACGCAACACAGCCCCATCCCTGCCCTCCATGTCCGCCGGCGGAAGCAACCGATCATCCATCGTCGAAGAGCCCACTCATCCAACCAACTCCACCACCACAACAAGGACCCCACCCCAGACCCCGAACCAGCCCTCCCATCATTCTCAACCACCCCGGCTCCCCAGAACGAGCCCCTCCCCAGACCTCCAACCCGACCGCGAACCACCCAGCCGATTCACCCTCGTCGAACGCACCCGTAAATCTATGTCCCTCATCCCACCCCCAACCCACACCAAACCCAAAGAATCCTTCCGATCCCACCGCCCCCGCCCCTCCTATCCAGTGAACCAGTTCGAGACGCCCCAGAAACAGTTCCTGCCCACCCGGTCCTCCACGCCGCGCGACGAGCTCTTCGAAGAGGAAGCCGACTACGCCAGCGTATTCAAGTCGCGACCTCGCGTGGCGCACAGCCCCGTGGCGTCGCCAGCGGTGCATATCAGTCCAATTGGCGATTTTAATCTGAATCCAGACGAAGACGTCGATGTCGATCTCGATGGATTGGATGGCACATCCTATGTCCAGGAGACGCCATCGGCTTGGAGGCGGAGGGTCTTGTGATACTTATCTTGTTGGTTCTTTGGTTTTTATGGTATGGTTGATATACAGTACGTACTATGATTAATGTTTACTAGATTTTAGAGTCATATAGATAGATTCTTTCGGTAATGAGTAATGTTTTTTTCTTCTACTTGTCATCTCTCTCTGTCTCTCTTTACATGGTTCTGTATCTAAAGGGTAAAGGGTAATGGTACATCTCACTAACGCTAGACATGCATGCATGCATGCATGCATGCAATATACGCAAAACATGACAATGTGAAATTATGATCTCAAAGTCACCCACCTCCCCCTCTTGTGCGCCTCCGCGTGCTCATCCGTGTTGTCCGTGTCGGGGGCGGTTCATAAACCGGAGAATCCTCCGAGTCTGGGATCTCCACAGGCGGCGAGAGCGATTCTGAGGCTGAGCTCAGTGAGATCGCTTCTTGGTTTCCTTCGTCTGCGGGGGTATCAATCTCGTCTGGTTCGTCTTCATCTTCATCTTCGTCCTCGGTATCAAGAACAACCGGGCGAGACGCAGACGCAGACGCGGATGCAGACCCAGGTCCATGACGCTGCGGACGACGATCATGGCCATGATCCACAGCCAACCCCTCATCCTCCTCACCGTCTTCACCAGGAAGAAGAAACCCGCCACCCTGATCTGCAGTATGATCCTCTTCTCCGTCATCCTCTCCCGGAAGAAGGAACCCACCGCCCTGATCCGCGGCGGAATCACTGTCCAGAAGAAACCCCCCACCGCGATCCTCAGGACCCTCATCTTGATCTCGATCTCGATCGTGATCGTGATCTTGATCGTCAATCCGCTCCACGTTCCCTCGACCCCGTGTCTGCCGACTCGTAAACGGGTTGTGCGCATCCCTCTGCGCATCCTCCTCAGCATCACCACCACCATACTCCTCCCTAACACGCTGGGCAATCCTCAGCCCAAACAAAAACTTCCTCCAAGTCTGTAAGATCTTCGCCTCGGCCTTCCGTTGCTCTTTCTTCCGCTTCTCCGCCTCATCCGCCCGCCACGCATCCTTCACCACGTCCTCATTCTCCGCCGCGACAACCACCCCCTGAATGACGGGGACCGCCATCTTCGACCCAAACTCGAACCCCGTGACTGCCTCCGCGTAGTCAACCCCCAACTTCTTGCACACGCGCACCGTACCGGGCCAGGGGATATGCGTCGCCCCGCGCGGCACCATGCTCGGCACGAAGCAGTCGATGTTCCCGTAGTCGTTTTTAGGGATGACCCCGTCGCGAATTGGCGGGGGGATGATATATTCGGTCTGGTGTTTCGCGTAGAGACCCTGTTTGGGCTTTTGGCCGTTCTCGCGCTCGTATTCGTCGACTTCGCGTTTGCGGAGCAGGGTGACGGCGCGGATGGGGACGTGTTTCAGGGGGGTTTGGCCCGGTTGGATCTGTCGGCCTTCTTTGTGCCAGCTCTCGGCAGATTGGCATTTCAGGACGTCTTTCCGGCGGAAGATGTTTTCGGTTTTGGATTTGGCCCCCTTGCCACTGGTGAAGGTGCGGACGGGCTGGGCGTTGGGTTTGAGGGCTTCTTCGCGGCGGAGGAAGCGTTCGAGGACGAATTCGGTGGAGGTGCGCAGGCTTTGCAGGGTATCGCCTTCTTTGGCGGGTTTGCGGTCCGGCTGGTTGGGCAAGAGGTCGTTGGCGTCTTCGAGGGTGTCGATGGCGGTGCGGTGCGGTGGGGAACGTTCGTAGGGGCGCAGGATCACTCGGAACCAGTCGTATTCGATGAATTTGCCCTTGCGGCCGGGAATGGGGATCTTGTCAATGGGCATCCGGTAGCCTTTGGTTTTGCTGGGCCAGGTCCGGCGGCGGAGGTAGCGCGTGGTGACATCTTTGGCGGTCTTGTCCAAGGAGTAGGCGATCACGTAGCAGATCACTTGTTTGGCTTTGTCGGCTTTGCCACCCCGGGGCTCGAAGGCTGCTTGGAGCTCGGGGGTCGTGGCCACAGAGTTGCGGAGGACTAACGGGTCCACGGGGATGATCTGGTTTGTGATAGGCGAGGCCGCTTCTGTCCAGTAAATTGGGAAGGGCAGGTCCGTGTCGTATCTGCTTGGTGTGGACTTCGCATTCTCACTGCTGTCAGACGCCTGGTCCATTGCATCTTCGGTCTCCGCGTTCTTGGTTGTTGAAGGCTCTGTGTCGGCCTTGGAACTGGGCGTGTAGGTCTCTGATTTGGTCCATCCGAATCCAAGTGGCTGCAGACTGGCGACCAGGCGAGCTTCGATATTGAGGGCGCGCAGCAACGCAGTGAACAGCTGAGCGCCCACGTCGCGCGAGCCTTGCATATGCTCTGCTGCGTGGCGGAACTCCTCGATGTCCGCGATCCTCTCCCCGTGCTGCTCGGGGTTGTTATCATCCTTGAAGGAGGTGATCTGCGCCTCCAGCTGGGCCATGGGTCGATAGCCGTGTTTCCTCAACCCCGGAGCAGTCACCTTGAACTGACCCTTCCAGTAGGCGGCCAGTATTTTAAGAAGGGTTATAATAGGGTCCCCGGAGCTCATATCCGGCTTTCCAGGCTCGAGGTGGGATGAGGCCTCCGCCCAGTCCCGCTCGGACTGACGCCGTTGCTTCCCTTTGCCTTTCTTGGACTTCTTCTCGGGGGGTTTCTCGGGGGCCTCGAGGCCGGATGCGATGCGCCATTTCTTGACCTCTTCATGTATGGCGGGGCGGAGCTTGCGCCGCAGGATATCGTGGAGTTTCGGGTCGTTGGCCCAGATATTGCGGATGGCATTATGGTGGAGCAGGAATTGTACATGCAGACAGTGGGTCTGGATACGGATTTGGCGTTCGATCTTAGAGGGGCCCTTTTTGCCTTCGAGCAGGTCGGTCAGGTGGATCTCGTTCTTATCTAGGGTCAATTCCAGGTCCTGGTGTTCGTGGGTGAGAATGGAGGGCATCGGGGTGGCGCTGGTGGGCTTAGACTCGATCGCGTCCTCCCAGTCGACCTCATCGGAGTCGCTGCTTTCCCCGTCGGATTCATTGGGGGTCTTCTTGCCGTCATTGGGAGGCTGGGGGGTCTCGTCGGGCACATCGCTTAGGGAGGACTCGGTGTCGGTGTCTTCCACTACGGCTGCAATGGAGGGCGTCGCATGATGACGTTTAGCGGCGGGCGGATCCTCGGAGGAGAGACGTTTGCGGGGGACGTAGGGGGGCATGCACGCAGTGGGAGGGAAGACAGCACAGCGGAAATTGTCGACTATGATTTAGTAGAGAGATAGAGAAAACAGGTGGAGAGGTGTTGTTGGGGGGGATGAAGGGATGGAGAGTTGGCGGAGAGTTGGAGAGTCGCGCAAGGCAGTCCGCGGGAGATTCGATTCGATCGGCCTCGGCATCTCCGCAACCCCAGAACGAACAATCACGACATCCATCGTTTTCATCTTCCCCTCTTCTCCCTCTCACTTGTTCTCCCTCTATACATCCTACCTCCTACATTCTACGTCATCGCCCGTCATCTTACCTTTTTACTCCAGTCCCAATAACCATGTCAGCCACGATGGAAGCCGCGCGCCGCTTCTTCACATCGCCGCAGTTTGCCGTGGCGGGAGCCAGCAACGATCGCAACAAGTTTGGCTACAAGAGTATGTTTCTGCTGCTGCTGCTGTTGCGAGTCGATCGCCTTCACTGACCAGACCATCAGTCCTTGCCTGGTATCACTACCACTCGCTGCCCGTCACTCCCCTCAACCCTCGCGCCCCGGAGATCCAGCTGGACTCGCAGAAATACCCCACGGTCGCATCGCCCCGCGACTTGCCCAACCCCAAGCAGACCTCTCTCTCCATCGTGACGCCCCCGCCGGTGACTCTGGCTCTGCTCCAGGAGGCTCACGGCGTCGGAATCCCAGCGATCTGGCTGCAGCCGGGGACATATGACAGTCGTGTGCTCGAGTTTGCCGAGAGTCACTTTGCGGCGACGGTGGTAGGAGGAGGGGGCCGAGGCAGTGAGGGCTGGTGTGTGTTGGTGGATGGTGAGGATGGGCTGCGGGCAGCCCAGAGGGAATGGAAGGCTCAGCTGTAGATAGGCCATGGGAGGTGATACAGCAACACCCAGACTGCTACATATACATCCTTCCAACTACTTCGCCTTCCTAATTAGGATGTCTAATGGTGAAATACACGCGCAGGTAAATTGCAGACAGGTTAGCTACAGGTTAGTTATATGCAGGCAGACAGAATACTCTTATCATCTGATACTTTTGTAGCGACATTTGTAGTGCCTCTCCCAGTGATTAGATTAATGTACGCGTAGGCAGGCAGGCAGATAATGCGCAGGTATATATGCGTACGTAGATTTTTTGGGTTGAACTACGGTAATCAACCCTACATTCCTCCTTTGTACACTCGCGCCCCTCTCTCCCTCCACCAAAAATTTCCATCATCACTACAACCCCCCTCATCCGATTCATCACTATGCAATGAAAATGAAACATGTACCAGAAATCATAATCTGCTCTACATCCCTCAGAAAATTAAAGAAAGGCCAAAGACTATCACTGCAAACCAACTCACTATAGCCACCAACCATTCCCTCACCCCCTTCCCTGCTATCCCTTCAAAACCCAAACACTGAACCCCAACCCCAGCTCTGGAATGTAACGTAGCAAATCCCACCCAGATCACCAGTGCTCAGAAAAGGTAAGATAGGAGGCAAACCCCCATCCCTTCGACGCGCTACACCGTAAACCCAACATACCAAAACGCCACCCACCCTCTATGTAGCTAGAGTAGAGTAGGTTATAGTAGAGAAAAGTAGATATAACAATCCCTCTCTCCCCTCTCGCCCCAAACGCTTCCTCCTCTCTTGACTCGAAGTGAGGTGATTGAGATAAAGCTAGCAGCCAGTCCTATACCAGTCCAGGTACAACAGCAACCCCCCATCTTCAAACCAAAAACCACTAACAGAAATACTTCTTCCTGCCCAGCCAGCCTAGCCAGTCGGTCAAATATTCATTCAACCCCGTCATCAAAGACAAGAAAAAAGAGGCAAAATGAAGTTTTCTCTCGCCGTGGTGACTTCCGTTCTCGTTGCTCTGGGTGTGGCAATGCCGATTCCTGTATGTCATACATTTCTTATACTTTGTCTTCCCAGCTTGTATGCGGTGTGATTTGGTGAGGGTTGCTAAAATATGATGATGATGATGGCGATGCAGACTACAAATAAAGTAGCGCGCCTCGAGGGCTCGGATCTCATGGATGGACTGGCGCGGTCGGGGGGGCTGACAGGGGTGTTGCAGACGGTGAAGTTGCCGTTTTTCGACAATGATAACGGTGATGCTGCTGCTGCTGCGGCTGCTGGGACTGAAGAGCAGTAGTTCTGCTTATCGATCTCTCTCTAGCTCGGGTAGGGTTTTTTGTTGTGTATGATGAATGAATTATGGATGGATGCACTGCACTTTTTCTGTTATTCTTTAGGGAAAAGTCTGATCATAATTCTGGATTCAGTAGGCTAACTATAACAATATCGTAACATGCGTGCAGGCCGTGTGCGTGCCGGGTCATTATCAGTCATCACTCGTGGGTGATGGGGGTAGTCGTGTAGTCGTAACGAGCGTCGCCAATCGTAAAGTAAGGTAGGTTAAGTGATGTGGTCATTAGGTCAGGTCCAACGAGGGGTATCCAGGTCGAGTTAAACGAGCAGAGAAAAGGAAACCGATCCTCTTAATCCTCCATTTCCAGGTCGTCCACCTCCACGCGCGTCCCCAGCGCCTGCTTTCCCTCTTTGATCATCGACTGCAGCTGGCGGTTCAGCCGGCGCAGGCTGGCGTCCTCCTCGCGCTCCATGCGACGTTTCTGAGCCATGTATCTTTGAGTTTCCACGGACACGGGGGACTCGCGTGGCTTGGCAGGCGAGGAAAACTGTGATTTGGTTGGGATAGACGAAGCGTTCGACATCAGCGTCCGCTTGCCCTGAGGTCGTCGACGGGTGTGTCCGTGCGAGTGGGCGTGGGGGCTGCGACGTGGATGAAGTCGCCGGCGGTTGGACGGGCTAGACTCATCAAATTCCTCTCGGTGGGAAACCATCACCCAGCTACGATTCAAATCTTCTTCTTCCGGGTACTGGCCTGGCAAAGGGGTGGTGGGGCCCTCCTTATGAGGGTGCAGGGTCGGGGTGAAATGGACAGTCTCCTTTTCGGTGGAGGGTAGCTGGACAGAAGCTTCCTCTGCGGTCATAGTATAGCCCTGTCCGCCCCCCGCATAGAACCCCCGGAAGGCGCCCCCCCAGCAAAAGTCCCAGACTTTACCGACAACGCCCAGCACAGTCTGGCTCCATCTTACAGGAGCAGCTGGCTGCGGGTAGAGGGTGGTAGTCGTGGTTGTGGTCGTGGTGATCTTTTCCTCAACTCCAACGGGTGACGCATCGATCAGAGACGGGTCCCGACGACTGCGTTTGCGACGGATCCCCGTCGCATCGCCGAGCGACTCCACGCTGTCGTCGAGAGGGCGGGGACGCGGGGGGTTGCGATAGCGACTGGGCCGGTAATCAAAGTCTGCGGAGATCTCCGCCCCGGGAAGATCGTCCGGGGCAACTAGGATAGGGATGCGACTGGGGACGGAGTTGTCACGCCAGTGCCGGGTTTCGACCTCAGGGCGAGATCTCTTGCGAGCGGGTATGATGGATCGATAGAGCGCGTGTGACGCCGACGGGGTGGGCGGAACCTGGAAGAGCTGGGAGGGTGCCGCGGCCAGATCGAGTTGCGGGGGAATGGGGGCATCCAAAAAGGATGTGGCGGGCATAGTTCGAGGTAGAGGGGGCTGGGTGACACGATGAGTGCATAAAAGGGGTTTAAAAAGAACGTGCTGGATGGAATAGATAGATGGTTGTGTGGTGGTGGTGAGGAGGGAGGGGAGGAGGAAGAGGATGAAAAGCGGAGGAGAAAAAATGACAAAGAGGGAACCGGTGCAAAAGTGAATCCTCAACAAGTGCCAGCCTCCCTCTTTCCATTTAGTTTCACCCCAACTGAGACACTCGGACCAGCAACCGCGGGCTACCTTATTACCTTTGACTATAATTATTGACAACTGGATAGTAATGATATCATACAGAATTAATGATCTGGCGATGCTATGCAGGCACACCCTGACTGCTACGGGCACATCGGGAAGGCTACCACAGTACATACATCCCCTTCCTAGTTAGGAGCTCCACCCCACCCCGTCTACTATACTGCCTGCCTGCGTGTCTTTTCTACGCAGTTGATCCGTGGGGGCTTGTTTGCAGATCCGTCAGGATGACATGCGGTCTCTTATCCCAGTCGATAAAAGGAACATCCATCCTCTATTATAAACAACCACAAAACAAAAGCAAGCTGCACAAAGACAATAATAAAGAAAGCAAAAAAATAATGACCTACGCAGGATTCGAACCTGCAATCTCTTGATCCGTAGTCAAGCGCCTTACCATTGGGCCAGCAGGCCAATTGATGTAAATTAGCACTTTTATTAATTATATTAGACAACTTTAGGCCAATTCTGTGAGCCGTGTGTTGTTCTGGCTTGGGGCTTTCTTTTCTATCACTGGGTGGCATGTCCCTGAGCCAGGACGTGAGCTGAAATTCGGCCGTGCTGGTACGGTCTATGCCGGGACGCTTTGCTCTGGACTACAGGATGGGCAGGTAATTCACGAACGCTTTGGAAGGCAAACAGGTTCTTCTGGCTGCTGGTGGTCGTAAATAACTTGGATGGGCCTATCTCCATTAGTGAGGATGGTGTAGCGACTAGTGCAATGCAGATTGCTCAACCTCACCGTCTGAAACATGATTATACTCAATGGGATCGTTCCCTTCCCGGCTGAACTCATAGCGGAACACCAGCATGGCTAGAAGCACTTTCACCTCCCGGACCTCAAAATTGGCGTCCACACATATGCGTGGCCTATTGCAAAGGGAACACAGGCATCTCGGTGACAGTTCTTCCCCTACTAGCTGTCCCGTTGATATTATGAATTGTTGCAGGCTGTCCCAAATGAAGAGATTGAAATGAATATGATGTATCTTGGCGATGACCACTCCATCCGTGGGTATACTACATCACTGGGGAGAATGGTGTCCATCCTCACGGCCCGGGTAGATTAGAAGGAAGTGTGCGTTTCTTTGCAAGCGTTCCCAGATATAGTAGCCGTATGATAGATTCATCGGTGATCTCCATGCCGCCGGCCATCTAATTGTCAATTGATGAGATGCATGGCCGGTTCCCCATTGCCGTACCAAAAAAGCTCTTTGAAAGGCTTCTTGTACACAGAATGTATTCAGTGGTGAATTGCGCTTTCAGTGTCACTCTACAAACCCCGATGCCCCAAAGGATTTCCTGGGCAAGCACCAGGTGATGATACCACAGTGATGTCTTTGACAAGGGCTGCAAAGACAAGTACCATGTCTACGGTTTGAGGGCCGTAATACTGCCAGAGCTATGTATATATTGCCGAAGATCTTCAGGAGAGCGTGAATCTGTCCCAATAGCAACCAAGTAAATCCTTGGGGAGGCCATTGGTTTTGTCTGCTCTGTTGGTTGTTTTGGAAGGCCTGTGGTACCCCAGCCTGCAGGGATCCCTTTAACGAGGGAGAAGATGTCCTAACCGACATCTCCACTGTGCTTCGAGGTCGGTTACCTAGAGACCGAGATCATTTCCCTTGGATGCACTTTTCCTCATTGGGAATTTGGTACTAACAACCGGGAGATTGCGTATTGTGTTGCTAGGATCATGTTGAATTTTAATATGTCAAGTATCCCGAGATGAACCCCAGTCAGAGGATCCGAGAAGACCTTTAGTTTCAGAACGTAAAGAGTACCCAGACCAAAATAGAGATTTTCTCGCACTTTGATCCGCATGGTTTTACGGAGACAGATGGGCTAAAAACGCCCGTGTAGCCTAGGAAGTCAGCCACGCCGAGATGGTCTCAAACCCAGTCCCCATAGCTAACGTCTTCCCGGACAGTATCATGTTCAACAATATCACCGCTGACGGCGTCAGTTTCGGCTGGACAATCCGAATCCTCGCATTCATGTTCCTGGGCATGTTAGTATTTGCCTGTTTCGTAACGACGTCCAACCTCGACCACCGACCGAGTCAAATCTCCATAAAAGCCTTTCTCCGTCCCATCAAGGAACCACGATTCGTCCTACTCACCTTGGCCGCATTTTTCGTCTTCTGGGGCGTCTTCTTCCCCACCAACTACTACATTATCCTGTACTCCGAAAGCGTAGGAATGTCGCCCGACCTGTCGAATAATCAACTCGTCATCCTAAATATATAGCACCAGGTTAGTTTCCCTCCCCCACGCCCCTCGAATCATCTCTCAACCCCCATTTCACCACATTTCCAGCGTCATCGCCCGTATCCTCTGTGGTCTAATCGCCGACAACTACGGCTTCTTCAACACTATGATCCTCAACGTCGGCAGCGTCATCATCTTCGAGCTGGCCCTCTGGCTCCTCAACACAAAAGCCACCACGATTGCCTTCAACGCCCTCTTCGGATGGGGCTCCGGATCCTCCATTTCGTTGCTTCCTGCCTGCATCGCCCAGATCTCCGATATCAAGGAGATCGGCCTGCGCGTCGGCATGACGTACTTCGTTTCGAGCTTTGCCTGTCTCACCGGGAATCCTATCAGCGGGGCGTTGATCCGCAACGGGACGGACTATCGCTGGATGCAGGTGTTCTCGGCTGTGGTGGTGTTTGTGGGGTTTGGGTTCTTTGTGGCTTTGAGGGTGGCGTTGAGTCCCAAGGTTTGGGCGATGGTTTAGAAGGGATGGTTGGTGTGAGTAAATGAGAGGGGGGGAAGGATGTAGAGAAGAAGAATGGGTGTCGTGGAGCGGGAGCCTTGGGCGTTACCGTTCCGTTTCGGCTCACCTCTTGCCTTTTCTGCGTCTTTGCCTGCAGTGCTATGCAACATGCCTCGTGGAGCCTGTGGCGGATTGGAAACTGGACTGGACTATGTACTTTCCTTTCATTTGACGTACATGGTGAGGGGTTGATGGGTTGTCTATATGGAGTAGGGTGGCACACGTCAAGTAGAAAGTTCTTTTGTCACCAAGACAGATCAGCGTTTGGCGAGGGCCAATACCAAATAAACAGTACTCGAGTTAAGCGCAGTAAAAACAAGTGATATCATAAGTAACACACAGCATGCACATACAAGCCCCAGCTTTTCAATTTACCTTTCCTACAAAAATTGTCAAGTTATAAGATGATATCTAGGAATAGAATGAATAATTAAGCGATGTGTGAATGCTTAGTATGATATCTAGCAAACCGAGCAACTATGCCAAAAACACGCATTTAAAAGGCTGCAATATGGGGACTTTTGAGCAATGATGAGAATCCCCAGCCTTTCATCAGTATCTTGATTTCTAAGCAAATCCTTAGCAACCCTCCTGTATCCCCGTCTTTATATCAACCCACTGTGTGGGATATCGGACATACCTCGATTTGCCCCAAGCCTCTCAAGTCACCTCTCTTCTCCACAGACACATATGTGCCCTTCATATTTCCGGCCTCGCCTCACATGATACATCTGTTTTCTGTTAAATTTCTAGCCATGCTACCCATTGGAGCGGAAACCTTATACCAGCCTAACAAGCCAAGTCTCTTTGCCCAGTTTCACAGAAAAATTCCGGGTGGAAGAGTTGTCACCACCTTTGGCTTATTGAGGAGGGGGGGTGGGAGGACGAGTCGGATCTGGAAGAGCCGGATTCTGAATATTTGGATTTGGATTTGGCGGAACTGGATTTGGCGCGTTTGAATTTGGCGCATTTGCATTTGGCACATTTGGAGGGTTCGGATTGGATGGATTCGAGGGATTAGGAGGATTCGGTTGTGGGGTTCGCGGTGGTGATGGAGGTGGATTTGGCACTGGCATGTTGCTGGTGGAGATGTGCCAGACCTTGCCAGGGAGACCTGAGCGTAAAGCTCTCCTTTCCCTCGGCGGTCTTCCTGACAATATCCTATGCTGTATGACAGTTCTCTGTTGAAAATGGATGTAGACGGAATCTTTAGCAAGGAAACGAGGCCGTAGGATCGTTGTATTTCGGCTGTCTAAGAGAAGGAAGAGGAAGGAAGAGGTAGCTGTCATATTTTACCCTTAGGGTATGGGCTTTCCATTATTCTGGGTTTGTGCGCGCGACTTACCTCGCCTAGTGAGCGGAATGATAATTATGATGTAGGAATACATCGTCCCTTGAGGGAATTTTGGAACCTGCCGAGTATGTCCCAAGGACGAGGCACTCCCGCACGGGAGAGGACGGCGATATTCGAAGGGACGGATTGTTGAACCACGGAGAGCCAGCAGGACTGCAATATTATCTGACCTGAAGCCAGAGAGACCGGTTCCAGAGATTTGTCGAGCTGTGACAGCATTCTTGCAGGTAGATCTGTTGGGATGACGGAAGTATTAAGCCGCCTAGTGCAGGCTCATATCTCTTATACTTGTTGATTTCCTGGTTCGACGCATCAGCAACCACTCAGTCGGAAGGAAGCAACAGTGGACTCACTCGGGCGGCAGGAGCACTCAGAATCCCGTGTACGATGCAAAAGTTTGCTCAGCCGTGTGGTTCAATACTAACGTAGGTTGGCACCAAACTTGCCTTGCCTAGCAGGATTAGTGTATACTCCTGGTTGTCCGATCAGCAGGTATAGCCATTCATGAGTTCTGTGGGTTATGACTTTGGGGTGACCCAAAATATACTGGCTGAGGAAGAGATCGAGTCAAATCGAGGTGTAATGGCATTATGCTATGATCTATGAAATGAATGCGCGATCTATTGATGCAAAGAGAGGGACCTTGACTGGAGTGGAGAGGCTTCGTCGGTAGTAGTACTTACGCGTTGAATAGAGTAACTACAGCTCCGAGGCGACATCTCTCAGCCGAACGCACCTTCCCAAGAGGACTTGACCCTTGGGAGGCCGGGGAACCTGGCTTATATGGAAGGAGCGACCGAGCCAGTCATGGGGCTCACGGGGCCTCGCGGGATCTCAAGCCGCGAGAACTTCAGTTGTTTGAGAACGTCTCCAACTTTCAGAAGATACGGAAGAAGGTATGGGGACCCACCAGGAGATCCCCCCGGGATCACCATCTCCACTATCGTTCGATAGTGGCGGGGCGAGACACGCCACAACTACTTTGTAGTAGTACTGACTCATTCGTAGTTCCGCTGTGTAGGTTATCTTCCTGGCCACTGACAAACTGGAGGCTTCTCCCCGACTCAGCGGGGCAGGTGGTCCTGATCAACGCATCGCCTGTCTCAAAAAATTGGTTGTCCGGGGCTGGGGAACCTCCAAGTAGTCCCGAGCCCACCCGACTGTTCCGGTTGATACTGTCGTCCAGTTTCCATGTGGCTGGCAGTGGCACCTCCAATCGATCCGCCACAGGGACAAGGCCACAAGGATCGCCGGTCGGGCAGACCTATATCTCAGCTGTCCAAGGCTCCAGATCTTTTCCCACCGGTCTAGAACTGGAGACCGGCGAGGACTCACTGTTGTGTGCTCTGTACCGGCGGACTCTCGGAAACCCGGGGGCCATCACCTCTTGGCCGTTGCAACTAAGCTTCTCGAAGAGCGGCGGTTGCTGCAGATCCCCATATATTGGCTACCAGACAGTGGGCCTGAAGATCGGTACCCCGCGTCTTACTTGCCACAATAGGCGATCGGGTGGATTTTGCACCTACTATTATCTACTAGGGGCGGTTGGTGCTCGGTAGAGGTTGGGGAAGAATGCCGAAGCCGCGGCGATGAAACACGTTCGACGAAGGTACACCCGCGCAGATGAGACAGACTACTGTCTACACCGGACCGGACTAGTAGTAGTCTGATAGTTGATTAACGCGACTGCGATTGACAGCCGGTGGCCCAACGGGGAGATCTCCCGCGCCCCATCCAATAGTATGGCCTAGTTGTCTCACTAGCCAAGCATTTCTGGATCAGAGCTCCGACTGCTCATCCGGATGGCGATCTACAATTCTGCATACCTCTCCCACCTGAACATGTCACCTTCACCCCCCAAATGCTGCTCTCTGGCATGGTCTCAACATGTCAAGCTGATAAACGTGTTTCAAAATTCCCACAAAACTTGTCCCTGGAGATCACGGAACCAGTCAAGTCAATGGTGTATGGCAATGCCCTTATTCTTATGGATCCCATTCTCCACCTTTTAGACTCGTGCACAATTGTTTGGGTTTCTAATTCGGGCGTGGGTAACCACATTATTCAGCAGCCCATGCTTACGACAACCAGGGCACCCCGATGTGACCCCGGGAGACGGTTGGGTTTCACTGACATGCGGTTGGCTCCAAACGTTGTAGACTATAATCAGTTTCAGGATTGCAGCCGCATCGACATGGATGGTTTCTCGCACAACGCTGGACTTATATCCCGGGGCTGGTCTTTATTTCTTGATCACCCACTGATACGCAGGGGCCGGTATTCGGAATCAGAGGGTGGATCTTGTGGGGAATATGCGATGTGACCCTGAGAGCGACTTTTATGGAACAACGCTAATTATCCCAGCTGGTTGGGGTAAAAACGATAAGCACCAGAGGCAAGATGGCCATGCAAGGGACCCATTATAATCGTCATCTTTCTAACTTCTGCCCCTGTTCGATGCTTATCGTATCCACTATGATCCAGTTGGGATGAATTTTGCGGCCGGCGCAAAAAAAAAAAAAAAAAAAAAAAAAAAAACCGGGGGCTTGCACAGCAAGGGCCAGCATACCACACTCGTCGTCTGTATGGACGCGCGTTGTCAACCAAACCAGGGCAACTTCCAACGATCTACTCCAATAGACTGAGTTGAGCGGTTTTTGCAGCAAGCAGTCAACTTACTTATTCCCCGGATTGCCTTTGCTGACCATGTCCAAATCCATCGGCCCTGTTGTCTCTAATCACCACTCATCCATTTACTTCTTGGTCCGCGTGTGATCACCATGCCTGCAGAGCCCCCAGGAGATGTCGACTACTCAGCCTCTCTGAGTCCGGAGACTAGTCTAGAGAGCTCTGAAACAATTTACGCAGAGAAAGATATATTTCAGGTCGAAGCAGCCACCCTCGGCTCACTAGACAGCGGGCCGGAAGCGGGCCACTTTCGCGGCAAAGATGACAACTTTGTGGACTGGGATGGACCCGACGACCCTCAGAACCCCATGAACTGGTCTAATGTACGAAAATGGGTTATCATTGGACTGATCGCCTTGAGCAGCTTCAACGTGTGAGTGGGCTAGCTTTGCGATCTAGCAGTATGCAGGCTGACTTGTCCAGCTCAATGGTGTCGACCGTCTTTGCCCCTGGTGTTCCAGATGTCATACGTGAATTTCATATCAACAGCTCATCTATCTCATCTCTGATGATCTCAGTGTATGTGATGGGGTCTGCTATCGGTCCTCTCATCTTGACTCCTCTCACGGAGGTCAGCGGACGACTGCCTATGACGCACGCAGCAAACATACTCTTTGCAGTAGCTGCAGTCGTCTGCGCAACCAGTGTTAGCGTATCTATGCTCATCGTATCGCGCCTCTTTATGGGGATAGCTAGCTCTGTGCCCGTGACTGTCGGTGGAGGGTTCATTGCGGATATGATGCCAATGGAAAAGAGAGGGACGGCAATGACGATCTGGACCGTGGGACCACTTGGTGTATGTTGAATTCTCGTACCTACACTCCTTCTGATGACAGTGCTAATGCTTCCAATAGGGGTTGGTACTTGGTAAGTCAAACTGCACATCTTGCGGAGATGTTTACTTATTTTTCAGGGCCCATTTTCGGGGGTTTTATGGTTCAAGACATCGGGTGGCGATGGACCATTTGGCTTGAAGTAATTCTTGTGAGTTGACTCGATTACATAGTCTCTCGATGTGCGCTAACGAAGGCAGGGTGGATGCATTGTGATTGCATCTCTGATATTTCTCCGTGAGACATACGCACCCACAATCCTTCATCGCAAAGCAATGCGACTACAGAAAGAGACCGGACTTCACTTCCATACCGAGTATGACTCTGATAAGACACTCTCCCATCAGATCTGGGTTTCGATTGCCCGTCCGGTCAAATTCCTGGCTCTCTCGCCCATTGTCTTCATTGTTTCCTTCTACAGCTCCATCACCTACAGCTACATGTATATCATGTTTACGACTTTCACGAGCGTGTTCGAAGGTGTATATGGGTTTACAGCAGGCCAAGCAGGCCTCGCCTATCTGGGACTGGGGCTTGGCTTCTGTGTTGGACAGATCACGGTCGGTTACTTTTCTGACCGTTATCTCAAGAAGCAAGAGAAGCGCCATGGACAGATGAAGCCAGAAGACCGCCTCCCACCTCTGGTGTTCGGATGCTGCCTGATCCCCATCGGGCTATTTTGGTACGGCTGGTCCGCAGAATACCGACTACACTGGATTGTTCCTATCTCTGGAACATTTTTCGTTGGAGCGGGAATCTTCTACGTCCACTTGGTCACTCAAGTATACTTGGTCGACTCATACACACTTTATGCCGCCAGTGCTGTGTCCGCAGAGCTTGCGCTGCGATGTATCTTTGGAGCCACTATTCCATTGGCTGCCGACCCTTTGTACGATGCGCTTGGATTGGGGTGGGGGAACAGTTTGCTGGGATTTATTGCGCTCCTCTTCGCTCCCAGTTCTCTATTCCTGGTTAAGTACGGGGAGAGGATTCGGACCAATCCCAAGTTTCGGCCCCGGATGACATGATTTTTTTTTTGCCTTGATGACTTTGAACAGCATAGCGATGGTGTATGGCGTATAATTTATGGGGCAATTTTTGGGGATAGGCGTCATGTAAACTGGGTGGTCGACAACATGACATGAGCTAATGTATATGTTAACTTAGAGAAAGTACAACACGAGAAATATCACCAACTTAAGAGTACACGTTCTTCTCATCTAGAATACCGCCGGACGGGACACTGATCCCCCGTATATGAAACTCGAAAACTGGTTCGGTCACGGTGGATAGTCAGCCAATTTAAATACAAAGTACTCAGAGGCATTTTCATTCCCTCGCGTCTTGTGCCTCGGTTGGTGTTGACCAGTGCTACCATGAGCTCTTGGTTCTGAACAGTGTTGGCATGAGTCATACGATTTCAGGTCGATATCAATGTTCGCCGGATGAATACGGCCATCGGGCAGATATGGAGTATTTACCACGTTCCATATAGTATATTCCGAGCTTCTACGAAGAACCTCGATCCGAGATCGGCCGTCTTCCTCCAAATTAGGGTTCCTCGACACAACATGGCTGAGGGCCGCCAGGGCCGCACGGCCCGCATGGCCCGCCATGATACAGAACTAACGACTCAACGAGATAGTCGGCGGGGCACGGCCTTCGGCTTCAATTCGACCGCGAAGGCGCGAAGCGCGAGAATAACGGGGCTCGGGCAGAACCGCTTGAGAGCGACTCAGGCTCTATGCCGTACACGGTAACGTCCTGCGTATACAGTGAATTGTCTCTGTTCTGGACCGCCGTGGGTGACGTCGGCTAAGAGTTAAACCCCTCCCCGCAGTGCCTCCGATTCTCCCCCTCGCCGCAGATATAAACTCGCCCTCCCCTCGGCTTCATCTCTTCCAGTTACCATCACACCTGAACCCTTCTCCAATCTCCTGGTTGCGTCACCTACTCAATCCCCATTTTATACCATAACCACCATCACAACCACAACAATGGCCAACGAACGCGTCACCTGGGTCGGTTTGGGCAACATCGGCCGCGTAAGTTGCTTCTCCCCAAGCTACCCCTCATTGCATCAACCCCCCCCCACCCCCACCACCACCACCATCACCACGATCATCACAACCTAACGAGAATAAATCTAGGCCATGAGCCGTAACATCGTGAACAAAGGCCCCCAAACCAATCCCATCACACTGTACAACCGCACCGCGTCTAAAACCGAAGCCTTCGCCTCGACCCTGCCCCCCAACAAAGCCAGCGTGAGCACCTCCCTCACGGAAGCCGTCGCCGCATCCAGCATCGTCTTCATCTGCGTTGGCGACGACCCCGCCCTCGACGCCATCATCACCTCCATCCTCACCATCCCGGACCTCACCTCCAAGATCATCGTCGACTGCTCCACCGTGCACCCGGACACCTCGCGCAAAACGCACTCGATCCTCGCCGAGCGCGGCGCCTCCTTCATCGCGTGCCCGGTGTTCGGCGCCCCCGCCGCCGCCGATGCCGGCCAACTGATCGTCGTCCCGGCCGGGCCCAGCGCCGCCATCGACCGCATCTCCCCGTTCCTCGACGGGGTCGTCTCCAAGGCCACGATCCCCATGCCCGACGAAGACGTCGGCCGGGCCACCACGCTCAAGATCCTGGGTAACACATTCATCCTGAACACCGTGGAGACGGTAGCCGAGGGGCTCGTCACGGCGGAGAAATCGGGTCTGGGCGTCGAGGTCTACCGGCAGTGGGTGCATACGTTTTTCCCCGGCCCGTTCGCGGCCTATGCGGATCGGATGATCACGGGCGATTATCATAAGAGGGAGGAGCCCCTGTTTGCGGTGGATTTGGCTAGGAAGGATCTGAGGCACGCGGCTAGTGTGGCTGGGGAGGTGGGGGTGAGGTTGAGGAGTGTCGAGGTTACGCAGGAGTATTTGAAGAGGGTGAAGGAGGAGAGGGGCGAGAAGGGCGATGTTGCGGCCGTTTATGGGGCTATTAGAAAGGAGTCTGGGCTGGAGTTTGAGAACTAGGGTTGTATACTAATTTAGATGGGATGGGATGGGGGGAGTTGATGTATTATGCTACAATGTAGGGACATGCTTATCCATAGTCTCTTGAATATCAATTGATTTCAGCTTCCAGTCTGTTCACGAATTCCGAAGAAATTCCACCTAATGGAGACTGTTTCTCGCATGCAATCAACTGTTCATCCTCCAGTGAGAAAACACAAGACTCCTTGCGCATCGTATCCGCTTCGTCGCTGTCTGGCAGCACGCACATTAGTGCTTTACTGGTGTGGTCTTCTGCAGTCATCGCCCGATGTGATTGTCCCGACCCTGGGACAGTTGAAATAGAATCCCCCCTGTCTCTTGCGTCGAGATCGACCTACTTGCGCCTGCTGGAATAGAGTATCCAACACCGCGATATTCTTCCCAACTTTTTCGTTTCGAGCTTTAAATCCTGGTCGCTTTTGATCGCCTGGAACGCCCATTTTGCCCCCAAAAAGTTCCATCTATTATCTAATCCATAAACTTTCTATCCCCACGCTCATACTTATTGATCAAATATTCGGATATGAAAGAGAGGTTATCCATCATTGAATATCCCCCATACCCCGGAGGACATGATGCAACCATAAACAGAGATCAGAGCCATCCCAACTCCAAATGAAAAAGACCTGTTCTCTTCAAAGTGCCAGACCCCGCATGAAATTCGATGGTCTCCTTAAAAAAAGCCACTTCAATGTAATTTGGTGTCATTGGAAGGGTCGGTCTGGCCTAGTATCTGTCTGGACTCGCCGCCAGACTTTCGTGGCCCAGATACCGATCTCCCGGACCCCGCGATTGACTGTGTTTTGCCTAGAGACACGTCGTGCAGCATTGACCCCCTCGACTTTTTGCTTTATAGGATCAATTATTCCCGTCCCAGTAGGTAGCAACCTCGCTTGGAGGTGTGACATCACACCCCGAGTTCGAGCTTGACGGGACCCCATTCTCGTTTCTCTCCGAGGACTTGAGAGACGAAAGACGGGGCCGTGTGATGATCTCAAGCAGGGCATTGAAAAAAATGGTTCAACAACGCCCGACTGAGTTGGTTTTTGGGGGGAATGAGTCTTGCCCAGACTGCGGCGATGGAGTGGGCCCTGTGTCTTGTGCCTTGTAAGTTGATTTGTGACTATTTAATGTAATCGGGATCCGTCACATTTTTTGTCGTTTTGAGGGTCTTGAAAATGTAGAAACCAGGGGACGAATTCGTTTGAAACTTGTCCGGTTGGGTGGCTTGACTAGTTAGTAGTAGTCGCAGCCAGGCTTATTTATATATTTATATAAATCAATATGAATATATAATAGATCGTGATAAGGATGACACTGCTCGACCTCGATCGCTGTTGGTCATGGAGGTGGACGGGGGTGGTCGCTCGAGTTGAGGGTACTATATATGGGAGTTTGAGAGGAGAAGAAATGGGGGGTAGGGATGGGAAGGAAATGTCTTGCTTATATTATATATGGGTATTTCGCAGAGTGAATTACCTAGGGTGCTTATTCATGTCCTCGTCTAGATGCAGGATTGGATGATATTGTTGTTATATCGCAGTGAAAGTCTTGGTATATTCAATTAACATTAGTCTATAGCTCTATGTTTATTAGAACGCCAGAAATAGATGTACAACGCCGTATGTATGCAGAGCCCAATATCAGTAGGCTGGTGGTTGGTATTCAATAGACCCATGCTAGGGCTTATGTGTGTCCAGATGGTTTGTCTGATAGCCCCAGTGGGAGATCCTGGAGAGATTATCATCCATGCATGGCACAGTCAATGTGTCACTGTGAATGTGATGCTGGATCCTGTATCTGGGGGGTGGGGGGGGGGGGGGCAATTCTATTGCTGGCCTCAACCAGAATTCAATAGTTTTCCCTCATCGAAGCGCACCCAGGTAATGAATGCGTCGGCATCGCGATTGTGGGTGAACGCCCAGGCTCAGTATCGGAGCTTTGATGAAGGGCTTGGGTCGTAACCCAGGACACTAGAGTCCCGGCTGGGAATAATCCAGTATTTCTCCTAGTAATGGCTTCAATCGTTCCTAGGTCGGCCGCTGACGGTAGAATTGCAGGTATTGATCCGGTCGATGTCATACGGATTCTCCTCATACGTCACCGTCTGAGCGAGTGAGCGACCGGATTTCCGAGAGGCGCGGGACGCCCGCGACATGTGCCGCTCCACGGCAGCCCCCGAAGGCACGGTGGAAAGATCGCTATCGCTGTCCTCATCAACATTGTCGTTGGCAGCGTTGACCGGTTCTGCTTTCTCCACGTCGTCGTTCTCAGTTGGCGCTGGGCGAGGAGCCTGGCTTTGCTGCTGCGCAGCTGCCAATTTCTGCATGAATGCCTCTGCCTGTGCGGCATAGACACAGCGCTTGCGGATGCGAGCACCATACAGATAGATGACGATGGGGAACGGGATACAAGCTAGAGACAGGAAGGCGGGAATGGATGAAGCCCAGTGGATGCCGAGGTTGTCGTACATGTAAGTCGTAAACAGGGGGAATGCAAAGCCGAACAGAGACCGGAGAGCTGAATTGGCCGCTAGAACCGATGCGGAGTAGATCGTATACGCATCGATGAGGTAGTTGAAGACACTCAGGAACACCAGGACTAAGCCGAATCCGAATGGTGCCCCCGCGGCCACCGAGGCCATCCAGTGGATAGACGGGTAGTTCGTCCAGGCAAACCAGAAAAGCCCGATGGGCAAGGCGATCCCGCCGATGATGCTAGGGGGCAAACGGACCTCAGGAGGAAGACGGCTTTTGGCTTCTCGGCACTTTTTGGCGTACTTCATATTGTCGGGGAACGTGAAGCCGACGGCAATCACCATTCCGACAAAGATTCCCAGGAAGGCCAACCCCCCAATGCCTTCGCTCCAACCACGTGCCTCTTGAAAGACAATTGGGTAGGCGGCGAACAGCATGTACAGAGTCCCGTATATGATGGCCATATAGATGCAGAACAGAAGCACGATAGGCTCCCTGAAGAGCAGAATCCATGGTCGCGAAAGGGCGGTCTTCAATGACTGGCTCAAAGACACCCTGCCTCTTTCCATGTCCAGTTTGCTGCGGTAGACGTGACCGCTCAACTCTGAAAGCTTCTCCGCTCGTCGGCGCAACAGGACCGGGGCGTATGTCTCGGGCAGGAAGAAACAGATACACAACCACACGACTCCCGAAAAGGCAGCCATGAATCCCTCCAGCCAGCGCCAGCCTGCCCCTGCGCCGAGGAACCCTCCAATGATAGGCCCAAGGGAGGGGCCGGTCAAAGGGGCTGCAGCGAATAGGCTGATGGCAATGCCGCGTTGAGCTGCAGGAAACATATCTGCGATTGTGCCTCCTGCATTTCCAAACGGCGACGATCCGAAGAACCCGGCAAGAAACCGCAGGATGATCAATGTCTCAATATTCTGGGCCCCGGCAGCGCCCGCGTTGAAGGCAGTGAGAAGAGCGAAGGTTACTGTGAAGACGTTTCGTCGTCCAAACACCTCGCTCATGGGAGCCCACAGCAGCGGGCCAAAAGCAAAGCCCAGAACGAACAGGGAGATGCCCAGAATGGCCACCTCTTCCTCGCACTGAAATTCCTCGATCACCTGAGCCATGCCTCCAGAGTATACCGACGAGACCAGGGCGACGGTCAGTGTCACAAAGGAAACCAGGATGGTGTATGTCCATTTCGAGACGATGCCGAAGTTCATAGGGTTTCGGGGGTCGTTGGGGATCCAAGCGACGGCATAGGGCGACTCTTCCGTGCCTGACCCTTCATAGCGAGCATCGATAATCTCTTGCGTGACGACTTTCTGGTCGAGGACTAGGCGCCAGTAGGGGATCGTCGAGGGTTGAGGAGCATCGCCCTTGGCGGCGGTGCCGGCCATGGTGTCTTGAAGTATTAAGGTTCATGCGCCGGGACGGCTAACAATAGTTAGTAGTACTTTACTTGGGAGCACTGCTATCGCTGATCGGGCAAAGAAACGGGAGGCCCAGCAAGTGCAACGTGGGGAGGTGACACAATAAATGGGTTTGACCTCCGCATCTGCCAGTGCCAGACTAGCAAGGATCGTTAATGAACAGAGGTATGGAGTATAAAATTTAATATTCAATAAGCCGGCACGTTTTTCCCGATTCCTCCCAGCTCGCTCGTTTATCCGGTTACTCGGCAGGGGCTGCTGCCAGCAGCGAATCAGAGCCGTGAGACGTGGTTGGGAGCCGAGGCATCTTCAGATTTTTTTGCGGCTATCGCTGTCCGATATCTGTGGTTCGCCCTAGTGGTTCCAGAGCCCTCTCGACTCCTCTCTGTATGCTGGGTGCTGGATGCTATCTATCAGTTAGATACAAGAATGCGAAAAATAGGAATGAACTGTCCCAAACCCGGGTGAATATAACAGTCTTTTGGCAAGACAGGGGCACGACCGGTGGGGGGCCCGCTCTGGGGAACATGACGTGCGAGGATCGGAATGTCAGATGATGACCCCGGGGGCGTCTCATTACTATAGAGTGTGGAGGATAAGGGGGTGATAAGACCTAAGGTCTCAGGCCTTCCTTGCGTCTCTGATGTCTAAGCCAGTCGGCCTGAGACTGCTGGCTGACTTGGATAACCGCGGGGAGAAGGCCTCTAATCATTATTATTATTATTAGAATATCAGGGAGGATCTAGTATGTCTGCTTAAACAGCCGAATAAATAACCAGAATATCTTGATTTCCGATCTTTGTACAAGGTTTGGATATATATTTATACTAGGATCTACTGGTGATGATATGAACTGCTCGAGCTTCGACTTCGGGTCCTATATTTGTCTGAGACTAGTAACAAGGCGACGAAATTCTTCTGAAATGTCTCAATATTTCATAAATTATGATTATTAAGCTGGGTATAAATAATGGGATGAATCTTTAGGAAGAATCACTTGGGCAGCAGATCCTTGAAGAAAGACAGATAACATAGAAGGGCTGTCATTGTTGCACGCGGTGTGGGAACGAAGCTCGGGATAATAGACAGAAGCTTGGAGGGATAATTGGTTGGGGAGGCTGATAATTGCGACGAGGATAACTACTGCTTGTTTGGGCGGAAACCGAGGTCCGCGCTGGGGTCTTGGCACCACCAATCCCCAACCATTGATGTCCGCCTTTCTCCGGATTTTCCTCTTCAGCCAGCTCCCCCCTCCCCCCCCCCATCCACAATTCGCACGGGAACACCCAGTCAGCAATCATGGATTTCCTATCGAAGCACTCAAGCTGCCTGTCCAATTGGCAGATGAACCTCCAGCCTGGATGGCAGACTCTGGGCGCGTCCGTCCTTCTCGCCGCTGGTGGTCTGTTCCTCGTCTCTAAGGCCTTCGTTTTCGTGCGGGTTATCCTGAGCTTGTTTGTGCTCCCTGGAAAGCCTGTATGTTATCCCTACGAGATTGATGAAATGTTGCGATCACTGACATGCCTAGCTCCGCTCCTTTGGCCCCAAGGGCAGCTGGGCTGTGGTTACAGGTGCCTCCGATGGACTCGGCAAGGAATTCGCCATTCAGCTTGCCCGCGCCAACTTCAACATTCTTCTCGTTTCCCGGACCGCCTCCAAGCTAGACACACTTCGCGATGAGCTCAAGGCCAAGTTTCCCTCTGTGCAGACCAAGACCCTGGCGATGGACTTTGCCCGCAACCAGGACAGCGACTACGAGAAACTGAAGGCGTTGGTGGACGAGCTTGATGTGGCTGTGCTGGTCAACAACGTCGGAAAGAGCCACAGCATCCCCACCCCGTTCGCTTTGACCCCGGAGGATGAATTGACCGATATTGTGACCATCAACTGTCTGGGTACCTTGCGGGCCACCCAGCTGGTCGTCCCGGGTATGATTCAGCGCAAGCGCGGATTGATTATGACTATGGGCTCCTTCGGCGGACTTCTCCCGACCCCTCTTCTGGCCACCTACTCGGGTAGCAAGGCCTTCCTGCAGCAGTGGTCCACCTCCCTGGGCTCGGAGCTTGAGCCCCATGGAATTACGGTCGAGCTCGTCCAGGCCTACCTGATTACCTCTGCCATGTCGAAGATCCGCCGGGCTAGCGCTACGATCCCCAACCCTCGCAACTTCGTGAAGGCGGTGCTGTCCAAGATTGGCCGCAATGGCGGCTCTCCGTCGTACGCGTACAGCTCTTCCCCCTACTGGAGCCACGGGCTGATGGCTTGGTTCCTGACCTCCGTGACCGGAACCATGGGCAAGTTTGTCGTGGGCCAGAACAAGGGGATGCACGAGGCGATCCGTAAGCGGGCCTTGCGCAAGGCCGAGCGCGAGAAGGGCAAGAAGAGCACTTAAGGGGTAAGGTCGTGCATGATTGATGACTAACTCGCGTGTCTTGTGTCATTGTGTGATGATCAACCTGGGGAAGACGGGGAGACGGGGAGACGGGGAGACAGAGCCGGTGGAGTGAACCATCCGCTGAATCCGCTGGGGGTGCTGGGGGTGCTGAACGGTGAACGGTGAACCGAGCTCTCGGTGACTCGGTGAGGTGCATGAAACGGGTGAGCTAGATCTGGATAGCGGATGCCTCGGACGGGAGCCACACCTTATCCTGAGGCAGGTCTCGAATTTTGGATGGACCTGCCTTGCACGTGGTGTCGACGCACCAATCAGGACTGACCAGATCGACGGACGAGACGAGAACCTAGCAGATAGCACAATCTAATAATAACGGGGGGATCTTCGCAATTATTCTTTCGGACGACTGGCCTCCGCTGTCAAATCCACCGGGCTTCAGGATATGCACGTCAAGGGAACCTAATCGGGTGGACAGGGACCCAATCTTGGGACCACCGTGATCTTTCCGGCCTGTCTAACTCTGTCACTCAGACCTGCAGATAAGGTGCTGTGGGACTGAACAGAGTTCTCCGTAGGGGAGGTCGCATCGGAGAATTTGATGGCGTGGTAAATCTCCGTACGGAGAAGTATAGAACGTCGGAGTGTCGCAGATCCTGCGGAGTGATCCCTCGAAGCCTATTCCCCTTGGAAGATTCTCACTGTAGGATACCAAGTGACTGATCGGTACATGACTCCGAGAAAACGGTCCCTGAAACCCCAATCGAAGCATCAACAAAGCCGTTGACTGTCACCCGACTGCGACAAAGTCGATGATATCATGATCTATGCGGCTCCGAATAGAGCCATTTAGCTCTCCCAATCACATCCCAGCCTGCCCGAAAGCACAAATCTAAAGTACCTCGTAGAACGCAGTACTACACATCGCATCAATGAAACGAAGAGTCTGAACAACTCCCAGATGAAGCTATCCATTCATCAATCTACTCACCCAAGTCCCAACCCATCCCAATCCGAATCTGCAGTCCGCCCAACTGTCCTCCGAACGAACCTAGTGAGTAGTGCAGCAGAGTGTACCCAGAATGGACAGGGCATCGCACCTTAGTCAGAAAGCAGCTCTCCACCCACCGATCTACCATAGGACAGCGAGGAACTCAGAACTGGGTCTAGAACACATCCAGTGTAAGCGGGTTTTTCTGCCATTCGTTCCTGTCCGAGCTGTGTGCCTGCCTCAGGTTTGAATCATTATTCATGATCTCGTCTACCTACAGCACGGATGGACAGATGGGATGGGATGGGATGGGATGGGATTATAGACGGCCATTGTGATTCTTGAACGCTTATCCGATGCCACTGCCCAGCTCGTTCTTGATGGCTCTGACGGCTGTTCGCTTTTCCATAGCATGAGACGACCGGACCGGACCAGACCAGAATAATAGTACATAATGAAAATAATGAGACTATCTATCCATTATTGTGGTAGGGTGGTATTTCGGCTGCGGCACTGCTAAGATTTTGTCTAGTGGATGTAATGGTGGTGGTGCTACCGGGAGAGGCGGCGCCACGCTACGTAGTGAAACAAAAACACACGGTCCATGTGGAATTGCCGTACGTAATGGAACGGCCGCCGGGCGGCCTGCCTCACGGGAAGCCGCCGAGCGTTTTTTTTTTTTTTTTTTTTTTTTGCCTCTGGGTCTCGGCATCGCGGTTGCATGATTCTTTTTTCCTTCTTTGTGGATTTGCTTTCGGGATGGGGTTGTCGGTGGGTGGTGTTGTGTTGTGTTGGGCTGGGTGGCTTTCGTGATGGATGGGAATGATACCGTGTAGAGAACCATCCTGTACAGATCTGTATGTACAGGCAGGCCTTCTACAATCTGTTCAGTGTTCACAGTGCAAAGTCCCTCATCTTTCACTCGGGGAAGCCAACCAATCCAACCACACTGATAGACGAAGCCCCGGCATGCCGAAACCTGCCACTGAAACCTCACCGGGAGCCGAAAAAGTCAACTCTTGCAGGTCCCAGTCGGCCAAGTTCCGACAAAAAACCAAACGAGACGTCCCGAGGACACAGTACGGCCACGCAGCCCGTCCACCCGAGTCAGCGCAGACAAGAGGGTTGTGCGCGGGCGACGGGTGCCATGGGAAGCTGGCGATCTCGCAACGTGCACTGGTTGGAGGATTCCGTCCGCGGTGGAGACAATCAGACCACACTAACCATGCAGATCCAGGCCGGTGAGCTTCAAACGGGATGGATGGGTTCTGTTTTTTCTGCTGGTCGGCACACCGAGCGAAAGCCGGGACCGGTCGGGATGGCCGATTTTTGTCGGCATAGGCTAGATACTGTGAGCTGCACAGTATACAACACAGCTGCACGAATTGGGTAGGTATCCTTATCGGTGAGCTTTTGGTCGACTCGAAATTATATGACCCTGTAGGATCCCTGATGGTTTCGTTGGCTTGCATGTTACATATTACCTACCTACTTCGTACTTGCAATTTACTTTCTTCCCCTTGCCCTTGTGCGAACCGACCGCTTGCATGGGCTGGGTTGGTTTGAGTTCGGGATCGGCCCAGCCTGAGCCAAGAGATGGTTCCCAACGGATGCAGAAAAAAACAAGAGCGGAAAAAAAGGCAAAAAGAAAAAAAACTCTGCGTGCAGGGCCCACTTAGTGCCCGGTGATCGCCCTGAAGTCCCTCGTTGTTGTTGTTATTATTATTATTGTTCGGAACCAGCACCTTTTGCTGGTACAATGCTGAGCTTGCGACCGGGTCAGGGGCTGCTTCAGGCTTCGGGACGAGGCGAGGAAAAAAAAATTTTTAAGCTAGCCTTGACATGTCCTGCCTGACCTGACAGAAGAATATTCCAGGAACATCGTCAAAAATGCTGAGTTGAGTGGGAGTCTGACTAAGGTGCATAGCAGCGGGAGGCAGGACCCTTTCTGGCAGGGGTCTCAATAATAATAATAATAATAATGATGGCCGCGTTCAATCAAGGGAGGGTGTGGATCACCCCATGCAAAACAAACACAGTCACACGCGGACTGCAGAAGAATGGACGCGGGCGGCCTGCAGAGATTTCTGGCCAGTGGCCACGGCGACTGGATAACGTCAAGACGTCAATCGAGTTAACTGCAGACGGGAGGGTTTCGGTCTGGTGATGATGCCGGGCTGCCAATCCGGCATCTTCCCTCAACATGACGAGGAGATGCGGAGTACGTCGGAGTTATGCTTGTGCTACGTGGATGCCATTATTATCATCTTGCTGTTGCTATTGCCATCGTAGGTCATCATTATGTTCACGGTGGTAATAATGGTCGTACTGGTCGTACTGGCATCATCAGGACCACTAGGAGATAGACCTGGGATCTTAAGAGAAGAGGCAAATATGAAGCGACAATGATTGAACAGTAGTCATAGTAAATAATCCAGAGCAGCACCTGACCACTCCAGACTCCGGGTACCGCATCCGGGAGTGTCTCCAGTGTTCTTTTCTCCATCTCGGCCGTTCTCCATTCCCCTCATTCCCTTAATCCTTTCTCCGGTTCCCCCCCCCCCCGATTCAGGTACTCGCCCTAGTCTTAGTCGCCTTCGGCCTCTCCAGTCTACAGTCTCCAGACCTCATCTCCACCCTCTCCCCACCCCAGCACACTCCAAGACACGCTCTCGAAGCATCCAATGAACTCTCCGCCCCCTAGCTTCCGAATCTCCTCCCTCGTTCGTCTGTCTCCGGCCCTCCAGATCTGGGCCCCCGTTTTTCCGGCCATGGTCCTTCCCCGAGGACGGGGTTGCCCTCCAATCCCTGGGATGGAGGCGAATTGCCGACGGATGGGAGCGTCAAACTCTTTCATTTCCCTTTTCGTCTTTTTGTCGTGGCGCCGTCATAATTACCGATTTCATTCACTCGCCCACAAATCCGCCCTCCCCCCCCCCCTCTTCCCCTCTGCCCGGACTCCATATATATCCCTCCACATCCCCCCCGGGTCTGTCACTCCTCTGGATGTTTCTTTTCCATCACTCTTCTCTTTCATCTTCTCCCATATCTCCCAGAATAGGATTCGACGTGCTGTGAATCCCCCGGCAACATGGGTGTCGTCAACATGATGTCCCGCTTCAAGCCTCAGGCGGAGCACTCCGAGGCATCGACTGAGGTTCCCACTCCTGCTCGCTCCGACTCTAACGCTGAGAAGAACGATGTTCTCCTCGATGACAGCCCCGTCAAGTATCTGACTTGGCGCTCCTTCATCCTGGGTATCGTTGTGTCTATGGGTGGTTTCATCTTCGGTTATGCCACTGGTATGCTGACCCCCACGTGCCTCACCTCACCTATGCCTCTACGGCTGCTAACCCCCAGCAGGTCAGATCTCCGGTTTCGAGACCATGGATGACTTCCTGCGTCGTTTCGGTCAACTCCAGTCGGATGGATCCTACGCCTTCAGCAACGTCCGCAGTGGTCTGATCGTCGGTCTGGTAAGCTATACATTCATGCCTGGGACTAGGTCTAGGTCATCAGTCTAATAAACCCGCAGTTGTGTATCGGTACTATGATTGGTGCTCTCGTGGCTGCTCCCATCGCAGACCGTATGGGCCGCAAATTCTCTATCTGCTTCTGGTCTGTCATCCACATCGTTGGAATCATCATCCAGATCGCCACCGACTCCAGCTGGGTCCAGGTCGCCATGGGCCGTTGGGTCGCCGGTCTGGGTGTTGGTGCCCTGTCCAGCATTGTCCCCATGTACCAGAGTGAGTCTGCTCCTCGTCAGGTTCGTGGTGCCATGGTCAGCGCCTTCCAGCTGTTCGTCGCCTTTGGCATCTTCATCTCCTACATTGTCAACTTCGGTACCGAGAGGATTCAGTCCACTGCTTCCTGGCGTATCACCATGGGCATTGGCTTCGCCTGGCCCCTGATCTTGGCCATTGGCTCTCTGTTCCTCCCCGAGTCTCCTCGCTATGCCTACCGCCAGGGCCGTGTCGATGAGGCCCGTGAGGTCATGTGCAAGCTCTACGGTGTTGGCCCCAACCACCGCTGCATTGCCCAGGAGATGAAGGACATGAAGGACAAGCTGGATGAGGAGAAGGCCGCTGGTACCGCAGCGTGGCACGAGCTCTTCACCGGTCCCCGCATGTTCTACCGTACCATGCTCGGCATTGCTCTGCAGTCCCTGCAGCAGCTGACGGGTGCCAACTTCATCTTCTACTACGGAAACAGTATCTTCAAGTCCACCGGTCTCAGCAACAGCTACGTCACTCAGATCATCCTGGGTGCCGTCAACTTCGGTATGACCCTGCCCGGTCTGTACGTCGTCGAGCACTTCGGTCGTCGTAAGAGTCTGATGGTCGGTGCCTCCTGGATGTTCATCTGCTTCATGATCTGGGCCTCCGTCGGCCACTTCGCTCTGGACCTGGACGACCCCCTCTCCACTCCCGCCGCCGGCAAGGCCATGATCATCTTCACCTGCTTCTTCATCGTCGGCTTCGCCACAACCTGGGGACCCATCGTGTGGGCGATCTGCGGTGAGATGTACCCGGCCCGCTACCGTGCTCTCTGCATTGGAATTGCCACCGCCGCCAACTGGACCTGGAACTTCCTCATCTCCTTCTTCACCCCCTTCATCAGTGCCTCCATCGACTTCGCCTACGGCTACGTCTTCGCTGGTGGCTGCTTCGTCGCCATCTTCGTCGTCTACTTCTTCGTCAACGAGACTCAGGGTCGCACCCTCGAGGAGGTCGATACCATGTACGTCCTCCACGTCAAGCCCTGGAAGAGTGCCGATTGGGTTCCCCCGGAGGGTATCGTGCAGGACATGCACCGTCCCCCTTCGGCAGCCAAGCCCGAGCCCGAGGACCGTGTCGAGCACAGCCAGCCCACCGAGCTCCGCGAGTAAGCGGTCATCCAATCGCGTTGGGCCGGCCTCTCGCTCTCTTGCTCTTGTACATTGAAGAAACCCCTTTGCAGCATTTACAACTCGTTTTAATCGCTTGAACGCTTTTTTTTTAACACTCTTTTTTCGCTATGAATTGTGTCCTCGCATGGGCTTATGGCTTTGAAATGCCTGGATATGGATGGACGGATGGATGGATAAGGAAACTTCGGAAGGGAAATCGGGGGAATTGCTTACTTGCTACTACGAACATCGGCGTTTTTATTAGTGATACCTGCTCTCGCACTTGCTCCCTAGCATTGCATTGCATACCATAGCTTGTTTGCTTGCTTGCTTGCTTACATCTCCCTGGAGATTTCGAGGCTATTGAGAAACGATTAATACAAGTACATATGAATAAGATCTTCTCCCTTCGGCTATATCTTCATCGTAATCGTAATGTTATAATCCATCATCCGGCATGACAGTTTTATATTTTTATATTTTATGGTGGTATATTGGGATTGTGTATATCGGGTTTGTCTGTCGTCTGTCGTCTGTCGTCCATTCGGGGCTAGCGTCCGCTCCGGGCCTCCATCCACTTTTCACTTCTCTCGGTTCTCATCGTTCGTAGCGACCGTACGGAATAGATGGGCCCAAGTACCAACACCAACAGCGGATAGAGGGGGGGGGATGGAAATGGAAATGGGGAGATTGGAGAAAGACCAAACGGGAGGGATGGAAGAACATTGGCGAAAAGAAAGGGGGGGGGAGGGGGGGTTTATACTCGCGACAGCCCCCCAAACTAGGAAGGAGGTTGGTTTGGTTAGGTATCTACCAGGTGTGCGCCGCCAGCGAGACGCAGGTAACTAGTAAGTACTAGCGTGGTAAGCGTGCGTGCCTGCCCGCGCCCCGCTCGGTCGGTCGGTCGGTCCCCTGGGCCCTCAGTCTCCTCTCGCTCCTTCGCATTGCGGTCGCGGGTCCGGGGTCACTTTTCTAGAATCCTTCTACGGAGTTGAAGTAAACTATCTAACAGGACAATGAATGACCCGCCCGCTACGGAGTATGTTAGTACGGAGTAGACAAACATACAACATATAGTACAAGCATGATGATATGAGGATTCTGTAGAGAAATCACCAGGGATAACTCCCATCCTCAGGAATACTTACTGGACTTATTTTAATTTCACATACTCTGCTCATCTACTTATTCATCTCTTTGGAGGAGATGGGATGGGATGGCCGGAAGAGATGAATGGATGGATGGTTCTTATTTATTTCTTTATTTTATTTAGTTTTTTTTTTTTTTTTTTTTTTTTTTTTTTTTTTTTTTCATTAACCGCTTGCTGCTGGAATGAGTGGACTCTTCTGGTTTTTGGGTGGTTGGGCTTTTTTGCAGTGGCGGTGCTGATCTCAAATGGAAATGGTTGGACGCGCTCCCACAGTATCACTCACTACCTTAGGCGAGGAGTACTTAGATACCCAGGGGGAGAGACGGGGAGACGGAGAGGCAGATGTAAGAGAACAAAGTACAGCTGGATAGCAGGACAAGGCAGTGAACAGCATGAGTACTTAGTAAAATTCAAGAATACACAACTACTAACTATACTTTCTCCCTTGCTTTGATTTACCAAGTCCAACAAACACGTCTAAAAAAATCATGCATTGTGACTGCGCGCTGCTCTCCCCCTCTAAGTAAGGAAACTCACATCTCAATCTCGTCAACAAATCAATCAATTCGCGGGCAGCAAAACCCCAGGTATTCAGGATAGCGAAGTATATTCATCATTCCACTTATGAACCAAACGAAAAGGAAGAGGAAAGACGATCGCAAACAAAAGAAAACACCCCCAACGCCCTTTTTTGGAACACCCTGTTCATGACCACTATGTAACGAGTACTGTATTAAGAAGAAGAAGGGACTTCGTCTCGTCATCGACCGTCCAAATCCACACCATATTTCCTTTAGCGACGCTGGGTCTTGCCGATGGTGCGCTTTCCGGCGAACTGGGGAGGGGGTTAGCATGTTGATCGGATGAAATAGTATATGAGGTGAAGGATGGCTTACCAAGTGCCTGGGCAGAGACGCGGTCGTGTGACGATCCGCCTCTCCCGCTCTGGCCATCCGGTTCATCTTCTTCTGGCCCAGCTTCTTCAAGCGCTCGGCCTTGCTGCGAGAGGTCTCGTCGGTAACACCGTCCTCCAGACGGTTGGTCGCCGCCTGGCTGCGGGCACGTCCCTTGGCCCGGGCAATCGCCTGGCGGGGATCCGACATGTCGACGTCCATATCGTCCATGTCCACGTCGCGCGTGCTCGTGCGGCCACGGGCCTGGCTCTGGGACCGGGCGCGGGATCCAGCAGCATCCACATCGTAACCAGCGGCTTCCAGGGACTCCTCCATTTGGGACAGCTTCTTGGACTTGGCGCTGCGGGGAATGGGGGCCCGGTTCTTGAGCGACTTGCGCATCTTGGCGTCGTTGCGCATCAAGGTCCGCTTCTCCCGAATGAGTTCCGCCTTCATGCGGTTGTCGGCGTCCTCGACATCCTCCACGCTCTCGTCGGAGTCGTAGTAGCCGTCGGCCTCCAGCTTCTCCTCCTCCTCCTCGAGCGCAGCCAGCTTGGCCTCGATCTCAGGATCCACGAAGTCGTAGATGTTCTTTCCGTTCCACACCTCAGGGATCTTGTCGTGCTTCCACTCGTCGTCCGCCAGATCGTAGGTCTTCTTGAGGTCAATGTTGTAGACACCCGCACCACCGTTCTCCTCCTCGAGATCCCGCTCCAGCATGCGGCGGTTGGGGTCGCTCTTGTCGTACTTCTTGAGACCCTTGACAGCGTCGGGGATAAAGGTCTCACGCTGCACACCACCCATGGGCTTGGCAACGTGGATACGGGCGAGGACGTCGCCCAGGCGGCCACCAGGGGTGCCGGCGTTGTTGGTGCCGGACTTGAGCTTCTGGGCCACTCTCTCGGCCAGGAGCTTGTCGCAGGCGGCGTTCTTGACCGCGCTCACACCCTCGGTGGTGGTGCAAGACACCTGCAGCATCTCGACATCACCCGACTTCAGGAGGTTCTGCAGCTCCTGCTGGTACTCGGGCTCCAAGTCCTCGGGGCGTCGGACATCGATCTTGTTGACCACAATGAAGACGATCTTGTTGGCGAAGAGGGGCTTGATGCTCTGGAAGAGCTTGATCTGGTCGCCAACGGAGTAGCCGCACTGCTCGGACAGGTCCATGAAGTACATGACCGCGGACCGCAGATGGGCAATGGCGGTGATGGACTGCATTTCGATGGTGTTCATCTCCTCAAGAGGGTGGTCCAGAATACCGGGGGTATCGATGGCCTGGAAACGGAGGTACTTGTAGTCGAAGTGACCGACAAACAGACTCTTAGTGGTGAAGGCATAGGGCTGGACGTCAACATCCGCGCGGGTGATGTTGCGGAGGAAACTGGACTTTCCGACGTTGGGGTAGCCGCAGATCAGGAGGGTACGGGTGTTGGGGTCGATCGAGGGCAGACGACCCAAGTGCTGGCGGACCTGCTCGAGGTAGACAAGCGGATCTTTGAGGCGCTTGCAGATGGTGGCCATGCGACCGAGGGCAGCGCGCTTCAGCTGCTTGCACTGGAACAGAGACTGCGCATACTTGATGAGGCGGACGTAATCACGGGAGACCGTTTCGATCAGGTGCTTGGCGGTGGAGACCTGACCCAAGGCGATTCTGAAATGGTCGGCATCGTACAGGGTGTTCATCAAATCCTTGTCTGGGAGCCGTTAGACGGTGCGACCGAGATACGTCTAAAACGGAGGGCAAAGAAAAACAGTCGACTTACGGAAAGGATGGATATCCTGCAGGCGGGGGAATCCCTCGAGAATGGCCTGGAACTTCTCGCCGAAGGTCTCCTGGGTGTACTTGACCTTTCTGGTGTAAAAGCCTATCGGCAGAAAAGAGAAATTTCAGTCAGCCAACGCATCCGACGATTTGTCCGTGGGGTGCATCCCGCACTCGCCCTCGAGAGTCAAAACCTACCGCGAATACGACTGATGTTGAACCCGGCACGGATCTGGGTCGGGAGCTGGCGCTGCGTGCGACTGAGGACGATATCCAGGAATTCCTGGTGCGTCGGCACAGGAGCGATCTACCAAGCGGTGAAAACAAGACGTCAGTTGGTTGTTCCTGGGGCAGTTCTGGGATGTTCTGGGGCTGGGTGAGGGGTCGGGGGTCGGCGAGGGGACTCACATCTTTCCACGTCGTCTTCATGATGGGCACTGGGGAAGGAGTCGATACGGAAGGCGACTCTGGAACAGAAACCCAGAGGATGAGAGGCAAGAGGTGGACGACAGCAAATCTGCACGGGCGATAAAAGAAAAAAAAATATTCCGGGCGGTCGAGGCAGATTTTGGCGGGCGGTGAGCGGGCCGCCAGTGTGGGGGCCTGAGATTCCCGCCTGAGGGAACTTACTACCACGCACTACCAAGGAGGGCTTGTAGCCTTTTGAGGGAGGAAGATGCTCCCCAAATATTGGTTATTGCAACACTATCACATCTATATGGGTGTTGCTTGAGTGGTTCTGTCCGTCTCTAAAACCCTACAACTTACTTTCCGCCCCAGAGCTCTGCACATATGTCTGGAGGATATTATTCCGACGACTCTGCAACCGATCCTCCGTTGTCTTGAACAGCCGCGGCAACCCGGTTTCCTCGTACGAGGCCCCCTCCATAATCAGTTTGGCGATTCCACGAGCCGAGAGGAAGATCTGTGGCATTCCATGACCGCTGAAGCCAGCAACTATAAGTTGACCCGGCTTCCTTGGGACGTGCCCAACATGCGGCAGCGAATCAGTGCTATAACCCATAACTGCTCACAATTAGCACGGTATGACCGTATGAAGTGAAAGAGATGAGCGAGGGAGGACGCACTCCCCGACCAGACCCGGTCTGTATATGCCCCCGTATTCTCCCAGCCATGGAAGTGTCTCTGCATATAGTTGTCAAAGTATCGCCTTGCTCCCTCAACCATTCGACTGTCGTCAGTATTGTTATACCAGCTGTCCCGGTCTTGCTGGTAGTAGGTGGATTTGCCCCCGCCCACAATAATACTTCCGTCTGGCCGTGGGATGAGGTAGTCATAATCCCAGCCGTTGAAGCGCAGTGTGTATGAGCGCTCGAGCGGCGATGGAGGGGGGTTGGGAACCACTATGCGACTGCAGAATCCCCGCACGGGGATTATGCTATGCTTGTACTCGGGTACAAGGGCCGATGTATACGCATTGGTCGAGAAGACGACCCATTTGGCACGGATAGAGCCCCGATCAGTGGTCACCGTCCATCTCCCGTCAGTGTCTGGCGCTTCGGAGACCTTTGTAACAGGGGTGTTCGTTTGGAGGTTCACTCCCGCTGAGAGAACCTGTTCCAGAAGATGCATGACAAACTTGTATGGCCAGAGTCGGCCTGTCCGCTGGCTGAAGCAGGCCAAGGCACCCTTCACGCCCGATACCTATACGATGTGAGTGACTTATATGGGCACAGAGTAAACAAGAGTACGACGTACAGCCTCTGCGGATTCGGGAGGGGTGAACTCGACATCTCTGGTCGTTTCCACGCCCTTCGCGATCAGGAAATCGTACCCAGCCTTAACTTTGGCGAGCTGGCTCTTATCATACTGTACTTCGCATACTCGGTTTACTTCTAGATCGCAATCGATCTTCTCCTTTTCGACAAAGGCCTCGACGGCAGAGACATGTTCCATCTCAAACGCGGCGACTTCAGCCGCCGCCTCGAGCCCATACTCGGCTGCCAGATTGCCAATGCGATTGTAAACATCGGGCTTCAGATGACCGCCTAGATAAAAGTGACAGTCCTACATCAGCATTTGAAGCAGCAATCTTTCTAAATTAAGGTCTGTGCTTGCCATTGCGTCCTGTCGCCCCTGAGCAGGCCTGTCGCGCTTCTAGGATCACAATGGAGGGCTTCTCCGATGCCGGGGAATGATCCAGACAATGGTACGCGGTCGATGCTCCGGCGTAGCCAGCCCCGATGATGATAATGTCGCTAGTCTCCGGCAGAGTCTCTGAGGAGCGGAAATTGTCCAGCGAATGGGGCTCCGACCGCCAGAAGGAAGTCAGGCTGTGATCGACAGGGAGCGGTTTGGCCATGTTGATGAGAAGAACAAGTGGTAACCTCGTGATTGATTGATTGATTGGTGTATCTTTGGGTATGTCCGAAGAATGACTACGCTGAAGTACCTGGCTTTGATTTATAGTCGAGGCGACGATCTAGATAAGGAAAGCTGCCAGCTCATCGGCGCCGTGGTCGGCATTGGACAGGAGCGCCGATATGCAGCCGACTGTCTGTGCCTGGCCCGATATCTCTGAGTTAGCGTCGAGTCTCGACAGGGACGGCCACGGGCTTATCCGATTGCATCGCGCTGAAAGATACTCCGTACTCGCAGGCAGATATAGCTCTTAGCGAGCGGCAGCTATCAGTTGGCGGGGGAGGGAGAGATAGCATCAGAGAACACGCAATGCCCTGGGAATAATACCTGGATACAAATGGCTCCGACCATAAGGCCAACCAGCTCTCAAATAGATGCCAAAAGAGATCTGAGACTCCTCTAATGAGAAAGATCCCATGGGATTGGCTTTTGATCAACAGGAGTATCTAGAGTGTGCGGTGAGTAGATTCTAGGTGTCCCTTGACAGCGGCCGACAAAAGACATGGGACAACGCAGGGAGACTTAGCCCGCGCGTTCAAATCGCGCCGTTGTCATTGACCCTTTTCTCCCGTCTTTTCCCCCACAAAAGCGCTTGATTGATATGGCGGACGGTTCTTCTTTCATCCGAAACCCCAAGATCTGGTATTGATGGTGACGGTGGAATTACAACACTCTTCTGAGCACACGACTTTCCCAACATCTGTGTATTTAAGTGATTCATACCCATCCATAAAGTAGGCAAAGTAGGCTTTAAAAAGCTGGTTCCCCAGACTATGTTTATTTCCATTCCCACCACTATTCACTTCCAATGTAACTGGGATTAGCATACATGTGCAGAATGACTCAGCAGAATAACCGGTTTATGAATCCCACCCAGCCAATAAGAGACGGGCTACACGATTTAATCAAATCAAAGTCCCCGTCCCACTCGCACTGGCACCAAGGCCTCGGCCAATCGGACCCGGCGTCCCGGACTCGCACGGGGGACAGATGGGTATTGGTACGGTACCGCCATGACCTGCAGGCGGCTTTATCAGTTCCTTGCATGTTGCGGATGCCCCGCCCAGATGACGAGGACCGCGAAGAGGCCTGACAAGAGAAAGGAACTGCATCGTACTTCAGAGTTCACCGTAGCTGGGTAAGACGTTTCCCTGCTACCCTACTGGCTCCGAGTCTGGGGTTGATGCACACCCCCCGGGCCAATCACCCCTGCCGAAGATCTGTGCATTCCCTCCGCGTGTGGCAACCCCCCCCCCAAACGGTAAACCCTCCCAATCTGCCCCCCCCTTGGCTCAGAGTCGCTCAGCGTCGCTCTGCTTCTCCCAATAATCGCACACAAATTCATCATTTCATTGCCACCCCATTGGTCTCCCTTGCGCGTTCCAGAAGGTCTCTCTGCCTTTCTGTCTCGGTACTAGGGAGTAGTCGCGACCCAGCCCTCCTCCCCATCTCGGAACCAGCTTCTGAAAGATTGAAAAAGCGCACCCCGAGGCTTATCGTCCGCATTAAGCTAAACGCGATCCCCACTCGGTTTTCTAGGCTGTCCCGAGCATTCGTACCCCTCGATTTCCTTTTCGTCCCGTCTTTTACCTTACCTTCCGGTCAGCCCTCTGCATTCTGTCATCTTCACCTCACCTCACGTCGCCGGCCAGTTCGCTCTTTCAGATTCTTCTCCCCTCCCCCCCCTTTCCCCCCTCCTGCGCCCCCGACCGTCCTTTTCGCATCTTGTTGTACAACTCGTGATAGATAGACCATGGCCGATCACTCCAGCCCCCTGCGCGAAGAACCCATCAATGGGCTGAAGCCGCTATCGAACGCCGACGGGTTCTCCCTGCCCGCCACTGGGAACGATCTTGAGCGCGTTGAGATCCCATACACCGGGGGCCAGCCGTTGGAAGATGCCGATTTCGAAGATGACGACGACGAGGAGGAAGAGGTCGAGGGCGAATATGTTGCGGTTGATCACGACGATGTGAACGAATACCCTTACTGGTTTCGCCGCCCGCCCGTTCACCACCGCACCAAGTTGGACGAATTGCATCCCTTCGTACAGGTTCTCACCGAGTCGAACGTGGACGACTGCGTCAAGGTCGAGCAGGCCTTCCCTGAACACGAGCGCTGCTCGCGCGAAAAGGTATGGTTGAGTGATGAATCCCTGGATGCATGCGATGCGGGATGAAGACCGTCGGGCGCTCAACTGACTGGCTGTCCAGTTCCTCTATCGTCTGAGCAGATGTCCGGAACTTTGTCTCGGACTGTTCACCCTGCCGATCCTGGGCGAGGACGAGCCCAAGCCTCGCCCAACCCTGGTGGGACACGTCATCGCCACGAGAACCTCAAGCCCCGTCGTGACGGATAAGTCGATGGAGCTGCCACCGAAGTGGCAGGAGGAGCGCATGACCGTGGAGAATGGAGAGGTTGTTGGCCACGATGAATATGGCAGCACGATTGCCATCCACTCTCTCGCCGTGCTGCCGGAGCACCAGGGCAAGCAAGTTGGAAGCACCTTGATGAAGTCATACATCCAGAGAATCAAGGACGCGCAGATCGCCGATCGGATCTCCATCATTGCGCATGGTCCCCTAGTGCCCTTCTACGAGTCGTTTGGGTTTGATAACCGTGGGCCGAGCAAGTGCCAGTTTGGTGGCGGCGGCTGGGAAGACCTGGTCTGTTCTCTTTGATTACCCTGGCGTGGTCACTGGAGCTGACAGATCGCAGTTGTTTGAGTTCGCAAAAGAGTAATTGTGTGGTGGGAAGTTTGACGATTCTACATCTGTGGCGCGGCGCCGTCTGTTACCTGTTACCCGTTACCCTTTCTCTTGTCTGCCTGGTTGTTTCTGCTCTTCTTCCTTTTTCTTCTTCGCTTCTCCTCGTCTCTTTTTCACTTTTACCCATTTTTATGTGATGCACGGTATGGATTACAGGATTCGGTCTTACTGGTGGGTTCATGATAAAAAAGCAACGGCGTTCAGTCGGGCTATGATGGTTCCGGGACGGATGATGATGAATGCTATGATGACCGGATTGAAGCCCGTGGATGGGCTGGTCAGTGTGTATCATAGATAGTCCCAGTGTGCTCAGTGTAAATGATATTCCATAGACTGGCCAACCAATAAGTATCAGCAGTAGTCTCCCCTCACCGCCTTCGGGCTCCTCCACGGCCGTCGGAGTCCATCCATCCTCCACCCTCCACCCTCCCCCAGCTGCACCACTTCCCCAGATGACCATGGGCTCACTATGAAGAGGAGTCAATGACACGATGCCTATCTGCATCGAGTGCTCCTATCCCGTGTCCCATCTGTACAGCACATACAGTCGCGCCGATGACCGCTCTCTGGGAAAAGGGGTGCGCCTGACCCAATGTCCGCGCTGCCAACGGTTCGCCGACAAGTACGTCGAATATGATTTTGTCGTGATCTTCATTGATCTTGTCCTGATCAAGCCGCAGGTAGGCAAGCCATGGGTACCGGTAGAAGAAGCATTGATTGACGGAGAAAGGTTTATCGACATTTGTTGTTCAACCGACTTGGGGGAGACGACAACCAGTTCGATGTAAGCGCCCACCACACCACCCACCATCACATCTAAGCTGCAACTGACACACCTTGCCAGCGCTCCATAATCCGTCTAGGAATACTCCTCCTGCTCTTCGACGTCTACCTGACCTGGGCACGGATCGAGAAGTCCCCCTCGCTCGCAACCACCTTTCTCTCTCGCGCGCCCATTATCGTCCAATACCTCTTCTTCCTAAGTCTGAATGCGCTCGCAACCCTTGCCCACCACCTCACCATCCGCCTTCTCGCATCAGTCCTCGCCCCAGCAGCGCGTGGATACTCCCGGAACGGCAGCAATGCCAACAGCCATGCGACAGAGGCGGCTGTCTTCTCCAACCCCTCCACCCCAGTGCTCCCGTCCTTCCCGTCCCAGACGACGACGACCACAACCACCAGCCAAACACAACTCTCCCCGACGCCCATCTCGGCCCTGAGTCCCCCCAAGCTCACACCACAGGGCTCCTCCAACGATGTGGCAACCATAGCCAGCGCGTCCGGCAGCGACCTGCACCACCTGCCACCCTCCACGCCACAGGGCTCCTTCCCGGCCCTTCCACCCCTTTTACGTCGCGCCTCCACAGCGCCCACACAGAGTATCAGACCCCTTCCGCCGCCATCCCCAGCCAGTCCAACAGCCATAAGCACCGCCTTGCTGGTGAGCAGCTGCGCAAAGCTCTTCCCCATCCTGCTTGTCATTTGGGGACCCGACGGCAGCGGTAATGCATCCAGCGCGGCGGGCTCGAACAGTACCCGTCTCAGCGCAGGCAGTCAAACAACCCTCGCTCATGACGGCACCAGGCTAACCCCCGCGGCGACTCTCACGGCCCGTCAACCCAACGCCGGTCTCCCAGTGTCGTCCTCGCTGCTGGAGAGCCTCATCCGGGTCATGCCGGAGTCTGTACCGACCAGCTACCTAGCCAGCTTTATCGAGCTCATTGGGCCGCTTCTGTCGCTCGGCGCAGCAGATACTCATCTCGTGCTCTTGAGCAATATCGAGGCACTGTACATCCTGCTAGGATGCGGGTATCTGCGCGCGGTGGCATTGGCGATGGCAGGACTAGCTGCCCGTTGGACGGTACAGAGAGTGATACTAGGAGCTGTCGGGGTTGGCTAACACATATATTACCACCGTAGAACATAGACCGGCCTAGCCCGATATAATTAAGACTCTACACATCGTTCAGATACCCCAACCCCAACCTGGAGGTGGCAGTTATAGGTAGTAATGGTATTACGCAAACCAGAAAAAGAAAAAAAAAACGTAGCTATACATACAAGTCCACATCCCATCATGGTATAACCCGTCCACCCCAACCAACCAACCGTCCACCAACTACTCATCCCATGCATAATTCAAACCACCTGTCCATCCTTTCCTCACATCCTATACCAGCAACGACAACCACCTCCCCTCCAAACCCAAGCATCTCTCTATCCATCGATGAAAAAGAAATCAACAGAATAAATCACTGCGGTACCCGCTCCGGCCGAATATCCGACCGCTTGGGCACGATAAGCGGATGCCACTGCGCCAGGAACGTGATCGCTGTACCGCCACCAAGCATTAGCACGCGCCTCTTCAGGAAGCCAAACTCGGGGTAAATAGAAGCAAAGAGGGCAAAGATATCATGCACATACCCCACATCAAATAACAACACGCGAAGGACAGGATCAGGGTACTCCGGAAGACACTATGTCGTTGATTGTATTTATTAGCATTGGTCCGCTTGTTTATACTCAATTGAGAAGAGCTGTGGTTTGAGTCTGGTCTGGCCTGGCTCGGATTGAATGCCCATAGCCAAGGCAGCAGAGAAGAAGGGGAGAGGAGAGGAGAGAGTAGGGTAGGGTAGGGTAGGTAGGTAACGCACGTCTGATTATCCCCCTTAGGACTAAAGATCCACGCCAAGACGGACAAGACCACCACGAAGATGAGGCCGACGATGAGACTCCATCTGTTTGTTTCGTTGATTGGCTTGGGTTAGCTTGCTTGCTTGCTTTCTTGCTTGGGGGAGGGAATTGGATCGCTGGCTGTCGTGGGTAGGTAGGTAGGTTAACCAGACAACATGGCAATGTCGGACATACCCGTTCGCCATTTTTGCTCCTTTTCCCTTGATTTCTCGTGACGGATTGGTGGGGTGTGGTGTGATACAGTAGGTCCAGCCTGACTGTCTCTCTGACTGGGTTTCGCGAGGGAGGTCGGGGTGTCTGTCTGGATGGGTGGGTAGATGGATGGCGGAGGGAGTAGCTTCGTGCAGACGGATCGCGGCGGAGGTAGAGTAGGGTACGTTCGCGAGGGTCGGGCTCGTTCAGCTCGTTCAGTGTGAAGCTCAGGGTCCGAGGTTCTGGTCCGGCAAGGTGGTGGATTGTCGCGCAGCTGGTCGGGACGGAGTTCACGTACGTGGTTATCGAGTGAGGGAACTTGGTTGGTTATCGGCGGAGCTGAGCTGCCGGGTGGGTGCCTGAGGTTATTGATGCCTGAGGCAGAAGCACAACATGGGGCAGAAACCGTGGTGATCTATGAAGGGCATGTCTACCACTCTATTTGCCGTGGATAGAAATATCCACAGCTGTATATACGCTTAAGAGTGGTATTTATCTACAGTATCCGGGTTGGATTCAGGCTAGTACCATACGCATCAAGCAGTCAACTAACCCAGCAGATCCACACATCGAGGGATATCAAACAATTTCACACAAGGCAAAGGGATGAGGGCAGGGTAAAAGAGGCTAGGTGTCCAATCACAGGAGAAAACGTAACAAGAACAACAATACTGATGGCAGCATTATCAAGGACGACAGAAGAGCAGCAAATAAAGCCTACTGGACCCGAATCACGCTCCCTCACGGCTCTTCCGGTAGCTCGCCTAGGTAACACACCAATTAGTCACGATGAAAATGCCCCATCCGTGAACATTGATCATACCTCTTGCTCCACCTGCAAGCCATCGACAACAGGAGCCAGCTCGCTGAGTATCTCATACGCCCGCTTGTGGTACTCTAGCTGCGCCGCGATCAGATCGGCCAGGTTGCGCAGGGGTTCCGGAGTGTCAAGGACCTAGTGTATCGGGTCGGTTCAGTTTCCCAACTATCCATGCTGAAGTCGAGGGGTAGGCAAACATACATTCTTCATCACGCTCACAGCCTCCTCAGTCTGTCCGACAAACTCATCCTCCGCCTGCTCGATCTCCGCACGAGCCTCCTCGCTCAAGTTATCCCAGTCACCGCGGGCCGCAGCCTTCTTGCTAGCCTTGACGGAGTCCAGCATCAGACGCGCGTTCTCGACATTCTTACGCGCCTTCGCGGCGAACATCAAGTTTGTGTTCAGCGTGGTGTTCCATCCCGCCAGGAAGCGCGACTGGATCTGGGCGTCCTGGGCCAGACGAGCCTCGCCCACCTTCTCCGAGGCGAGAGCGTACTTCTCCAGCGCAGTGGCGAGGGGTTCCTCGTTGCGGGAGTTCTGCGCCAGTGTCTGGGACCCGGCCAGGGAGGCGCGGGCAATGGCGTGGTTGAAGGTCTTGGGCTGGGGCTTGGCCGAGGGAGGGGCAGTCAGGGCGGCCTGGGCCTCGGCGGGCGAGGAGGCCTGCGACAGGAGGGCGACCTTCTCGTTGATGGTGCGACCCAGATCGTTGAACGATTCGCGGATGTTGGGGGGGTAGTCATAGGCTTCGTTGGAGTATTGGGAACTGCATGTGATCGAATCGATGAGTTTATGTGAGTGGGGACTGGAGATGACGGGGATGAAGAAATTTTGCGGGGGGAAGTGGCACTCACGTCACCTGGAGGAGCTTCTGGTGAACGATCTTCAGGGCATCCACGCGCTTCTCCAACTCGATGTACTCATCGGGAAGCTGAGTGCGTTCCTCGGCCTGGCCAAGCTGCTCCTTGATCATCTGCTGCGTGCGCGCAGCAAAGGGCGAGAAGCTCGCGCTGTTGGAGAAGAGAAGCAAGTCAGTCTTGATGCCTGACTATTGAAATTCGCGATAGGATCATGTAGGGGCGCTCTGTGGTTGGCGCTGGATATGCGAGGGTGTCTCCTAATCGGAGAAATTATTGCGGAAGGGGCAGCCATCTCACCTGAGGTTCTTTCCGAAGGCTTGGAACTTGTCCATGTTGTGAGTCGCTACTGTTTCACTGGGAGATATGCGATGAGTCCGATGCCCCTGCTTCTAGAAGGGACGGGAGTATGTCTGATGCTGAGGGCTTTTGGGAGGGGGGAAGTTGGCGCGGTGCAGGTGCAGATCGCGGAGTCGAGGCCACATTCCGTTGGTGTGAGTGACCGCCTCGCCCGCCCTGTCCGTATCGCCTGTATCGCCCGTACCGCCACGGTTTCATGCCGGCACTACAACTAAGGTCCCATATAGTAGTTAGTATTGTGCAGGCAGCAAAATACAACAAACATCCGATGAGCATTTCCCACTATAAAGATCACATGCTATAATGTGAAGGTTGCAGTAATTATAAGTACTAGGATTGCTTTATAAAACCATGGACCCCGGCTCAAACCCACCCACAGCCAAACACGCCATTCAAACTGCCCATAAACACAATAACTGGAAAAGAAAGTCTCATCATCATTGTCGTCGCGTCATAATAAGAAAAAAAGAAGGGGGGTAAGAAAAAGAAAAGAAAAGAAAAAAAAAGGCGCTGCCCAGGCGAATCGAAAAAAAAAGAATACAAGTCGTCATCGCAATCAAACTACTATCGTACAAAGACAAGATGCCGAAATCGTCAAAGAGAGACATAAACCGGAAGTCGTAAAATCTCCGAGCCATCGATTCGGCCATCGGTTTAGGTCAAGGTCGCCAGCATCGCACGCATCAGTCGTGAGCTCGGGCCTATGATCATCTCTCAGAATCCACACTTCACCGCTTGCGTCGTCGGACAAGGCTCATCCTACCTTTGCGCTCCTTTCGCACCTCAAGGATCTCCTCCTCTTCGCCGTCGCCAATGAACTCCGTGTCTCGGATCACTTCCCCACCGCCACGTCGCTCGATTCGCGTGTACTCCCGCAGATCGTCGTCGCTGTCGCTGTCGCGCGGGCGGACAACAATCGCCATCGGACCGGCATGGACCTTGCTGGAATGCCCTACATCTTCATACCGCTCGACCCTACGCACGGGCGATGACCGGCGGCGAGGGCGACTGTGGACCGACAGCCCGCGCGTCCGGGAGACCGTCCTTGTCACTCGCTTCTCCGAGAGCTCGTCGTGATGGTGGCGCGATCGGGATCGGTGCCGTGAAGGAGACGGTTCGATGAGCAACGTCTCATGGCTCGACCGGGGGGTGTAGCTCTCCATGGCGATTCGCTCTACCGTGCGCTCCCGGCGTTTCTCACGGACGGGAGACGACGAGGTATGTATAATGCGAGCTTGTAAGACAGTTAGCATCAGATACATTCTAGATTCCGGCACGGGAAGTCCTACTTTCGGTCATGCGCTTGATCTCGCGACTCCGACTGATGACTGCGTCAATCTGCTCCTTAGACAGGGCCACCTGGATGATAATCATGCTCCCCTAGACCGACCGTCAGCACTACCACGAATCAAGCCCCATATGTTTCCACCCGACTGGCCTTCTTGAATACACACCTCTTCCTCGTAGGGGTAGCCAAACTCGCGGATCGCGCTGGTATGGGCGAGCTTGCGAGGCATACGGGTCTTGCCCTTTCGGGGGTATGGCTTCTCAACGTCAACTTCCTCTACCATTCTCTCACGGAAGCGACTCGCGGAGCGTCGCGGGCGTTCGACAATCCGATCTCGTTCACGGAACTCCCGGTACTCTTCGTCGCCATAGTATTCGGGCTCGGCAATGCGTATTTCCTCATAGTAGTCCGGCTCGCGCGCTCGATGGAAGGAACCCCGCCTGATGGGAGGTGGAGGGGGACTGGGGGGTGCGCGCGGGGGGTAGTCGCTATAGTAGTATTCGTCGACCTTGCGCGACGGGACGCGATCGAAGGTGTCGAGGGAGGACTGGCGGCGCGTCATGCGAGGACGGGGCCGCGGAGGGCTCTCCGCATGGCGGCGCTGATAGGTTACCAGGGGGCCGGGAGAATAGACTAGATGGTCATCCTCGTAGAAGACATCGGAGCGACGAGCTGGGGGGCCGTAACGTTCGTCCTCTTGCAGGCGATATTCGAAGCGATCATCCTCTTCCACCCGTCGGGGACGCTCAAGTACCGGGGGTCCACGTGAACGATGACGGTGCCGGTGACGCTCACGCGAATAGTGGTCCTCGTCGAGAGCCCCGGTCGAGCGACGGTAGTCGCCGTGTCGAGACATGGGTGAATGGGAGAGATGATCTAGATAATGGAGGGAGGAAAGTATGGGAATGACTGACTGCGAGCGAACCGTGGGTGTGACGGCAGCGGCTCAGGGCTGGACTGGGGCGGGGCCGCAGATTAAATATGGATGGGATGGAATGGATGGACTATGGAGGGATTGGAAGGCAATGGCGGGGCGGGCGATGAAGGAACCGCTGGTGCGAGTCTGCGATGACGTCGATATATATATGGCCCGGAAGTCTGCAGTTGACTCTGTTGTAGATCGCCGGGGATGATAAGAGAAGAAGACAGATTGCTGGGAGGAAGACAGTGCCAATCCGGGGGGGATCAGCTCGTATAAAAAGGACTCCTCCAGTCGAGTGTCTAGAATGCGATGCGATGATGCGAACTAAAAAACAAAAAAAAACAATGCGAAACGAGATTCGGTGACGTTGGCGGAAAAGCCGACTGACATACAGGGCTGTACGGTATTGATGCTCTCCTCCTGTCAGTTCCTGTCAGTTTATGGGCGGCCCACGTGTATGCGTCTTGTCACAGATATTCTTAGCTATTCGCCACGGCCTTTCGCCTTGTCGCCTTCTTCCTGCATCCTTCTTCACTCTCTCTCTCTCTTACACACCCTCTCTTCTTCATTCTCGACCAACCCCGATTCTGGCTGGAACGGTCCCCCGTTCGAGGCGTATGCAGTGCAGCTCGGCCGTCCAGCTGTCCTCCATCGGCGCATCATGGCGGACGCTACCACCCGGGATGAAGCAGCAGCACTGCCTAACTGGGTACCAGTAGTGCCACCCATGCACGACAGACAGATGCTCCCCCCGAACTCAGGCCTCGACCTCTAGTTCGACAATCCCCCTAGGGGTTTCAACGTGCGAGTTTCATATTCAGCGCATGCTGCTGGTAGGTCCAAATTCCCTCAGGGGGCGGCTACCCGACCCAATGACATCGACTCTGAAGTATACTGGTTGCCTTGCGATGTCATGAGGGCTGGATGGACAGAACACCTCAGGGGCCTCAGCTGCTCCTGACTCGTGGGGGGATATCGACTGAGATCTGTTGTTATGGCACTCAGGTGATACTCCGCACTCTGAGAACTAGGTTGGGCTTCACTGGCTACGGGGCGAATGCACGGATTGGTTGATTTCGTGGATCTGCGGTCACTGCGGGTTACTGCTTTCGGCCATAACTACGGAGCACCTTCACAATAAGCCGATGGTTACTAAGGATGTTACTGAGTGGGCTGATACAGAACCAAGATATCTGTGGCTGTGATATGGACTAACGGGATGGAGAACATCAATCCTGATCTCGTGCCAACAGTGTTGCTGTAAAACTCAATCGGCATGGCCATACCCACTGTTCTCGGTCTTGTTATTGTTGGAAACACCGTATTGTCCAGTCTTCAACGCTCCACTGCGGGTCAAGGACTGTTCGAGGCCCTGGCCTGAGCAACAACTGGAAGATAGTGGATGAACGGCTATGTGTACCTGGGAGGATCTACCTCGTTGCGAATGGGAACCCAAGTGAAGATGGCAGATGGCAGATGCAGCAGGGCAGCGGAGAAGCACGGATCAGTGTTGATGGCTAGGACTACCCTAGTGCCCGGACCTTAGGAAAGGTTGGACATCTGCGAGACCGTCGGGTCATGCACCATGGCACCAAAACAACAAGCGGATGCAATCCATTCCAAAAACGGGAGGTTTTGTTGATGTCTCGCTGACCGCAGACCTGACGTTAGAAATAAGAATATCGATGCGCACAACAATGGGACGCCTAGTAAGGGCTTAAGCTCGCCTAATCTGCACTAATGCCGAGCCAACGAGCGCGAAGCCGAAGCTAAAGGGCTGCCAACTGTCGCCTGCGCCAAGCCTCCGTATAGGCAAATCACCAATCGTGATGATCCCCTACCTGCACACAAGCTCGGTCGGGACAATGGTCGGGTACTGACTGCGAGTCGCAGGCTCCATTGCGCCATCTCGCCTGAGTAGATCATTTCTGGTCTAGATTATTTGTGACCATGAGTGTACATTTACCCCACAGTGTGCAGAAGGTAACCTGTGATTTGGCCGATTTGACGATGGGCTCGCACAAACGACACCGATCAAAACCCTCAAAAAGGGATTGGGTGCTGCATATGTAGCCGTCAGGTCAAATGGTTTTTGGTCTCAATTTGTAGTCCGGACTATCTATCTGCTGATCCATTTTCTATCCTCGCTCACTGTTATGCCTTCGTGCTATTGGTCGGGAGCAATATCAAACTCGCGGTCAATGCCAGGCTACCCGCACTCGTCGTTTAGGGCAAACTTTACTGAGCATCATGGTGAATATACCGTCCTTGCAACTTACATCCTGCTATTTCATGACACCCAACACCTATACCCACCGGCTGTGGGTCTCAATGAGGAGAACCTGGCTCTCAAGAAGTGGAAATTGGCTCTGTCGGTGTGTGTCTGTACACATTCAGATCCAATGCCCAACTTCATATTGGTCCGATAAACAATACTGGAGTGGTGTGTATAAGCAGTTGCTTCGACTATCCCCTCTAGCCACGGCACCTCAAATCGGAAGTCAGGCACCCCCAGAGGCCTCGAATTTCAGCACCATCACTAAATCGGTGGGCCTTGCCTTGCCTTCTGGGCACAGTGTGGAGATAGACGCTGCCCGGCTCGCTGAACCATTCATGCCATGACTCAAGAAGTCATCAACATTCTGGCCTGGGCTTCGGCCGAGTATCTACCTATCGCGACCCTTTCAGTTGCGCCCCCAAGCCCCGCATCGAGGTCCTCCGGGTGTTTTCGGTTTCGCTGTGCGGCCCGGTGGGTGAGACATAATGAAGAATCCGCTCTCAGCTCGAGCCAGAACGTCGAGACGTCTTCGAGCTTGGCTGCTTTAGGACATTCTCCGTCCTCATGTGCATCTCTTGGGGCGGTTTTTTTGAACTCGTTGTCTATATCTGCTCTGTTGTCGAAGGTCCGAGCGCAGGAATCACTCTTTCGTGGCTGCCAGCAGACCAAGCTCACTCAGATATTGTTTGGGATGTGAATGATTTCGGCCATGCTCTGCTCTCACAACGGGTGCACTCTTTGCCCTCCTGCTTTGCTAGGAGTATCTTTCCTACCTTTTTCAAATTTGAGGGATTTATCTTCCATTTCAAATACAAACCTCTCAGACATTTTCATGTTTCCGTGGTCACTTACCTCACTGCAGGGTTATTTGCAATGATCAAAACTCGAGTAGTTCCAGTGACGGGCCCCTGAATAAGTGTCCGCTGCTTCAGACACGTTTTCGGACTCTCATCTACTATCTTCATAGGCATTTCAATCTAACAGATGACTACTGTTACCGAAAGAAATGCAATAGGTGCACAGGTCGAGCAAGATGGAACAGCAGAGCTGTCGAGAATAGACATCCCTCGGCTGTGTGTCTCCATCCCCTTCTTATGTTCACCTTACCGGACATCGACCCCAATACTCCTCTTTCACCCTATGTTTACATAACAAATGAAAAGCCTACCAACGAGTCAGCATTCTGTTGTAGCGCTTCCCCAATCCAACCTTTTATTTATTCTCAGGTGTACACATAGCCAGCAGCAGGGCTCTACAACATACCCAGACAACAAGCCAGCTTTCCAATAGTGCAGAAACAGGAAAGCACAAGTCATACGTCTGAGCAGAGGCTGGACACTACTTCCTATCTTAGTAAATTGAGTCCTGAGCTTCCATGACACAGACACATTGTCGTGGTCACATACATTGAGGAAAGTAGCCAAATGCGATTAGTAGATGGAATAAAAGAAATAGATTTCGTTCTAACTACCTGTCAAGGTGCTGCTGCTTTCTACACTTATTTTGTTCGTGAAACACAGCTATGACCTGCCTCCTGGTATTCTCGTTACTTAAGCTTGCCGGAAATACTATCAAGTTGACACCTCCTTGTGTGCTCTAGGGCTTCCACCTCTCTGCAACATGCATGCATGCACACATGTATAATTTTAGTAATTATGCAGGGATCATAGGACAACACATTCCGAACATTATTATTATTATTATTATTACTTATTATTATTATTCTTGTTATGTGTATTATCTTATGCTGTGCAAGTAAGCTGGATTATGAGGTAGTAGCTAGTTAGCGCGGTACGCGCACGATTCGTGACGAATTACTATATACTCAGTCAGAGTAGATAATAGATGCATGTGCTGTGTAGAGATAGGTCCGATATCAACGGATAAACAACCCAGCAAAAACAACATCCAAATAAAAGCCCATTAGGCAATCCACACCAACGCAAGCAAGGAAATAAGTAAGAGTGACATCACTCAACACCCATCTACATGGGTAAGGTAGTAGGCGAGAGTCCTTATTAGGTAGTATTATTATATATCAGCCACATCCGGGCAGTTCCGGAGCCCAAACTGCTTCTTTCACATAGATAAGTAGATAGATAGATAGATGGATGGATGTGTGGATGGAGCAACTGATCTTGTGAACGAGTTGAGGGATCACATCTCTGTTGAACTTGGTCTTGACGACGATGCAGCGCATGCATGCATGAACGGTATGCATTGCATATGCACGTGCAGGGTACGCGAGGAATCAGATCCCGCCAGGTGGTTCCAGAACGGACTTTTCCGATCCGAGTCATAAGCGTCGCGGTGATGGGATGGTCGCTGCCTTCTAATCCATAGGTAGTACTGGGGCGAGGGCCGGCTTCTGCAGGGGCAGCGAGGATCATCCGCGACCAACCCCCCGCCCCGGTCGAATATGCAGGGCAGGTGTTCTGGGTCAGGGTGGCGAGGTTGCGAGATCGACACATCGTATTCCTATATCTGTTCTGTACTGTACTGTACTGTGCTGTAGGAGATGATGCGCTGGAGGCGCAGGGCAACGAACCACAAACTATCAGGCACGGATGGTCTCGAACGCCGGTGGGTACGGTCCAGATGTCAAGCTGTTGTGCATGGCGCCTCTTGACCGAAAAAAGAAATAGACATCTTGCCATGGCTGCGTCGCGTCCGGACCCCTGTCGGTCTCGCTGGGTTGACCGATCGTTGTGGTTCTGTCTGAGTGTCTGAATGTGTCTCCTGATCGTCACTGCCAACGATTTTACTAACTTCGTAATCAGGTCTGCAATTGATAGGCTTATGCTGTATTGGTCCTTGCTAACTAGGTAGCTGGCTATTATATAATAAACAGCAGGGTATCAAACAGTGATACTGGATACTAAGCAAGCCCTGGGAATAAATATATACAGCTAGAAGTGGATAAGGGCATAGGTCGGCATGGGAACAGAAATAAGTAAAAAACAATAGAGAAAAAAAAGAAAGATTTCTATAGGGAGATTGGATAGTACTTTCCCACAATTCTGGCCCATCTTATCTACATGCCAATCATCCACTTCTCATCATATCATAACCTCAGGCGGGAGTCCGATCAGATCGACCGACTGACTGCATGCATCGTCTGATTTAATCTCACTGGGAGATGGAATTTTTCTAGTAGTTGATCCTGTACGGAGTAATACTAACCACTATAGGCTATTTTATCGGATCTCGTGTCAGAAATATACTATGTATGTATATACCATCTAACCATATGTAATTACTCGTCGGAATAAACACCAGGCCCAGACCCTGACATCGAACTCAAGGGGAGAAACGCCCTAGGTACAGTCTATTGACTGGTTCATACAAATATTTCCGATGACGTCAGGTCTAGATCCAGATCATCAAGCCAGCTCAAGAACTCCTGGCCAGAGAGGCCTATACCGAATGCTTCTGATGGAGCACCAATTCCAGATCCCAACACAGCAGAGTCAAGAACATTCTCCTGTCCAGCCGGAGTCGTAGCATTTTGATTAGTGTCCTGGGGTATGGAAGGACCGGGCTGATAATTCAGGGTGTCGTCTAGTAGCCGGCTTATCACTTTTGTCAGTTCCATGACGGGCTTGGCTGTGGTCGAGGGTGACATTTCCGAAGTCTGCAGCCATGAGATGAGGACGCTCAAGGTGCGAATTACTTCCGACCGAGAGACGGCTGATGGGAGAGGTTTGCTGGCTTGGGTATGGCTGTGCAGTTCCGTGACAAGAACGCCGGCGGCCGGGATGCCGTAACCTAACAACTGGGAGAAGTGTGAATACAATTATCCTCGGCGGGGGAACTTGATAGGAACGTACGATCCATGGGAACTGTTTCCGAATCGCCAGTATTTCGTTTTGTCTGGTCAGATCCATGAAGACTGACAGAACCTGAAGGCAGGTATCCAGCAAGTCACCAGTGGCTTCATGGTTGCTCTCCCGACATCGGATTCGATGAAACTGCAAGATACTAAACAGATATTCGAAGTGTATAATTGATCGGGCCAGGCATTCGATTGCATCCAGGCTCTTCCAACAGGTCGGGATGTAGCGGAAGCGGGCAGGGATCCGGTCAGCGATCTCTTGACATAAATTGTATGTTTTTCTGTCTTCGTCAGATTTATAGTCCTTTCAAGAATTCTGTAGGAAAAGAGGGATGTTACAGAAGACGGCCACTGTGATCACTACCCGCTTTACATCCCAGAGAGAGCTCGAGAACCTGCTCTCTGAGGGTAGATAGAATATGACGGATCCGGATGACCGTCGCGGGGAGGAGCTTGCCCTCAATGTTCCAGCCATCATCATCCAGACCCTCTAGGACAGAGTGAAGCGAGGGAGCGTTTAACAAGAGGTCATCATCCGCAATGTCTAACGGGAGCGTTGCATTGCAATAGGAATGTGGCAGGCGAGGGGGTCGGCCGAAAAGCGTGGCGAGGTTTTTGTCCGCCCGATGACTGACTGACAGCATCCGTTTTCTTGTTTCGGCCAGGAAAAGGGGCATATCTTCCAAAGGCGGATGATGGAGACCCATGGCGTATATATCCGACACCAGGTCCCCGAATTGGCTATACGCTCTTTCACCTTGTTCGGCTACCAGTCAGCGCATCGATACTTATTTATGCATTGTCCAGGAAGAAGGGGGTTTGATACGAACTAGTTTCGCCCAACACCTCCGTGCACATTACTACGTGCAAATATCGCATCCAAATCCCCAAATCATTGACTTGTCCGCGATGCTTACAGATCTCAATGCATGCATTACTCGCGAGAACCATTTCCTTGGTAAATGTCTCTACGTCCATCTCGCCAATACCTAGGTCGAGCACGTCTTGACTGCGGTACCGACCCATGACACTTACTCCTGCCATTGTGAAGACGAATCCCAGAAGCTCCCACCGGAGATTTGGGCCGGTGGTAAGCGCGTAGAAGTCCTGCGCCGAGAGGGTACCCGATATTTTCAGAGGCAATGCGGTTGCAGCCGTGATATCTTCGTACAATGATTTCCAATTCCGGGCAACATCCCACGGGTTACTTTCTATATACTCCCGTGCTCGGGACAGGGAGTCCAGCACGAGCGGTGCGGGGATAATCGTGAAACGGCCTTTCTGGTAATACCATGATATCTGGTCGTGGTAAAAGGGAATGGCCGAGGCTAGATAAACCAGTCGCGCCGATGCGTACGCCTGGTCGGTGCGCCAGTGCTCGAATTCATCATGGAGAAACCGATTGGAATCTTTGGACACACCCAGCGGAGCGTGCCGAAAGACTGACAGATAGCTCGAGGGCCCTAGAAACTGGGAATGGTCTGAGACGGGATTGGGAATAGGGGCTTGCGTTGCCGGCCGAGGCGTTCCCTCTTTGGGGGCTCGTCGCTGTGGGCGTACGCCCTGAGGCTTTCCCTTCGTCAAAGGTGCGGGGTGGTAGAAGCACTAATGGTACGAGTTAGGTCTGAGAGGTGGAGGTCAGCCAAGGATAGCACATGCCTGGCTTACATTGCCTCGAGACTGGCAACGTCGGCACACCGGAGTAGTATGGTCACACCGGACTTTGGAGACGCGACATGGCTCGCAAGAGGTGGGCTTTCCGTTCCGCCGAATCATGGGGATGAGGAATGGTGGACATTGAAGACATCGGCAAGTGAATTGAAGGAGACAGATCAAAGACGGGGAAAGACAGAAGCAGGCTGAAGCGTCGAAGAAGCAGCGGGTTTATTCCGATTCGAGCCCCCGCAGTCTATTCCGAAGTGCACGTGGGGTTCGGAATGACATCGACGATGGCGCTAGATTAGTACATAATTGGTAGTATCTGCCGTCTTCAAGCCCTGCCTCTACAAGATTCAGTAGATATGATCATTTGTATAACTAACTATATGATATCATTTGTCAGCAGTTCTGTTAACTATTGATAAAAGCACGACTGCAACCACATCGCAGTCAGACCAGCATGGGATGGAAACAAAAAGCATTCGGAATCATTAGACAAGGTAATTGTTCTTTTCTATTAGTACCAAGACAGATACCAGTCCATACTGGACAACTACTGCTGATATACGCGTTGGCCCGTTAGATCTTCATGCTGGAGCCCCAACCTTATTGGTTTCCACCGAGTTGCGCCACAGCCCGGCCCATCTCCTCATCATTGTAGATACGGAATCCCTTCTCCTTAGTGACACTGGCGAGCTGGACGTTCTTGGCGTCTAGCTTCTCCTCCATAACCTGTTTCAGCGTCTTCAGCACCAACGTCTCCGCCTCAGGCAGCGTCAGGGAGCGATGGTATTCATTCTGCAACTCGGCCTGCGCACCCTCGCTTCCAGACCCGATGGCCTTCGCATCGTATCGGTAGAACGTTCCGGAGGGCTCGGCGTGATATCTGGAAACGCACAAGCTCGATTAGTACAGACTCCCCGTAACCACAACCGGAGCACAGAATCCAACATACAGTTGCGGGCCATCCTCATCAAACCCAGCGAGCAGCAGGGCGACACCAAAAGGCCGACTCATCACACTTTCCTCGTCATCTCCCGTCTCTCCGAACCGCAGGGCCAGGTCACAGATGGCCTGGGTGCAGCTCTCGACTCGCAGCGGCTCGGCGTAGTGGAAGGCATGGTTCTGACATTCGACCCGGGCGTGCTCAACCAGGGACCGGGCATCTGCCTGCAGACCGGACATGGCGCAGCCGATGTGTTGGTCGATCTCGACGATCTTCTCGACGGAGGAGGCCTCGAGGAGGCTGGAAGTGACACGCTTCTCGACACCGAGGATGACACCTTCCGAGGTTGCGACCTGCGGGGAAGAGGGTTAGTTGTTTTATTGGCGACTGATATGTAGCCGATGGGGTTGAAGCCTCCGGAGAAAAGGATCTGGGGTTGTAGACGACTGGCGGGGAGGGGGAGATGGATGGACGTACACCGATCGCTGTCGAGCCCAGTTTGATCGCTTCAAGAGAGTATTCGACCTGGAATAGACGCCCCTCCGGAGAGAAGGTGCTGTGGGTGCATGGTTAGAGGCCGGGCGGGTAACTTCGTCAGAAACAGAGAGAGCAGAAGAGGTCGTACTTGATTCCACGGTCTATCGAAGAAAGCGTTAGATGACGATGACCGCATCAGAGGGGAGGTCAGGCGGAGCTTACCGTATTCGGATCGGGCGATGAACATCTTGGAGTTCTGTGAGGGGGGTTAGGGGAACGGGAGAGATACAAGGAAGACAAGAAAGTAGGGAGGATGACAGGGAGAATGGGGGGAGGGATAGATGGAGGGAGGAGGCGGAGGAGGCAGCTGGTGCTGGAAGCTCGGGCGAAGCTGTCGCGGTCTACGCAAGTCCGGCGAGTGCCTGGCGGAGAGGCGCTCGCGGCCTCAGGCTGCCGTCAGGCATCGACGCCGGGCGACTGTTTGCCTTGCTCGAACCCAAACTACGTACGGCGTCGGGACGTGTAGCCCGTGCGCCTGCAATCATTCATTCATTCAGTCATTCAATCAATCAGTCAGTCAGTCACTTGCTACTGTCCGAGTCGAAACAAACCACCCTGTTCACCACCCAATGGTGATCTCGGCACAGGCTGCATGATCGTCCCTCCCTTCCTGACCTTGCGGGACCATGTCCGTCAATGACCGTCGCGCCAGCTACATGAGCGCTCCGAGACCCCGCGTTGCGTCCAACCGCGTCGGCGACGCTGAAAAGGCCGCTCTGCGCAGCGCCGCGTCCCCCTTGCAATCGGAGAGCATGGACCATCGCGGAAGCACCTCCAGCCAGAGAACCAGAGCCTCGGGCGACAAGCGAGCCGAACGAATGGCGCTCCAAACGAGAGAGAGGTCCCAAGTCCGGACCAGAAACCCGGTCAAGGAATCGTCCAGTGCAGGGAACCGAGGAGAAATGATGCTGGAGAGGTCCCGGTCGAAGCGAGGGAGTCAGCCAGAGGCGGCGAGTCCCAATGCCCGGAAGAAGGAGAAGCAGCCGGCGGAGAGTGAGTCTTCCAAGTCCCCCAAGCTGGAACCTGGAAGTGAGTGGGATCGTTCGAGATGCTGACTGCAGTGTTCCTCAGCTCCATGGAGCCCACAGGCCTCGTTAATGCCCCATTCAACGGCGCCGCTGGCGAGTCGAGTGTCAGTTCCTCCCTTGGCCTCCACGTTACCGCAGTATCTTCAACCAATTCCACTCCGCGAGCTTGCGGCCGACGCGCAGGAGAAGGCGGTCTTGGAGGATCTGTTATACGTTTTCATGGGCTTTGAGGGCCAGTACATCCACTACCGCGGCTCATACGATCCGTCCTCAGAGAAGGACCGGTTGACCGGTCCCGAGTTCCAGCTGCCAACAGGAATTGACCCGACTTTGAAGGATCTCACGCAATCGACATTGAGGATAGCGACCCATTACAGCGCGTTAGAGGCATTCGTGGAGGTACAAAGTCGCGCGGAGTACGGGGCGGTTAGCCATTCGCTATGCGCTACGATCCGGAAATTGCTCAAGGAGTATCTAGTCCTGGTTGCTCAGCTCGAGAATGAGCTGCTCAACAACCCGACCTTCACGCTGCACCTCCTTCACTTGCACACTATGCCGACCAGCCAATGTCTGGCTCAGCTATACTCCCTAGGCCAGGAGCTGCTCCGGCGGAATGGGCTGTTGGACCAGGATCTCGACGAGTCGATCGATGATTTTGACGACGTGGATAACATTCTCGAGCAGCTCAAGGAGGGTGGAGACCTGGTGCCGGGCGCCATGTCCAGCAAGAAGATCTGCAAAGGAGGCAATGTGCTGCGGCTGCTGACCGAGCGATTGGCGACCTTTTCGGGTGATCCGACGACGAAGGCTCTTCTAGAACGACTACTCCGGGATGCCAGTCGGCCCTATATGACGATGCTCAACGAATGGCTGCATCATGGTGGCATCAAGGACCCACACGGGGAATTTCTTGTCAAGGAACAAAAGTGGATCAAGCGGGAGAAGCTTGAGGAGGACTACACGGACGAGTACTGGGAGAAGCGATACACGATCCGCGACAACGAGATTCCGCCACAGCTTGAAAGCGTGAAGGACAAAGTTCTTCTAGCTGGAAAATACCTGAATGTGGTGCGAGAGTGCGGTGGTGTCGACGTTAGCAAAGCAGTCAAGGATGTGCCCAAGACCCTGGACGACCCGCGATTCTTGGACAACGTCAATGCCGCCTACACATACGCAAACGCGTCGCTGCTCAACCTCCTCTTGACCAAGAACTCGCTCACTACCCGCTTCCGCTCCCTGAAACACTACTTCTTCCTGGATCGCTCCGACTTCTTCTCCTACTTCCTCGAACTCGGAGCGTCCGAGCTCCGCAAGCCCGCCAAGAACGTCAACGAAAGCAAGCTCCAGTCGCTTCTCGACCTGGTACTACGCCAACCAGGCAGTATTGCAGCCCAGGACCCCTTCAAAGAAGACGTCAAGGTGCGGATGAACAAGATCGGCCTCACAAAATGGCTGATGCAGGTTGTGAGCGTTTCCGGCATCGATCAAGACCATCCGGAGGCGGCAATCGAGCGATACCAGGCACCGTCCCAGGGGGTAGAAGACGATAAAGACATCGTCGGGTTTGACGCGCTGGAGCTGGACTATTCCGTCCCCTTCCCATTGTCCCTCGTCATCAGTCGGAAGACGGTCCTTCGGTACCAGCTGATCTTTCGACACATCCTGTCGCTCCGCCACCTCGAGACCATGCTCGTCACCTCGTGGCTGGACCAGAGCAAGGTCGTCGCGTGGCGACACAAGTCCTCCGACCGGCGGTTGGAACTGTGGAAGCGGCGCGCATGGAACCTGCGCTCGAAGATGCTGGTGTTTGTCCAGCAGCTCCTCTACTTCTGCACGGCAGAGGTCGTGGAGCCCAACTGGCAGAGCCTGATGGACCGGGTGAACGGGACCGACGCAGACGGGTCTGAGGTGACCGTCAACGGCACGAAGCAAGTCAACCGCACCGTAGACCAGCTCATGCAGGACCACGTGGACTTCTTAGATACCTGTCTGAAGGAATGCATGCTCACGCAGGCCAAGCTTCTCAAGGTATGTTTGCAATCCCCTCCGTGGCAGTCAATTCACGCTAACAGCTCCCCAGATCCACCACCGCCTCATGACCTGCTGCACCATGTTTTCCTCCTGGGCCACCTCGTCGCTTGCCCGCGCCCTCGCCTCTGCCGACCCCGATCTAGCCGGAAACAAGGCCGCCGGCTCGGACGGACGGGGATACGATCCATCCCGAATCGACAAACTCGAGGAGACGCTGAAGCGATGCGAGGAGCATTTCAACCGCCATCTACGGATTCTGATGGACAGGTAAGACCATGCCCATGGCATTCAATTGAAACAGTAGTAATTAACATTGCCGTCCAGCCTGAACTACTATGCCGCTACAGAGAGCGTCGTGCTTCTGAAGCTTGCGCACGCCTTGAGCGCGATCAGCAAAGAGGACTGAGCGCGAGTGGGAGCTATAACCCTTTTATCCTCATCCGAGGGATTGTATCTTCCCTGCGGGTCTTTAGTCCCCTATCCCATCCGGGTCAGCCTATAGAATGGATGGGCACTCCCACATCTCCATAGAGATCCCGACCAGGAGGCCATGTAGGGCTGCGGCTTGCGCAGACCGGCAGCAAGGGAGATAGATGGCTGCGCTGCCCACGATGCTCCAATCCCAAACCATCCATCCGGCAACACTCCTCTTCGCACCCGTCTCTATCCATTTCTTCCCACATTTCTTTTTCTTCTCTCTGATTATTATATTCCATCGGTTAGCACAGGCGGGACGGAGTATCGGCAGCGGGCAGACGGGCAGACGGGCAGGCAGGACAGTATAGGACAAAGGCGATGACGACGAGCGATGGACAGGACATGTTTAGTTATGTCTTCTGGTGATTGATGATTTGGAAATACCCCCGGAGTGAACACCATGCATGACTCTTATCAAAATACTACTGTTTTACCTACCTATCTATCTATCTATAAGTAAATCTCTAAGTAGTTCTCCCAACTCACATATCAACTAAATAGCCATCCATCCATCCATCCATCCATCCATCCATCCATCCATACACCCACCTATTACTTAGCATTGTCTAAGTAGTAAATACCAAGTCGAACACGACCTTCCAAAAGGTATACTGTAACCCCAGCCCAGCGGAACCCCCGGAACCCCCATCGGACGAACCCGCCGACCGCCCCATCACTCACCCCTGCCACTCCGTCCGTCGCAAGGTCTGCCCGAACGGTCTCTAGAGCGCTGGACAATCCATGGAACCAGCAACAACAACAACCACCCATGCATTCTCATCTCCAAGCGCTATCTATGCATGCACGCATCAGCTGAGCTCGGGCTCTAGTATTTTCTCGTATTCGCCTGCTTATTCATTGTGGCGGCGTTACTAGCTGGCTGTCACTTGTCACCGCTCGCTGCATGCAACGAGAGTGAGTGAGTGAGTGAGTGAGCGAGGTATTTAAACCCGGCGTGTTCCCCTTCCCCCCGTCATCAATCAATCAGCCTTTCCATGGTTTCTCGGTCTCCATCCTATTCTACTCCGTACACTCACTCTATCATCATCATCTTCTCATAATTATTGACAAGAACAACAAATTCAATCTGTAATTACTAATAGTAATTCACTTCATCCCCTTTTCCCCCCATCTCCAAAACATCACTATTATCACCACCACCACCACCACCACCACTACTACTACTATTACTACTACTACTACCACTACCACCACCCACCCACCCACCCAACCAAAAAACGAAAGAAAGACAAAATGCCATCCTGGCCAACCCTCCCCACCCAATGGCCACAACAATGGCCACAGTTCCGATCCTGGCCCCGATCCTGGTCTTTATCCAACCTCCAACCTCACCTCACGTTCGCAACGCTAACACTCACCACAACCCTGACCATCCTCCTCCCGCTCGCCTACCGGAACTACAAAACCTACCTGTCGTACGGCCCCGGCGGCGCCCCCTACAACCTGATCGGCTGGTTCGGGGTGACATTCCTGCTGTTGCCGTTCGGGAGCCGCAATATGACGAGTACCGCCGTGTACGAGAAGAAGATCGAGGCGGGGGAAACGGAGTCGTATCTTTCCGAGACGACGGTACGTCTGCTGGGTGAGAAGAAGAGGGGGAGGCCGACGGTGGGACCGCATTATGTGCCGCAGAGGCAGATAGATACGTTTGCGGGGGAGGAGGTGAAGAAGGTGTGTATTTCCATCTATCTCTCTATCTGTTATTATCTCCATTCTACGGGTTTTTCTTAGCATCTGTCTTTGGGATGTCAGAGGCGAGTTTAATATGCTAATGTGGCTGTGCAGCGCCTCGATGCTGAATTCTACGCCCTGGTAGAAAGGAACTCCCAGCTAGTGAAACTGGCAGACTCGAGGCTAGAACGCCATGCGAACGCGATTTTCCTTGCAGACGGGGTGGTGGGCAATGACGCAGCCGGCCGGATGAAGGGCGAGTGTGCGCATATTCACCGCCTGAAGGATTATTCGCTGCATGTGGTGCTGGCGCCGGCGGATTGTACGTCTCGCGTGCTTTCTATTTTTTTTTTTTTTGGGCTCCTGGTGGAGAAACTGACAGCATGAACAGGTAAAAGGGTATTTGATGCGGGCTGGGCGCAACGACATGGTTTCAGTGGCATCAAGATTCCAACGACCTTGACGGGCGGGCAAGAGCTCGATTTGCCAGCTGAGTATGTCTTTCTCTATGCTCCCAGGACGGAGGAGGAAGTGGCATTGGTCATGGGCGTTGTCACGGCTGGTTTGCGATACCTGACTGGCCAGGAAGTGCGCTAGATGGGTTGGTGCCCAGCAGGATCGGACCGTTGAACGTAAGAGTGGCATGGCACGGCTCAATCATGCAGAATTGTTTAGGAGACAAACGATAATTAAAAAAAAAAGCTCCCCTCAATCAATCCGTACTCATTTCCCGCATATGGGCGCACAGACGGAAGTGGAGTGGCAGACAATAGCCTTTGGTATGCAGAATGACCAGCCGAGCAGCACGGCAGCTAGCGCTGAATGTCACCAAGGAGCCAGCGTCCGCAATACACCGTGCCCTCGTATTCATTGCTTCGCCCTCCAGGTGTTGTCCAGCCTGTCCAGGCTATCCACGCAGTGGGCACTGCCCCGGCACTAGCGGGCCTAACCGCCCGTAGGCCCCGACGGCAGGCCTCCCTCTTCCCGAAGCTGAACCATGGTTCTGGGTTTGGCCTGCGCGCCCTGTGCTCATACCTTCCATGTCAGACCCGGGGGCTTGGATGCTCTAATCCCAGGCGCGTCTGACGCCCTTGACTTGCATGACGACCTGGCCGCATGCATGGCCCATGGGTTACGTTCGGAGGGAAACGACAGCAGATCAATGCCGGCTCTTGGCGCAAACCCAGCGAGGCGGACGGGAGGGTCGTCGTAGTCGTCTTTCCCCATCAAAGCCCCCAGCGACTCCGCGGACTGCAAACACTGTGTTTCAAGTGTGACCTCGGCGGAGCCCGACCGCTCATCACCGCAGCTCCTCTGCTCGACGCAAGGCCAAGATGACAAGGCGCATCGTCACCACCAACTCAATTGTCCGGGGCAAGCCAGCCTTGGGGATCGAGACTGATACTGCGACGTGGGTAGCCGGTCTTTTCACAGACAGACTCAGTACGTCTCAACTCCCAAGACTCCGCGTCTGTCTAGGCCCCGATCATCTGTCATCAATGTAGACTTCCGACCAATGATCCCTCGCCCCAGTAGATGCCATTGGCCTGTCCTTCAGGGGCGGTCGCATGCCGGAAGCCTTGCCAATCTTGTCTGGGAATGGCCCATCTCCAGGGGTTTTTAGCATCGTTTGTTTGGACCTTGGAGTCCTTAGACTGCTGCGCGATTCCCAAAGGGGCGGTGAAGGTGTGGATTTAAATGGAGCGACATAGCAAGAAGGGCGCGAAAAAATCCTTTCGCAAAATTGTACGGGCCACCGGGGGAATTTAGTCGCCCCCGACATGTTTTTAGTGACGGTTACAACCATTCACTGAGCGACCCCACTCGATGTGAGCGTCGATGCCGTCATATATTACGTCCTTAAAGCCCATCTGATGGGCATTGGATGCGGTCGTCAGTATGGGCTGTGGCTTCCCAGCCAGATGACAACGGGATGAAGTGGGATTCCCGACGGCTGTACGCTTCAATGCCCCAAAAGAGACCTGGATCTCCCAAGCACGACAATGTAACTGCTGGCCCTAACCTTGAGAATGGCACTGGCCCCTTAGTGGATCTGAATTTTTTTTTTCTTCTCTCAGTTTCTGCCCCTCCTGACACCCTTTCTTTATCCGGTCTCTGCGGGCATACATGGTAACCCGTGATGTGATCTTCGTTCGCTGTTATCGGCTTGACCGTGTAGCTTGTCTGGATTGGTTCTCGGGCATGGTTCTTTGCACATAGTCCTGGCATAGTATTGTCTTACATGGCGCCAGATTAGCCGAAAGACATCCTTGCCGTTGGCTCGCTCGTCCTTGCCTTGTCAAGTCCATTGTGTGGCTATTCAATGTCCCTAGCCTATGGCTTAGAATGTGAACCTATTGGCTTGGCCCATCACACAGAGTTTCCTGGACTCCGAGCAGACACCCAGCGAGCCTGGCACTAACGGCAAGCTTTCTGCGCCCAGGTCAACGCGAGGAAGCCAGCGTGAATCCTTCGCTCCCAATAATCAAAGGGGGAGCCAAAGGAAAACCGAAGCAGAGCCATTGTGCAACCATGCCTGTCGTACTTGTCGGCCGAGGCTGGGAACAGGCGCAAAAAGCCTTCCCGACTGCCCATATGCCTGATTTTGTCGGCATCGGTGCCCCTCCGGAAGGCACAGCCAGCCCCTCCTTCCCCCGAGGCTTAGATGTAATGTTTCCGGTACCCAAGTAGGTAATCTTTGTAGACCGAAGCCGGATTATCAATCCTCAATCGGGTTTATCTGGCCGGAAGTGTGTTTCAGGGCTGCCCTGCCAATGACATTTGTCTTTGTCCTCTCTGAACCAAGCCATGCGCCTGGTCCTGGGCTGAGCGGATTTTCCCTAGACCCGTCCTTCCGCATGGGTCTCCCCCAGTTCATCCAGGGAGGGTAGGATACACAAATTCGTGTGTGCCCCTTCTAGCCCTCGAATTTCCAGCGTCTCATCAGCCACTTTTAAGACAGCCTCTAAGCACGCGTTCTTCAGTATTCATCATTCACGATTCACAGAAGACCTTTGCAAACGACTCTCTTTTGCCCAGCCCCCTAACACGATCCACCTCACCCAGTGATACAATACACAGAAGCCAGGGCAATAATGACGTATTCAGCCTGATGCCACAACCTGTGCATGTTGCAAGTGAATACTGACTTTTCTTGGTCAATAAGGAGCCCTGACTCGCAAACGGAAGAACTGGACGCCAGGTATCTCCACACAGTACCAGTTCATGGCCGCGAGTATCAAAAATACTCGATCGAGAAGAAGATCTGTTTCCAGCCGGTTGACGATGTACGTCCCGGAAAACCTTTGTAACGGGGTCGTGACTGATACCCCTTGCCACTAGGACGAAGCGGAGAGGCTTGAACTCCAACATGAGTTCTTTAATGGAGTCTTCGATAGCCGGCTGATATTTCCGCCTATTCCTAATCCTCGACAGATTCTTGATTGCGGTCATGGCGCTGGATCTTGGGCTGTCGAGGTGGCAGAAGGATATCCACGTTGCGAGGTCGGGTCCCGAACAGGTTCATTGCCCTCCGAGTGGCTAACAGTCAATATCGAAAAGGTGATCGGTGTTGATATATCTCCCCATATGAATCCAGAATATGTACCGGGGAATTTGTGGCTTCAAGTAAGGTTCCCCCTCTCTTTTATTAAAGAGCCGTGTCCTGGTTGAAGTGGTAGCCCAAGCCTCCTGGCTAATCTGGACACTTACTCTTGTCAAATCAACTTGGAATTACCCGAGGTTGCTGACATGCCAGTTGGTAGGTCGACGATCTAAATCGCACCTTCACCTTTCCCCCTAATCACTTCGACCTAGTTCACTCGAGGATGCTTGCAACAGGCATCGATGGATCCCGATGGCCATCGTACATTGAAGACATCAGAAGGTTGGGTTTCTGAATGGCAGGACAGGGGGCCTGGGCAATAAGCATCACCATAGGCTGACTTTGAGGTGGCACAGGGTGCTGAGGCCAGGCGGCTGGGTACAATTGGTCGAAATGTACTTCAACGCCCAATCGGACAATGGGTCACTCACCGAGAATCATGCGCTGAGACAGTGGAGCACAAAATTCATGCGTTCTATGCAGGATGTCAAGGATCTCCGCGTGGGTACACATTTGAGAAACCTTCTGATGGCGGCCGGGATGGAGGAAGTCGATACAAAGATGATTCCCCTCCCCCTCTGTGAATGGCCCAACGGTAGAACCTACAAGCCGGTCCTGAAATAACAAACCGCTGACGATAAACCAGAACAGAGGATGCGAGAGATAGGCGCGGCTAACCGCGAGAGCGTCAGACAACTGCTTCCTGCCTTGTCACTCTACCCCCTGACCCAACGCCTGCGCATGCCGCATGAGGAGTTTCAACAGCTGATAGCCCGTGCAGAAGAAGAGGCAGGCAACCCGAGCTTGAAAGCATATTTCCCTTTGTAAGTGATCCAGTGTTAGGATTCAACCAGTTGCTGACGACTCAGGTACGTTTGCATTGGTCGGAAGCCGTTGTAGAAGGGCATTGGTTATGGTAGTGGTCTTGCGGTAGCGCTGCTTCATGACAGATATCATACACGCCACAAGATCGAACAAACAGGGGATTCTGGACCAGATTGACTGCGGTGAGGGATGCGGATGCCTGGAGATTAGACTAACTTTCACACTAGAGTTTGGAGTCAGTTAGATGGCAGTCAGTCCAAGAGACGCATTGCAATTTATTGTTTCCCGCAAGTGGCAGCTGCTCGAACGAACTCTAAGTCCTGTCTCGCATATGCTCACAGTATATTGTTCATGATCTTTTCACAGGCCTGTAGCAACAAGGACGCGTCTTCCTCAATACTGTTGTCCATAGTATCACAATCCCCAACCCAATTTGACAGCTTCAGCGTGCGGGGCTGCATGTCTGTGCCCGACTTTATAGCCCCGGTGATGTCAAGTATCTCTGCTGGGATGGGTGTTGATGTATACTGAGGCGATTTTCACAGGTTCATCCACAAATGAATTTCGAGTTGCAGGCTTCCACCAAGCACACGAGGGGCCCCGGAAGTGCGGGAGAGCCCTCTCCAGGTTGATGGAGAGTTGCACGAGGGTGGGTTAATGAAAGATAAAGCAATGTCATCGCCGGATCATGCTGACCATTCACCAGGATACCACTCGTTCGGAAAAGACAGCCCTCCAGGAAGAGGAAACTACCTGTGGCAGGTAGAGTCGTTCAACGACCTCGGCCCCTCGAGCGATTGGAGGGGAGGTTTAACGAGTCATGATGGGAAGCAAGGGTCGATGATCCCATGTGGTAAGAACTGCCGAGGGTCAAGAGGCCGTGGCTGAGGCGAATACGATAAAGCCTTCGCGGGGAAGGAGTACGAGGAGAGGAAGCAGGAAGGGAGAGAAGTAGAGGGAGAATGGGAAGGGGAAGAAGGGAAAGAGAAAGAGCGTTTCGGGAACGGGACCAGAACCACGGGACTGACAGCCTGACTCGAGCAACAACAACCAGCAAAAACCTCCCCGAGATAAGCCTACTTTCAGCATCTCTCTTCTTCCTCTTCCGGCCCCAGCAACCTGGGCTGGGAACAACGCTTTGTCGGATCTCCTTCTACATGAGGGTATCACGATCGAAACCCCCATGAATGGCCGTCCGGTGCTCCTCTTATGGGTGCGGTGTGGATCCAATTGCACTCACTCATCTCAACCGTACCGGGGGCTCCTACACGGTGAACCCTCGGCATGCTCAGCTTGGATTCTAGCAGGACTACGCCTACGGTCTACTAGGCATTGCACCAGGCAATGGAGGTGCCACCTTGGGTTGTTACTACTCCGAGGACGAGCGAATGGATCCTCGCATGGGTGTTCCCACTTCCCGCATCGTTCATGGCTCCAGGCAGTGCATCCACCCTGAAGCGATTCGCCGCGTCGAGCCCCTCTGCGTCTGGACCGACTAGATAAATTGCGGCGCTGCCAGTTGGAGCTAAGGGGATGGATAATCACACCATCCCAATTCCTTGTGCCCAAAGTCCAGTGGCTGGGACGTGCGGCGTACTCCAGGAGCACGGCAGGACCCGATGAATGTGTCTTTTCGGACAATTCGGAGAGGGCCTCATCTCCGGTTGACATCCTGCATGCACCGTCTCGATGCTAGAGATTGCTCGCAGCTTCATCCCTGACCTTGGGTGACTTGGGCCGCCTTGACAATTTAGATATACTATGGGGCGAGATCTAGATGGGCTGGGGCTAAGCTTCTTTTTGCGCCTCGAATGAAATTGCACCTGGGATTGCAATTTCGACCTCACATTCCAACTGTGCCATCTTTCCCGATAGTAAAATGAGAATGACGCGTTCTGGCAACCTACTGTACTGGGTTGCCATTCCTTCGAGCATGCTGGTCCCTCGTCCTCGACGCAATGGGTCCAGAGTCCAGACAGGTCGTGTCGAGAGTAGTCACCCGTAAGAGCCTCCCTCCATCCCCAGACGCTTCGATCACCAACGACGTGGCGCTTGGGCGCTTACGGCGGGAATCCCCGAATGCCTTGGGGCCTTATTTATGCCTGACTCCACAGGCATCAACGTCCCTCCCGATCGGGTAAGCACCCGCGGGGACTGAAAAAAGTTGGCCGCCATTCGACCATCTCCAACTCTCCTCGAGCACAGTTGCAGATCAATCATCACAACACCCCCCCTCCCCTGCACTCACCATGCCTTCCACATACAACAGGGAAAAGGCGTGGGATACGGAAGACATCGATAAATGGAAGGTTTGTAGCCACGCTGTCCAGGAAACTTCCAGCACATATCAGATGAGAACGAAACCGATCTAACCTGCAAATTTGCGACTAGATCGATGCCTTCAACGCCGAGGACAATGTCGCCGGTAGTTTCGCAGAGGAGTCCTCCTTCGCGACACTCTTCCCCAAGTACCGAGAAGTCTACCTGAAAGAGGCATGGCCCCTCGTCACCAGATCGCTCGAGAAGTTCGGAATCGCCTGCACCCTGGATTTGGTCGAGGGTAGCATGACGGTCAAGACGACCCGGAAGACGTTCGATCCGGCTGCAATTCTCAAGGCCCGTGATCTGATCAAGCTGCTGTCGAGAAGTGTGCCCGTGCAACAGGTAGGAAACCCTGCATCTGCCCAAATTCCCGGTTAACCCCTCCCCGACTAACATACTTTGCCCCCCTCCCCCTCCAGGCCTTGAAAATCCTCGAAGACGACGTTGCATGCGACATCATCAAGATCCGCAACCAAGTGCGCAACAAAGAGCGATTCGTCAAGCGTCGCCAACGTATTCTCGGTCCGAACGGTTCCACTCTCAAAGCGCTCGAGCTTCTCACCAGCACCTACATCCTGGTCCAGGGTAACACGGTGGCGACCATGGGACCCTTCAAGGGTTTGAAGGAGGTCCGCCGCATCATCGACGACTGCATGGCCAACATCCACCCAATCTACCACATCAAGGAGCTGATGATCAAGCGCGAGCTGGCTAAGGACCCGACTCTGGCCAACGAATCCTGGGACCGGTTCCTGCCCAACTTTAAGAAGCGCACTCTGTCCAAGCGTCGCGTGCCGTTCAAGGTCACCGACAAGGCCAAGAAGGTGTACACACCTTTCCCGCCCGCGCCCGAGAAGAGCAAGGTCGATCTGCAGATCGAGTCCGGCGAATACTTCCTGTCCAAGGAGGCCAAGGACCGCGCGCAGAAGGAGGAGGTCATGGAGAAGCAGCGCGTCAAGCGCGAGGAGAAGATGAAGGAGCGCGAGAAGGCCTTCGTCCCACCCGAGGAGGTCGACGCCGCGGAGAAGTCCAAGAAGGGGAAGAAGGAGAAGAAAGAGAAGAAGAAGCGGAAGCGCGACTCCGAGGCCGCCGAGATCGATGTCGATGCCTCCGAGCGGAAAGAAAAGAAGAAGAAGAAGAAATCCAAGTCGAAAGAGGACGCATCGGACTCAGACGCCTGATCCGTCGTCTTTCCCCCTTGTTTTCTTTTTCTTTTTTTTTTTTTCTCTCTTGTGTGCTCCTTCCGGATTACCCTTCGTGTGTAGTACTTTCGAGATAAGGCGCTTAGGCATAGCATGGGCTGGAGTTTCTTCTCTTCTTTTTATTTTTCTCTTGTCGTCCATCCCTTCTCTGTCTTTGTGGGGAAGGAGAAAAAAAGCCTATATATCGTGGTCATGTATACTTATTGCGGAAGAGCTGTGTTGCTGCTTTGCTACCAGACTCCTTTGATCTGAAATCCAATATGAATGTCTTGCACTTTTACTCTTTGTAACTGCACCTGGTATGCTCAGACGAAATGACTTAGTTCGTGAATCATTATCCCCATCATCACCATCATTTCCCATGCCTCATACTTCATACTCATACTTCATACTTCATGCCTATGCCTATGCCTCATACCTCATATCTCATAACACCAGAAACATAAACAACCACCCACCCACTCGCCAAACAACCCCCTACACACTAATTACCAGTACCAACCCCATCACCCCCCTCCCCCTCTCCCTCCCCTCCCGCTCCTTCCAAAAAAGCCGCTTGCTCCCTCCGACTCTCCTTCAAATCCAAAAAGACAACCAAAAACGCAAAACTGGCTAGACTCAACGCGAACAGAAAATAAAACGGCATGGAACTGTTCTTGGAGGGCGAGGCATCGATAATAGCGCTGGAGACCAGGGGCCCGATGAACGAGGAGGTCTTGCCGATGATGCTGAAGAGACTGAAGAAGAGGAATTCGTGGCCGCGGGGAGTCACTTCCGAGATCATGATCTGGGAGTAGCTGTACCAGGGGCAGACGAAGAGGCCGTAGAAGAGTTGGTAGATCTGGGGATGTGTTAGCGTAAGGTTGGAGGGGGGGTTATATGTGTGGTTGGGGGAGGGGGGCTGCTTACCCAGACTTCCCAGAGGTGGTGGAATCCGAATTTCTGAGTCCAGATACCGATCATGCCCCAACCATCAAGCAGGATGATGGATACGGCGACGAGGTTGAACATGGTTTTGGTGCTGAGGTTAAAACGTTGCTGGGCGTACCAGAAGGCGTAGATGCCGATGGCCTGAAGGGCGTGTGGTTGGTGATGTGATCTTCTAGGGAGGATAGAGAGTTGTCTTACCTGGGCTGCGATACCGACCAGAAGTAGATATGTGAGTTGAAGTGTGTTGTAAGATACAATGCTGTTTTGGAGGGTAGAAATGACAGTCACTGTCGTGTTGAGGGAGTCGCCGAGGAGAAAGTATCCTGTGTGCTTGTCAATTGAAAGGTGACCGGTAGAAAAGTAAGTATGGTGATAGATGCCATACCAACAAGATAGTATAAGCTCTGCTTTAACTTCAGCACCTGTCTGACCGCATGAATGAGCTGCTTCAGCCCCGCAACAATGATATTGCTCCCCCCGGATCCTGTCCTGGTCGACGCTTCTCCAGCACAAACCATGGTAATGAGACGAGCACCCAAACGCCACTGGCAAATGCAATCAGGACACTCAACCCCCAGTTGTTGTTCGCCTCACTGGCATCGACATGCAATCCAAACATGATGCCCACGATGATGGCGAGCACGAAAAGCTCCCCGACCGATTGAACATAGAACGCAATGTTGGCCAGCTGACTGCGCTTCATCGTATCGACATGGTCGTACTCGTCTTTGGAAATACTCCCAGCGACGTATTGCTCAGCCGTCGTCTTCATCTCCTGAGTGTTTCGCGCCAGGCCCGGAAACGCTGCCGTCCAGAACGTCAGAGTGGTCTGGTAGGCGATCAACCCGACGATGTATAGCCCGACGCCAACATGCCATTGATCGGGGTCGTGTACACCCAGCCACGCGAACCCGATTGCGTATGCGATCAGCGACAGCACGATGAGAATGTTGGGTCTCCAGTTCCCGAAGTCAGCAAAGCTCCCGATGATGAGGAAAACGACGACCTGAATCGCGAAGGAAATTCCATTGCTCAGCAGAACAATGCTATCGACGGACCGCTGTTTCCCTGCGAACAAGAGGGTGCCTTGATCGCCGGCAGCCTGCGAGAGGAGGTTCTGGAAGGCCGTGGGGGCGAAGTCGGTATCTGCTGTTAGCGATGACTTCGACGGACAATCGCCAGACGGCGCGCGCAGGACTTACTGAAAAGGGACAGGCCATTGTTTCCTATGTAATAACTGATGGGTTGTTTAGTAGCCACTCCAGGCAGGCTCGTCTATCACGCACGCATAATAAGCCCAGATCTCCCATTTGGTGGTGCGATATCGGTCGTCGATCTGGTCGGGGGCAAGACGTTCGACATCTTCCTGATCCTTGTCGATCTCTCGAGCAATGTCCAGGTCTTGCGACTTGCGCTCATCGGGGGTGGAATTACGAGTGGGAGTTGAGCTGGTTGCAGCCATGAGGAATTCTGGGACGATTGATAGATGGGTTGCATCGCACGAAGAATGGCTCAAGAAGAAAGCAACCCCGCGCGATAGCCCGGCTGGCTCTGTATCAATGCAGATAAGGTCGGCAGGGTGACCAACCAGTGGCAATGTCGAGGGGGCCAGAAGGGCCTTCGTGTGGAGGCTAACATCATTATTGAAGTGGATGACAGCGCAGCAGTCCGGATGCGGCAGGGAATGCCCTACTACTAGTATCTAGTTACTGCAGGTGCCGCCCTCCCGCCAAGGATGTCGGCATCTCCCGTTCCTCCCAAGTATATGTATATGCACATCTATCCATTGACTTTCTGGACTCTATACAAAGTAACTAGGATGTATCAAAATCCCCGACGCCAGGATCACAGCTTGGCCTGCCCGTTTTCTATCGACCCCCAGCTCTGCTCATCGAGCTTGTCGTATGTCGTGCCATTCAGCCAGTACAGTTGGTCGCCACCCCAGTCCGTGCGAGGGTCCCATCCTTTCTTGGTCAACGCTCCCTTGGCCTGCTTGAACGTGACACCGGTTTCCACTCTGATGGGGGTTAGCACTGCTGTGGCATACATACATGCCTGGGGGGAAACCTACTTCTCCGTAAGTCGAACAAGACGTGGAAACGCGTACGACGGCACGCCCCTCCTCTTCAATTCGGAGTAAAGCTTGTCCATGACGCTTTTCTGGGCCGCAGGAGAGTGATCCTCAAGAGTAATGCCAGCTGCGCCCGCTTGGCCGTCATACCTGATGATAATCTATCAGCCTTGCATCGCACCAATGGTCAGAACCGGGGAATAGGCCTCGTACCCATTTAGCTTCACGCCATAGACAACCGCATCATGGATAGACGGCATCCGGCAAATATGATCCCTTATTTCGCCGGCACTGACGTTCTCCCCCTTCCAGCGGAACGTATCTCCCACCCGATCCTGAAACCTGACCCAACCATCGTGGTCCCGAACAACCAAATCGCCCGTGCGCTGGAATACATCTCCCTTCTTGAACACATTCCGAAGAAGCTTCTTCTCCGTTGCCTCCTCATTCTGCAGATATTCAGTAAGCAGACCCCGACTCCTAACTCGCCCAATTGCCTCTCCTTCCTCTCCGAGTTTGGCTTGCATACAGAAACCGGTCTTCGGATCCCGGTAGGGCATCTCTGTGTCTGTATCGTATTTCACGATAAACGTATCGTCCTCTAGACGCCGCTTGATAATTCCCGAAAAACCGACTTTCCCAGCGCCCCATGCACCCACTCCCCAGTTGTCAAACCTGGCCAAGCCCTCCGTGGACCGATAGAATTCGCGGATCTCGGGAACCCCAAATCGTTGACGGAAACGCTCCCAAATCTCCCCGCGTAGCCCGTTGCCATTGGCCACTATGCAAACATGATCGCGATCATAAGGAGATGAGGGCGTCGACAGGAGATACCTGCAGAGCTCACCGATGTAAAGGATGCGTGTAGCTTTGGAATCATGCACATCCTTCCAGAACTGCGACGCAGAGAACTTGCGACGGAGACACAGGGTGCCTGCGTTTCCGACCGAGTAGCAAATTCCAGTGAAGTAGGCAGTGCCATGGAAAAGTGGTAGAGAGGAATAGGTCCGCAAGGGGTAGTATTTGGAGGGGTTGTTGGCGTCGACGGTATTGGGGTTGGATGTGACAAGCGCCTGCATGTTGCGAATGGCACATGCCTTCGGCTTTCCCGTCGTCCCTGAAGTGTAAATCAGTGCGCTCAAGTCGCTGAGAGACCTTTTAGCCGCAGCAAGCCCTCCAGGTGTGCTTTGTTGCAAGTCTGTCGATGTTATTACGTCCGCGGCATCTGTAAGGGTGTCGTCAAAAGACGAAACGTTAAGCGCTATGTGAGGCAGCTCGGAACGCACAAACTGCGATAGATCTGGCGTTGAAATGATAAATTTGCTTCCGGAGACGTTGAGACAGTGGTCGAAAGTATCATCTATTCGATATGCCATCAGTAACTGGCCGTGCACAAGAAGTGAGTGTAGAGTCGGTGTCATACCACGCAGATTGGTGTTGATGAGGGCTGCCACAGCCCCAAGCTTGTTAAGTGCATAGATTGTTACAACCATCTCAGGGGAGTTCGTGGTGAAAACGGCAACAAAATCTCCGGCATTAATGCCTTTTGTATGAAGCAGAGCGGCAAATCTATCGACGACTGAGGAGGCATCAGCAAGGGCACAGAAGCCGATATTCATCGTTGACGAGTCATGGTGCCCACATACGATCTTTGAGCTGGCTATAGGTCCATGTCGTATTCTCAAGCCACAGCGCTTCACTTGACCCGTGGCCGTCAACCTCTACCACCCGTTCAAGCATCTTGTAGATGGTGGCAGCATCGCCGAGCTGAGCGATTCGCTGTCCCAGACGGTTTGCCCATGACTGCTCGTTGTAAAGCGATGTTAGGTCACTCGAAATAGAGAACTTGGCATTGAGGTAAGCCCCGACGGCGGCTGAGAGAGCCGATGCGACTGCTATTGATGAACCGCTGATCTCGAAGAGGTGCTCCATGTGGAAGGTTTTGGGAGATGACGATCCTTGGGTTGTGCCTGGGAGAGCTGGTGAAGACTTGTTGTTTTGGAGCGTTCACAGCAATTACTCGGGCGTTTTGATTCGAATCATACGGTTAATGAAGCGAAATATTCGGCCCCACTGTGATAACAGTCTTCAGAGCATTCACCTAGCTCCGCTCTAATCCGGGGAAGGGGTCAGATATAGGAAGACCACCGTGCAAACAGATGAATGAGCTCGGATTCTGGGGTCGGGACCTGGACTGACTGGTAGCCGAAATCTGCCGTCCATAAAGCACTTGGGCGACGAGGCGTGGGCCGGGGAGCTCGCCAGGTGATTAGACGGAATAGGCGGCAAACGACATGAATGTGGATTCCGACAGGAGGCAAAGCAGGGGGCCGGCCTCATTGGAAGTGGCTCCTCCCTCCCGACCCCAGGCCCGCAGCATCTTCCCGGGGAGGGCTGAAACTAACGTTCGGAGACAGGGCCCGAGCTCAGTCGCATTCACGCTGGACGGCTTGAAGCCATCCCGGCGTCGAGCCGGGGGGGGAGGCGAGAGCTTTACTCCAGATTGAAGAGAGCAACAACGCTGTCAACGTGCGAGCTGGTACTGCAGACGGCGGAGGCCATTCTCCCAAGTCCCAAGGCGAGGCGAGCATTAGTGCGGAAGGACGTGCATGTAAAGGATCACAAGCCACAGATGTCCGAGACTAGCAGATAGATAGATGTTCCTGATACGAAGTAGATAGACGTGCCTGGGGAGTCTGGCGTCATGGGGGGCCATCGCCGTGACTGTTGTTACTCCCGACAACCGAGGCCGGCCATTGATACCGTATCATACAGCGCCGTTACAAGGAGGCGGCATTTCCCTCGGCTCGAACTCTCTGAACTTCTCCGGTTTACTCTCCCATGGATCCCGTTCTGCGATGCCACAGCCTACGATCTTTCGATACACCGGGGGAAGCCCAGCTCGAGTTCCACTCCCAGTCTTCCACACGGCCACTCAGTCCTAGTTTTGCCCCCAGGTGGATGCCAGCAGACCCGCCTGATCGGCACGGAAGTTCTGAACTTCTCAACTTCTGAACACCCCGGGCCCACATTCGGCTCGGCTGCTTTTCTGTATCGGGCCTTGCCTGGAGCCGCGGTTGATCGCGCTCCCTGTGTTTGCCCCAGGCTAATAAAACAAACGAAGATCCGTGGGGTAGCTCCGGCTCTTCTCGCTTCCTTATAATCGGGCCTGCTCCAGGAAAGAAGATTCTGTGCTGGAACAACACTCGGAAAGGAAGAATCTCAATCATGTCTTCAGCTCAGCAACGATTGACCTCGATCGCAAACCACCTCTCGGGCCCTGGAGCCGCGTCCGCAAAGCAACGGCTTCTGTCCCAGAACCCGGACGACATCGTATGACGACCTGTTCTCCTTTCTCTTGGGGGAAAGACTGACGCAGTACAGGTGATTACCTTGGCCGTCCGAACGCCCCTCACAAAAGCCAGAAAGGGCGGACTCAAGGATACAAACCTGGATGACCTTCTGATCTCACTGCTGACGGTAAGGTCCCTTTTTGACACAAACCGGCTCGTCCGTAGCTGACAAACCTCCCAGTCTGTCCGTGAGAAGTCGAACCTTGACCCGAACCTCGTCGAAGATGTCTGTGTCGGTAATGTCCTGTGTCCCGGTGGAGCTTATGTAGCACGCTCGGCTGTCCTGGCGGCAGGCTTCCCGGTTACTGCAGCTGCCTCGATCGCGAACCGATTCTGTTCTTCCGGATTGCTGGCTATCCAGAACATCGCCAACCAGATCATGGCCGGTTCCATCGATGTCGGGATTGCGGTGGGAGCGGAGAGCATGAGCACCAACTCCGACGGCGGGGCTCCGGGGATGTCTTCCCAGATCACGACGCACCCAATCGCCTCACAGAACGCTCAGCCAATGGGTCAGACATCCGAGAATGTTGCGGCGCAATTCAACCTTTCCCGTGAAATGCTGGACCAGTTTGCGGCGAAGAGCTACCAGAAAGCTGAGCGGGCTCAGAAGGCGGGGTGGTTCAACGACGAGATCGTTCCTGTTAAAACGAGTATCAAAGACCCAAAGACCGGCGAGGTGAAGAACATCGTCGTTGAACGGGACGATGGTATTCGGTATGGCACCACTGCTGAATCTCTGGGCAAGATTCGCGCCGCGTTCCCCCAGTGGAACCCCAGCGCCACCACGGGCGGAAACGCCAGCCAGATCACCGACGGTGCTGCGGGTCTGATTCTCATGAAGCGATCCCGCGCGCAGGAGCTGGGCCAGCCCATTTTGGCCAAGTTCTGCGGCGCCACCGTCGCAGGCTTGGAGCCCAGGATCATGGGCATTGGTCCATCGATCGCCATCCCCAAGATCCTCACCAAGTTCGGGTTGAGTAAGGAGGAGATTGATATCTTCGAGATTAACGAGGCATTTGCGTCCATGGTAAGTTGGAACCCCATGTTTGTTGGAAACACAGACAGCGACTAATGTATGTGTAGGGAACATACTGTGTGCAAAAGCTGGGCCTTGATGAAGCCAAGGTCAACCCCCGGGGCGGCGCCATGTAAGTCATGTTGCACTAGACAACTGAGGCTCCATTTGCTAACCTAACATAGTGCATTTGGTCACCCCCTTGGTTGCACGGGGGCACGGCAGGTTGTCACTGCTCTGTCTGAACTGCGACGACAGGATAAGAGGATCGCAGTTACCTCGATGTGTGTTGGAACGGTAAGTCTTCCGCGCCTATAACTGTATATCAAGACTTGTATAGGGATCCAGGCTGATCACTTCTTTTCCAGGGTATGGGCATGGCTGGAATCTTTGTCTCCGAGCATTGAGCGTATAATAATGAGACGTTATTTTCTGTAAATAGTTTTACAATGGCAAACACTGGAATAATCTGAATTCGCAGGTGCTTAACCAAACTTTTCAGGTCACCGGGCCAGCCCGACCAGGCCAGTATGTAAGACGGCAGGCCCTTATCCCGTATATTTTTTGCCCCTTTCCCAGGAGAGAAATTTTCGCCCTACGGAGTACCAGGTATCTAACCAGGCTCCCAGTCGACCAGAAAGCGCCGCGGGCCTTAGACCGATTTAGGCGCCAGGGAGCTAATCAGGCAACATTCCAGGGAATCCGGAACGAGCCGCCGAAGTCTCTTCGGTCTAGTGAGATTTAGCAACACACTTGAACCCTGAAAGCGAGGCGCTAACGGTCTCAGCCCCAACCTTTCGCCATCAGATGGCTCTGGCAGGAAAATACCAACTGTACAATCCTTTGCCATATGGCCATGTTACAATAGTGCACCATATCGATGGTTTCACACTCTTAGCTAACTAAACCAATCCAAGAAAATGAATGGAAACAACCCCATGTCCCCAGTAAACAGCCGTGGCTCATGGTGTCGTTTTCTCCATCTCGGACCTTGCTGATGCTAAAGCAGTGACTAGAGCCAAAAGAGCACAGTCCAGACCCTGGAAAAGGACCCTGCCAATCACCGCTAGAACAGGGTGATTGTGGGGATAAACCTAAGTGCTCCTAATTTCCCTTGGCCCTCACGGAGACTTATAGAAGAAGTACATAAGTCATGGGCGCCACCAGTCCTGGCCCTCCCCTCTCTCTCTGGTAAGGTTTGCATATTCTGTGACGTCCAAGATGGCGCTCCCACGTTCGTTTTTGCTGTTTCTGTCGCTTCTGCTTTTGACCCAACTGTCTTCCTTCGTTTCTGCTGCTCCATGGATTGTTACTGCCGACTATGAGGAGGCCGTCTATACTGAGACTTACGCCTATGAGACCCTCACCGACACCCAAATTGAGCAAATCACTCCTACTGCGACGTCTATGCCGCAGGCCATCTCAACTATCACCTCTACCGGGACCTCTGGCTACTACGATGAGGATGTCACAATCATCCAAAAACTTTACCCAACCGGCGTCGGATCAAACGTCTACGACGATAACTATGGCTACGGCGATGGCTACGGCTACGGCGATGAAGACGAATACCAGAGCACCATGTTCGCCGTCAACCTGACCTACACAGCACCCACTGGTTGCTCGTCGCAGTGGACACAAACCACTGCGGTTGAAGTCATTCCACCCGCCGAGGTGCAAGACCTGCTCCCACGCACCGCCGTTGCCACTTCTATCTCCGTCGACTCCAGCGAGCCCTTCCAGCCCACCACATACACGATCGACATCGTCTACGTCGACCCCACCCAGATCCCCAGCAGCTCCCTGGAGTCAATGAGTCGATATAATCGACCTACGTCCTTGTACAGCGGCTCGGGCTGTGCCTACACCGGCACTGGTGGTTCCGAGTACAACTACGGCTACTACAACTATGGCTACGACGACGGCTACGGCAACTGGTTCACCGACAGTTACTGGATAGGCATTTCCCCTCTGGCCCTCACACTCATTCTTTCCATTGGCTGGATCGGCCTGTTCTTGATCTGCGGCTTCATCGAAGCCTGGGTCCGTTTTCGCCGTCTGATGATGGGCTGGCAGACACGCCGTGGACTTCCCGTCTGCTGGGCACTCACTATCATGCCCATCACCCTGCTACTGCTGTGCTTCTTCCGAAAGGGCTACCGTGCTCGTTCCCAGGCCGATGGCGAGATCCTGAAGAAGCGTTGGAAGGCGATGGGCTTCGGGACTAAGCTGCGTCTCTTCTTTGTCTGGGGTTTCCGATTCAAGTACCCGCCCATGCTTGGTCCCGCACCCGCCCGCGTCAAGACCAGCAAGCAGCCGGAAAAGAACCCCGGTCCTCGTCTTTTAGAGGAGAGCCCTGTGCCCAGTGAAGCACCCCAGTCACGCGACGGGTCAACGGCTGCGCCGGCTGATCTTCCTGCTGTTGCTACTGCTTCTGCTGCGTCTGCTGCTTCTACTGCTGACCCAGAAATGGCGACGACGTCCCCGGCTCCGGTGGAGAATGAAGAACCCCAAGCGCAGGCTGCTGCTGCGTCCGGAGCGCTCCCTCATCACCAAGATGAAGAGTCTGGCCGACCCAACTGAGGCGTCAAGGTGAAGCATGGTAGTTGCAAACACATAAGCACTGATTAGCATCTGTGCCAAAACTGCAGTCAGCAGCTTGACCCTCACTCTATTATTCTATACCCTGAAGAGGACCTGTCTTTCCTTTATACTCCTCACCGCAGGGAAGCCATCATCTAATGTCTTAATGTACCTAGTAATTCTGTCAGCAGTGCCGGAGGTTAGCGCCTGCCAGTGACTGCCTCTTAGCTAGCTGATCACATATCATCAATCCAACAACCCTATGGCCTCGTTTCTTTAATGTAGGCTCCGGTCGTCTGGTTATGAGCCTAGTTACTTAACTTCATTAAATTTTAATCAAATTCGGTGACACACATGCCTTTAGTAGAGTACAGACAGTAAGGCTCTGCCACTCAAACTCCTAATGAAGGTGGAGTAGCCAGACTGGGTGTGCATGTAGCATATTCCAGCCATACAGTCCACAATCACAAGTTTGTAGAAACCATGTGGCAGCTTGAGGAAAGAAAGAGCCGAGTTCTCTCGTTTGGAGTGTTTGTGTTAACCAAATCACCTGCCCAGTCTGTGGCATGCTTTAACCCAGATACTACAACGTAGTACTAGTACTGGTAGTAGTCGAGGAAATGCAGCCGAGGACCCGAAGCGGCACTGATAAGCCATCACATCACGTGCTTGCCATCCGGGCCGTCGTCATCAGGAACCGCCAAGACAGGCACCGTCCCATGACACCGCTCATCGCCTCGCCTCCATCTTGCCTCCTTGACTTACACCTTGCACCTCTAATTATACTTATCAGCATTGCACCCATTCTCGATACCTGCACACTCCCTCTCCCTTCCACCGCGGCACCTCGTTCCAAAAAGTCGCAGCTTCGTCCTCCTCGCCCTCGCCCTCGCTATGAAGCTCTTATCAACCGCCGCGGCTGCATTCCTCCTTTGCGCCCCTCTCTCGACCGCCAGATCCCTGGACTTCTTTGGCTCCAGCCAGACACCCATCTACGCCGATGCTCAATTTCCTGTTAGCGGAGACAACCCGCTCGAGTACTGCAACGATCCCTCCGAATATACCCTGCAAATAGATCATGTGGACCTGTCTCCTAACCCTCCTCTCCCGTACGTCTCCACACCGGCTTATCTACAGGCGGGACTGTATAGTGCATATTGGCTGACTGAACTGGCTGTAGCGGCAAAACCCTCACGATCACCGCCGAGGGTGTCTTGAATGAGCCAGTTGAGAAGGGTGCCTACGTGCTCTTGGAGGTCAAATATGGGTTGATCACTCTGGTCAGGCAGCGGGCCGATCTATGCGATCAGATCGTCAATGTGGATCTCGAGTGCCCTCTGCAGAAGGGCAAGATGGTCCTGACCAAGCAGGTTGATCTGCCCAGCCAGATCCCTCCGGTACGTTGTGTTATCGCCTCATTTTCATTCATTACAATATTAGAATTGCAAGGGCTGATCGTGGTTTCCACCAATCGATAGGGAAGATACAACGTCCACGCCGACGTCTTTTCTGCGGACGACAAGCGCATTACTTGCCTCGATGGCCACAACATCGAGTTCAAGCGGTGAAGTCGACTAGTCGCCATGGGCTGCCGGATCTCTTGATATCGAGCCCCTCCCGCTGCTTTCTGTCAACGCTTGATGTTGATTTGATTGCCCATAATAACGAGTTCTTGATGCTGTACCTACCTAGGCCGTTGTTTCTCTCTTCCATTCTCTCACACACTTTCTGGTTAGATTTCCAGTCTCAAGCCTATCTTGATATGCCAGAGTCCAAGATAGCCAGATCTCATGCGTTACGATCATTGTTTCTGTAAACTCTCTCTGTTGCGCTAACTCCTGTGCGGCGTTTGGAGCATTCGCTCAAAGACATATCATGTTTCTATTCTTACAGTCCTTTTTTGGCTTGCTTGCCGCCAATTGGCACTAATTAGCATATGTACCAAAATCGCATTCAGCAGCTTGTCTCATTCATATTATGCTAAAGCCTCTGAAATGTAGACCTGCAATGTTTAGAGGTCAAGTGACTGGGATTCGCCGGTGTTCCTAATCTGTCTGTCCGTAGCACACCTGAAACCTAACCAACATCGTCGATTTCTCCTTACGTTCTCCTGCTAGATAGACGACTCCACCGAACCTTGACATAATATGAACCTCATATATCAGGATAGAATATCCGGGGCCCTGAAGGTTCCAAATTAGCAGTACGAGAATGATACGGGTAAATACCCCGTCCGTCTCCCTAGACATGCCTTCGCGAACTTGTAAACATCTGGTTCTATGTGCAACAATGATATAATTGGGTATCATCCCTTTTGCCCCTCGGGCCTTCTCTCTTTCCACGCGTTTATACAACAATCAAGTCGACAAGCACAGATACACAGCGAACCACCAGGTAGAACACACACACACACAACGCAACACAACACAAACCCGTGGTTTCGAATAACGAGACAGACGCAGACACAAGACGCTCAGAGTTTACTCCCCAAACAGTCTCCGCACCCGCTTGAGCACACTGTCCTTCTCGGGATCGTATGGGTGGTCCTTGCTCGGGATCTCGAGAACAGCCGGGAATGCATCGGCGAAGGAATCGACGCTGTGGCGGATACGTTCGGCGATCTGGGATGTGGTACATTCGTAAGCTGACGTGGGTCATGGATGGTGTTGGAGATGAGGATGAATTCGGATGCGTGGGGGGGAAGGGGGGTATAATAAACGTAATTCCTGGGGAATATCCCATTCACACGTACATGCTGGTTGATAAGGACGACAGCGATGTCCTTTCTCTCCTGGGTGAAGTTCTGGAACGCTTTCTCGATCGCGGAGTTTTCCGTCTTCGAGTCGACCACTAGGAAGTTTCGCTGGGCGTCGGGGCCATCTGTGACGTGCTGTGGTGGTGGATTAGTTTTGGTGGTGGTGGTCGCATATTCGTGTTTGTGAGGGGGAGAGGATACGTACACCGACACCCGCGAGAAGGAGACCAGTTACGGAGCTGTCAGGCGTGGGTAATCAGCGGAAGAGTTCTTAGGGTATAGTATGAAGGCAGAGTTACTCTTCATCCCCGATGACCGCAAGGAACTGCCTGTCCTGAATGTGGAGTATGTGGTTAGTAAATGCAGTAATGACAAGGAGGGGGAACTCGGAACGGTAGGTACCTTGTATGCCACGGCCGATGCGGCCATGGTGATGAGGCAATGAGGGGGAAGGCAGGGGAGGGTGAGGAGTTGCGGAGGTTTGTGGAATTGCTTCGTCGCCCCTGAACCGAAGACACCAAAGCAAAGCTGGCCCCAGTCGAGTCTGTCTGTCTCGATCCCGATGGACTGACTGCCTTCGGACGTCGTCATAACAGCCCGCCCCCGTCCTGCTTATCTAAGCGGGGGGTTGCACGAACATCGCCTGTCATTGTTGTTTACTGGCGGAAAGGGAAAAAAAACCTCCAGGCTTCAGTCAATCGCATTACGCCAAGGTGAGTCCCGAGTTGTCGGTCCGTCGCTGTATTCACCTGCTGCCGACGAAGATGATGCTAATGTCTCTTCCCTGATCGTGTAGCATCTTGCGTCGCAACCTGCCTCTCCCACCTCTTCAACATGCCCCGGCTTGTCCGCCGCCGACCGTTGGCGGAACGCATCAAGTCCTACTTGAACCCTTTGGACTTTCTGCTGTGGCTCTCGGAGGAGATCGATACACACGACTGGGATCAGTTTGAGAAGGACTGGGCGCTCCCTGTGGGCATCGCTCTGAATCTGGTCTTTCTGATTGCCAGGGCCAATAGTCAGTCGAGCAGTAGTCAAGCTATCGATGATGTCTTTGGCGACGAGGGAGGCACCCCGGTGCTAAGCTGGTTTGTATGTGATTCTGGGCCCGTACTGCACTCATCTGCATGCTGTACGAGGGTGGTGCCGCAATGCGACAGGGCTAACATAATCGTCAATAGGCCTCCTTTGTCGTCCATCTCCTTATTGTCTTTGCCGCTCTCAACACCTTCTATACCTTCTATCGGAAGCGACACTATCGCCTGTTTGAAGCCTCAATCGATCGAGCCCCCGCGACACCGTCCGCTCATCGGGTACGGGTGAATTCTACGCCAGTGATCTCTTCGCCGCTAAAATACTTGGCCGAATCGATATCATCGAAGTCCGCTCAGTCGAGAGCACACCCTGATGCGCAGCGCGACGTGTGGGAGCTTGCAGTCTGGGACCCTTCGCCCATTTGCATTCGGTTGTTCTGCCTTTTCAGTCCCGGGCATGTCTTGGTCTACTGGCTTTTCCTACCCACTCAGCTATCCGACCCTCGCCCGAGCGTTACGATCGTGACTACCGTCTTTTTTGCAACCCTACTCTCCGTACAGATGTCATTTCTCTCCTCGTCGTATGTTCAGCAAGCGAAGGATTCTATGTTGGTTCATAAGGAGGTTCTCCGCGAATATGATACCAAATACGTGCACCCGCGGACTCAGCCTGTGATGAGAGATGTGGGCACTCAGTTCTCCGAATCCGACTCGGACGTTAAGCAAAACAAGGTCGATACTTTTACACCCACTCATGTCATCCACCGGGGATTTAAAACGAGTCCCAACCCCAACTATGTCAGCCACGTGGATCCTGAAGGTCGGTCGTCCGGGCGTCATTCTCTAGCAGGTACCCCCACTGGTGTTGCCAGTCGTCCAAGCGCACTTCAGACTCCGAGCCACCTACGGGATGCGTCTCCTCTTGTCCGCACCTCGATTCGTCAACCTCAATTCCGACAGACCCCAACAGGCACGGGTGATGGCGGTAGTCTCGGCATTTATTCGCATGCCAACTCGCCGTTGAAGAAGTCCGCGTCGACCAGTTTCGACCGTCGTCTTACAAGCAATGGAGACTTCTTCTACAAAGAGCGTGGCGCCAGCGCCGTGAAGAGGCCATCTAGTCCACTTAAGAAAAGCAATGTTCCCGGAGGGGGAAGTCCCATGATCGCAGGACCGAGACGGAGTCTCGCTGACACGACGCGCCGCGAAACTGGACGTTTTTGATGGGTTTTGGGTGGTATGGCATCATCTGCCAGTGATCCAGGTACGCAGGAAGAGAACTCTCATGTACAGTATGGTATATCATCTTAGCGGAGTCGTCACGAGGTCGCCATTAAGATTCGGCACTTTTTGACCGTGACTGGCTTTGGAGCATCAGCTGCGGCGTTGAATTATTCGACTTTTCGGTTTCTGTTTTCTAAACTCTCTCTCTCTCTCTATTCTTTTTCTTCGTTTCCGTTGCATCATGATCTATCTTTTCCTTTCTTGGTCGGGACACCCGTTCCTGAAGAAAATCACGAGTGTTGGCAACCAGCCCAAACTGGGAATGTAGGCTGGCAGGAACCATTTCACCAGCCACTTCACAGTATTCCTGTTGCTGTCTCTTCAGGTGGGCACAGCATCCTGCCTTGTTCGGTTGGACATGATTTGGTCTCGGGATTGAAAAGGTCAACCAATTTTGAGATGTGAACGCGCTTTGGATCGCACTTGACAAATTGAGATCCGTTGTCCATCACCACCTCATGGCCTGCTATTCATCAGGGAAATTGCAGATCAATTCAACGGCGCCCGCAGTTGCCATACCCAACTATGCCACCAACCTGGTGTACATTCCACACCCGCCCATCTCCCTCTGGTGATACATTCTTCATCATGGCGAGCCCAGCCCGCTAGACATTCCAGTCCTATCATTACATACATCATCCCTTACCACCACATAGAACGTGCCAAGCGTGGCCTCTCGATCTATTCCTACCAGATGCCTGCCGTGCTCCGATCAAACCACATCCCCATTCACTCGCCGAACGCCTCCAACGGCGCAACCCTACACCCTCGACCGCGCAAACACTTCAACGACATCCGCATTTTGGAAGGAATGGGTCATCATACTGACTCTGTCTGACTTGAACGTCGAATCTGCTGGATTTCCGGCAGTGTGTGACCGATGAGGATGGCGGATTTCCTTCACCTACCGAACGGACCTTTACTGAATATCCAACCACGACACCGCCACGGCAAACGACCAAGACCCAGTAACGATATGCAATCGCCCGCGCAGACTCAGAAACCTGCGCCCAAAGCCGATGAACGGCTCACCTCTCCCCCAAACAAGGGAAACATCACGTTGTCTGAAACCGCTCCACGAAAAGGAAAACCCACCAAGCTTCCGGTCCCAAAATCCATCGCCGACAAGGCCAAAGACCCAACAAAAGCATCACCACCTCCTGAACTTCAGACCAAAGTACGTCGTTCCGACAGGATCCTTCAGCCCAAAAGATCGTTCGGGTCACTGCAGCGTGGGTCACCCAAGAAATCGGAGAAGGACCGCGATCAGTACTGGCGCAAAGTGAGGGATAAGTTCGAGAAGGATCTTCCGATGCCATCTCTCAATAAGGACAAGCACAAGGAATACTATCATGAGGCCTACCGGAAGATTGTTTCGCTGGCCAACTCTCCAAGACAAGAACTCGCCAAGCAAAAGCTGAAATTAGCTGCGGGAGCATCTGAATACAAGGCATTCAGACCCGGTTTTATCCCTCGAACCACAAACCCCAGTTCCAATTCCCCTGCCGACAGTCGTCTCAGCCCGGGGCGCAACCCCCAGAGAGCAGAGATCGGTCACACCATTGATCACAGGAAACGCCTGTCCAATGGGCCCCAACGGGCGCATCTAAATTTCAGCGAGTCTACGCCGGCAATATCCTCTGAAAAAACAGACACGACTACGGACTCTTCCGAGCAGTCATATCCTTCAATATCACCGGTATCAGCGCCTGCTAGTTCAATAACGGATTGGGAAGATAGATTTGTTGTCAACATGCCCTCAGCTAGGGATCCCAACCCGCCATTCATGAATTCTCGACAGATCGCCGACTTCCAACAAAGTATCGAGAAAGTGCACAAGGAAGGCGAGACGATGCTTGATCCAGATTCGCTACCAAGTCCCCGTACTAGGACTCCGGAAGAGAGGACTAGAGCTGTCGTGCAGCCAGAAAGGAGATTGACTGGACTTGATGGTCAAGAAGCTGATATTGAGCGTCGACCCGATGCCGAAGATGGTGACGGTGCATCTGATCGCCGCTATTATAGTCCGGAAGAGGTTGGAAAGCAACGTTTCAGCACGATCTGGGAGGAATTGCCCGCAAAATCTAATCGCAAGTTCCCCATCGCGAACCCAGACGGGTCTTTTTTAGGGTGCAAGGAAATCAACGGGCCTTACGACAAGAATCCGGACGAGATCTTGCTTTTCTCGACTACAGACGAGCGTCCCCGAGTGATCGATATCCCATCTGCGCGTGCCAAGATACCACCACCCAAGGAAGGGAAGAGAGTCAGCAACCACCGAATACCGCCACCGTCATCAGGGAAGCCCGTTACTCACGAAGAATGGAGGCCAATTTCTCAGAATTTGAAGCCAGCCCAATGCTCGAGGCCGTCACCCAAGACGATGTGTCGCGAAACCAACTGTTCTCAGCGGCCAGACAAGCCGGAAACCTCTGCCAAGGCTCCTCCTACCAAAGAGACCCCGGACTCGGCATCTTCGAGCAAGAAACCCGAAAAGCAGAAAGTGGGACGCAGGCCGGACGATGTCTTCATTATCACACCCACTATCACACGCACTATGGTGACCATGGCGGACCTGAGAGGCCACCCGAAGAACCCAGCCACACAGCCACCGTCTTCCCGGGCCGCGGGCGAGATAATCACGGACTCCCGAGTAAAGCACCAGGCGGGCCCTTCGGCATCGGGATTACGACGGGCGACTCAAAATGGCTGGGAAAGGTCAAGTTTGCCTTGCGCAACATCCTTAAGCGCAAGCCCCCCGTCGAGCATACCCACCCCTCAGGGTCGCACAGAACCAGAACGCACCGCTCAAGACAAGCCCAAGGCTATACGTGGGTTCATCCGTACAACAGGGTTGGCAAAGCCCACAGGAAACCGTATCGAACCCACGCGCAGTAATCCCCCACAGCCTCGCCATGAACCAACCTCCACTGTCAGCCCGTCTCCCAGAAAAGAGAACTTCCCGCCGTCGAGGAGTGCGTCCGACTCAACCCAGACACAGTCCGAATTGTCGTCCACCACCCCAGAGATATCTCCCGCCACCTCACTCAGCAGAGACAGGCCAGTACCGGAAAGCACCGCGAAGCCAGCCAAAACGTTCGAGCTGGCCGAGCTAGACGGACAACAGGTAACGGAATCGCCGAAAGAGGAAATATTTCACTCCAACATCACGGACTTCAATCTTGACTCACATGACACCGACTTGTCAACCGACCTGTCAACCAAGGACAAGGAACCGGCACCCGAGGAAATCCTGGTCCTCGTCAAGGACGGTCTGATCAAGCTAGCAGGACAGCTCCAGGGAGTCTACGATGAGATCATGACCAACCGACACTCCAAAGCCATGTTAGTGCGAATCGCATTCAACAGTGTCCTCAAAATGGTCGAGCACTGTCTGCACGTCCTCAAAGATCTCTTGACCATCCTCGCCCTCTACAACACCACTGGCGCCTGGCCCAAACCCAACCGGAAAGACTTCGCATGGTCCCTCGTCGAAATCTGCCAGGCCATGATATACCTCGTCACCCTCGGTGTTGTCATGATCATCATCGGCCGCGCAGCAGGCTACGTCGTCCTCGTCGGAAGCTGGATCGTCTGGTTCGCGAAACCCTTCGCCTGGTTTCTGGGTACATTGGGGAGAGCCCTGTTGATATGATATGAGTATGAGTATGAGTATGAGTGTGCACATGAAAACGAGTTGGGTTGCATGCTGTTGATAGTTAGATGCGATGCGTGATTGGATTGAGTTGGTAGCGTTTGCGTTGGTTGTCTTGTTCTGTTCTGTTCTGGTAAGCAGTGCTGACTCACCCACCTTTTTTGCTATTGGGAGCGATGACGGAGGGGGGCAGGCGTTATTCTTTTTTTGGGGGGAGACCTTCCTTCCATCTGTAGTATTATCGAGATTATGCAGTATGCTCATGCTCATCCGGAGGGTATTTTTATGTACTTCATTATTATTGGTTATCCATGTCTATCTATCTATCTATCTCTGTCTATCTACCTACCTAGATTAGATACTACCCTCCATTCACTTGAATGCCTCGCCCTCTTTGGCCTGATCTGACTTGCACATGGAAGTATGATGATACTGTATGTGGGATCTCATTGAGCAGGGGGCATGTCTACTTTAGGAAGGTAGGGCTGTATTTGCCCATCGGAATCAAAGTTTCATACCTGATAGTGACTGGCTGGCTGGCTGGCTGGCTGCCTATCTGTTAGTCTCGGGCGACCACACCATCCCATTCCCCTTCAATTTCGATCTCAACTACCTATAACTACCTAGATACATAAGCACACCTATTACACAGCAATCATACAGTTGAATCATGTTTTCGCTGTATGTATATATGTGCCTACTTAGACTGCGAGGCAGTCCGATACGGAAAGTACTCATGGTCTAATAGACGTACTGTACCTTACAGCTTGGTTTAAATGAATAAATGCATTGTATTAATTCCTACTTCAATTTTCAGCCGACATTGGACGATGAATAGTAAGACGGATGGATGGATGGATGGATGGTGGTGATGGTGGTGGTGTGTGTGTAGTTGTATGTATGGTGTATCGATTGTCTGTGTCCTTGTGATGTGATGGTGAGAGAGGAATAAGAAACAAGGAACATGTCTATCTACGTTGCGTGCTAGTTATCAATCAAATAATCGCAACCCAGCTAGTAGCTAGCAGCTAGCATCGGAAACGATGAGTGTATTGTGGAATGACATCCACGAACAAACATGACAGGGGGGGGGGGAAAGAAGAGGAAGAGAAAAGAAAAGATGCAATGCGTAGTCAGAACTTCGAGGCCCGAACAATGCAAATGGAAAAACCAAGAAAGAATATCAGACGATGATCCAGTTAATGATGATGATAATAGGCAGACTCCGTCCATATCCCATGTTGAAGAGGATCACTTTTTGTTGAAATGCAATGTTTGTTCTCATATAAGCCCAACTAACTCCGTTCAATCCGTAGTGTTGAATATTCATAAGTCCCCCGATTTTTTCTGTAGCCCGTCCTCTTCTGGTAAAGGAATGAAACAAAAGGATAAAAAAAAAAAAAGAATCTCTTTCTTTGACTTTTTTTTTTCTTTTTCGTCCGCTGATTTTGAGCTCTATCATGAAAATGAATAGATGAAAATAATGTTGAAATTTCATGCTCGACGGGTGCAAAAAAAAAATAAAAAAGCTAAGTTCGAGGGGGTATATTTTGGAAGGTGAAGATGTCATGTTGAAATTAAATAACGCTCAGGGAAGAAATCGTTGAGAGGTCTTCATTCGTGCCGCCATAAAACATTGCAGGGGCCCGAAGGTTCATTTCGGGCAGGTATTCGTTGAGGTAGGATGTTGAATTAGTAAGTAGTATGTTGAATTAGGAAGTCGTAAACGTGGTTGAAGAATGTATAGTGGTTAGAGTCGTACCGTCGAAGCCGCAGAGATCACATCTAGTTCTTCACTGCAGACTCCGAGGTGGTGCCGTTGGTAACACCGTTAGTCGCTCCATTTGATGCTCCGTTGAGATGAGCTTTGGACTCGCTGTTTTCGGCGGGGATTTCTGTATCAAGGTCCTTCACATCCAGATCCTTGAACAGGTCGAAAAGGCTACTGGTGTTGTGGAAGTCGTTGTTGACTGTAGGAATCAGATTAGTAAACACCGCGTAAAAGATCCTACAAATATACTCACCGATATTGACAAGGGACCAGCTGTCCATGACACCTTGGATCAACTTCCTGCTGGGGCTGGAGGCATCATGACACTTGGCCCAGTCGTCACCCAGGCGGTAGGCCTCGTCCTTCCAGGCCAAGAAACTGACAGTTTCAACGATCGTGGGCTGGACGATCTCCCTTCCGGCGAAGATACCCCATGTCAAAGCGTTGGGGCTGTCGCGGGTGTTGGTCCGGAGTTCACCGTTCTTGGAGATAGCATGGTATGTGAGGTCTCCGTTCTTCTCGATACGGGCGAACAGCTCATCGAGCAGGTAGGGAGGAACCAAAAGCTCCAGGTATGCCTTCTGGTAAACATATCCGTTCTTCGGTCCCCATCCATACACGGGGTGGGAGGATTTGACACCGTTCACAGCCGGCTGAGAGTTGATCGTGAAGATTGCTTTCTTGTTCAGCTCGATGAGGCTGTCCTTGATCGCATTGGCTTCAGTGGTGATCGGGGTGTCGCTCCAGGGCAACCGAGCCAGTTTGCCTTCCAGGAAGTCCACGAAGGTATGTGTCAGATCCCGGAGAGATTTAGGCTCTCCCCACAGCTTGATGTTCTGTTCGTTTGTACCCTTCAGGCCAATGCCATAACTGTCAAGTTCACCGAAAGCAGGTGATCGGGAATCGGTCCAGCGTCCGTTTGGGAATTCGTCCCAGGTCTGGGTGCGAGCAATGTAGGACGAGTTCCGGTTTCTCCAAAAGATCGGGCGCACATCCTCTTCTCTGCGGTTGAGACCAAGCGATGGCCGCCAAGGCAGAGCTCTCTGGATCGGTGTCTCCTCGGATGGCATCAGCTTCAATTCGTCGAGAACCAGTTGGGTTGACTGCGCGAGGTTCATGGTGTAACTAGCCATCATTGTCAGCGATTGCCACGATTTTATTACACTGACGTAGAGACTTACAAATGCAAGTGGTTGATACCAGACGCAACAAGCCTCCTGCACATGTCTGCGATCAGACGCTTACCGATATCTCTCACAGCAGCATCGTCATTCTTCACGGGTTCAAGGGCCTCGAGCCAGTCCGGAGGAATGCGGGTTTTGGTCCAATCCGATCGCCTGATGAACGCAGCATATGTCTGAATCGGCATGATGCCAGGAATGATGGGCACGTTGACGCCCTTGTCGCGACACTTCTTGACCCACTCGATGAAGTTGTCTGAGTCGTAGAACATCTGTGTGATAACGAACGAAGCTCCCGCATCGACCTTCTCCTTGAGGTGATCAATCAAAAGATCAACATCCGGGTTGTCATCCGCACCCTCGGGGTAACCTCCCACGCCAATATCAAAGTGGTTGCCGTACTTCGATCGGATGTAGTGGACCAGATCCTTCGCATAACGGAAACCTCCATCAGCAGCTTCCCAAGCCTCCTTATCACGAGGAGGATCTCCACGGAGAGCCAAAATGTTGGTGCAGCCTGCCTTGTAAGCAGCCTGGAGCGCGGCGTCCACCTTCGACAGAGGCATATCCGTGCAAGTCAGGTGCATGCATGTCTCCAAGCCATAGACCGACTGCGCAACGTTGACCATCTCACAGGTCAAGTCCGATAGCCGGCCCCCGGCTCCCCACGTGATGTCAATGAAGGAGGGACCTAACGCGTGCATGCGATCCATTCTGTCGTACAGGTTCTGGACACCTTGGGCGGTCTTGGGGGGGAAGAATTCGAAGGAAATTCCCGTCCTTCCGGCGGCCTCATTTTGGGCGAGCTTCTCTTTGATATGCATGGTAACGAGTTACTCTGGTCGTGAGGAACACCGCAGGTCAGTATCTTCGCCCTCGGAGAAGAGATCGAGAGGGCTAGACTTACACGTCTAGGATGAGGATGAGAGATGAGGGAATGGGGGCGAGTGCAAAGCCAGGGAGTTATGCTAAGAAAATAAGCATACAGGCCAAATCTTAGTCCCTGTCCTGTTCAGGCGCCGATGTCGTTGGACGGGACGACTTTTATGGCTCGCTATTCCACCAGGGACAGCAAGACCTTTTGTTTTATAGGGGGGGGGAGCAAGACAAAGGGATCAATTCATATATAAAGCAACACAACAATGTGACAGGCCTCGGGGGGGAATCCGAAGCAAACAAAGGGCGGAGAGGAAACAAAAGGCTGAGAAGTGGGAGGAAGGGAGGGAGGACCGAGAACGCAACAGGGAGACCGAAGCCAGCAGGAAAAGGTGGGGTTTGCTTTTAAGCCGCCGGTGTTGATGGGAGTCAATAGCTGAGGGAGGGCGACGGAGCGAGACTCAGCAACACAATCGAGGGGGCCGGACTTCGGAGCGGGTGGGGTGGCACGTGTTATCGCGCTGACTGTCTCTTCTTATTAATCTCTTTCCCCCCTCCCGATTGGACTTCCCTCGCTCTCGTCCTGGCCCTGCTGAGTGCTGAGTCCCGTTGGGAATGAATAGTCTACTATCGACACCTACCTCGATCCCACTCCCTACACTACGAACACATCGAACAAAAAAAGACCATGAGCAACAACCCAGGAGTGCCCTCTCGGAGAGACCAGACAGCAGCATGCTTTTGCGGAGATATTCCAAAGGGCGGAGTACTCCGTACTCCGTACTAGGCGCCGGTTCGGAGCCTTTCTTTCCGCTGGCTGCCGAACAAGAACGCCGAGTGAACGTAGAGGAAGGAACCCATGGGTGAGGGAGGGATTCACATCATCCCGGCCGACAGCGGTCGCGAGATGGAGATTTCTGTGGCTTTCAACCCCAAGCTCTCCCCCATTTCAATTCCACGTTGAGCCATCCGCCCGGGATTAAGCTTCACGAGAGTCAAATCATTCTATTTCGCAATCTGGCTGGCTGGTATTCTGGAACATCCCATCAAGCCCATCAAGCTTTTAAGAAGTCTCTGTTCGGCGGTTCGAACCCGCTTCCTTCGGCTCCAGATTGGAGCCTATCGGGTTCCCTGAGCCATCATTCGGCAGAGTTTTCCCTGAGACATGCTCGGTGCATGGAATAGTCTGGAGTCTGGACATTCATCCCCCGGGAGTGGTCCTTAGTCCTTTTTTCTTGAGGGGGACCGAAAAGACCAGCCAAAGAGTAGATACTACGGAGTAGTTATCTAGTAGTTGGTTAGCTGGTCCCTGTCAGCGTCATTAAGCAAGTATCGATCGATTTTAATGCTAGGATATGACTGCCAGTCAACAGAGAGCAGGTGACTTATGCATCATCATAAGGCCGCATTTTTCGAGGTTGTATACATAAACACCGGTTACAACTTGCAACTATACAAATATATCCAACACATCACCTCTGCCCATTCTTTCCATTGTCTAGCGGATTCTGGAAATACTACATTGTATAATTTGCCGACTACTACCCTGTTTGACCCCCCAAGGCAAAGCTTCTTCGGTCTCAATATCTTTTTGGTCGGAACACAGGATTATATATAGTGTTACTGTGTTCTACCCTCAGACTGTCTACGGTTATTTCGTAGAAAATTCTCGAGTCAGTCAATCTTATGGATTTCACTAATAGGGAAAAAAAAAAAAAAAAAAAAAAGGACTATTTGAACGAGTGGGCACAAGAAGTTGGAGGTATAGTTATCGCAGCTATGATATTTTTCAACTAGGTTTCTACTTCTATATCGCGATATATTGAAGTGTTCTTCCGACATGGTAGTGCGAAAAGGGTAAGCACAGCGACAGTGCCATAGTACAGGAACAACGATGCGCGAAAGTCCTAGATCATTCGATACAGTCGATAGTCTGCCCATCGATGCTTGGGAAGGACGTCCTCCTAGCACTGTCTGCAGCTCCTAGCGCATACTGGGATATAAATATAGGGATAGGAGCAGAGGCTTTACTGTGCTTGGTTCTGACGCTCGGAGACCTTGAAATCTGTAATATTATTTTTCTGCGTTGCATGTTTCCCAAAAAGCTGTGTTCCGAGGTTGGAGTGGACTGACATGACATTTTCAACATGGCTGGCTGGTACTGTTCTACGTTCAAGCCCGTTATCAACGCACAGATACTTTGTTTGTATCTAGACGACACGGCAGCATCCACATGCGGTGCAAGGCTACTGTGAGATCTTGATCTTCAAGGCTCGCTGAATGTAAAAGAGGGGGTTCGCATGTCTATAAATTCCCTCTCACTGGCTACTACACAGCCGCCTGCCGTGCTATGACAGGGGAATGGCGGTTGACGGCAGCCACGGTTACTCAATTACTGTGGTGGAGTCAAATCGCATGCCCCCAAGCAAACGTTGGTGACCCGAAACAAGTGAACACGAGGGTGATACGATATCCAATCTTTCCAACACGTAGTGACTACAGCCTTGGGTTCGAGAAACTACTACCTAGGCAGGTAGCTTGACGAAAGCCTTACTGGAGCAACAGTCTTGGGAAGGGAATGAGCTGACTAGTCACTCCATTAACACACGGTATCCCGCCCGTGCGACTCTCGTGTCCCTCGGGATTATGTGATGACCGTGATTCTGATCCTATGCAGCATGCTCTCCCAACTCAGACAAACCAGATGGCCTCGATCACTGCTCTGTACCGAGGGGATTATCAGTCCTTCGCCGCGTTTGCGATTCTAGTCCCCTACTTGGCATTCCGATAAGTCAGTGCCAGTACTTGGTATGGAACACAAAGAACATGAAACATCCACTTGCCGGCAGCTGAGAGGCCCGGAGATCCGAGGGAAACCCAGCTCATACAAACCAGGATCCGAAGTGATACCGAGGCAGCGAGCGATTATCCGGCATCGCCCTTCCGAGAGGGCCGGTGAGAATGGGCTTCCGGTGGCGAAAGAAATAGGATTCTCTCTTGCAGGCACTAGGGCTATGAAGAGAGAAGGTGGCTATCTCATTGCGAGCCGGAGATGTCGGTGAAAAGGCGGGCAAACCAAGGAAAGAAAAATTTCCATCAAGCTTCTTCCTGCTTCCTGCTTCCCGCTTTCTTTTCTATCCTATTTTGGGCCTTCTATTTTTTTCGGCCCCCGAAGCCTTTCATTCCAGTGCAGGAGAGTGGATTGGCAACGCGGCCAGTTTCTTTTTTCTATCCTTAGCCACGGGCAGCGCGCTTGGGGCGACCCTCAACCCAGGTTCGCAGAGAATCTGCATCACCAACTAAGCCAAGTTCTTGTCACTGCTCCACAAAAAGTGATATATAAGCTTACTACCATGCAAACCGTCGAACAAGTCACCTTTGTCCGGGGCCTGCAGTATTAATGCATATGATCTGTGCTTGGGCCCCACAACGAGCCCATGTGCCTATGGTAGAACCCATCAGCACCTGCACCTGGGATAATCTAGGTCATCCTCGATGAGTAAAAAGTGGAGCCCGAGCTTAAGCGGGAGCTCGGATGCAATATTGCCTTCAATGGCAGGTGGAAAAGGTTCGAGGCCGGTATACCGTGCGCAAGCCGTGCAGCAGCTGGCTCTCCGCTTTGGCGACAAGCCTATTGTGCATCCTACATGCTACTACGTACTATCTGTCATCCAAATGAGTCCGTTACCAGCTACTACTTACTTGTTTACTCTGACAAATCGTCCCCCCGAGGAAGGCCCGAATCGGTCACACCGCATGCCTGGAAGTCTATCCGGCCTTCATGGCGAATTCCTTGATATCGGCAGCGGACTGACTTACTACGATGGCGAGATCCGCCGATCACCGATGCAGTCGCGTTCCAAGGTGGCTTTGGTCTACAGTACGGTCCTACTTAGTGACGGGAATATGATGCGACCGCTTCTTCGTCAGGTAATCTGACAGTAATGACTTCCCCGTTGTTCCTATGAGCCACTGCGGTGGCGATGTCCCTACACTTGCTAACGCGCGCACCCAAAAGGGTGAGGCTTTGTGTGGACCAACATACTTCATCCCGCTGCATGAGATATACGAACGCACATTGAGCCTCTTTGGATTCTGACGACCGCAGATAGGCTTGTATCCGTCCATGTCGGGCCGGGTATGGGGCACTAAGAAAATTCGGGCTGACCGGTTGTCAGGACACCACGGTAAAGCTGGACTGTAATATTGTCAGTGGCAAAATTCTCCTCTGGATGGTCCGCTCGAGGTATCTATCTGATAACAGCACGGGGTGTACTTAACCACTTCACACTAGAAGTTGGAGCCCAAGAGTCCTACTATCTATCTTCTGTATCGGGGGAAAAACTCACTACCTACGCCTCTGGATGCGGTCTGTGCGTGGCGGATGAGGGTGGCACAATCCAACGTTTAATTCCTCGAGATATACACATCTCCCATGAGCCTTGAGGACTATACTGACCAGACACTTGACATGGAGTGGATCAGGAGGATGATGTGTTGTTGATCATCGTTCATCCCAACGGCAGGCAGGGTAGCTTCCGGACCCTGGTAGCGATCATCGGGGAGATCCCAGCCGCCAATTTAGCCCAAGGGTTTAAGATCAGGAACCATTCGACAAGCGGTCTGGGGTGGGCCCCCACCGTGGCTGCATGCCATTTCATCGGGAGCCAATGGTCAGCGGGCATGAGATATTTAAGCCACGCTAATCGGGCGCTATCCAGGAAACCCGGTTAAATCATCCCGTAACCAATATGATCCGTACTAGCCGTATCTTGGAATATATCTCCAGTGTCCGTACAGAGTACACCGAGGTCCACGGTAGCACTGAAGCGGCCACACAGAACTCACGTGTGGCTCAGGGACCGGCGAGCGGTCATCGTAACTTGTACTCGGCATTCTGATACTGTGGTGGGCTCAGTTGGGTTGGTCATCGGTTTAATGCGAACGGCCGTACCGCCTTGAGTCAGCAGTTTGCAAACCGCCCAAAGGCGTGGCTTGTCCGTGCATATTACATGTCAACATCATTTGACAGTTGTCACGGCACCATGAAATGGGCACAGCGCTATACAATACCGAAGCAAGGGGATCCAGCCCGTTCGACAGAACAGGAAGGTGTGCCAAAAATCCCCGACCCCAACGATTTACTCAGAGACACCTTCCGTTCCTTTGACCTCGCAGGCGCACATCAGAAAGAGCTGACTTATAAGGAGATGATGAAACTCCATCTTCGATGTTGAACTCTTTCCAGAAGTCTTATCGGTATGTCAAAGGAACTCTGTGTCCATGTTACACAGAAATGGCGAGTTCAGGTATTATGGAAAGTGCAATTAGCTTTATCTAAGTAGAATTCACTCGGCACAGCCCGCTTATGAGCTCAAACGGACAGCCAGTTCCATTGACTTGTTTCCGGTCAATCCTCTCTTCTACTCCTCCTGAGATGCCTCTCCTCCCATTGTCTCGGGGCTCAGGATATCAGATAAGAATGAAACCAATCCCTGGACTGTTTCTGGGGTGTGTCGGGTGCTTACTCTCCTTGCATGAGCCTCCCTGATTCCTATTGCCCTGGAAAGGGCTGATACTATATCTTGAGACCGGGGGCTTTACAGAAAGTGTAAGACATTAACGACTGAGTCTCATTCAACAACAATGAAACATAAATTTGGGAGGCTTTGTAGAATCAAGCTCAAACCCCTCTCGAATACAAGTAAGGGGAGCAAACGCAAAGTAAAGCTATTAGATGTCGGTTTATCCGACCATAGGTACACATACCTGACCATGTATTGTTGTCGTAATATTTCCGAACATCTGCCAAATCCACGGTGCTATTTTCTCTTTTCCGTTCTGATACTTTTTTTCCTCCTACCCAACATTGCTTTTTCTTCAGTCTTATCACAACGTTTAACTTCCGGCGCCCGATTGCAGCGATAGGAGGCTGAGATTCTGACAGGGATCCACCTCATCGAACATCCCATCAGTTCTATCTGTGACCACTTCGGGAACGGAAGACGCGTACTCTTCGACGCCCTCCGGGTTCATGGTTCCCAGTTCTTCGGATCAACTGGTATTGTGATGCTGCGCTCGCCCTCAAGGCTGAGTCCTAATTCTCAGGTGTTCCATCGATGCAGGTAATCGGCAGTTGTATCACAATGCAGACTAAAACGCAAAGACAACTAACTATACCTACTACACGGCTATCCCGAACATTCCGATACACCGAGGGAGTTACACCATCGTGGGTACTCACAGTACACACGCGACGAAACTGATTTGTAGCCCTGGTTTCGGGCCATAGCCTGCTGTCTCTATCCAACAAACCAAACTTAGCCGAGCTCTACGGGGTGCTCGGAGCCAGAGCTTCAGTATTGCGCTCACCGTTCGCACCCTCAGAGTCGGGGGCTTGGTACTCTGCAGCCGCGCTGGATGATCAACCGTTTGCGATATAGACAGAGCATGGCACGGCAACTACACCGGCGATAGGATAACTGTACGTGGGCAAGATACTCTCGCTGATAGGTTATGGCATCATCCAATATTGAAGTTTAATAATAGCTTTGATCCAGCATGCCCGGTACGAGCACAGCACGCAGAATTTTCTTTTTGCCCCTCCTTCTATTTCAGACTGCCTCGTGGAACCGGGCTGACATATCGTATCTTTGAGGCCTAGCTCTGACTTCTGAAGGTGCGTGTCGAATGCATTCTATTGCTTGGGGAGGGGCTTCGCGACGGAGAAGTGCGCTGAAATGAAATGATAAGACAAAAATAAAACCGATAAGCAGGTCCCATTGAGTGCCCAGGTAGCAGGTATACGTAGTCTCGGTATCTAGCGAGGGCTGGCCTCTATTTTGGGCGATCTCCTCCGTGAAATCCTGTCGAGATATGCGCGCTCGGTAGCGAGTGGCATGTGCTATCGAGTAGACTATCAAAACATGCGCTGTATCTTGCATTGGCTTCCATAGGGGACATGGGCGACAAAGGATCGGTATAGACGATGCATGCGACTGGCATCCGGACAAGAGGCTATTCCGGCAGGACTATGTGATATATCAAACTTTTGACTGATCGAGCCTATCTAGCAGGATCATCATTGCCAGATTGCGCTAGTGGTGGAGCAATCTCAGTAGCAGTTGCGACTTGCAGCAGGCGCAATCGGACCCACAGACATTACAGATTACACAAAAGTCAAAGCAGGTAGGCAGAGTGTAGGTAGAGTGTAGACAGACCCACCTCGGTCTCAACCGTGGATAGTAAGGCAGTACTCCGTACCGAGACTGACCTCCCGGTATCCAGGGAACCGTCCCGAAGCCCTGTCCGATACATGGATACATGGATACATACCGACAGCGTACACACTTACAGAACACAACTAAGGCACTGACTACTGTCCGTCCTCACTTCGTGTCTCCCACCTCCCCCATCCTCCCACCCCCCAGCTTCCCTCGAAGCCAATGGCTGTCCACCCAGCTTGTCGTTTCGGATGCCAAAGTGATGTGACTCCAGTCATCACGGATGGCCCGGTGGCTGGTCTCGAAAAGGGAGGGCCCAAACCCCGCCCAAGACATGCGACATGGCATTGTCTCCATCGGCCTGGCTCTTGATCTACTGCCTGCTAGTAGTACGCCGACAAGAGCTAGTTCTCTGCCCCCGAGCAGCCGTCGATAACAGGTTAGGAAAGATCTTCGTTTCTTTTTCCTCGATCAGGCGATATCAATGGTCCCTCACTGGCCATCCTGTCTGCCTGTATATCATCGTGGACGGTGCTTCCTCCCACTTACCCACTCTGATCTTCCCTCCTGCAGGATTTCGGACATATACTCGGGCATATTGCTTTCTTTCTTTCTCCATTTTTCTTTTCTTTCTATTCTCGCATTGCCGCCACAGCAGCTGCATCTGCTGTGGACTCCTCTTTATTCCTGCCCTGTTTTATCTGCCGCTTCTTATTCGCTAACCCCATTCTTCGATAGCTTCTCAAAAACATAAAGAGGAAGACAGGCTACAGTATCCTTGGGCATAACTCTCCTCTGCCACCCCTCCCCTCGGATCCTGCTCCATTTGCAGACCCCTTCTCTTCGACCCTCCGTTATCTTCCTGGAACATATGTCGAGTATATAGAAACGAAAGGGAAGAAACGACGGTTCATTCTGCGTGACCGCTGATGATGAAGTGGGGGATTGCAGGCTCGTTGCTTGCGCTCTTCATATCAACAACAACAGCATGGCCCTATGAAGAGTCCTTGGTTGACTACAACCTCAATGTGAACAAGAACGCCACCAGCCCGTTCGAATACACCCCGCCAACATGGCCCGGCCACAACTACACAGCGTCCCCCAAGAACTGGCGCTTTCCCTTCTACACCCTCATGTTGGACCGTTTCGTCAATGGCGACCCCACCAACGATAACATCAACGGAACGCTGTTCGAACATGACCTCAATTCGAACCAGATGCGTCATGGTGGTGATGCAGTGGGCTTGGTTGACACTTTGGACTATCTCCAGGGCATGGGTGTTAAGGTTCGGGTCACCTTTCCAAAGACTTGCCCCTCTTTCTGTTCCTCTCGTTGCACGATTTACTGATCACTCGATACAGGGTATCTATCTTGCAGGTACTATCCTGATGAACCAGCCCTGGGGCGCTGACGGTTACTCGATTCTGGATACAACGCTACTGGATCAACATTACGGCACAATTGAGACATGGAGAAGCGCCATAGACGAGATTCACAAGCGTGGGATGTATGTTATCTTTGATAACACTATCGCAACGTAAGTAACGGGGTATCCTACTGCACTTTCATGAACCATCCTCTGATGAACAAATGTATATCAGCATGGGTGATCTGATTGGCTTCGATGGCTACCTGAATGAGACCACCCCGTTTTCGGTCGACGAATACAAAACAGTCTGGAAATCAAACCGCGAGTATGTCGACTTTCGCCCAGGGAACAAATACAACGCCACCTGTGATTATCCTCGCTTCTGGAACGAAACTGGCTGGCCGGTAGACAAAGATGTCCGGGAGGAGCTTGTTGGTTGCTACGACAGTGACTTCGATCAGTACGGTGACAGAGAAGCCTTTGGTGTCTATCCAGATTGGCAGCGTGAACTGGCAAAGTTCGCTTCAGTTCAGGATCGTCTGCGCGAGTGGCACCCCAGTGTCAGGGACAGGATCAAGCTTCATTCCTGCAACATCATCAAGGCTCTTGACATCGATGGTTTCCGCTACGACAAGGCCACGCAGGCCACCGTCGATGCCCTGGCTGATATCTCAAGCACTTACCGGGAGTGTGCTCGCAGTGTTGGGAAGAACAATTTTTTCATTCCTGGTGAAATTACTGGCGGTAATAACTTTGGTTCAATTTACCTCGGCCGTGGTAGACAACCTAACCAGTACCCAAAGTCTGCTATGGATGCTATTGCCATGACGAACAAGACCTCACAACAGTACTTCCTTCGCGAACCGGAGCTTGAAGCCATTGACGGCGCCGCTTTTCATTACTCGGTATATCGCACTCTCACTCGTTTCTTGGGTATGAGCGGTAACCTGGCTGCCGGTTACGATCTCCCATTGGACTGGGTCGATGCTTGGAACGTTATGATGCAGACAAACGACATGATCAATGCCAATACTGGAAAGTTCGATCCCAGACACATGTATGGAGTGACGAATCAGGATGTCTTCCGGTGGCCTGCTATTGAGTATGGTGTCGAGCGAAATCTCTTGGGATTTTTCATCACAACATTGCAAATGCCCGGTATCCCCCTTCTGCTTTGGGGAGAAGAGCAATCCTTCTACATTCTGGACGCTACTGCAGATAACTATGTCTATGGCCGCCAAGCAATGTCTCCTGCCACGGCATGGAGAACTCACGGCTGCTCTGCCATTGACGCGACTCAGTATTATGACTGGCCTATCACACAAGGCCGGGACGGCTGTCACGATCCGGGCGTGGCCTATGATCACCGCGACCCCTCTCACCCTGTCCGCAACATCATCAAGCATATGTATCAAATGCGAGAGAACTTCCCCATTCTGAATGACGGTTACTCGCTTCAGACCCTATCCAAGCAGACAAGGGATATCGTGTACCCGGGATCATACGGCATAGCCACAGAGACAGGAATGTGGTCTATCTTGAGAGATCGAGTCTCTTCGGTTCAAGACCTTGGCACTGACGAGGACAACCAATCTGTGTGGTTGGTTTATCAAAATGACAACAAGACCGTGGACTACTCGTTCAATTGTGGAAGCAACAACAGTGCTTTGATTGCTCCCTTTCCCACGGGGACCACCGTCAAGAACTTGTTCTATCCTTTTGATGAACACAAACTGAAAGACAGCCCCAAGAAACTTGGCTTGAACGGCTCAAAGGAATTCAACGGATGCCTTGACAGCATCACACTGAAACGCTACGATTTCAGAGCATATGTCCCAAAAGCACGATTCGTTGAACCTCGACCGATGATCACGAAGTTTTCCCCAGGTCATGACGCTCCACTGCTCTCTACGGTTGCTTTTGACGAGTCCGAGGAAATTGGTGTTAGCATCGAGTTTTCCACGAAGATGGATTGCGATGGTGTCACAAAGGCTATCTCTTTTGAGTCGCAAACTGAGTCCGGCAAAACTCCTTCCATTGACAACTCAAGCGTCGATTGCAGGTCTCTGACTGTGTCTAATAACACTCAATATGTGGGCCAACTTCCGAGCGCCTGGTCTTGGTCGGCCAAGCTGTCTGGTGTGTATAATGGTGTTCACAAATTGACCGTCAAGAATGCCACTGGCTCTGGTAGCACCGGCTCGACTGAGGCCGTGGATCATTTCTTGTTCCGTGTCGGCCAAAGCGACAATCCGGTTGTTTTCTTCTCGGCCAACTACTCCACCAACCTTCTTCACCAGTCCGATAATGGGTCTCTCTATATTCAGCATAGAGCACCCGGAGCTAGCAAGTACCGCTATTCGACAAATTGGGGGAGTACCTTTTCAGGCTGGTTCAACTACACAGGCGGCAATGATACTATTGAAGAATTGCCTTGGTCTGGAACCAACAAGCAAAAGTGGGATGGCCAACATGTGCGAGTTGAATACTGGAGCAAATTGACCGGTAGCAGCGACTACGTTCAAGAGGGTGACTACAACTGGGATGGCCCGACACGACGCTTTCCACACCTTTTCTTCAACGGGCCTTACAACCAATACGGCTTTGATGCTGGGTTGGACAATGTTGTGAAACAGGACAGTGAAGGATACTGGAACTTCAGGGTCGTGGCTGAGTATCCCGCACAAGGTCAATTCAATGTTTGGGGTATGGATCCAAACGGCCAGCCGGACGAGTCGTATGTGTTCGGTGATGTGGATGGAGATGGAGTCTTGGATCGCATGCCACCTTCCTCGCTCAGCAAGCTGTCTGTCAACATCACCAAAGTCCCCCCTTCGCCGTACCTCCTATGGAAAGTCCATCTAGACGATGGGACTATGCGACTGAACCTTGAGCCTACCGGATCTCGGATCTCCCAGCTTATTGTTTACATCCTGCTTTGGGTGGTTCCCATTTTGACGGCTGCGGCTTGTGTCTATGCCTTCATGAAATCATTCTACCAGGTCAAGTTCAACCAGGTCGGTGTCATGGAAAAGAAATCGATCTTTCCAATGCTCTTCGGCAAGAGGTTAAACCATGATGGCCAGTCAACAAACCCTCTGATACGGCTCGCCAATAGATCAGGATTTCTCCAGAGCACGTCTGCGTTCGCTGCAGCTGGCTCACGGCGGCGGACTACGCTGATTGCAACCATGGAATACGACATTGAAGACTGGGAGATCAAGATCAAGATCGGAGGCTTGGGTGTTATGGCCCAGTTGATGGGGAAGCACCTTGGAGATCAAAACCTCATCTGGGTCGTTCCTTGTGTCGGCGGAGTGAACTATCCAGTCGACCAACCCGCCGACCCGATGTTTGTCACAGTCCTTGGTAATCCATACGAAGTCAAGGTTCAATATCACGTCATGAAGAACATCACCTATGTTCTACTTGATGCCCCGGTGTTCCGTCAACAATCGAAGACTGAGCCCTACCCTGCTCGCATGGATGATCTGGACAGCGCAATTTATTACTCTGCATGGAACCAGTGTATTGCCGAAACTATCAAGCGCTTTGGGATTGATTTGTATCATATCAATGACTATCACGGCTCGATTGCTCCGCTTTACCTCCTGCCTCAGACGATTCCGGTTTGCCTCTCACTCCACAATGCTGAATTCCAAGGACTTTGGCCCATGCGCACGCAGAAGGAGAGAGATGAGGTCTGTTCAGTCTTCAACCTCGACATCGACATTGCAAGACGCTATGTGCAATTTGGTGAAGTCTTCAATATGCTTCATGCTGGAGCAAGCTACCTCCGCGTCCATCAACAAGGGTTTGGTGCTGTTGGTGTGTCCAGGAAATATGGAAAACGTTCCTACGCGCGCTATCCTATCTTCTGGGGCCTGAAGAAGGTTGGAAACTTGCCCAACCCCGATCCATCTGACACCGGTGAATGGAACAGGGAGTTGCCCAAGGACAGTGACATTCAGGTTGATCCGATCTACGAGGCTGGCAGAGCAGAATTCAAACGACAGGCGCAGGAATGGGCAGGGTTGGAGCAAAATCCCAATGCAGACCTTCTTGTGTTCGTGGGGCGTTGGTCCATGCAAAAGGGCGTGGATCTTATTGCTGATGTGATGCCTGCTGTTTTGGAAGCCCGTCCCAACGTGCAACTGATCTGTGTTGGCCCGGTCATTGACCTTTATGGTAAATTTGCCGCGTTGAAACTGGACCGCATGATGAAAGTTTACCCAGGGCGTGTCTTCTCAAAGCCCGAGTTCACAGCTCTTCCACCTTACATCTTCTCTGGAGCTGAATTTGCTTTGATTCCGTCGCGCGACGAACCTTTTGGACTTGTCGCTGTTGAATTTGGTCGAAAGGGTGCACTGGGCATTGGTGCGCGCGTTGGAGGTCTGGGCCAAATGCCAGGCTGGTGGTATAACATTGAGTCCACGACAACTTCTCACCTCTTGCATCAATTCAAACTTGCCATCGGAAGTGCCTTGAACTCCAAGACTCAAGTTCGGGCGAAGATGCGAGCTCGTTCAGCCAAGCAACGATTCCCAGTTGCTCAATGGGTGGAGGATCTGGAAATCTTACAGTCGACTGCAATGCGGATCCACAGCAAAGGGATGACCAAATCGAACGTTCAACCTCTGTCATCTTCAGGTTACAATACTCCCAGTGGACTTATGACACCTACTATTGCATCTTCAGGACATCTCACCCCGGTTGGAATGCAGACTCCCCCAATCGCACATTCTCGCGAAGGAAGCTACTCCAATATCAATCGCCTCAGCGCCTACGGGCCACAGCAGCGGAACACCATTGTGTACAGTCGGGACCCAAGTCCTGGTGCCAACGAAAAGCCCAAGTCAGGCTTGAGCAGACAGTTATCGCTTGGTGTACGCGCTGGACCTGGTCATCTCATCCGTCGCGGACGCCGCCGCATGAGGAGAAGCATGGGGCATGATGAAAGTGCCAATGCTTCGAACACTGAGGAGAGCAGTGACGACGACATCATGCCCAGCTACTATGGAGAAGAGGAGTACACGCTGACCCCAGAGCAAGTCGAAGAAGGACGTCGAGCGGAGGCAGCCCAGCATCTCGACGGTCAAAGGCAAACCCCTGTCAGAGACTATCTCAGTCGGAGACACTCCAGCCAGAGCACGCTTCCACCTTTGTCTCTTCTCTCTCCGACCTCGCCCGGAAGCCCCGAGCCAGAAGACGCCGTTATAACCCCCGTGAGACCATATATCAACGAACCTGGGAACCGCCTGAGCAGTGCATCTGTCTTGTCTGTTGACTCGATCATTGGCGAGAAGAAAGATTTCAAACTGCAGAAGGTGGACCCTTTCTTTACGGATAGCAACGGTGAATACTACAAGGTGTTTGAGAAGAAATTGGAAAACTTGAATGGCCACAACTCCGAATCACAGCTCTGCATTGAGGAGTACCTGGTTAAGAGTGAGAAGAAGTGGTTCGATAAGTTCAGAGATGCAAGACTTGGCCGCAACCAATCACCTGCTGGTTCGATCTTCCACAACAGCAAGGAGAACAACTCGGGATCAGTCTCCAACGATGACATGATTTCGCGTGAAAGTGGAAGCGACGGACGGCAAGAGAAGGATGAATTCCTGCTCGGGACTGATTACGTGCCCCCCACCGGCCTTAGGAAATGGATGCAGGTTCGAATTGGCGATTGGCCAATCTATTCATTCTTTCTGGGCCTTGGACAGATCATCGCAGCCAATTCTTACCAGATCACTTTACTGACAGGCGAAGTGGGTGAAACTGCTGATAAACTCTATGGAATTGCGGCTGTGTACCTGGCCGCGTCTATTGTTTGGTGGTTCTTCTTTCGCTTCTTCAAGTCAGTCTTCGTGCTTTCACTACCTTGGCTCCTTTACGGCATATCATTCGTCATCATTGGTGTTGCGCACTTCGAGAAGGATACTTTTACTCGCGGTTGGATTCAGAATGTCGGTGCAGGTATCTACGCTGCGGCATCTGCCAGTGGCTCTCTGTTCTTCGCCCTCAACTTCGGTGATGAGAGTGGGGCTCCCATTAAGCAGTGGGTGTTCCGTGCATGCATCATTCAAGGCAGTCAACAGGCCTACATCATTGGTTTGTGGTACTGGGGTACGAGCATATCCCAGGCCGTCCAAAGCGGGCAAACCAATGTCCAGGGCTACATCACAGAGACCTGGAAGATGACGTGAGACTCCCTTTCTGGTTATGTTCTTGGCAATAATTCTAACGCATGATAGTGCCATCTGTATACCAATTGCCGTCTTCTTGTGGGTCGTTGGTCTTCTGATCTTCTTCGGCTTGCCTAGTTACTACCACCAGACACCCGGAAAGGTTCCTTCATTCTACAAGTCGGTGTTCAGACGCAAGATTATCCTCTGGAACTTCGTGGTGGTTATCCTGCAGAACTTTTTCCTGAGTGCACCCTATGGTCGGAACTGGAGCTGTAAGTATCTTAGTTACCTCTTCAACCGTTCGATGCTAATGGCTGTCCTTACAGTCCTCTGGAACTCCGCACATGCAAAAGGCTGGGAAGTGGGGATTCTCTGCATTGTATTCTTCGGTTTTGTCTGGGCAGGTCTCCTATACATCTTCGGCTTCCTCTCCAGAAGCCATAGTTGGATTCTCCCCGTCTTCGCTTGTGGTTTGGGCGCGCCACGATGGGCACAAATATGGTGGGGTGTCTCAGGCATGGGTCTCTACCTCCCCTGGGCAGGCGGTTACACCGCTGGTGCCCTGGTGTCTCGAAGTCTATGGCTATGGCTCGGAGTCCTGGACTCCCTTCAGGGCGTCGGGTTCGGTATGATCTTGCTTCAAACTCTAACAAGAATGCACATCTGCTACACGTTGCTGGCATCCCAAGTGCTGGGTTCAGTCGCAACGATTTGCGCGAGAGCATTCGGTCCGAACAAGATCGGCCCTGGGCCTATCTCTCCGGATATCACAGTGGGAGCCAGCGCCATAGCGAATGCTTGGTTCTGGGTTGCGCTCTTCTTCCAATTACTCATTTGGTATGTCACTCCCTGTCCTCTGATAATACAACCAGTTGGACGTCAACTAACTGTATCCCAGTGCCGGATTCCTCATGTTCTTCCGGAAAGAACAGCTCACGAAGCCTTGATTGATCTTGTTCCGTCCTTCTTCCGCTGCTTCTCGCAGCACCCAGCTCAACCAACCAACCAACCACCACGAGCTGGCCAATAATACACACTCGAAGAAGATCAATCCAGGGAGGAAAGCGAATCTTTCCCCCAGCATCCTCACCATTTTCACCCACACATGCACGCGCCCTTGTATATTATCTATCATCCATCCATCCTCTCCCTCAACCGGCACAACCGACGCATTGCATTGCTTCGCCTCGCATCGCATCACGCCACCCTCACGTACATATACCTGCGTGATTTCATCATTCACTGCTTCTTTCATGAGCCTTTTAGCATTCATTTCACGAACGGCATGTGTTCACGCTCTTTATGCTTTTTACCTGATACCGATCTAGCCTGGGATGAATACGCGTCTGACGAGATATTGATTGCCTGCTTGCACAGACATAGGAGGACGGTTTTGTTGTTACATGATTGATTGATTGATTTAGTTGTTTGACTGCTAATGTTTGTGTTTGTGTTTTTGATTATATTTCAGGGGTTTTTATCTATCTATCTATCTGTGTTTTGCTGTTGTTAATTTTTTTTTCTTTTGCTGCCTTGTGTTTACTGTGTTTTGATGTAGTTATTAGGTTTTTTGTTTATGTTTTGTTTACTGTTATTGTTATTGCTATTGGTTTTGGATCCTTGTTAGGAAAGAAAATATTCGAGTTGGTAATTGGGGATGTCGTGCAATAGGTTGAGCATCTTAATATCTGATCAGGCAGACAGACACACAGACAGACAAACAGACAGACAAACAGACATATAATCCTAAATGATAATTGGGTTGGATTAATTACCTTTTTGGTTTATTTATACTTCGTTACTTACATCAGGGTATCTTTCTGTAGGCGGATAACTTGTGGTATAGATAGTGAGAGATGACGCTCTAGCTGCAGGACAGGAACAAGGGGGATAAATGGTATGAACAAAATGTTTATTTATAAATAGTAGGTAAGGTATTTATTAGCCCTATCTCATGGGATTGAGTTTCCTCTTCTCGCTTCCTTCCTTCCTTCCTTGGAAGGGCCCATCCAACCCAATGCAATAAAGTCCCATCCGTGTAGCCAATCAAGTCAAGTCAAGTCCAGTCGTTTTTCCCCAGAACGAAGAGTGATATATAACCGAAAGTCAAACAGAGTGTAAAACAAAAAGAAAAACATAAACAAAAAGAAAAGCAGCTACATTATGGTCGTATCAAGAGTCCGTCCGTCCTCGTGCATGTACATAAAAGCAAAAGCAATTGATGCATCTGCAAATGTCTACCACTCCAAAGGCTCATTCTTGATATCACCCCTGTTCGTCTTGGGGACAGGAGCGGCCTGGACCATAGTGGCACGGTTACCACGCTTCAGGTAACCACTGCCATCGAGCCAGGGAGTCTCGAGGGTGCGCTTGGACTCGAAAGCCCGGATCTTGCTCTCCATCTGGAGAGTGAGACCGATATCATCGAGGCCGTTGATGAGGCAGTGCTTGCGGAAACCGTCGACATCAAACGACGCGAGCTTGTTGCCCTCCGCGTCCTTGATCTCCTGGTTGACGAGATCGACCTCGACCTCGCGGCCGGCGTGAGCCTCGGCGGCGATCTTCTGCAGAACGGCCTCGTCGGAGATGACCACGGGGAGCATGCCGTTCTTGAAGGTGTTGTTGAAGAAGATGTCCGCGAAGGAGGGCGCGATGATGCACTTGATCCCGAAGTCGAGGAGCGCCCAGGGCGCGTGCTCGCGGGAGCTGCCGCAGCCGAAGTTGGGACCCGTCACGACCAGGATCTTGGAGTCGCGGTAGATGCCCTGGTTGAGGACGAAGTCGGGGATCTCGGCGCCGTCTTTGTAGCGCAGTTCGTAGAACAGGGCGCTGCCGAGACCCGTGCGCTTGATCGTCTTGAGGAATTGCTTGGGGATGATCGCGTCGGTGTCGACGTTCGAGCGGTCCATGGGAGCGGCGATGCCCTTGAGGGTGGTGAATTTGGGGAGTCCGGCGCTGGAACCGCTGCCGGCGGACGAGTTGGTGTGCGGCTCGTTGTCGCCGGGGAGGTCCATGATCCGCTCGAGTTCGTCTTCGGTTGAGGGCTCCTCGTAGGTTTGTTGGACGTCGATCTTGGGTTGCGCTTTGCCGAGGACCGGGCTGGAGATGATGTGTTCGCGGACGTCGGCGAGCTTGCCGACGATGGCGGCGGCAGCGGCCATGGCGGGGGACATCAGGTGGGTGCGGCCACCGGCTCCCTGACGGCCCTCGAAGTTCCGGTTGGAGGTACTGGCGCAGCGCTCCTGGGGGGAGAGGATGTCCGGGTTCATGCCGAGACACATGGAGCATCCGGCTTCTCTCCATTCGAAACCGGCGTCGGTGAAGATCTTGTCGAGACCCTCGGACTCGGCCTGCTGCTTGACCAGACCGGAACCGGGGACGACCATGGCACGCTTGATGTTGGAGGCGATCTTCTTGCCGCGGACAACCTTGGAGGCGGCGCGCAGATCCTCGATACGGGCGTTGGTGCAGGATCCGATGAAGACCTTGTCGACCTGGATGTCCTTCATGGGGGTTCCGGCGGTGAGACCCATGTACTGCAGGGCACGCTTGCAGGCGAGCTTGCGGTTCTCATCCTCGAAGTCGTCGGGGCCGGGCACGACGCCGTTGATGGGGATGACGTCCTGGGGGGAGGTACCCCAGGAGATGGTGGGGATGATATCCTTGCCGTCAATCAGGACGGTCTTGTCGTAGACGGCGTCTTCGTCAGAGGCCAGGCTGGACCAGTGGTTGACGGCCTTCTTCCACTCGGGGCTGTCGACCTTGGGGGCGAGGGGCCGGCCCTTGAGGTACTCGAAGGTGATCTCATCGGGGGCGACCATGCCGGCACGAGCACCAGCCTCGATGGACATGTTGCACATGGACATACGGGCCTCGATGCTCAGGTTGCGGATGACGGATCCACAGAACTCGATGACGGCACCGTTACCACCGGCCGTACCGATGACACCGATGATGTGAAGGACCACGTCCTTGCTGGTGACACCGGCGGGGAGCTCACCATCGACCTGGATGCGCATGTTCTTGCTGCGGCGGGTGATGAGGGTCTGGGTGGCGAGGACGTGCTCGACCTCGCTGGTACCGATACCGAAGGCGAGGGCACCGAAGGCACCGTGTGTGGAGGTGTGGCTGTCACCGCAGACGACCGTTGTGCCGGGGAGGGTGAACCCCTGCTCGGGTCCGATGATGTGGACGATACCCTGACGCTTGTCGCCCATGCCAAAGTAGGTCAGACCGAAGTCCTTGACGTTCTCTTCGAGGGTGGAGCATTGGAGGCGGGAGTCGCTTTCCTCGATGAATTCGTCGACGTTCTTGAAGTTTTTGCGGGAGGAGGTGGGAATGTTCTTGATTGATTGAGTCAGTCAGTAGCTGTGCTAGGATGAGAAGAAAAGAAAAGAAAAGAAAAGACATACGTGGTCAACGGTCACCAGAGTGCAGTCCGGCCGGCGGACTGGACGACCAGCATTCTTCAGACCCTCGAAAGCCTGGGGGGATGTGACTTCGTGAACCAGATGTCTGTCGATGTAGATCAGGAGAGTGCCATCTTCCTGCTCGTTGACGATGTGGTGGTCCAGGACCTTGTCATACAAGGTCTTGGGTTTCCTATCAGCGCCAGGCATGATGGGCAAGTATAGAGGAAGTATAGAAAGTGGAGTGGGAAGAAGAAGAAGTGAGGAAGCAGTGGTGGAAGAAGAGATTCGAGGGTATAGGCTAAGGGGAAAGACGGGAGGAAAGGCTGTCAGCCAAGGAGAGGGATATCACGGAAGGGTCTATAGATCGAAGGAGGGCAGAGGAAGACGAGGTGATTTTAACTGGGCGTTTGCGCGATGTCGCAGAGCAGCGGTCGAGGGGCACCGCCGGTGTCGGTGGTCAGCGCCCAATGCTCGGGTGGCAATTGGCCGGCGGGAAAAGTCTGGGGTCCGACGGAGTCCGACACCGGCCGGAGTGGCGCTTAGACACGGCGGCTCGGCAAAAGCCTGACTAACGGGCTGGGAATGATTGGCACCCGCGGATAATTATTGCATTAGTGTCAAATAGTATAGCAATTAGACTGGAAATTAAAGAGTAGATAGATACAACAAGAAACTAGATACTTCATCACATCATGAACCCTCTCATGCCGGACTGATCGGCTTCGCGGACTGCACCCACGCAATCGGCGCATTGCTTGCCAACAACCCGCTCGTCTTCCCCGTCACCTTGGGATCCACCCCGATGAAGTTGTTAGGGAAGCCCACATCGAGGGGTCGCACGCTCTCCAGGTACTCGATTTGCTCCGGGGTCAACTTGATCTTCAACGCCTGGATGTTGTCGTACAGGTGTTCGACCTTGCGGCCACCCACCAGAGGGAATACATTGGGGGCCTTGGCCATGACATAGGCCAACGCAATGGCCGTCACTGATTCGATGCCATGCTCGCCGGCGACCTTGGCCAGGGCTTCGCTCATCTGGATCTCCTCCTCGCTCTGCCACTTGCCTCCGATCATGGACCGCAGCGCTTCTCCCTTCTGCTTACGCTCCTCAACCGCCTTCTTGGTCTGGAACTTGCCGCTGCCGAGCACGTCCCAGGGGGCCAGGGCCATGCCGAAGTGCCGTGCCATGGGGATGATCTCGCGCTCGAAATCCCGCAGCATGACGTTCCACCGCCCCTGGTATATGCTGAAGGGGGTCTTCCCGTGAGAGCGGGCATAGTAGTTGGCCGCACTGACGACCCACGCGGGAGAATCCGAGATACCCAGGTAGAGCACCTTGCCCTGTTCAACCAAGATATGCAGACTGTCCATGATCTCCTCGATCGAGGTCGAGTGGTCCCACCAGTGGAGGTACAGGACATCGATCCAGTCGGTCTGGAGTTTGCGCAGAGAGTCGCGCACGCTCATGTGCAGGCTTCGCCGGTGGTTTCCGCAGTGGTTGGGCGCGTTGCCCTTGCCCAGGGCGTAAGACTTGTAGTCGGTCGTGAATTTGGTGGCCAACACGAGCTGGTCCCGGTTCTTCCGCTCAGCCATCCATTCGCCTAGCCAGGTCTCGGATTGTTCGTATTGGTAATTGTTTGCCGTGTCAATGAAGTTTCCTCCGGCTTCCACAAAGGCGTCCAGTAGCTTGAAGGAGTCTTCCTTGCTCATTGAGCCCATGACCCCGGACCAGGCATCGCCGATTGACATGGCACCCAGCTGGAGAGGAGACACACGGATGCCCGCGGTCGACGAGAGGATCCGGTACCGACCGAGCTCGGTGCGTGGCTCCGGAGCAGGCTGGAAGAATTCAGACATGGTGAAGTTGATGGTGATAAAAAGCTATGTGGTGATTTGAAAAGACGAGATGTATTTATGAAAGTTGATCTGAGTGAAGGATGAGAAGTGTCGATACTGTTGCTGTTCTTTGCTCAGCGATGGCGTAAAGGGGGCCATTTTATACCTCGCCATTGCTCTCGTGAAGGAAAACCGAACTTGCCATCCTCATGGACAAGCCGTCAGCCGCCATCCAATGTATGCTAACTCCGGCCTCTGAGTTCTAGCAATCCCGACTTGAGATAACTTGATCATCGATCGTGAGGTCCTTGAAGTGGGTAACTACGAGACACTAGCGGTCATCCATGGACACGGAAACCTAATGCCCGCACTTGACAGTGTTGGTTAAGGAGGCAACGACCCGGAAATAACTAGCATCCTTGTGCAGTTAACGGCGAAGTCAGGATGACGCCCCGGCCCTCCGGGTGACGAGGATCGAGAGTGAAGAATCCACCACAGTGGGTCTGGACCGGAGGAGACGCGGAGTTAGGCATTTTGACTGCCAGGACAGGGGTCAGCCAGTCCTTATTTCCAAGGTCCAGTAAATACGCAACAGGTATACCCACCGCAGCAGTACTATGTTAGCCTGAAGCACAGATCTGCTCAGAACTGTGATGATCCTCCCGGAAGCTCGGGTGTTTTCTGCAGAAATAGACCAGTCTGAATGGTCTCACGCTCGGGATTCGGAAGAAGGGTGATCTGATGAAGTCTACCGGGCCCCTCCCTATGGTACTCTCTTGCGAGTCGAAACAGCAGATTAGCAGGATATCCGTCCTGTTGCCCGAGTGAGTGAAGGAGGGATGACACGATTCAGTTGCCGGACAGCCGGAGTTAAGCTTCCGCCGCTAGTCAGCCAACAACTACTAACTAATCCTATTCAGTACCAGGTTACCGTACGGGGAAGTGATAATAATGGATTTCACAGGCAGGCAGGGTATAACATCACTCTATTAATACCGCAGAAACAACTGTTACATAAAATACACTCTAGAACGGCTATACGGGAGTTCCAAACGCCCGGTTGTCCTCCCGAAAGACCAGTAGCGCCAGGCGATGTCGCACGAACAGACCCAACAGTCCGCAAACCGTCTGAACACCCACCATGTGCCAGGCGAGCTGGTTCTCCTTCATTGGCCCGGCCCAGACAAGCCACAGATTGAGGATGGTCAAATTCGTCGATTCGACGATCTGACCCTTGTCGTTCTTCGTCACGCGCACCAGGCGGAGCCGGTGCAGGAGCTCTAGGATAGTCGCAATGGGTGGTGAGGGTGGCACGGTCCATTCTGTCACCGATGCGTCTAACAATCCAGAGACGGAATTGAACTTCGGCAGACGATGGCGCGGACAAGGGATCACGTGGAAGAGCTGGGGGGTCGAGTACAGGAAGTTGAAGATCTGCGGGATGAAGAGAAGCAGTAGCGTTTTGCTGAAGTGGCCCAAGATGCCAACCACAGCAAACACCATTCCCGCAAAGTAGCAGTAGGTGTCGCCGACAAACACTTTGGAAGGGTACCAGTTATGGCACAAAAGGGCCAAGGAAACCCCGACGAACGGCAGCAGAAAGTATAGGGAAAACAGATGCGAGTCGGTCGCAGGATGCGGGTACGGTGTGATGGGTGCCAGGTATAAGACGTCGTTCGCTATCAGCAAGCCCGCAATCACGAGAGACTGGGCCACCTCCACCCCGTTGATTCCGGCCAGCATGTTTATCGAGTTCGGGCAGAAGATCGCCACGGCTGCCATGTATCCGTAATACAACCAACCAAGGTCGATAGTGGAGCCCAAGTAGGGCTGCAGGGGGACGGGGACAACGACCTGGGTGACGCCAAAGTCGACGAAGTAGACGATGAGCATTGGAATGGCGCCGAATGCGGGGATGAGGACTTTGTGCCTCCAGCGAATGTCAAGCAAGTCGTCGCCGATCCCAAGGATCACGATACATTGCAGGGAAAGGAGGCCGGAGAGATAGGACGCGAGCTGTTGTTCTCCGGTGTCAGTAGTCGATTAATGCCGGTCATGATCGCGGGAATTACGAACCCTGCCATGAGGAAACCGGTGGAGCATGCGACCAGTTTCAACATGCTCAACCTCAATCACCACATCTCGGTTGCCTCCACCCGAGGTGGCTGCCACGATATCCTTGTAGAAAGCAAACGGGATGAAGAAGATCAGCGCAAGGAGATAGACAATAGCGCAAACCGCGCCCATCGTCTCCGGTCTAGCAAGCATAAGCGCATTAGTCGATGATGGGCTTATTCACTGGACATGGGGGAATCTCATACATTTCCGGCCTCCGCGGCTTTGCCATGTCCTTCCCCTTCAGCCCGGCCTTCATAAATACCGGCCCGAGCCATCTGATCAAGCTGAATGTGACCGCGAACGCGATGCCGCTAAACGCAGTCGAAGCTACCAAGGGCGCGCCTTCACCTTGGAAGGTATTGAGAAGGATACCAACGCAGGCTCCCACTAGGACCAGGAGACGCCAGGTCTCCCAGTGGGAAAGGGAGCTCGAAGTTTCTGAACTCATGGCGCCAAAGCAGATGCAGCTGTCAGCATACCTTCAGGCACCTCCTGCGACTTTGAGGCCTTGGCCTTATTTTGAGAGAGGCAATCTCGAGAAAGGCAAGGTGGCATCATGGCAGGGGGAGGGGGGGGGGAGACGGACAGAGTGGAGAAGCTGACGAACGTCGTACTAACAAGTTGACAACCCCGTTCTGCCGGCAGATTCGGGCGAGGACGGGACTGACCGCCGTCGGGGTGGGCGGTGACAGATGGTGGCCGCAATCGGGCAGTTCGTGGCTGACATAATCAGCACGGCGCGAGGGAACGACTAGTAGTAGTCACTAACTACTCCGTACTACGTAGTAGTATCACATCCCGGCACTTCACATGCCTTAGTGGTCTATAGGTGACGGACGGGGGCAAAAGAAGAACAAATAACCGTCGGGTTCGCATGGGACAGTGGAAGGCCTCTCTCCCACCTCCGAGGTCTGTCTGTGGATTAATTACCAACGCGTCGCTGGAGGCTTGTTTGGAGGCGGTACTTAGTGGTCGCTGGTCTCTGATTGGGGTTGCCCGCACACGCACACGCCCACAATGTCTGGGTTCGCCGACTTTGATGCCGGCCATCGGGACTTGGTCTCCGTCACCAAGTTCAATTTCTATGGCAATCGCATCGTCACCGCCTCGTCCGACCATCGCATGAAGGTCTGGGATCTGAAAGATGGGGAATGGCAGCTAGTAGATACTTGGCGTGCACATGACGCAGAGATTCGTGATGTAAGCAACCTTGGTATCTGGTCTGGTATTTGTGGTGTTTTTAACCTCTGTTACTCAGGCCACCTGGAATGGCCCCTTTACGGGCCAGCACATTGGCAGTGTCGGCGAGGACATGAAATGCAAGATCTGGCAGGAAGATGTTACGCAGCCCCCCAACTCAGGCCGGCGGTTTAGGTCCATCTTTCGTATGACTGCGCCGCAACGCCACCCGTTTGTCTCCATTGACTTCCGCAACATCGACCTCGAGTCCTGGCTGGCTCTCATCACTCGCGATGGCTATCTCATGATCATGGAGCCGGTCAGCCCGGACACCCTCGCCGACTGGCAGCCCCTGGATCAGTTCCGCGTCTGCACCGCCCCGCAGAGGGGAGAGGAAACAAGCTTCAAGGTGCAGTTCCACCACGATCCTACCGACATCACCCACTCCGCCTTGCCCTCCTGGGATCGCAAGAGCCTGTCGCTGGTGGTCGCCGCCATGGACAGCGTGAAGGTGTATCGAACCGATGCGAATCGCCGGTTCTACCACGCAATTGAATTGACCGGACATGGTGGTCTGGTCAGAGACATCTCGTGGGCCAACGGATCGGTCAGAGGCTATGATCTGATCGCTAGTGGATGCAAGGATGGCTTTGTTCGCGTTTTCGAGGTTTATACTGTTGCTTCCGACACTGGGGCCCAATATCCCAACGGCAATCATACTCTGTCTTCTGTGCAGGCACCATCTACTACTAGTAGTGTCCGTGCCACAACGCAGTCGGGGATCGGGTCGGCTCTTGCAAGCCGCGCACCGGCATCGATGTCCAGTCGTGTGGCAACTGAAGATTCGCAATTCAAGCATTCGTACAAGGAAGTCGCATGCATCGATAGCAAGCACCTTGACGTGTGGCAAGTGGGCTTCTCATACGCGGGTGAATAGCGTACCCCCTTCGGTCTATGTTCATGATGACTAATGTCTATATAGGTGACTGCCTGATTTCCTCCGGAGATGATGGTATTGTACGATTCTGGAAGAAGTCTCTTTCCGGGGAGTGGATCGAATACGCGGAGACAGATATGGCTTACCAGTAAACGCCGTATCGCTTTCTCCAATTCCCTCACATCTGTCTACCGGGACTCGGCCCTTTGTGTCTGGATTCAGTCATCATTCCACTTTATCCCCGTGGCCCACGGGCAATTATTGGTCTTGTTTGGGCGATTAGCCCTGCTTCCTCCCCTACTCCTTCGAAGAATTCTTCTGCATCCTTACTGTTCGCGTTGGCGTTTCTTGCGGTCTATTTCTGGCGGGTCTTAGATCTTGCATTGAGTTGTTTCCCCCTCTGCAGCCATTCCTGCTCTGTTTGGTATACAATGATACCCATGGGTCTCTGGCTTGTCTGTCCTCTAACGTCCTGGCGCCTTCCCGGTAAGGTGTCTACTTCTTCTTAATGTTCGCGGATTTTTCGGTTTCCTTGTTTTCCTTGTCTTTCCCTTGTCTCCGAATTAGAAAGCGCAGCTGTTCATGAAGAAGGAAGGGACGGCGGGTTTGTCGTCCCTTCCATTGTATCAAAGCTTCCAATCCTTTCTGGCTAGCAAGGGGAAAAGAGGGTACTGGCGACCAGTCTTACCTGTGGTTACCAGTACTCAGGACCCATCGGAAGAGGAAGGAAGCACCCTTGCCGCAACTCTGGCAACCACGTCTGGGGCGTCTCATTTCTACCGACAACACTGCGGCACTCGTAGTCTTTCTGGACCTCATCCACATTGTCATTCTTAACCACGCGTCATGGCTATTATTCCCACTTTTGGAACGGGTCTTTTCATCGGGGCCGGCCAGGCCCTGGCTGCCGGTGGCCCAGCATCATTACTTGGCTCCTACATATTGCTATCTGCGTTGGCTTACTGCCTGACGACCGCCAATGCAGAGATTGCAGCTCATCGACCGGCTCCTCACGGTACGTTGGTGGCCAACAGTTTCGAATACGGCTCGAGCCACCTGGGATTCTCCCTAGGCTACCTCCGCTGGTACTCTCTAGCGATGATGGTTCCTTTTGAAATCACCACTGCCATGGTCAACCTTGGCCTATGGAATCCCGAGCCCAAAATGGCGGTTCGCCTCTCGATTGTCGCGATCCTGATCCTCCTCTTCAACATGCTCCCGCAACGGGCTTTCAGGCGAACCGAGACCGTGTTCACGGGCTTGAAGATCGTTACCACCGCTGGCTTGGCCCTGTGCTCGCTGTACCTCGCCATCAGAGGTCTTCCCGGTACGCCCGTCCGAGGCTTCCGCTACTGGCACGAGCCTGGCCCCTTGAACGAATACCTAGTCCGTGGCAACCTAGGTCGCTTCTTGGGCTTTCTGCAGTGCCTCCTCTACAGTGTGATCTCTTTCACCTTGACCCCGGAGATCACGGTCCAAAGGGCCGAGCAGTTCAACAACGAACAGGGCCCGGGCATCTTGAGCAGGGCTAGAGTGGACAGTGTCCAGTTCTTCGTGCTGTACCTCCTTACTGTGTTCATGATGACTTTCGCCAGTCCATTTGACGAGTCTCGCCTGACAAATCATGGCATGGGCGCTGGGGAGTCGCCGTTCATTGTGGGCATGAACCGGGCCCAAATCCCTGTGCTGCCTGTGATCGTCACCGCGCTTTTTTTCCTGTCGTCGATTGCTTCCGGGCGCTCTTTCCTATATATCTCCTCGCGCGCACTGTACAACCTGGCCGAGAATGGCCATGCCCCCGCCCTGTTCGCGACTCGAAATCGGTGGGAAGTCCCATATGCTGCCATCATCGCGTCTGCTACGTTCTCGCTGTTTGCTTTCATGTCCCTGGCGGAGTCCAGCTCGGCAATCTTCAACTCGCTGATGTACTTCATCACGACGTCCGGCTCCATCTCATGGCTGTGCTCATGCATCATCTGTTCTCGACCCGGGGCATCACGGAGTCGGTCCCAACATGATTTTTTCCCCCGCGTGGCCCTAGTGAATGTGTGCTCGGCTTCCTGTCAGGACTCGGATCCGACCACATCGTTGGAGTCGGTCCTGTCGACGGCGACAAGCGGGTGCTTGATCCGACACTGGTCCCATCTTCCTCCTCCTCGTCTGCAATGGGCTCCAGCACGCGAACATCGTCGGATCCGGCTTGGCTGGAGAAGTCGTTTCCGCGCAGCTGTGACCCCCTGGGCTTGGACACGGAGCGGGTCCCGGACTTGGAAGCGCCCGCGGTGGCCGACGGGTAGACACAATCACGGTTGCCCTTGCGACATCGGTCGCAGATGGGGCGCGCCTCATCGCACTTGATCCGGCGGGAGCGACAGGTGAAACAGCCGCTGCGGGTACGCTTATGCTTCTTTTGGTCGGATGTGGGTTGTATGAGCGATTGGGGCTTCGGAGGCACGGACGGATAAGAGGCGGAGGCGGCGGGAGGAAGTGGCGGCTGGGGCTGCGCGGGCGGATTGTGCCAGAATGCGACACTGTCTGGATACTGGCCGGTGCCCAGGATCGAGTAGGCGGAAACCGGGGTGTGTTGGTCTTGGAGAGACAAAAACGAGGGAAGATGGCCTGTTAGGGAGGCCTGGGAACGGGAGTACGGATGTGCCATGGCGCGGATCGCATCGAACAAACCAGGCGGATCGGGGTCGAGATGGCCGGCATCGACTGCAGTCGCTCAGGACCAGATAGACGGGCACCGATGGTGGGGAGACCCGATCCGCATCTCCAGCGACGGCGGCGGTGGGGAGGAAGGATGGGATGGATGGAGGGCAGGATTCACGGGGAGGGCAATCAACGCGTGAGTTGCGCGGAACCGGGCGTGAAGCAGCAGGGAGAGGGAGAGAAGGAAGAAGGAGGAGGAGGAGGAGGAGGAGGAGAGGGGGGAACTCGAGAAGGAGGAGGGAAAAGAAAGAAACCAGGCTAGGACTGGGTTTGGACGGGACAGCAGAAAAAGAAAGAAAAGGACGAAGAGGGAGAAGAGAAAGAAGTGGTTTGATGATTGGGGTTGGGGCTGGCCGGAAGAGGCAATGCATTAATCAAGCACTCAAGCAATCAATCGGCCATTTCAACCGCCAGCAATGGAGGCTTCGATGGAACCTCCCTCGACTTCAACCTTAACCTTGCGCCAGCCCATTATTTCCAGCTGGGGACTGATGACTCCGATGGCTCGCCGGCGCTAGATTCCTTGGCCCTCACCTTATTCTGTCCATTCGCCTCTCCGACATTCATCGACCCCCCTTAGGCTGGCGTTAAGCCCCGAGTCGAGCCTCCCACTGGTCTGGTCTGGTCACTGCTAGGCTGTTAGAGACTGGGGGTATCACCCACTGTCCACTCCAGTCCAGCAGCCCCGGTGGGCCGCACTGGACCGGGCTGATCATCCTAATAGGTACTATGCAGTATGCACGTTCCGGAGCCCCGGTGGCTGTGGCAGACTGGCAGTCGTGGGCGGCAGATGTTCGTACAGAACATACTATATCCAGTATCCTAAACGCGACGGTGGGTGACCGATCGCCGCACCGAGGCACTATCCCACAGCTCCCCCTCCAGACAAACCATGGATGAGACCATGTCCAGGAGCACTTGGCCTTGCCAAGAGCTTGGTTGACGGGGGCTCATAATTGTTTCTCCCCTGCCTGGCGGGGACTGCATCATCTTTAGCCACCTCCGCCTCCCCGTCCGAGGTGGGAATCGTGGTTTCCATGGGACTCCGCAGAGGCGCACAACCCGCAGTCTGGAAGTATTGTCTCAAATAAAGTAGAAGCTAATACAGAAGAGCTATACGCATCGTCGGCATGATCCAGGCGCATCCGTCGTCATGGTAGGGAGCCATGGTTCGGAGAATCCGGCCGGCTCCGAAGTAGACCTGCAGCGAGGAGCGCGGACTGTCCGCCAGAGCAGTCTCCTGATGCGCCGGTTCATTTATCAAGATGCACCCGCCGATTCAACTGATCACATCCCTGCGCAAATCCCCGGGTTTCTCGCCGCGACCTGGGGGTTTCAAGGGGCCCTAGGTTATCGGACCGGTCGTAGCTTGAAGTTATACGAATCCCGAAGGCATTAGAATTCATAACGCCGCTTATTTTCACGATGACGCCCATCTCATCTCAATCGCGGTGGATGCGGCCAAACCTTCTTTGAGGGAGAAAAGTGGACCGCCAACCACTAAGGCCGTGCCATCCCAACGGACGACTCCGCCAGACCCAGCCTGGGTCCACTTCCTGCCATCAGAATCGCTCGGCTAATCTGAAACCAACTTCGCCCAATGGACGGTCCGATCTGGGCAAGATTTGCCGAGACGTTCGTCCGCTCGTGGAGCCGGAAAATGACTGAACCAGCCTGGGGTTTCCGCCTGTCACTGGGGAAGGGGCTATAACTGCCGTTACTATTGACAGGAACTTGATATAAAGTAGTGTTGGTTCAGTGAGTGGGGATAGGAAGCTCCGATCTTGCAGTACGTCGACCGAGCCTCACGCACACGCTGTCTTTGGGATCAACCAACGCGTCGTCAGCAAGGGATAGTCAGCACCATAGCGGCTCGCCCTCGTCACTGGGGGCAAATTGGATTCGGCTCAGTCGGATGTTCCTGATCGACATTGATGGTTTGACAGCTGAGTAGGCTGAGCGTTTCCTGGTGGTCACTGGTCGCCGCAGCCCACCCACCCAGATCTAGGCTGGGGCCCCCAATCTCACCCGGCAGTGGTCGACTTGACGGCCCTAGTCTCTTCCGTAATAATGGCCTCCATTCTGTCATTGCGGCCCACATTTGCCCTAGGCCAAGAGAATTTTGAAGAGAGTTTTACGATCTCATGTCAAAAAGGGAGGGCGAAGGGGAGAAAGGAGAAAAAAAAGAAAAGAGAGCCCGAAAAAGGAGAGGGACCAGGGCGACGCTGACCCCTATCCGACCTGAGTCTGGTACACTCGGACATAACATTAATAATTAGGAAAAGTGGTGGGATTTCTGGTGCCGGCGGTCGCATGTTGGCCTCCATCGGCCATTACGAGTGGTGGAATGAAAGCACGCCCCTCGAATAGGCTAGACCCACGGGGAATATGCAGACTCGTCCATGTGGCTAGAACGACCATACTCCATCTGATGACCTGATGCCCTAGGTGAAGGTTTCAGCCAGCCTGTAATTGGTCATGGTTAGTATCAGCTGTGTCGTGTTTGAGCGCTCAAATCACACTGTACTATCACGAAGATTCTGGGCCTGACCTTGCTGACAAACACCATCAATGGATGAGACAACAGAAATTGAAATTGAAGCTACAATCCTGGAAGGATCGGAACTTCAGGTGGATGGACAAGCGGGGGTGCGGACATGTGGATGGGCCATGCCTAGCTAGGCATGGCTAGCCTACCAGCTATCCTGGATAGAGGGGAAATGAGTCCAATATGAGGACACTCCAGAGGTCACCAGGTTAATCTTCCGACTATCCGGTCCATGAAGACGATCCCTACAATTCTTTTCCCTCGCCCGGGCGAAAATCTTTGTTGATCGTTAGCTATAGATAGAACGATCTTCCTTGTTGCGTCTCTATTTCTCCCGTCTGCAGTGCGCCCTGTACGAAGTGTGGATAGGCATAAGCATGGAAGTACTCGCAATCAATCCCATGGAGTGGAGCAGACGAAATGGTCGAACTCTCGAAGGCGGACGGAAGGACATGGAAGACGCCCGGTACTGATGCTCGGGGAACACTCTCGGGGATCCCCAGAAACCCAAACAATTCTGCCAGCCTATGAGCTGTATATTGTAGGGCCGAGGCAGCTCCACAACGAGTCTCATTGGCACCACCGCTGAATCCATGGGTGGGTGGCGCGGACGCACAGGCTATCAATCAGTCAACGGTCTTGAACAGACTTTTGCCAGGGCCAAATTGGGGCCAGGCCAGGTCATCAAAAATCCGACAGTGACTGCTCTCACATATTTACTCCTAGATGGCATATGATGCAGGCTTTTGTGATGGACATCGGATATGACCCGGTCGATGTTCTCTTCCTTCTCTCATTCCTATATTTTCCCCCATCTGTAAACCTAGGGTGTGCAGCCGAAAAGTAGGCAAAAGTGGTAGCAACAAGCAAGACAACGCCAACACTGACCCGGAAGTCTGGCTGGCTAGATTGGTAGCCAGTCCTTCCTGTTTTGGGGGAAACCATGTAGTGGGATCGGCGAGTGAGGACAAGGGAAAGGTTTCCGTACTAGTGCGGTGTCCACTGCAGAAAGAGGGTCGAGTCAGAGTCCAGTTTAATATTATTCAACAATCGTATTATAGCCATCCGGGTGGAACCGGCGCGCATACCTTCCCAAGTCAGAACAATAGACGCCAGCCATGGTGTTCACTCCACTCCCATCCTGACCTAGAGACGTAGCGTGGGTGGGTACGTACTATGTGCAGGACTAGCAGGTACCTAGTCAGCTGTGACAATATTGACAAAAGCGCCTTACTGTCGCAATACAGGGTGTTGTTGCTGCAAAGGCGCCGTTAGACCCTGAACTCGACCTATCAGCGAGTTAGAGGCGTGAAGTCCCGCATTGGGGGATGGCAGTAGTAATAGAACTGGAGGGATCTCGTGACGGGCAGGAAGGAAGATAAGATGAAGTGTAAGAAGTCAGGAGACACAGGTAGCGTGACATTTATGAGCGCCTAGTTGCTCGAACCCGCTAGCTCTCCCGGGGCACATCCGATGCTGGGAGTCTTCAGTTGGTTGGGGAGAGGGACTCTAACCCACTTAGCCATGGCTCTCAATGAGATGATGAGCATGAGCTCGAGCATGATCATCATGGGTGGTACCTTGTCCTCACGGATGAAAAGGAGGGGCCACCGGGGGGGAGGGAGGGGAGAGAGAGACCAGAAAGGAAGGGTGGAGACAAGCTGTGGCATGACCGCAAAGGCCGGCCAAATCAGGGAAGAAAACACAGGAGCCTTGGTCAGGATTAATCTCATTTGAGGGACGATCTCGATCACGGACAGGCTGGACTCGTCGGGGCCAGAGGGGTAGAAGTGCCGACGAGCTTGTCTGCAGGAGGGGGACTAGCAGTGCTGCTAGTAGGTAGGTAGTGGGTGCTTAGGAGGAAGAGGATGAGGAGACGGTGAAGTACGGAGGAGGAGGGGGAGGAGGAGGAGGAGTTAGCAGTAGCTGGGGGTGTTTGCAGCGCAGTACTGCCTCTTACCAGTCTAGGTCGGTGCGGTATAGTACACCCTTCTGCCTATACGGCCTGGATACATACAGTACCTACTTTAGGGAGGTAGTACTGCCACTACAGACCTCAAGACAGGGAGCCATGCCAGACCAGCGTTCACACACGCCAATCAGCTACCAGAGGATATGAATGAGAAGAAAAAAAAAAGTACGTGGACCGAGGACCCAAGTCTTATTGGCAGATTGGCACGGAGCCAGCAAGCAGCCAGCTCATTGGGCACGGAGGATAGAACGGGCCAATTGACTGGCCTGGTACTGACCTAGCCAGGTGTAGTAGACTTGTTGTAGACGGCCGTTTAGCTGTTTATCGTCAATCCCAGGCGCGGCAGCGTTCAGTTCGAGACGCGGATATCAACCAGGGCATCCAGTCATCTCCCCAGGGAAACCGACTACCCTGGCATTCATGCATCCAAGCAAGTATACCGCGTGTGAGACCCAGTATTCGTAGGTAAGTAGTTACTGACGGAGCACACGGAGGCCGGAGTACGCCGTCGCGTACTGAAGTACTTCTTGTCCGACAGTGGACATGCACTATATCTCCTCCCTACTGGGGCTTTCCCCTCCCCATGCTCATCACGGTGCAACATCATCCGAGAAAGCCTAATCCCTCTTCCCAATATGATGATACATCTCAGTTTATTCATGGTATCCTAGGTCCTTATGATGCTCATTAATCATAGCATAGACTCGACGACGATATGTCAGCCAGCCACCCCCCACCCCCCACCTTCACCACCAATTAATTCCTCATCCATCTCTACCGCGCCTTCTTCACCTCCTGAATGGTGAGTTTCACCCCCTCAATCACAACCTCCCACTCAACCTCATGCACCTTCTGCTCGAACTTATGCAGATCCTCATCTTCCCCCTTGACAAACGGGATCTCCCGGACCAGAATCGGCGTGCCCATGTCCACCTCCGAAATGACCTTGTGGATCATAACCCCCGTCTTATCAATCTTGCCTTCCAGCCAAGCCGCATGAGCGCGTTCAATGGCATTCTATCCGTCCCCCATCTCACGTCAGCAAATCCCTCCCCAGTGTGTATGTAGGCCCTAGAAAGAAAGAGAGGGAGAGAAAAAAAAAGAGAAAAAAAAAAGACGAAACTTACGGCGCCATTGAAAGCTCCTGGCAGCGCCGGGTGCAGATTGATAATCTGAATCTTCGCCTTCTCCAGCGGCTCCAAGAACCTCGGGGAGAGGACGTGCATGAATCCCAGGCACGCAACCATCTCCGGCTTGTCGGCCAGCACCAATCGGGCCAGCTCGGCGTCGTACTCCTCCCGGGCGGCCTGGATGCCCTCCGGTGTCGGGGGGTGTTGTTTCTTGTATTTCACCAGGTTGTGGTATTGCGTGGGGATGCTGGCCTGTCGAGCCCGCTCGAGGCCATACGCATCCTTGCGGTTAGAGATCACGCGCACGATCTGGGTGGAGAGTTCGCCTTGGGCGGTCTTGTCTATCACGGCTTGCAGGTTGGAGCCGTTGCCGGATATGAGAACGGTGAGGCGCACGGGGGTGTCCATGATGGGCGTTTGGTTTCCTGTTGTCAAGGAAGACGGGGATTCGATGTCGACTGGTTTATTATCGGCTTTTTAGCCTTGTAGCGGGGTAGACTGGAATTTTTTTAGGTCTTCGTTTCCCTGCTTGTCGCTGGTCAGCCACTTCGGGCAATTGTTTCACCCCTGGTAAGCGCTGCGCACCGGAGACCTGAGCGAACCCACCAGATGACGAAGGAATTGGACGTGGGATGCTGAAATGGCGACCAAGGACAAGCTCCGTGCTGGGCAACAGCATCGCAGGACGCGGGGCGGTCGACCGCGGTGGGCTGAGTCAGCGGAGGGGCGGAGGTGCGGGACTCGATGCCTGAGTCAATGAGTGGCTCCGCCCCGCCCGCTCGAGGTGGACCAAGCTTATGATCTGTACGACGTACGGAGACTTTACATGATTGCCGGACTCGGAGAACATGCATTTCATAGAAGGGTTTGCATTCAACTGGGCCTCCAAGGCAAATGCCATTGCTGATAGATACTTCAAGACCAGAACCCCCCGACTTTCAAATATGCAATCGCCTGAACCCCTACCTCCGCAAAAGCAGCAAACTGAGAGGGGAATAATACAACAAAATCAAGACCAAACAAAAAAAAAGGGGAGGGGGAAAGAGTCGATGTCCGAATATATGTATACCACATAAGAAAAGTACAGAATTCCCAAGTACTCTCTCACGCAAGCTCCTAGGACCACCCACAGCACACTGCGATGCGGAAGACACGCACCGCTCTATCACTGCCTCACACGTGAGTCGCCAGGCTTCCTTGAGATCTCAGATTCAAGGGTTGTAACCAGAAAGGATCACTTGCATGAAATCAACCAGAGATGATTACTGCACCTGCCATCCATAAAGGGGGAAAATAAGTCGAAGGTATTCGTTAGGGTATGAGATGGACGCTTCATGCTAAGCTTCAAATGATTCAAGGTTGGTGTGAAAAGATGGTGGTTGCCATCAGGAATTGACTGCCTCAGAAACCAGCACGCTCAGGCAGTTGTTGTGTTCGGTGCATCTGAAGTGGGTCGGTTATTCGTCGTTTCAGCTACACCTTGGCCTCGACAGAGAGGACAAGAATTACGACCCGTTGTTAACCACTGCAAAGAATTAGCCAACCCCTCAAAAGTCGAGACGGATAGTGTCCACGAACCTGATCGATGCAGTCCCGGTGGAAAAGATGCTGGCATTTATTCAGTTGTCGGAGCTCCTCTGCCACCTCGTAGTCACTGAGACAGATCAGGCAACGCTCGCCCTCAGGGACCTGGATGGTGCCAGCACCTTCCAAGGCCTCTGCAACGAGCGACCCGGCGTATTCCACCAGACGGAACACTCCCCCAGCCGTAGAAAGATCCTCCTGGCTGGCAACCGGGGGCTTGACTGGCCCAAGGAGAGACGAGAGCAAGATCATGTCTTCGTATGTTGGGTTCTACAAGGCAAATTAGCAGCCATTTATACCAACCGGAGAGGGATCCCCTTACATCAGTAAACAGACTCGGTGTTGCAAAGGCAGGGTGGTTCTCCGAGAGGTTAGTTCCAACAACGTAAATCAGCCAGCTCCGGCCTGTGGAAGGCGTGGCATTGTCGGGTTCCACAACACCATTGCGTCTGACAGCACCAGACCCGAGATCACGATGACGCGCGTACTCTGAGTCACTTCGACGCCGCTGGCGTGCATTTAGTGGAATGCCGTCTTCGACCGTAGGCTGTATGGCCCGGTTGGAGTCCCAGTGCGGTAGAGTACTAGGGGGCATTGCTGACGCAGCAGACGGTCGCCGGCTGGGGGTGGAAGCACTAGATGACACGTTTGACAATCCGGCTTCGGCCGGCGTCGAGGGAGGAGGGTGAGGGCCTGGGGGGCTCTCTGAAAGTACAGAAGGGGCTGAGGAGAGTGAGCCTAATGGGGCGCGGCTGCCCGTGTCAGACATCCTCCTTAGTGATCCAGGGACTCCTTGTTGTGAAGAATCATTGCTTGCAGAGAGACCACTGGTAGCCTCAGATTGAGGGCGGATGGAGGAGAACCTTGGTCGCCCTTCAGAACGTGGGATTCCAGAGCCGTTGTCAGGATTTCGTGACAGGTTCCCTGGGGTTAGGAACGGTAGGCGAAGCAGGGCGTCCAAACCAGTCCCCGCGTTTCCTGGCTGGTCACCACCGCTGGGCCCATTGCCCGATGGGACGGATCTTACCCCGACCACAACAAGCGTGACGGTGCGTCCTTCAGGCCCATCCGCAGAACTGTCTACATCCATTCCATTTCCATTGCTGTCTGCATGCTCAGAATCCCCTGTCGAGCGATTCGGTTGGCCGGCAGGTCGAGCACCATCCGAGTTGGCAAATCGGAAAACTCGTAGGAAGTTAACCGGGGTCGGAGGGGCGCTGTCACCTGCCACATTCCCAGCTTCATTTGGGGTCGCCTGCGCGGATGTAGCATGCTGTAAACTCTGGATAAAGTTCTCCAAGGAGCCGTCAAGGCCATCATTACCCAGAGCCTGGATGTTGGGCATAACGGGGCCAGCTGTTCCAGAAAGTTGGGCAGCAATGGCAGCGGCAGCCAGTTGAAGGACACGCGACAGAGGTGTTTGTTCCTCCCGGCGCGGGACTCGGGATGGCCTCCCTCGCAACAGAGCGGGAAACTGCCGTAGGCCAGACGGGCCTTGCGATGACTGCGATGACATGGGAGAGGTAGGGCGGGTGCTGCCCACAGCAGGTTCCACGGAATCAAGCTCGTGCGGCTCGTCAAAGTCCATCTGGCTGTCCATAGATCCCGAATAAGGGAGAAATCCATTCGGGTCTGCACTTACTACAGGGTCTAGCGGCGGCTGTATGGTTGCCCCTGGTTCCTGGCCCGGCATATTTGAAGAAGATTGGCCAAACATGTGGGTGATAGGTCCTGATAATGAATTCCGCACACGGTGCAGCCGGGCACTGCGCCGCCAAGAGCTTCTCGTGGGTTCGGGAGAGCTTTCTGCTGCAGCATCGAGATACGCGCTGGGATGAGCGGCATCTGACAGCGTCGATGGATCATTGCGAGGAATAAAGTAAGGTCCGCGAAGTGAGCGTCGTCTGGAAACACCTCTCGAGCTGGGAGAGCTAAAGGGACTGAAACGGGCGCTGCTATGCGTGGTCTCTGATCTCGGGATCGATCTTGAAACGATACCATGACGGTGGGCATGACCTTCTGCAGGCGTCTCTTCTTCGCTGCTTAGCAAACCGCGTATGACCGAATTTGGTAGAAACCTGGAGCCCAGGCGCGATATCGCGGTCTGCCTTCTTGCAGCCATGCGGGCAAAGATGGCCGACCGATATTCCCGCTGGCTGGGCTCATACTGAGAGCCGTTCTCTTCTTGTATGGTTCTCATCTGCCGTTGCTCGTCGATGGGAATATTCGGTTGCCATATCTCCGCGGTCGAGTTGGGCTGAGCAGCTCCTGTCTGACTGCCACCACTATGTATTTCCGCCCCCGACTGGGGTGGGTATTCCCCAGTCTGCTCCAGATTGTGGCCGTTGTTCATTTCTTCATTCCTATTCGGCCGGGCACGGTTCGCGTGGAAAGATCGAAAGTATTCTGACGGGGTACTGTGACGACGATCTCGTTGCGTAGAGGAAGACTGTCCCATAGTAACAGTAACGCAAGGCTGGGACGTGGCGATGGGTGTCTATAAACCGCCTATTGCCATCGAAAAGTTGATGACTAAAGGTGCGAACAGAATTAGTAAGACGGTACACAGCATCGATCATATCAGACATAGCTACATGGGTGGAAGTAGGAACAAAGGAATTGCAACCAGGGACAGATGGAGTGGTCGATCAGGCAGATGTCGCAGGCGACACAGTCGGCACCGCCATCGGAAGAGTCACAACTCCTGAGGGCCCATCGGCAGGTTCAAGCCATACGTACCATTGGACAGTCTCAGCAGAACCACATCAATACTCAACCCGGAGGATTTGCAGACAATTGTGTCGGTCAACGGTCGGGGCTGGGGGATGGTTTGAGGGCCTGAGTTGCAGTAAACGTGTGCCTGATCACCCCTAGTGATAGGCGAGTTTGAGTCAAGGCTGCGACGGTCGAGAGTTGGGCAATGAAGGAGGGAGGCTGCGGGATCGGAAGTTCGAAGAGAGTCGAGCTTTCCAGCGAAGAGGCCAGTCAAAGGCGAGGAAATGTAGATGGAGGCCAGCCGGCAGGTGCCGATCCTTTAAGAGGGAGCCACGAAGGGGGGGGAGGACGTGTGGTGGGATTAACGCCGTGCGACTCTCGGGGGGGGGGGGAAGCGACCCCACGACAAACCGAGGCCTGGAGCAGGGAGTGATGGCGGCTTTCGATGGCCGTCACCCAATGAAACGAGAAAGAGAGACAGGTGAAGGAGAAGCAGCGAGTGCCCTGAGGTTCCCCAAGATGATAGAGCACGAAAGGAGAGGGGGGGGGGGGAGGGGGCGCGGATGACGGTGATGACGAGGATGGAGAGCAGATGAGGAGTGATAACAGTTGGTTGCTGCTGGCTGGCTGCTGCTGCTGCTGCTGCGGTCGGGGCGGTTTTGGACTGATTTGCTTACTTGCCTTACAGTAAGTAACTAGTAACTGGACCCGCTCGATTGCCGCCTTTCTAGCCCGTTTGAGCCCTCCTGAGAGGCCCCGTGTCATTCGTCCACGCTGAGGGCGGTCTCGCCCGAGTGACTCCGGAGACCCTGAAACGGTTTAGCCGCCCGGCGGTTTCGGCGGTTTCGCTTGTCCCGATCGAGTCTAGCGCCCAACGTGTTTGCGGCCGCATGATTCTCGCGTCGCTGATTGGCCGCGTGCCCGCCTGCCTCAGGTTTCTGCCTGGATCGGATCGATTCTCACCCGGGTGAAGGATTGCGCGGTACTTCCCTTCCACTACTACTGGCGGCTCGTTCTAGCCGTTACTTTCATCTCACCTTATATAATAAGTCCAAGTCTATCAAGTCGATCGATGGTGTCCGGTCAACCATAGGGCCTGCCTACGTACCACATTCCCATGTGGTGATCCTACTCATCATTCTCCATGGGCCCTTTTTTCAGCACCACTCTCCGGGGATAGGCTAGATCTCCATGGCATCTTTTCCTGCTGCATCGCTCTTCTCTCTGCCACTCACGTCATGGCAGCAACCTCGCAGTGTGCGCGTCTCTCGGTATGAGCCCAGGAAGCGCAAGAAAGATCTTAATGACTGGGGGGATGACGATGACGACGGAGAGGGAGATGGAGACACCACCGATGCTGTATCAGAGGTAGCACCTGGCACGTCACTCACCTTGTCTCCGGATGAAGCCCATCAGTATCGGGTTGCGGGCCTTTCTTTCGACCGGGAACTCCCCGGGGGACGTTTCCCGCATGGCCCTGCTCAAGATCAACCAACCCGCCCGCATACAAAAGAGCGAATACTAAAAGAGCTGACCTCGCTGTCTTCTCCGATCTTTCTGCCCCAGGCAGCTGCCCACCAGGGAAACCTTCGTATGCAGCATCTTGCCGTGCTGTCGTCTATCCTGCATCGTTGTCTTCTCCAAGGCGACTATATCCGGGCAGGAAGGGCCTGGGGACTGATTCTGCGCGAGGAAGTCCGGGGGGCTCCCATTGACGTTCGCGCTGAAGGAAGATGGGGCATCGGTGCAGAGATTTTGCTCCGACGAGAGACCACTGCCGAAAATGCGTTGGTGGATGACGGCTCACCGGTTGTAGCGGCGCCATCTTCCGGGCCCTTCTTCACGAGGGAGGGCTTTGAAAATGCCAAGGAGTATTACGAACTACTCATCATACAGCATCCGTATCGGAAGTTTCACCACGATGCTATTAACCCCTTGCATTTTTATCCTGCTATGTTCGGGCTCTGGATATACGTGGCCCAGGAAGAGAGCAAGGCTTCTCGGCAAGATATCCGGAACGAACATGGCAGTACTCTTGAAGACTACTCGGACGATGAAGAGTCCGAGTCTGAGTTACTAGAGCGTGCTAGCTCAAGGCAACGCGTCTATGCCCTTCTTGCCGGGGCCAGGAAGAAGGAGCTGGACGAGGCCCAAAAGATCGCAGCGAGGATGGACGAGATTATCGTTTCCCCTCCTTATGCTGATTCCTCGGAGTTATTGGAGCTCAGGGGAATGGTGTCCTTATGGATTGCCGATCTTCATGTTTCCTCGGTGCCTTTCACACGGAGGAACAAACGAATGGACGACTCTGATACCGATGGGAACGGTTCCGTATCCGCTGACGACATACAAGAGAACCTCCAAGAAAGGCGGGAACGCCGGTTTGCTTTTGAGAGGAAAGAAGCCGAATCACAAAAGTCGCAAGAATTCTTCCAGAAGGCTAAGCAACGTGGGAAAGGAGTCGCCTCGACTCTTGGGGATTTTCATATTGACGACGATGACGATGACGATGATGATTTTGGTTATATGGACTGATTGGACCGGGCGGGCGATGTATATAAAATATGTAACGGCTCTAGGAAGAGTGATAATAATACCCACAAAAAGTCAATATGGGAAGTATTTCTTAATTACTTAGATTGACAAACCAAAACAATACAGTCACTCAACAACGACTGTTTTCGATACTACCAACTTCGGGAAGAAACGAAATTACACCGAATAGTATAGTGAGCTGGTCGACTCATCACGCCCACGTGACCCCGTGGATGCCTCGCGGCGTGCCTGAAGAATCAACGCGTTTGTGGAAATCGACCTTCTTTCGATCTCTACTCCAACAATTCCCTCTCCGTTCGACCATGATTGAACCCGCGCCGCCCTAGATAACACTTGTAATGCACGGTCTACCGGAAATCTGTCCAGCATATCCCTCCGTCCTCCTCACTACACCGTCTCATTGATCCTCTGCATTTCCGATCCTCACCACCACCACCACCACCACCACCCCCGCCGCTCAGACCCGGCCGATAACCATGGGAGTGGGCGACTATGTGCATGCAAAAGGGGCTGGTCAGCCTCGACCACGCACCACTGAGGCCGCAAACCAGTCACGACAAGCTCTAGCAGCTCAGGCAAGGGTCGAAGTCCCCTCGACAACTCTGGTCGCACCAGTACCCCTGCCGTTCAATAAGCCGGTATCACTGGAGCATTACGGCGCCCCGTCCTTTACCGAGCAGATGCCTCAGGCGCCGGCAGACAACCATGCCCACAGAGACATGTTTGACACGGACGTCGAAGGCATCGATGATTCCACCATCGCAGCAACCAGTGTCATCGGCGTCGAGGATGTTCCGCTGCAATACCAATTACGACCCGCCACGGTCCCCCAGCAGCAGCAGCAGCATCATCATCATCATCATCATCATCAGGAAGCGGATGTCGACGACGAGAGGCCCCTGTACCCGTCTCGCCTGCCACGCCGTGCCTACGATGGCAAATGGTACGAGAATCTCGGGGACAAGGCCATGAGATCCGCCGGCTTCGACTCGGAAGACGTCGACAACACCAGCCAATTGACCTCCATGGCCGGGGACGACGAACAATCCGACACGACCGAGGACCCGGACTACGTCCGCGGATACAGATCCTCAGCAGAAGAGCCTCTGAGCAAGCGACTGCATAACTTCTGGAGCGCCAGCAGAAAGTCGTATCAGAACCCCGAGACCACCGCCTACCCGGAACCGTCCAAAGGTGCTTCGCACCGGCAGTCCACGATCACCGACGCCAGGATGGCCAACCCCGTCACCGGCAACAGGAAGGTCACTCTCCCACGCAGCATGACCGCCACCCCACGGACCCGATTCAGTCCCCCCAAGCCATCTCTCCTGGAGCAGTTGGACATCACTCCAACCCGACGCACCTCAGGACCTCGACCCCAGCCCGGCAAGGAACCAGGCATCACCACCACCACCGCCACTACCACCATCAACCACCGCGACAGCGAAGACGACGCCCACCTCTTCCACCCCAGCCACAGCCACAGAAGACACGACAGCCTCCCACCATTGAGCGCCTTCGACATGACCAACCTCGACGACCTGGACTCCGACCCCATCAACGACCCCTTCTCCCGGCGCGCCTCCGTCCAACGCATCACCCCATCCCCGCAACCCCAAACCCAACCCCAGGCATCCATTTCTAACAAAAACAAACGCCCATAGAACCAGACTACCCCCCTCACATCCTCCGCCAGAAGTCATTCAAGGACCTCCAATCCGAACCCTTCGACTACACCCCTCCCACCACCGCCCCAACCGCACCACCACCCCCTCCACCATCAACCCACAAACCACCGTCACCCCCTCGGCCCCATCCCCCACCGCCACCGCAGAAGACAAAATGACCTTCCTGCTCAACGCCCCAGACCAAAACCGGCGGGAGTTCTTCTCCACCCTCTCCATCGACGAGTGGGAGGACTACGGCGATCTCCTAATCGATCAATTCAGCGCCGCGCTTTCCGAAATGAAAGACCTGCGCCAGGCGAGGCGGAAAACCGCCGCTACCTTCGAGGCGGAGGTCAAGCGGAGACATGAGGTCGTGGAGGATCAGTCGGCGGACCTGTCGAGGAAGTTTGATGAAATGAGGAGTGGTGGTGCCGAGGTGTTGAGGGGTCGGACGCCTTGAATGATTTGATTTGACTTAATTATTGCAGCAGTATCAATGATTATATGCATGTGTTCAGATACTTCTACTGCCGCCGGGGTTTTATTATCATTGATATATTGTTGTGGACTGATAATATTCTGTGCATGGTTTCCACGTGATTCTTCTCATCTTTATCAGTTTTTCTCCCCCCCCCCCCCCCCTTCTTTTTTGTTTTACATGATGTACTCATGTAAACCCACCCCCGTTCACTGCATCCATCCATCATCCATCCATCCATCCGTCCATCCACCCATCATTATCTTTTCTTTCCTATTCTGTTTCCTATTCTGTTTCTGGTCCCGTTCGAGATCCCACCTATTTCATTTCATTTTACGATACGATAGAGCTTACGTGAAGACGACCACGACCGAGCCTTTCCTATACCACTCTGTTATTCAATTTTGTTGGCCAGATATACATACCACCACAATAATAATTATCTTCTTGATTTGTCTGCCTTCCTGAGATGTCATAGTACTGTCTATTAGCAGTACTACCACTATATTTAATTAATCCCCTCACGTGAAAGAAATGAATTTGCATCGATAGACAGATTAACTGCTTTGATTAATTGGTTGACTGACTGACTGACTGACTGACTGACAACTTGCAATGCTAACTGCGTCTCGGACCCAAATGGCTGAAAATGCAAGACAAAACGAAAAAAAACAAAACAAAACAAAACAAGATATGAACCTGAACATGAACATTGAGTAACGAGTACCTTGCGAGTACCGAACACTAAACACTGAACACTGAACACCAGCAGTGATCATCTACAAAAAAGCAAATTCACAAGAAGAAGAAAAAAAAAAAAAAAAAAGGAAGAAGAACAGAGATTACCGCCAGATTACCTCGATACCTCAAACGCAAGGGAGACGAGATGGAGATGGAGATGGAGATGGAGATGGACAGTATGTGAACAACCAAGTGGGAATCATATGCTTGGAAACGACAGACGACAGGAAAGCAAAGACTTGACTTCAATTCAATTCAACTCAATTAGGGCCCTGCTTTGATAGTGCTGCTGCGATCCGTTTGTAGTCTTCTAGTAGAACGGACACGTCACCGATCGTGAGCTCGCTGGCGTTCTGCATCTGCAAGAAACGCGAGATGGGCGGGTCGACGCGGGGTGGAACTGCTGGAACTGATGGAACAGTAGGGATTGTCGAGGAAGAGGTCTCGCGCGAAAGAATCGATGCCCTGATTCTCTCGGTGGGGGTATTGGGGGAGGCCCCGGGTCCAGAAGTGGTGTCAGGGGTGCCGGGGGTGCCAGGCCCGGGGGCGCGTCCGAAGTTCCTGATCATGCCGGGGATGTGGTTTAGCGGATTCAGGGTGTTCCCAAAGCTCCGCATCGACTCGAGCGGTGTAGAGACCGTCGACGACGTCCCCGCAGAGGAGGCGTGAGCTTCATCCTTCTGTGGGCCCTGAGCCATGGTGGATTTCCGGGAGCCCTGGGTCCTGACGCTGTCTGCGCTCCGATCACGTGGAGTTCTCTGGCCACTGACTAGCCCTAGGAAGGTATCCTCTGCTTTGGATCCGATATGCCTCAGCGGAGGCCGATCGGTGGGACGGGATTCTCTCGCGGAATTGTCGTCTTGACCCAGGCCGTTGCCGGTGGATATCGGGGTCGTAACTAGACGTCGCGCTTCGGCTAAGGTCTTCGGTAAGACCGGGCTGCCTCCGTCTTTGGCAGGGAACTGATTGGACTGCAATTCTTTAAGGCGCCCAAACAGGAAATTGAAACTGCTATCCAAGGAGGCGCCGATATTCTTCAGCCCCTGATCGGCAGTGTTACGGACGGCATCATTGGCGGCACCGAGGACTTTTGAAGGCGGCTGGAAGAGATTGTTCAGCCGTCGCTGTTGGGTACTCGCGGACGACTGAGGCCTGGGCAGGCTGCCCGAAGCTTCTTGCCCAACTGGCTTGGAAAGTTCCGGCGAGGCGGTCACCGGTGTAACTGACGATACTGCTGCGTCCTTGGAGGGATTAGGCGACTGGAGGGAATCGGGGCTTTCGACAGAGCTCGTATCGTCATTGGATGCCTTTCTTTGGCCTTCAGGGACTTCCTCCCCGCGGAGTTCGGAGAGGTCTACATTCTCCAGGAAGCTAACCGCCGCTTCAAGATTAGTCAAACAATATGCGGTTTCCCCGTCCATTTTACTCGACGACCGGAAGCGTTGTATGAAAAAGAGATTGCTTATGACGTTGATCCCCTCAGGAGGACATGCGATGAGTGAATAGATCAAAGCAGGCAGTATCTCATCGGCGGAGGACGACGACGGCAGCAGTTTAGTCAAAGCGTCCACTATTGCCTTGTGTGCAGCAGCGAGCTGCTGCAGTTTCCCTAGAGGATACTTGTCGTCGTTCATTTTAGCAAGGCAATCTCGCGCAACCGAGAAACATTCATCGGCTTCTCTCTGCTTCTCCTCATTGATTGCGCCCATGTCGAGCTCGACCCCAAGATCCTTCAGATTAATACCGACTAGGGCAAGCGCCGCCGTTTTCGAGCGCAGCTTCTCATCTCTAATTTCATCCAGCGTGCTTTTATGCCTCCAAAGCTTGTCGTAGATAGTCTCGCAAGCTCTTCGCTCCACAGCCTCTTCCAAAGCAACGCGCTTGGACGCCAGATGCTTCCGCGCAATCCTCTTTTCTGTGACTTCCGACGCCGTCAACATCTGGCGGCCATCCGAGCCCTTATTACTAGACTTCCCTTGTGTAGCACGGAAGGGCGAAGGATCGCGGTTTATCCGGGACGCGAGGGCAGAGATATGGGTAGCTATGTGGGATTCGGCTCGGAGGTAGAATTCTTGAAAGCGACTGGATATCTTCTCGATCGTTGGGGGAGAAGTGTGTACCTTGACAGTGAGCGAGTTGACAAATCTACCGGTAACATTAGCGACCTGGCGACCAGCGGGATGGAGGCAGAGTGTCACGGCACCTATCTGTAAGACTTGCCAGCTCAATCGGAAGCTCCTCCGTACGATCCTGGGAGCCTCGTGAAAGCACCGATGTCTCCTCGCCCTGGTTGCCGTCCTCACCAAAGTCGGAAGAGGCTGCTTTCTCAAACAAGTCGGGGCTGCCATCCCGCTCGTCTTCTGCGGTCGACAGGGGTAGTGGGAGTGCTTCGGGGTCTACAGATTCAGGAATTGCCACGGACTGGACCGTCTTGGCCCGGGAGCGAACGAATGGGCTTGTGTCGGGCGAATCCATTCGGGGAAATGAGCGAGCTGTATGTAGGCGCGGCTTCTCAGAGCCAATGTCGGGGGTCCTGGCGGACATGATGGCGTATAAGAGGAAATTTGGAAGGTACCAGTCCGACTGAAATTCCGCCTTAGATGCCAGGTGATCGACTCATGCAGATCGAGTCGGTATGCGGCCGGTGCGTATAGATGACACCTGGAACTTCAAGTCCGGGCACTGCAACCATGCAGGATGGGTTCAGTCAGGGAGGGGGGGGGGGGGGGGGACGTCTGGCGGGAGATTAGTATCCCAGGTCAAACATGATGTGCGAATGGCCCGGCAGGCAAGGGTTGGACCCGATCGACAGGACTATAAGAGGGGCGCTGAGAGTCAACAATCGACGGCCCAAAGCGGACGGGATGATGGAACGCTGACCGCTGACGGCGTCACGGGGCGGTCACGTGCGAGGGCGGTCACGCCGGCCTCGGCGATAAGCTATCGACCGACGACTGCATCGGGCAGCTTACTAAACCACGTGAAGGAGTAAGTAGTTAGTCAACTACTCTCTACGTTACTGTAAATTCAGGCCATATGTATCACTTATAGTACGTGGAGCAAAAGAAATATTCAGAGGCATGCAAATTCAATTTTGGAAGATAGGTATCATCTGTGAACATTTATCGTTGGATGCTGATATAACGTACGCCAATCGAGAAACCGAATAAAAGAAAGAACGAGGCACACGTTGATTTACAGACGAGCGGACTTGGCGTCAGTAGCTTTGCGCTCGGTCGCCTTCTCGATGCGGGCACCCAGGTCCGGGTTGACGCGGCGGAACATGTCATAGGTGGCCTTGCGGACACGCTCGTGGGCGGCGGACAGGTGAGAGGCGACGTTGTGGACGAAGTTGTCCTGCTGGCCGGGCTGACGGCCCAGGACCTGCCACAGCCCGTTGGCCTGAACGTAATCTTCCTCGGTCACGGGCAGCTGCTCGACGACAACCGAACCGGCCCACTTCTCGTGCTCCTGGCTGGCCTTGACGGGCTGGTATTTGAGGGGACGGAAGGTAGAGGGGTAGTTGGGGTTGGCGCCGTAGTTACCGTGCACATTCATGTAGCCGTCCCGGTGCCAGGGGCTGAAGGAGCGGAGCGGGCAGTTGACGGGAATCTGCTCGTAGTTGCCCGTCAGGCGGTGGCGGTGGGTGTCGGGGTAGGAGAAGAGACGGGACTGCAGGACGGGGTCGGCGGAGGGCTCCACACCCGGGACCATGTGCGAGGGGGAGAAGGCGGCCTGCTCCACCTCGGCGAAGTAGTTCTGGGGGTTCTTGTTGAGGGTGAGCTTGCCGAAGCGGCGCAGTGGCACCTCGCTCTGAGGCCAGACCTTGGTCAGGTCGAAGACATTCCAGCGGAACTTCTCGGCCTGCTCGGGGCTCAGAACCTGGACATAGCAGGTCCAGGAGGGGTTCTCGCCACGCTCAATGGCGTTGAACAGGTCCTGAGTGTGCCAATCGGGGTTCTCAGAGGCCAGGCGGCCGGCCTCCTCGTTGTTAAGGGTCTTGTTGCCCTGGTCGGTCTTGAGGTGGATCTGGACGTAGTTGAAGGTGCCGTCCGGCTTGATCCACTTGTAGGTGTGGCCGGAGTAACCGTTCATGTGGCGGTAGGAGTAAGGCGTGCCACGGTCGCTGAAGAGGTGCATGACCTGGTGGACGGCCTCCTGGTGGGTTGAAAGGTAGTCCCAGAACATGGTGGCATCCTTGAGGTTGGTCTGAGGGTTGCGCTTCTGGGTGTGGATGAAGATGGGGAATTTGGCGGGGTCGCGGAGGAAGAAGACGGGGGTGTTGTTGAAGACCCAGTCCAGGTTGCCCTCCTCGGTGTAGAACTTGATGGCGAAACCGCGGGGGTCACGAGCACTGTCCGGGGAGCCCTTCTCACCACCCACGGTGGAGAAGCGGGTGAACAGCTTGGTCTTCTTGCCCACGCCCTTGAGCATGTCGACAATGGTGATGTCGCTGATGTCATCGGTTACTTCGAAGTCGCCAAACGCACCAGCACCCTTGGCGTGGACAACGCGCTCCGGAATCCTCTCTCTGTCGAAGTGGGAGAGCAAGTCGATCAAGTGGAAGTCCTGGAGCAGGAGAGGGCCGTTACGGCCAACCCGCTGAGCGGCCTGGGGGTCCATGACCTGGAAGGTGTCAGCCTGAACCCATCCCTTGAGTATGATTATCGATCGTTTGAACGAACCGGACAGCCATTGGAGGTCGTGTAGGTCGGGGTCTCCTTGTAGCGGTAGGTCTCTAGAAGTAGAAAGAGGATTAGTGTTTGTTTTGACATTGGCGAAAGAGGTAGCGACCCATTGCTAGGGAAGAGGAGACATACTAGGCTCGTCGTCTTTGCCCATGGTGACGGTTGGGTTGTATGAAGGGGGGGGGGGATAGAAGGTGGGACGGAAGAGGACCAGGTCGCGGAGTAGAGGAGCGAAAGGAAAAGGACCGGATATGAAGGGCCGGTGCGGGGGTTAAATAGAGACGGAGAGTTTCAGTCCGTCAAGGGATGCGGGGGATGCAGAAAAAGCGAAGAGCCAAACAGCCAGAATCCAAGGGAGGCCGAACGACGGGGGGGGGAACGCCATTGAAATACCGACTCTTCCCCGGGCAGCTTCGGCCAATGGAGACCCGCGGGAAGGTCAAGGGGCGGAGGGCCCACGGAAGGGGAACGCGCTGGCCTCCATCTTTTTTCTTTCCCGCCGCGGATGTGGAGACGGAGACTGGAGTACTTCAAGGCACGCATACTTTGTACTATCTCAGGTTCGGAACCTAGATACGTATCCAGCGACACGATTTGACGGAATTGACACACCTGGTTATGAAAAAGAATCCACATCTAGAATCTCTCTCAGAACGGTCAAAATACAAGGACCGCATCTTCCCCGTCCGCGATGGATCCGACCTCAATTTACCCCGCACATTCCTGGACAGACACCGCCAATCAGCACCGCGTCAATGTCAGAGTCAACCTTCAATCTGGATCTTCCCCTCCGCCCAGTGAGGGGGTCTGGCGTGATTTGTGGATGATCATGACGATGCCGAGGGTCCCCCGTGTATGAGATGTATAGGTACGCGTAACCGGGCAGTCATTGAAGCGCCCGAGGTGGACATGGTTGCTTGCTACTAAGGCAACAGTAATTACTGCAATACGGAGTAACTACTACTAGTTATGCCTCTAACAACCCATCTTAGTCAGTGGACCAGGCCAGACAGTCCGTCCTGAGTCCTGACCGCCAGCCCTGCAGGCGACACGTTCGTCTCGGCCTTCCGCAAAAATGCCCTTCTTACCAATCCGCGGGCGTAAATGTTGCCTGTTTGGGAAGTCATACTGCTGGACGGGACACTGGCTCAATTCCGCGATAGGAAGGTGATTGAGACTGATACTCTCTCTTATCCGGGAGGAGATTACTATTACAGAAGTCGATGTATCACTACGGGGTTCGATCTGGTTACCTAATAGGGATGCCGAATGACCGGTATGTAATGCTAATGATAGATCAAGATGATAGAAGCGATTCTCCACACTATATCGGAGTGCGATGTTATCTGATGGTGCCTTATCGCCTGCAGACTAATTGTATAGCCCCATCATGATGCCTCGGAGAGAGATCATAGTCACTATTTGTGTGTCTCCTTGTGTCGTCTATAACGAGCATATAGGTGGCATAACTGCCACAGCTGACACACGGCTTTGAGCCCGTCATCGAATACTAATCATCTTTATGGAGTACCATACGAATCATGCTGGGTCTGAACGGCGGACTCCCCGCGGAAAGCTCCGGCCTCCGAAGCGGAACGAGACGGTCCTACGGAGTAGTGGAATTGCCATCCGAAGGCCGCTGGCTCGGAACGGCGCCCGCTGGATTCCGATCGCTACTGCTACTACTGGTACTTGGCGAGGGATTCTCGTCTCGCTCGCAGCTTCTTAATTAATGTTTTCACCATCAACCGTGACAATTGAATATCCTCAAGCGTTCCGTTAAATAGAATACAATCCACCAACGCTGACCGATTAAACGAACAGAACATTGGCCTGCACCAGCAGGCTCATTACAAAAGCAGGTTCATCATGTCATAACCCAAGCGGACGTTGCGTCCTGCTTATTTGCCGCCCGATCGATCGCCGCCGATGCTGCTCAGGATATCTCCTGTAGAGCTGGTGACGCCCGAGGTCGTATTGCCCACTCCATCTCCGACGCTCTTAGTCGTGTTACCCAGTCCTTCTCCGAGGCCTTTGGTGGTGTTTCCCAGACCCTCGGTGACACCACCGACAGTTTTTCCCAGGCCCTGGGTCAACCCGCCGACCGTCTGGCCCAGTCCGCCCACAGTGCCGCCGACAGTATCCGTGACACCGCCCACTGTCTTTCCAACGGTATCGCCGAGACCGCTAACGAGGCCGGCTATATACTGATATCAGCATGGAGAACGTTCACTTCGCAGTGTGGAGGTTTGCTACTCAGGGCTCCAAGGACTTATAGCGCGCGACTATATAAGCCAGTGTAGACAAATGGAACGCAGACTAATCAACGGCGGGTGCGACGGTTGCTGGATACTTACGGTTGTTGTTCTTGTCTTCGGAAGACATGGTTGTGAGATTGTGCAGGTTGAGTTATCTTCACGCGGGTGTGTGTAGTTCGGAGCAAGATACTGCGATATGGAGGACAGCTTGATCTTCGAGGAGTGTTTAGAACGGTCGCTGACCCTGCGATCAAGAGTTCCTTTTATATACAAGGGACGCTGCCATGTCGCCACGGGACGCGCACCTCCCGCCATGATATCATCGATCCCCGAAACCAGGGTCGCCCGACAGCCCGCGGCCAATCGACACAACGGCGAGGATCTGAGAACAGCACGGGCTAAGATCCCCAAACCCGATGATGAAATTGAGGCTTGAGAGCTGTGGCAGCGGCGCTTGGCTCCCTACTTCGTGATGTTGGTTGCCGCGCCTATTGGCTTCCCTCTGTGTTCGATACGTAGGGCTCCCTGAGTTAATATCCGGGGATGACGAGGGGAACGATCAGATCAACCCATCTAGTCCCATAATAATCTCTGGAGGCAGATATGTGATGAAGCAGCATATTTACGTCATGGAGCGTTCACCTCAATATGTGGTCTTTCAGTACTGACTGGCTTTAACACGAGGATGGGGATCCTTGGATAGGGAGCGGTACATGCGGAGTACATAGGATACCAATTTTCGATGTTAAGAACGGCGTTGAGGTGAACTAATGGATTCGGAAAAGGACTGGAAAGAGGATGCTACAGTACAGAGGTCGGATCCACGCCCGGGCGCCCTCTAAGCTGCACGCTGAGTCAATAAACCGAACCCAGTCAATAATCAATACCTTCATTGCATCCGACACCTGGAAATGACAGTGTGGGAGAAAATATGAGAGCACAATGCCACTCGGCCAGATTTCTCAGGCATCATACATCCGACCAAGTGAAATCTCCAGGCGCCAGCGCGGTATGGTGGTAAGCTCTAATAAATACTACCCAACAACGACATACAAAGTACAACACTGCACATACCATCATAATATGTTGCTTACTGTGTAGTAGCTGATCGGCTGCCACATGGTCGGAAATGCCATTATGACTGGATTTGCAACATTCCTGCCCCTCGGTACTGGTACTCATCAACACCGCGATTCCTCGCGGCTCTGGGAGTGGGTCTCTCGTATAGGTACAAGATGCTCCGACTTCACGCCCACCCCTGTCGAGCGGCCAGACGAATAAACTAGGTTATGAGGCCAAGTGATGACGCTGCAGAAGCGATCGTAAGTCTGCATTTACGCCATGTCGGTGGGCCGTTGGCGAAGGATCCTTTGGGGCAGCCCCTGGAGCCCACTTGCATGCATATACGCGCGAAAGAGCACTTCCCGACGGGCCAGGGCCAGCTTGACAGGCTACAGCCCCCAAAGCATGTGTTTGGACTCGGGACTCGGGACTCGGGACTCGGGACTGGGTGAGAGAGGCGCAAGGGACACGGAGGGTCTCAGGAAGAAATCTGATCGGAGGATTTTGGCCGGGATTGCCGGTGATGTAGATGCATGGATACAACAGAGGGCGGTATGCAGCAAGCGGGATGGTAGTACTTGTAGCAGACTGTCCGATATAGGGTCAATAGCTCTCCTACCAATGATATCCAATAATAGTGATATGTTTCACGGCAGCTGTCTCGAACCCAATCGGGAAGGGGCAGTCACGCGCATGCCTTCGATCGTGCCTTCCCCGCAAACCCTCGTGGCACGCCGGGCTGGGCTTTGATTGGGCGCTGTCACCCTGGTCGGAGTTTAATCTGGTCGCGAATCCTTCCAATCCTGGCCATTTGGCAAAATCCCATCCATCCATCTTCTCCCAACATCTCGCCACGGATTGCACAAGAGAAACGGTGCCATCGGGACTCGCAGGCTCACCGCGTACTTTCGGTGGGGGCGCTTTTGCCCACCGGGCGCTGGGCTCGCCAGTCACCACCGCGACCACGGCCACCACCGCCGGCCCCGCCGCGGCCATAAAAATCTAACGATAGCCGTCCCACTGCCAATGCTGCCGGGTGCGGAACGTCCCTGATTTCCCTTCAGCGCCCAGGAGTCTGTCACTTCGTCCCCTCCTCCCCTTATCCTCCCCCCTCCCGTTCGCGTCCTCGACCCCCATTCCTCCCCTCATTCTCCCCCTCCCCCCCTCCTCCCGGGCCTAGCAATTGCTCTCCAGCATGGCTTCCACCAAGGCTCCGGATGCCACTGCGCCGGCAGAGCACTCGCCTTCGCCCTCCCTGGAACGCCAGGGATCGACGGCGTCCGCAGCCAAGATCATCCAGAATGCCAAAGCCGCCGCCGACAAGGAGCAGAAGATGACCTTGCTGCAAGGCATCCGGATCTATCCCAAGGCTGTGGCCTGGAGTCTCCTCATCTCCACCTGCATCATTATGGAGGGCTACGACATCAGTCTGGTCAACAACTTCTACGCTTTCCCCCAATTCAACCGGAAATATGGCGAGATGTCGGCGGACGGATCATATCAGGTTCCAGCACGGGTAATTCCCCTCCCTCCTCCCCAGATTGGCCTCGAGGGCCCTTCAACTGCGCTGGGATCACTCCATGCGATTGCGTGGCATGATTGCTGACGAAAATCTTTTTGTGCCCAGTGGCAAGCAGGTCTGAGCAACGGTGCCTACGTCGGCGAAATCATCGGTCTTTTCATCAATGGTTGGGCCTCGGAACGCTTCGGATACCGATACACCATCATGGCGTGCCTCGTTTTGATCACCGCGTGGACCGCCATCTTCTTCACTGCCCCCAACGTCGAAGCACTGCTCGCCGCTGAAATTTTGGCCGGTATCCCCTGGGGTGTGTTCCAGACTTTGACCATCACCTACGCCTCGGAGGTCTGCCCGGTTGCCCTGCGAGGATACCTCACAACGTACGTCAATTTCTGCTGGGGTGTCGGGCAGCTGATCGGGATCGGCGTGATCAAGGCTATGATCCACCGGGATGATGAGTGGGCGTACCGGATTCCGTACGGACTGCAATGGATGTGGCCGTTGCCCCTATTCATCGGTATTTCGCTTGCTCCCGAGTCCCCGTGGTGGTTAGTACGAAAGGGCAAAACGCAGCAGGCCAAGCACGCCCTCCTGCGCCTCACCAGTGTGAACCGGGAATCCGACTTCGACGTGGACGAGACCGTCTCCATGATGGTGCACACCACAGCGCTAGAGAAGAAGATCACCAAGGGGGCGAGCTATCTCGATTGCTTCCGGGGCACGAATATCCGCCGAACCGAAATTGTCTGCATGGTGTGGGCCATCCAGAACCTGAGCGGCAACTCGTTCTCCAACTATTCGACCTACTTCCTGGAGCAGGCGGGCCTGAGTGCGGACAACGCATACGCCTTCGCGATGGGCCAGTACGGGATCAACATGGTCGGCGTGTTCGGTGCCTGGTTTCTCATGTCCGTGGGGCTGGGCCGGAGGACGCTGTACCTGTACGGCCTCTGCGGACTGTGCGCCATGCTGCTCGTCATGGGGTTCCTGGGACTGGTGCCGGAGGATCACAAAAAGCAGGGGGCTCTCGCGACGGGCTGCATGATGCTCATCTGGGCTCTCTTCTACCAATTGACCGTCGGCACCGTCGCCTACTCCCTCGTCGCGGAGCTGTCCACGCGCCGGCTCCAGATCAAGACGGTCGTACTCGGCCGCAACCTGTACAACATGGTCGCGATCGTCTGCGGCGTGCTGACGCCCTACATGCTGAACCCGGGCGCCTGGGACTGGGGCAACTACGCCGGGTTCTTCTGGGGGGGCATCTGCTTCCTGTGCGTGGTGTACACGTTCTTCCGGGTGCCGGAGCCCAGCGGACGGTCCTTCGCGGAGCTGGACGTGCTGTTCGAGCGGGGAGTCAGTGCGCGCAAGTTTGCCTCGACTCCCGTGGACGTGTTTGATGAGACGATGGAGCGTGGCGCCGCCGAACACTATCAGACCGAGAAGACCGTCTCGACGGACGTGGCGCAGGTCGAGAAAAACGCTGCGTCGTGATGACCTCCTCCACACTGTTGCATGTTTTCATGTAATACTTTTTAATATCTTATTGTACATATTTACAGGTAATTATGAATACGAAACGATTAATGAGCATTTTCTACGGGATGGAGCAAGTTGATTGCACTTAACTTGTTCGACTACTGATCATATCAGATATAATTATTCACATCTTACATCTCATATCTCACAGATCAGGATCTACCCCCCCCCCCCCCATTGTCTCCAAGATATCAACACACCCTACCATTGATTCATTCTTCATACTCGATACTCACTCATTTGACCAGTCCGGCTTCTTCTTCTCCGCAAACGCCGTCATCCCTAGGTAGTAACCGTCAGCAACCCCCCACCCAAGAACAATCTCAAGCACAAGACAGAAAGACAGAAAGAAAGAAAGAAAACTCACCAATCTTCTGATCCCTACTCCCAAACAACCCATGAAACAGTCTCCTCTCAAACTCCACGCCCTCCCGCAACGCCACCTCCTGACTCTTATTCACGACCTCCTTGCCCGCCAAAACCGCCACCTGGGAGTACCCCGCGATAGTCTCCGCCGTCTTCACCGCTACCTCCAGTAGCTCCGTGTGTCCGCCGTCCACCACCTGGGCCGCAACCCCCCACTCGCCCGCCTCCTTGCCGCTGAAGTTCTTGCCTGTGAGAATCAGTTCCATGGCCTTGCTCTTGCCCACCGCGCGGGTGAGGCGCTGCGAGCCGCCCGCCCCGGGGATCACGCCTAGTTTGATCTCGGGTTGTCCGAAGGTCGCGGACGAGGTGCAGTAGATGATGTCGCACATTAGCGCCAGTTCGCATCCGCCGCCGAGCGCGTAGCCGGATACGGCGGCGATCACGGGCTTGCGGATGCTGGTGGAGAGGTGCGACCACGGCGCGATGAAGTTCGTTTTGTAGGCGTGGGAGAATGTGAGGGGGGCCATTTCTTTGATGTCCGCGCCGGCTGTGGGTGGGTAGGCGTTAGTTGGTTGGTCGGTTGGGTTTGTTTGTATGGGGCTGGATGGATTGGATAGGTTGGATAGGTTGCGGGTTGGGGTTTGGAGGGGTTGGGTGTACCTGCGAACGCCTTCTCGCTGCCGGTTATGATGATCGCGCCGATGTCCTTGTCGGCGTCGTAGGTGGAGAGGGCATCGTTGAGTTCGGTGAAGAGAGGGGTGGAGAGCGCGTTCAGGGCTTTGGGGCGGTTGAGGGTGACTGTTTTGTTTTGTTTTTATTTTAATTAGTGTCTTTCTATCGGTTTGCTTGGTAAAAAGAGGGGACAGACTGAGGCCAACTCCCGGCTTGGGGGTCGAGGTGAGGATGTGCTCGTATGCCGAGGTTGCGGTTGCGGAGAATGGGCGGGCGCGGGCGAGGAAGGAGGTGAGGGGGATGGCGGTGCGGGCGGAGACGAGACGGGAGCAGCGACGGGCGAACATGGTGGTGATGAGGGGGGTTAGGGGGTGAGATGTCAATTGTAGATGAAGAAAGGAGAAGAGAGGAGAGTTGTTGACGGGGGACATCGATGATGCCGATAGCTCAGTAGTAACTCGTATCTCCCCGCAAATCACACCCGCCAATAACCGGCTGAGTCAGCCTGGCCCAGCCCCTGGGGCGCAGTCACGGGCAGTGTGGCTGGAGGGCCGAAAGCGGCTAGAGCGGCCGGGGGCAGTGGACAGTTTTCCATGTCCGTCCGTCCGTCACCTTCCCTTCCCATCCTCGTCGCATTCTCGATTCTTCTGCTGGTCCGTGTTGCTGGCCCTCCTCGCTCGGCTCTGTATGCGCTGAAGCTGCTCCGTCCCTCTCCTTGGCTCTCCCCATCTCCTCTCCTCCGTTTCCTCGACAAACACCACCACCTCGGTGATCGATATAATCTTCCGCATCCACCATGGACGTTCCTGAGCCCGAACAGACTCCCTTCACGGCCGTGACGGCCCAGACCTCGAAGTTGGCCAGAGTACGTCCATCACCATCTTCCTTTGTTGGAGAATTATCTCTGTGAATCCCGCGCGCAGATCCCCAGCCAGCTATGCTCCGACCCGGACTAACAAACTGCAGCACTACCAATCCTGGCTCGATGCTTCCACCCCATTCACTGCCTACCGCTGGACCGGCACCGTCGTCCTCCTCCTCATCTTCTTCCTGAGAATCGTCGTCGCTCAGGGCTGGTACATCGGTACGATATGATCCCTACCATCTATCCATCCCGTTTCATTCCCATCCCAACCAACCCCAACCCACCCAGCCCAACTACATCACATCACATCACATCAATAACTAACCCACACCCCCTCATGAACCAGTCGCCTACACGCTCGGAATCTACCTGCTCAACCTCTTCCTCCTCTTCCTGCAACCCAAGTTCGACCCCTCCCTCACGCAGGACGAAGGCCTCGAAGACGGCGACGCCGCCGTCCCCACCCTCCCCACCAAGTCCGACGACGAGTTCCGGCCCTTCATCCGCCGTCTCCCCGAGTTCAAGTTCTGGCACTCGGCCACCCGTGCCATCGCCATCGGGTTCGTGTGCTCGTGGTTCGCCGTCTTCGATATCCCCGTCTTCTGGCCCGTCTTGGTCGTTTACTGGATTATCTTGTTTGTGTTGACGAGTATGTTTCCCCGGTCCTTTCCGAATGTCGGAGTTGAGTGGAGAGATGTACCGCTGGGAGTTGGATGTTGTCTATGTATGGATGCTAATGTGTTCTCCTGTGTAGTGCGTCGCCAGATCCAGCACATGATCAAGTACCGTTACGTGCCCTTTTCGTTCGGAAAGACGAGATATGGCCGGTCATAAGGGGTGGTTTCGTTTTATCGTCGTCTAGATGAGATGGAAACGGATAAATGAGATGCGATGCGATGCGATGCAAGATGTGGTGTGGTGTGACGATCGTCACGTCATGTCATAGTTTCATAGCTCGATCTTGCTCTATCCCATCCCATCCTATTCTATTCTATCCTATCTATCTGCCATGTCAAGCCATGACCAGCCAGACCACCCTCCTCCCCCTCCATCCCAGTCCCAGTCCGACGGACCTACTCACTTCTTCTGCCCCAGACCCAGACAGACAGACAACCCCTCTCTGTCCATCCCATCAGCACGAATAAATGAGTATCTATCAGACCAGCGCCCGGATGTCCCCAATCCAATATTTCTCCACCCACCCATACATACCAACCTCTACACTACACTACACTACACTACACTCCACTACACCCTTTAATTGATTTGATGATGACTCCTTGCTGCGTGTGACCTAACCTGACCCCTAACCCGACCTTCATGAGCTGAACTGAACCGAACCGGATCCTACGTATCCGCTATCTATGTACAGAGAGAGAGAGAGATTAAGTCTATGCCGATCATGCTATTGTTGCTTTGCTTTGCTTTTCTTGCCTTTCTTTTTTTTCCCCCTTTTTTTCTTTTCTTCTTCCTTCTTGTGCTATTAGAATTGGATGGACTTTGTCTGTGATTGTGATTGTGATTGTGACTGTGACTGTGACTGTGACTGGGTGTGTATGTGTGTATTCTATGGGGTGAATAGATGAAAAGTAAGAGTATAAGTGTAAGTATAAGTATAAGTATAAGTATAAGTAAAAGTGTCTTTTTGAGTTGTTGGAGGTTGGAGGTTGGAGGTTGGTAAGTAGATGGTAAGTAGTAGGTAGTAGGTAGTAGGTAGTAGGTAGTAGGTAGTAGTTATCTCAGATAGGGCTGGGGTGGGGGTTGTTTGGTAAGGTAGGGTTGGTATTTAGTAGTTAGACTGTAGGATGTGTTGGGGTTGTTACTATTGCTGTATTGGGGTGTGGATGAGTAGAGTAGAGTTGAAGTAGATTAATTACAGGGTACTGTGTTTTTGGTACTTGGAACTAATTGGCAAACTCTCTAACTAACTAGGTCAAAAGCTGAGGCATAATCAATTATGTTTATATAAAATGTCTAGATAGTAAGTATTAACCAAGCTTTTACCTTTTACCTACTCTATGCGCATGTGTGCGCACACTTTGACCACCAAGTACACTCAATGTCTGGGAAGTTTTGGAGAGAAAGGAAGCCCCCCGGGGGGGGGGGGAGAGAAATATAAGGGGTATGAAAGAAAAAAAAAAAAAAAAAAAAAAAAAAAAAAAAAAAAGTAGACGAACAGGTGAAAGGAAACATTCGAGCTGGGGGGGGGGGGGGGGGGGGAGGTTTGATAGTCAAGTATCATCGTCATCACCAAAACAGACACATTCATGTCATCCAAGATTATACTATATCTCCAGGTGCTCGACACTATTCCTCTTGGGTGTGGCAGAGGCAGTGACATTGGCAGTGGTATTATCCAACGAGAGCGCGGACATGGCGCGGCTGGGGGTCGGGCGTTCGAGTTCTTGTGTCTTCGTGCAGATCCAGGTGGAGGCGTACATGTTTACACTGCTTCAGTTAGTTCATGTTTGTAGGTATAGTACTGTGTATGTGGGGGAGTGATTACCGATCGATACACGTCCCCGGGAATCGTGCGCCCACGCGACGAGCAGAGAACCCATTCTGCTCGAAGTGTCGGATGTACCAGGGCTCGATGCTCGCGGACCGCAGGAGTATCCGTCCGCCCATCTTGAGGGCGTGGTTGAGCTTCTGTGCTTGGGCGGAGGCTTCGCTGCCCTCTGGGTCGAACCAGTCCATGGAGTCCATGATCTGATTGATTGTTAGCTTGCTGGCTGAAGGCTTTCGGGTTGGATGGGAGGGGAGGGGAGGGGACTTACCACGGCGATTGTGAGGCTGCGTGGTGTGATGCGCTTGATCACTTCGTTGATCTCGTCTGTGTGGATGCGGAGGCCGTCGAATGCGCCTGGCGAGGAGAGCTTGACATGCGATTTGGGGGAGAGGTAGGCGGGGTGGCATCTGGTGCTGTTAGCGTGATTGTCCATGAGGTCTGTGGTAAGATTGGGTATTACCTTCTGGAGAACTGCCCCTGCAGACACAGGAAGTAAAAGTAGTTGTCGTTGCTAATCAGAGTGTCCTGGACCGCGGGATCCAGAGTGTCCACCACATACTCCCAGATCGACTGCCCGCTGACATCCTTCGTCTGCTTCATGTCCTTGTTCAGCCCGTGTCTCTTGTAGTAGTCGTCGATGATCATGTTGCGTTGGTTGCGGGGCACGCCTGCGGCCTTCCAGGCAAACCATTCGGTTCCTACCACGGCCCAGTGAAGGGGCTTGCTCATCAGGACGGAGCGAATCCGAGGCCAGATCTTGCGCTGCTCGACTAGGGTCTGGGCCTCGCAGAGTTCTTGTACCGCTCTCCCCACGCCGAACGCCTTGAACAGGTAGCGGACCATCTTGATGGCGTGGCGGGATCCGCCCGTCTCATAGAGACCTTTGCCGGAGGGCGAGGTGAAGACATGTGTGTGCTCAAGCCAGTACTGAAAGGCTTGGCTGGACAGGTGTGGGCTCAGCCGGGAGATGAGAAGCTTGCGGAAGTCGGAGTGCTTTCCTTCGCCGAAGATCTTCCACACGTCCCGGTGGCCCAGGGCCATGAAGCTGGCCACCTTGAGCTCGAGTAAGTGGTTCTGGTTGGGGTTCAAATCGACAGCGTGCACCCGACGTGGGCTCTTCTGAAGGTAGTCCAGAATGTTGTCTCCGGCACTTGTGATGGCCAGGATGACATCGTCGCGCTTGATATCCAGCAGTTGGTGGTCAACGCGGGGGTCTTCCCAGTTGAAGGCATAGATATACTCGTTTCCGAACTGGGTATGCTTCGGGAGTAGGTCATCGTAGAAGATCCGGTGGTGATGGTTTTGGTAGAAGGATGAGGGAAGAGGGAGGTTCGCGCTCAGGTTAATCACAGCAGTCTCATAGGCCTTGGACTTGATTTCCTGTGTACTGTTCTGAACGGCAGACTCGATCTCCTTGCGGTGATTGGCAGGGGAGAGGTATGGGGATTCCGTGAAAGAGGCGTTCAGTTTCTCGATGGTGTCGCGCCCCGAGCGAGTGGTGGAATCCTTTTGGCATCCGACAAAGATATAATACGGGATACCTCCCAAAAGGTAGTTTCTTTCGCTGGCAGAGATGACGGTTCCAAAGCGGTATTCCAGATAATCACGACGAGCGGCCTCCAGGCTGACGCGGTCTGCGTCGAACCAGGCACGCCAAAAGGCACGGCCCAACCAGTTCACATGACGATTGAAGGCACCGCCAATATAGTTGCGTGAGGAGACGTCGACGATGCTTTGGACTGTCGAAAGGTCAGGCTATGGGTCTAGTTCAATGTCAAGGAACGTACCATAAAAGTCGCAAACTCCGAGGAATCCAGATGGCTTCATCAATGCAGGCAGGGCATCGATGACGCTGTAGTAGTCTGCTCCTTATTAGCACCACCCCTGACATACAGTCGAGCACCGCATACCTGGTATCATGGACAAACTGTAGCTCATGGTAGCCAGATCCGCGCCCGTGGTCGTGACGTTCCCACTGCGGGGATCAATCTTGTCTTCCTCTGGAAGACAGAAAGATCGGGCATCCTGGCAAACGACACGAACATTCTTCCATCCCAGTCTCTCGAAGCGCTGGCGAGCCACCTCGCAAAGAGATGGAGAGAAGTCCACCAGATATACGCGTGAGAAGAATTCCGGAACGGAAAGGAAGGCAGACATGGCTTCGATGTTGTACCTAATGTTGAGTTAGGGCTGAATCCATGATATACTGGAACATGAGTGCTCACCCGGTACCTCCTCCGATCTAAACCATAAGTTAGAACTTGGCGCGCGGGGCATATATGTTGTAGGATAACTTACGTCGACCCAGACAGCCTTTCCGGCGGCGAGCTCCTTATTTTCGACCTTGTGCTTCAGCTGGGCCGCAACCAGGCCCAGCATATCCTCTCGACCGCAGAGGAGACGCTTGCGAGTGGCGTCGTAAACACCAGCCTGGGCCCTCTCTGTCAGCCAGTTCCACTTTCAACCCGGGTTACAGGACATAATGCGTACCTGGGTCTTGTAGAAGCTCTCGAGAGCATCCTGCTGGCCATTCCCATGGCTCTCATGGGGCTTGAGGAAGCTGGCGTAGATAAACTTCAGGTAGGTGAAAACTCCGCTGTTATAGTCAATTTTGCGCTTCTGCGACGACAGCATCATGACCACTGCGACCAATGCGCAGACCAAGAAAGCGGAGGCCGCAATGTAGACATGGAGCCAGTCAATCCGGCCCAGAAAGGGACCGGCAACACTGCTGGAGAACATAATGTCGGAATGGAGGGGAGAGGGAGAGGGAGAGGGAGAGGGAGGGGGGTGCTGCTAATGCCTCCTGTCGGACAAAGACAGATGAGAGACAGACAGAACTTCAGACCCCAGACTTGAGAGGAAGGACGGCTTCTTGAACCAATTGCTCCTGCAGCGCGGAGGGCGAGGCGGGGGAGCAATTGGACGCATCTTTTGGATCCCTGCCCCACCCACAGCAACCCCTCTATCGCGAAGTAAGTTGGCTCCAAACATTCGACAGTAGTGCGATGCCCTATCAGGGGGACACATGGGCCAAAGAGTGATAAGATGCATTGGGCCCACGGGCCTGAGGATCAAAGGCCGCGGGCCTGGGTGCAGCAAGGATCCCCGGTGGCTCCTTCCCTGCCGGCCAGCTGGCACCGAATTGCAGGCGCTGGACAAGGCCAGAGCCGGGGAATTGCCCTATGAAGGTCCTCGCGGTATACTTCGGGCGGGCCAATCACGGCCTGCAGTGCCCGCACGCCCTAGTAGCTGCCCCGGCCTCTCCCGGCCAATGGCTCCCCGCACGCCGGGCCCGGGGCGGGCAGCTTCGGGATCATTGGACGCTCCTTCACTGGCCGCCCAGGGCCTCTAATGAGTAGTTGTCATGGCTCATACGGTGGAGAACTTCCCCCCTCTGGCGTCTATCTTTGGCAGCACTTCACTGGGGGTGGGGACCATGAACCCCTCTTCTCCTCGCGCAGAATGCCAGCACCTTCTTGCTCAACCCGGAACCACCAGAAGCTTTCGAGACCTGCTCAGATCGGCATGGTCCGTCGGTATATGTCGAAATCTATGTGAAACAGAGTCACTACTTAGTAGGAGTCCATAAGAAAGATTGAGACCCACAGCTTGCCTCCAATGCATTGATCCGATGTGCGTCGTTAAATTCCGCAATACTCCCAGCGAGCATCCTGCCTTCGAAGTGGAGAAGTTGCAACCATACAATTTGGGATGATCTGCTCGACACCTGTGTTGGAATATTTGTTAAACGGAGGGTCCTCGATCAACTGAATTGTCCATCCACTGATGACCCCAAGTAGCAGCATAGCTCTTTGCTAGGTGTATATCATCAAAAAGTATCTCGTCACACGTTTGTGTAGATCATTTTGATGCCCCGTTTGTCGTTTCGAAAACCTGCATCTTACCAGATTTCCTCACAGTCCTATCACTTTGACATCCTAACTGGATGTCAGTATGATGCTGCTCTCGCGTATTGAGCTATGTGTTTGAGGCTCCTGGATGTACTTTATCGGCACGAGCGTCCTCCTAACTCATTGAGACAATTTTAGTCATGATCACAAGCTGATTGCCTCCAGATAACCTGGTGAATAGGTAGATATCGTAACAGGATCTGGTGAGACACGCTAGATTGGCGCTCGTTTTTCCCTTGGTGTCGCGGCCTTTGCCCTTTCAGTCGTCCCATGTTACTGTGGAAGTCATGGATCTTGAAAGGCAAAAAGTTGGGAGCCAGCCTTACGATTCAGTTCCTGGACTCCATATGATCCTCTCCTCGAAATAAATCGCTCGGTCTGATCTTCTCTAGCTATAAGAGCGAGTGGAAAGATCTTTTGGTAGTAGCAGATACTCGGAACTGGCAACGGAGACCTTCAATGTAGGGAGAAGAAAGGAGTCCAGGTGGAGAAAGAACTGGACTCGATGAAGAGAAAATACGCCATGTGACCTTCCGGTCCTGGGGCTCATTTCACTGGGAAAAAAAAAAAAAAAAAAAAACAACGCTCGCTTCTTTTTTTTTTTTTTTTTTCTAATACCATACTTGATCAGACTCTATCCATTTTGGTGAGCATTAGAATTACAAGTCCGTTACTTCCATAGCTTGCCTAAACTCACTTCATATATCAACAAGAGTGATTTACTCTGGAATGCGCACAACAGCCCGTCCCTCAATCTCAGACCGTCCCAGTCGCTGCAACACATCATCAATGCAATCGAAATCAAAGGACTCAATATGCGCCGTCACCTCGCCTGCAACCGCCATCTCCATCAACTCCTCCATCTCCTCCGCCGTGCCAGCTGAATTTCCCACGATCGTCAACCCTGCTTAGCGTCAGCACTTAACCCGGATCCCAGGAACCCGCCCGCCTACCTTTCACGATCATTTCAAACGGAGTAGCCGGCAACCGAAACGGAACACTCGGTATACCGACACAGACCAGAACGCCCAGCCTGCGAAGCATCCGCAGACTCTGTGTGTAGGCCGTCTCGTTGTTGGCCATACAGATGACCGCATGTGCGCCGAGCCCCGAAGTCAAGGCTTTAACTTCGCTCTCGACGTCGTCGGTCTTGTAGTCGAGGAAGATGGTGGCGCCTAGGGAGAGACAGAGCTGTTTTTTCTTCTCGCCGCTGAGAGGCTGTTAGTGGTGGTTGGTTGGTTGGTTGTGTAGTAGTGACAGGCTGTTCGTACTTGTCAATTGCAATGACCTTGAGTCCCTTCTTGGCTGCGATTTGGACACCCCTGGGATATGTCAGTCTTGCTTAATGTGAGATAGTTCTGTAAGCTTACATGTGTCCCAAGCCCCCTCCAGCTCCCGGGAGAACGATCCAGTCTCCCGGTCGGGTCTTCGTCTTCATGATCGATGAGTACATGGCGATTCCAGCTGCATGAGGGTCAGTCTATCGAAATCGCAGGTAGACAGAAATACTCAACGCACCGCACAAAAGAGGTGCAGCTACATCTGGAGCCAGCTCAGGGGGGATAACAGTTGCATGAATTGCCGGAGTGACGACGTATTCTGGTCTCAGCCTGGTTAGGGCCTCAATCAAGTCACAGCAGAACGATTAGATACTCACGCTGAAAAGTCCCTGGTACATTCTATACAGCATCAGCACTACCTCACAACCCACCTGCCAAAATCACTACCACCTGGATAAACCTACCGCCCCCGCATTTCTCTGATACGGACATGCCGTGTTGTTTATCGCGCAGATCTCACACTCCAGACACGAGCTATACAGCCACCTGCACAAATAAAAACCACCACCATTAACCCATAGCTCTATAGATCGATGGATGGCAATACAAACCGCACACCAAGTCTCCTTCCCAGCCAAACCTGCTCGTCAAGCCCACTACCCACTATCCCAGTTTCCCCCGGTCAGAATAACGAATGATTGGTAGGTAGGTAGGTAGGTAGGTAGGCACCTTAGGTAGTCCTGACAGGGGGAAAGCAAACATATGGTACTACTTACCCTGGACGACCTTCCCCACACCCTCGTGGCCCGCCACGTCCGTCAACATCGGGGTTTCCCCGCGCACGCTGTGCACGTCCGAATGACATACTCCCGAGTATTCGAGCTTGAGGAGGACTTCGCCTTCGGCTGGGGAGGGGATTGGGCGGTCGTGGTTGATTTGTAGTTTGACGGTGGAGGTGGCCCCGGATGGTGGGATGATGGCTGCGGTCTGGGTTTGGGGAATCTGCATGGTTTAGTAGTCGTATGGATTGGCTGGTGGTATGGAGATCTGGTGGAGAGACTGGAAAGACTGGATTGCCGGGGGGGTGTTGTTGCGGGGTATAAATATAGACAGAGGGGAACGGATGACTAGTGCTGAGTGCTGAGGGAGGGAAGTATAGGAGTTAATAAAAAACTATCGATACGTATAAAATGATTGTAATCTGTAATCGATGAGAGATAATCTGCGGAGTATCGACCGAATACCGATAGGCCATGACAGGCTGATAAGGCCTCCCAGATGGTACAGCCGGTTAGTTGGTCGGCATTCCTCTTGCTCGAGAGAAATAGTAGCTTACTTAGTTATAACCAACCCGTCGTGCAATATTTTATCCAGCAGTGTGTAAATATAGCAGACCTACATGCCCATTTCCACGGATATTCGTACCCTAAGAAAATAATATCGATTGCTAATGTCCTGTTCCTGTGCAGCAACAAATGTATCGCAAAATCCCCTCACCGGCAGCATAGCATGGTCTGTCTCATCTTTGCAAGTCTGTGGTTTCAGTCTCAGTCTCAGTCTCGTGAGAACGACCAACACCAATACCGAACACCATGGGTATGTAGGAACTTCCATCCACATCCAACCGCGCAATCCGTCTCAAATCATAATGGCAACGCAAGCAAAGCCGGCCAACTTCCATCGTCAAATCAATTAGGATATTATGCTAAGTCTGACAAATTTCAAATCAAAAAAGGTATACTGTATAAACGACACGGGCCCTGAAAGAGAGTAGAACGAGGACGTGGAAGGCGCCAGAGATAAACGGGCATCCGCCCGCTCACTGGTCTTCCACGAGAAAACGGAGGATATATGGAAAGAAATCTATAACATGTCACAATACCACCGTCGCTCATGCATTTTCGGATTGCAGGGTTTGCTGTGCGAATGTTAGCATGTTTGCACAACGAATGAGAGCGAGCCTGCGAGCATACCACCAGCCAGTCCATGCCTTCGTTAAGACCTTTACCGTCGATAGCAGAGCATGCAACGATACTCCAGTTTCGATCACGCAGCTCCCCGAGCTTCAGGGCCTCTGATATTTCGCCGGCGCCTTTAGCACCAGGCTGGTCCTGCTTGTTGGCGAACACCAACAAAGCCGCGTCACGCAGCTCCTCCTCGTTGAGCATGGTCGCGAGTTCGTCCGCAGCGGTCCCGAGTCGTTCAATATCTGTGGAGTCGATGACGAAGACGACGGCGGCGGTGTTGGCATAGTAGCAGCGCCAGTAGGGTCGAATGGACGTTTGGCCTCCGAGATCCTGTGGACACACGCAGATGTCAGTACTTGGCAACCGGCCACGATTACTTCGAGAAGCTAGGAATATATCCGAGAAGGTTCGGCACTTACCCAGACATTGAAGTTCAGGTTCCGATACGTCACCGATTCCACATTGAAACCAATGGTCGGTATCGTGGTGACCACTTCACCAATCTATAGGTGAAACATTAGCCCCTGGCTCTATTCACCCGGCCATAAGCGAGGGAGACGCACCTTGAGTCTGTAAAGGAGGGTTGTCTTTCCGGCATTGTCCTGGAGAGACGGGTTAGTATCGGGGGGGGGGAGAGGGGGGCGGCGCTGACGCCTAGTGGCACAACATGAGCTCATACCAGTCCCAGAATGAGAATGCGGATTTCCTTCTTAGTCCAGAGGAAGGACCAGAGACGGGAGAATGAGCCACCCATGATCGAAACTGTGACGGCGAAAGAGCGAGCTGGGGAACTCTAGTCGGGGGGGATGGGGTCCAGCCAGAGAATGACGGAAGGAGGGATTGCGGAGGGAGTTCGGCGACGGGCGACAAGCGGTGGCGGAGACGATGCGGCGAACACGTTGTTTGGAGACGACTCGCGCAGGCAGTAACACCAACCAAGGCGATGGAGGAGAAAACCAAGGAGAAGTCAGGAAGTAACAGACAGTGATCGGATCTGTTCACGAGAGCCTGACAGTCACCCGGACACGAGACGGCGAGCGATCGCGAGCTGACTAAATGGGAGGAGGCCATCATTGGCCCGCGGCCTCCTGCCGATCGGGCTGGCCCAAGCTCAAATCAACTAAGAATGGGATGGAGGCTGGAACTGGATGGGGATCCCCCCCCGATGCTGCGCAAGCATCCCCGTCTTGACCTCTCCCTCTCCCTCTCCCTCCTTCCCTCTACGGCCACCTTGATTGTTGTCTCGTCCCCCCCCCCTCTTCTTCTTCGCCGCCGCCGCCTCCTCCTCCTCCTCATCATCATCCACCCCCGAATTGCCTCATCCTGATCTGACCCGCATCTACCCAACACCACCCTTTGCGATCCGCTTGCGATCTTGCCGGACTCTTCCTTGCCACGCCCTCGCAACAAATCGACGGCTAGCCTAGCAATCCACAATGGTTGGCAAGAAGTCGGGCAAGGCCCTCCTTCGGGATGAAGGTGCGTCTCCCAGCAGTCATGGTCTTTTTTCCACGGGATTAACGGTCCTGCCTAGGTCTGGAGCGGACGGATAACAATATGGAGTTGTCGAACTGGCCGCAGGTTCCTCCAATTAACCAGAAAAACTACTACACGTACGTCGTTACGTCCCATTCTATACCGCAACGTTGGCTCGTCGCTGCAGCCCTGTGCCCTAACGCTAACTGTGTTACTCAATCACCCAGAGATTACCTGAAGCGCGATGATCAGTACCTGGCGTTCAGGCTGCAGAATGAGGAGAACCGGAATCGCATGGCAAAGACCGCCAAGGACCGGGACCGTGCCCTAGCCATGGCAAAGGCCAATGACCTGGGCATACCGGAAGCAGAGGCGGAAGTGGACGGGGATACCAACATGGAAGATGCGGAAGAGGCCAATGAAGAAGCGGTGGGCTCTAAGGTCATTGTTATTCATGTCGGGAGTCAGAACTTGCGGATTGGATTTTCCAGCGATGCCCTCCCCAAGACCGTCCCGATGGTGATCGCCCGGAAGTCTCGTACCAGTGAATCCGAGGACCGAGAGGAGCCCTGTCCCAAGCGCTTAAAGATGGACGATGGCTCGGATATGGAGCCCGATAAAATTTTTGGGCCTGAGGTTCGTTGGTGACTCCATTTACTCTCGTCAACTCAGTCTGACAACCTCGTCTCGTCACAGTTTTCTTCGCAGTATACGACGATGATGGCGGATCTCAAAACCCATATGCGACAGAACAAGCGTCGGACACTGCCAAACTCAAAGGAAATGGTCATCAACTTCAACCGGAGAACAGTACCGGAAACCATCTCGGAGCACAACGACCCCCTGCGCGTTGACTGGACGGAGATTCCGGAACCAGCACCTGAGTACATCGTGGGACAGGCGGCTTTGAGGATCCCCGATGCCTCCAAACCACGCTACAAACTGTTTTGGCCTATAAAGCATGGCTGGTGCAATGAGGGAGACTATGACAGCAAGAGACTTCTCTTTCTCGACATCTCCCTCATTCTGGAAGACGCCTTCAAGACCCAGTTGGGTCTCACCAGCAAGAAGGACTGGCCCCAGTACTCCTGTGTCTTCGTCATTCCGGATATCTACGAAAAGTCGTACGTGACCCAGACTCTTGACCTGCTCATGACGGAGTTTGCCTTCGCCCGGGTGTGTTTTATCCAGGAGAGCCTGGCAGCTACGTTTGGCGCAGGGTTCACCTCTGCGTGCGTCGTCGACATTGGCGCGCAAAAGACATCGATATGCTGCGTCGAAGAAGGGATGTGCCTTGAGAATTCGCGCGTGAATCTTAAGTACGGAGGATCGGACGTGACGGAAACATTCATCAGGATGATGCTTCACGATCACTTCCCCTACGCCGATATCAACCTCTGGCGCCGTTATGATTACCTCTTGGCCGAGGAGCTGAAGAAGAGCGTCTGTACCATGAACGAGGCAAGCGTCTCAGTGCAGGTGTTCGATTTCCACCTCCGTGTCGCCGGTCAAGATACCCGAAAGTACTCATTCAAGGCTTACGATGAGGTCCACCTTGCCCCGATGGGCTACTTCCAGCCGAGCATATTCGACAACTCGCAGAAGCTGAAGGGACGACGGAAACTGATCGGTCGATCGGTTGACATCTACGACGGGCAGCCGAACGACCCCACGTCGATCGCGCAATCGCAGATCCTGTCTAGCATTGCGCCCTCGTCCAATGGCCAGGTGAACGGCGATTTGCAATCGAACAACACCCTGGAGGTCCAGGCCACCCCGAGTCGGGCCCAGCCATCCAATGCTCTCAGTCGCGTGCAAGAGCTGGAAGGTACTCCCCGGTCATCTGTCGCCGGATCACCGGCCCCAGAGGCAGTCGGCACCCCTCAAGCCGGAGCCACCCCCGTGCCGGGTGGACAGGGTCCGGCCACATCGCAGCCCCGGGCACCCACCGTCGAAGAGCGGGATGATATCCTACCCGTGTTCCCGCTGGACAATGCAATCTTGACCTCCATTGCTCAGGCTGCTCGATCGGACGAGCGCAAAATGCGAGACTTCCTCGGCGGCATCATGGTTGTCGGAGGCGGGAGCTTGGTGAACGGGCTCCACCCCTTCCTTGAGGAGCGTCTCCAGACTCTGCGGCCAGCGTTCGCGAAGGAGATCATGATCGGTACGCCCCCGAGAGAACTGGATCCGCAAGTGGTTGTCTGGAAGGGGGCGAGTGTGTTTGGCAAGTTGAATGGAACCAACGATAGTTGGATTGGGCAGCTGGAGTACGACCGGCTGGGACATCGACTGATGGCTTACAAGTGCATGTGGGCCTACTGAGGAGTCTGTCTGTCTGTCTGTCTGTCTGTCTTTTGGGGTGGTTTGGTTTGCGATACTCATGTAACTCTATTGAATCTTTGGCTAGCTTTCTGTTTTTGTAAGACCGGACGGGCGTTCAGCGCAATGAGATAATGACAGTGAATGCTTCTCTCCGACTGACCATGCAGAGTAACACGAACCAACACGAACAAACATACTGCCTACTGCCTGCTATATACATATACCTACCTGACCTGCAGTGTCGGAGGATTGTTGCTCCGTTCCTCCTCACCCATCCGACTCACGACAGCCGCTAACCCAAACCACCAGGCGGTGGAGGCGTGCAGAATGGCCCGGATCTCAGGTGAGTTTGTCCATCCCGACCCTCCGATGGTCCTGCTCTGTGCCAGGTTTGTTGATTGGAACCTCGTCTCTTTCAGCTCTTCAGCCCGTCGATTCTAGCAGTGAAGGCTCGGACGGGGGCTTGGTGCCAGACTCCGAGATCCCACCCTTTTCTCTTCCCGATCCTTGTAAGCTTGCTTCCCTTCACGGGCTCTCGCTGCAATTGGGACCGACCTACTAACTTCACTGCAGTGCACCCTTCACCCCCCGACGGCTCCCCAATAACCTTGCAGCTGTCGTTGGCCAAACCCGACATGTCGAAATCCAAGGATAGCAGCTCCTCCGGGGGCTTTCATCAGGAATATATCGCGTCGCTGCGCTATCGCAATGACCTGCCGCCTCCGGACATGCCCACCAAGTTCCTCGATATCCCGCACGAGGGCTTGCACCGTTTTCTCACCCCGGGCTTCACGTCTAACCTGGCTCGTCGCGAGGAACCCAATATCGATGTCGATGCCGAGGGTGGTATGCCAATTGACCTGGTCGGAATCCCGGGGCTTCACCTGGGCGATGAAAGTGGTACGTAGCCCGTGTCCGACGTTGTCCGAGTTGTGGCTAATCCAGGGTGGCAATGCAGCCATCATGGCTCCTGAGAATCCAGGACCACTTGACCCCGCTGACCTGGCGCTTCTGATGACCCCGGAGCAGCTGAGAAACCCGGCGCCCAAGAATGTCAACGTCAGTTTCCTCCGTCGTACGCAGTACATCTCCGCCGGTCTTCGCGCGCCCGATAGCCCCAACGTTCCTACACCAATCCGATCGAAGCGTGCCCTCGAGAAGGTCAAGTCGCAGGATGATCCCACGTACGTCAAGAAATACATCCAGAAGGGATTCGATATCGCGTATCCGAGCAGCAGACATTCTGGCGAAGACACGGCCAGCAAGATCAAGGGCCACACTTCTACGAAGCTTGAACACGACGCGTGGGCCCATCCGGTGCACCCCGACAACCCCAAGTTGAAGCCTGTCGGATACTATCCGCTTCTTCCCGATCTGCGCGGTTTCCCCGATCCTGGTGGTTTCGTCCAATTCAAGTTCGACAAAGCGCCCGTGTCGGATGTGTCTGGGAGAAGGGACAAGCGCATGGACGTTGCGGTTCTGCTCCCGTCCGCGCCGGAGGAGCGCATCTGTCAGGAGCATGCAACCAAGGTGGCCTTGCATAAGGCGCACCCTGACTTGTACCCTGATCCCGGCCCGATTCCTTGGGACTACGATCTCTTCCTGCCCGAGAGGAAGGACGCGGCCAGGAATGTCACCGCGAGCCTGCGCATGTCCAACCCTGATCGCGAGAACGAAGAGCTGTACACCCACGAAGGGGCTGACGGCGCCAAGTTCCACCGTTACGATCGTCTCCGCACATATGCCACCAGCGCGCAGACTCTGGGCAATGATCAGAAGCAAAGAGATGTGGCACTGACGCTCTTCGATCCGTCAGAGCTCAGAGAAGGACAGCGAGGTGACTTGGACTCGAAGCAGAAGGCGGCCTACTACTATCCCATCCTCGGCAAGACGCGTCTGAAGCCCGAGCGTGCCCGCACCATCGCACAGGCCGGTCTGGCCCCAACACTCGGGAAGACCAAGGAGGAACAGGTCGATCAGATCCAGGTGGTGGTCCGCGACCCTGACGAGGCGGAAGTGTACAAGCGGTCGCTGCACCGAGCGGCCATTGACCCGAAGTTCGCCGAGACCCTGCCCCCTCCGCCGGAGGACCATGAAGCCGAGGCCAAGGAGGACGAGGGAGATGAAGGCTCTGACCGCCAACCGTCGCCCCACGATGCCGACGATGCCGACGATATGAGCGACGAGTGATCGCCGTCGTCTGGCACCGCATTGGAGCGCCCCCGCGGACAGCTCCTTCTGTCTTCCACACTGTACTTCTTCCTGTGCATTACACCCTTACATACCCTTTCATATCTTCATTATGCGGATCTTCTTTGGACTTGTTCCTTGCATTGCTGCCCCAGACACGGAGCCGAGCTGCTACCGCGACCGGTCTGGAAGCTGATATGGAGTCAAGGCGGCAAAGCAAAAGGCGTTGAGTGGCATGATGACTTGGAGTTACGTAGCGAATTTCGTGTTTTTCTCTGAATGGGCCGTTGCAGGATGCGGGTGCGCATCGGCAGCTGCTACTGGCGACTCATGTACATCCGTAAATACTAGGTAGTTCAATTCCATACCATCATCTCTGGACTTCCTCCTCTCGAAATCTCCCCGACACCGGCCGGTGCTTTGTAGCAGTTCACCGCCCGGGCGAGCTCATTCTGCCGGTCGATCCCTGACCGCCCCGGGACGTTGGCGCAAAAGAACCGGCGAGGAAGGCGGCCCTCGTTCACTTCCACCCCGATCCCTTCCTGCGAGGTTTGGCTCTGTCGACTCGGAGGCGTGGTTGCAGTAACTTGATCTGCCTCTCCGCTGTTGCCGCGGTTTTGAATGCAATTGATCGGACTTTGGGTGGTGAGTTAGTTGGCTTGATCCTTCTCGTCGGCTGTTCGTCGGCATAGCGGTTGAGCAGTATAGCGAGGCTTCTCGCCTCAATACACTCACCCCCACTGGCTTGCAGCATCCGACTGTGACGTTCTGCCAGATACAAGATTCTCTCGTCCACTTCACTCCAGCTGACACGAATCCAGGTCAATTGCCGCGCAACCCCACCCATACCCCACCCCCATTAATATAACCACCCCCTCAACCCACCACCAACTACAATGGCTCCCCACGCTGTCGCTCTCGCCTGGAGAGCTGCTGGCCGCAGGGCTGCACTCCCCTCTCTCCGTGCCACTCGTCCCTCTGTCCTCCACCGGGAATCCCTCTTCCGCAATGTGCGCTATGCCTCGGACGCCGCTGCTCCCCCGACGAAAGAAGCCGCGAAGGAAACCGTCGCCCAGGCCACGGAGACCGTGAAAGAGGCGCCCAAGAAGGGTGGCCGCAAGATCAAGCGGACCGTGCTCGGCACCACCCTGGCCCTGACTGCTGTAGTCGGCTTCATCTACGGAACCGACACCCGGGCCAGCGTGCACCGATACGGAGTCGTTCCCCTGGTCCGCCTACTCTACCCGGACGCCGAAGACGCGCATCACTTCGGCGTGGACATCCTGAAGAAGACGTACCAGTACGGCCTGAACCCTCGGGAGCGCGGAAACCCCGATGGCGATGGCTCTCTCGTAACTGAGGTATACCCCTCCTCCCCCCTATCCCCCACCCCCTGACCCCTCAACTCACCACCCCAGGTCTTCGGCTACACCCTCTCCAACCCGATCGGCATCTCCGGCGGACTCGACAAGCACGCCGACATCCCCGACCCGCTCTTCGAGATCGGCCCGGCCATCGTCGAAGTCGGAGGCACAACCCCCCTCCCCCAGGACGGAAACCCCCGTCCGCGCGTCTTCCGCCTCCCCTCCCAGAAAGCCATGATCAACCGCTACGGCCTGAACTCCAAGGGCGCCGACCACATGGCGGCGGTCCTTGAGCAGCGCGTCCGCGACTACGCCTACGCGCACGGGTTCGGCGAGCACGAGGTCGGCGAACAGCGGGTCCTGAACGGCGAAGCCAACGTCCCCCCCGGCAGTCTCCGCGAAGGCAAGCTGCTCGCGGTCCAAGTCGCCAAGAACAAGGTCACGCCGGACTCCGACATCGAAGCCATCAAGCGAGACTACGTGTACTGCGTCGACCGACTGGCCAAATACGCCGACATTCTCGTCGTGAACGTCTCGAGCCCCAACACACCCGGCCTCCGTGACCTGCAAGCCACCGCGCCCTTAACCGCCATCCTCAAGGCGGTAGTCGGTGCCGCCAAGAGCATCGACCGCACCACCAAGCCCTTCGTCATGGTGAAGGTCAGCCCAGACGAGAACTCCGACGAACAAGTCTCGGGCATCTGCGACGCCGTGTGGGGATCCGGCGTCGACGGTGTGATCGTCGGAAACACGACCAACCGCCGTCCCGACCCGCTGCCCCAGGGCTTCGAGCTCCCGTCCAAGGAGCAGAGCGCCCTGAAAGAGACGGGCGGATACTCGGGCCCGCAGCTCTTCGACGGCACCGTCGCCCTGGTCGCGCGGTACCGCGCGCTGCTAGACGCGAGTGCCCCCAACGCTGTGGAGGCTGTGGCCGCGCAGGTCGAACCCGACGTCGAAAACGCCCCCGTCACTCCGTCGGACGTGGCGCCCCGGAAGGTCATTTTCGCCTCCGGCGGAATCACCAACGGCCAGCAGGCGAAGCAGGTCCTGGACGCCGGCGCGTCCGTCGCCATGATGTACACGGCTATTACCTACGGGGGCATGGGCACGGTGACTCGCGTGAAGCAGGAGCTGCGCGAGAGGCAGTAGACAGATATATCTTTCTTTTTTTTTTTTTTTCTTACAGGACGTGCTTAAAAGGAGCGACCGGTTGGGGTTGGTGAGGGGGATATAAGTATTGTATTGTAAATAGATCTAGTTACTTAGGTACCAGGGGCTACCTACATATGGTATCAATATGGAGTCAGAAGTCGCATTATCACCTGGTTGCTTGTATCTTTCCGTAGTGCTAGTATTCTTTGAACATTCCATTCATCTCCTTGTTCAGGGATGGTTGGTTGTGTGCGTGTTGCAGCGGTAGATTAGGCAGGTGTTTGGTTTGGGATGCTGGATGGGATATAATCCTGGCTATTTGTGGCAAGTCAATCCACCTAGACCTGATCAATTCGACCGGACTCGACACGAGACATGGGACATGGGACATGAGACTATCAGGCAGAAATAGATCCCTCGATACTGAGTCCTCCATATGTATGTATTCTTCACCCTGAGTGGACAGTTCTAGGTAAGGTATCTATCGACTGACCTGAGTAGTAAGGTAGTAAGGTAGTAAGGTAGTACTTGGCTACTCACTCACTCACTCACTCACTCACTCACTAGAGGAGTGAATAGGGGGGAAACATTGGGGGGAGGGGGGGTAGATCCATCATGTCCTTCAACAGCGTGATTAATAGTATTATTCAGGGTGATGTTAGCAGAGAGAGAGAGAATGTCTACCGATCAGTCGGTCTAGCCAGGTCTATACTTCGCTGGCTGGGCTGGCTGGGCTGGTCCGGTCCTGGTCCTGGATTTGAGGCAATCGTGCCAAAGTAGTACATACGGAGTACATACTTGGAACAACAATGCTGAAGTGGACGGACATACTTAGACATAGCCATGGCCCTGAAGATGCAATCCACTCCATGCCACGTGCCTCGCGATCAGTGGACAGACGGACGGACAAGACAAACAACCTTCACCGTCAATCTCCGAATGTGATTCCTCAGATTAAAATCAAAAGTATAACCGTTGGCTCTGGATCGATCGCATGGGGAGTGGGTCAGACTCAGGTCAGGTGGCACTGGGTGACAGGCCATGCAGGCCGCCGAAATTTTCTTCAACCTCACGGGACTGCAAGTCCAGGGCCGGGCCTAGATGCCCAGGTGGCATCGCCTGTGCGATCCGCTTCCTTCGAGAATATCCATCCGTCGGGGGATTTCGGCATTGCCGGTTTGAGCAAGTAGACGGACGGGCCATCCATGGATGATGGGCCGGATGCCCCAGGCCGGACTGTGTCAATCCAGTCTAGGCAAATGGGGCTGGTCGGGTTTCCTGAACGGGATACCCGGCCGGTGGATATCAAAGTCAAAGAAAGTGAAGTAGTAAAAGGGGCCAGTCTAAATTGTGTATACATCCCGCGTGATCTCTCCCTAGCCCTTAGCCCTCTGGCGTCAAAAGCACTACTTCCGTAGCAGTATCTGTACTAAGTCTCGCGCCCGAGACATCCCAGCCGGGCAACCCGATCGCAATCATGCCAACGTGTCTTCGACCTCCCTGACCACCCGGCGGACCCCCTCAATCTCGTGCGCGAATCGGCCCAGGAACATGCCGTCGACGGCCTTCCCCAGACCGCCGGGGCCCCACAGCCCGGGCCCGGCGCTTCCCCCGTACAGGATGCGGACCTCCCCCGCGCGGGTGCCAATCACCGCCTGGAGCCCGCCCACCACCGCCGCGATGTGATCCACGCCCGCCGGCGCGGGCTTCCCAATCGCCCAGACCGGCTCGTACGCGAAAATCACCGGCGCGTCCGCGGGGATCGCCGTGAGCACCGCCTGGATCTGGCTGGCGCATTCGCTGACGGCGTGGCCGACCGCCTGCGAGGCCACGGGTCCCGGCGCCGTGATCTCCCCGATGCACACCAGCGGGACCATCCCCTGGGCGCACGCCGCGGCGGCTTTGCGGCCGGTCTGCGCGTCGGTTTCACCGAAAAGGTCGCGGCGCTCCGCGTGGCCCAGCTCGACGATGGAGACGCCCGTGGCACGGAGCGCCTGGGGCGAGACTTCGCCGGTGTAGGCACCCAATGGCTCCCAGAAGCAGTCCTGGGCCCCGAGCAGGAACGGGGCCGGTAACGACGGGGTGTCGTCCGGGGGCAGGGTGGCCTCCCAGTTCCTGATGATCTCCGCACAGGGGTAGATGGTCAGGAAGTCCGGGACCAGGGCCAGCAGCAGCTTGGCGCGGTTCTCGGGGCGGACGATGCCGTTTTCGGGGGCGAGGAGGGCGCGGCAGTAGTCGAGGGTGCGGGCTGGGGTGAAGTACATCTTCAGCGAGATGATGAGCAGGTTCTTCGGGAGAACGGGGTAGGTCGGGGGCGCCATGGCTGCGTGGTCTGGTGGATGCTATCCCGGGATGGCTTCGTCGCAATCAAGGCACAATGGAGGGAGGCTGGACTCGGATCAGGATGACGGTAGTGTTTTTTTTATCTGGGAGTCCGCAAGCTGCTAGTAAGCCACGGTTCTCCGTAAGTGTTTGGTCGTAAGACGTAGAGAACAGGGTCACCGACAAGATGCTGAGGAGTTGGAACAAGGCAACCCAGAGCAGGGAAACGGCGCAAAGAGGGGCAGCCGCCAATCAGGCTGCGACGGAGACACTAATGCGGGTTAGCTGCTGGCAGGCACTAGACGGATCCCAGTTGGGCATCCAGCAAGGAAGAATCCCCAGCCAATGATGTCAGGCTGACTCCAGATGCTGGAGAACCTGGGGAAGGCCGTGGCTGGGGTGGTACTACTGGGTGCCACGGTTTTGCTGCTCGGGGCTGCTTTGACCCAGGAGTCCCAGAGATCGCAGAGATGGAGAGATCTGGAGATCTGGAGGGGAGGCTGAGATGCAGCAGCCACGGTGCACGTCCACTGACACCTACTCTACTAGATACTAACTAGCGAGAGGGGTTGAAGAGGTTGCTGCTGCTGATCGCGATCAGACCAGGCGGGTGCAGGAGACACACCGAATCTCCGGGAAATAATAACCATCCACCGTCTCGCTGTCTGGATTATTATCGGGAGGATATTATTATTTGGTGAAAATGATCCAATGATCCAATGATCCAATGATCCAATGATCCAATATCGTGTCTATCCCAATCGCACGTCAGCGGCCCTCTAACGGCCTATCACAGGGGGGCATGTGGGGCCCGTGGTGTTTGACTTTGTTTGCTTGTGTTGCGGCCGAGGCCTGGACTGCCATCGCCAGCCGTGGTTGATACAATCACTACTCTCGGATGGAGGGAGCAGCGGCCGTCTAATGTTGGACAATTTTGGACAATTTGGATGGATCGGAACAGCTCAAGTTTCGGTTGCTGCACCTGTTTCCCTTCGGCCAGCTCAGTGGTTCCGAGAGGATTGCTCATTTACTTTTTCCAGCATGCACTCTGTAGATAGTCCAAGATGTCTGTGCACCTGCCTCCGGTACTCAGGTCGATCATGTTGCTGTTATCTCCCACGTTCAAACATTGAGCCTCCGGGCGGAGGACCCCGGAGAGGACAGGGGGGGATCTGCGATGAGCAAAGAATGCCGTCAGAGAGCGACCCCGAAACCGGGCTACACTGCCCTGCCCTCGGGTATAGGATAGTCTGTATACCTCGGAGGACTATAGTACCGGTTACGATGGAGTTCTTTCTAAATCGTATCATCCCTCCTCATAATGATTGTATGGCCCAGGATAGACTTCCGAACTAGGCCTGACTTGCAGGCCCGCTTCCCAGTCCGGTTAGCCCCGCCCCGGTCTGCCTGGAATGCCTCAGTCTGTATTAATTTAATTAATATTGGAATTCCGGGAATGTAATAATCTCTCTCTCTCTCTCTCTCTCTCTCTCTCCGGTCTCCCCCTCCACCTCCCGGAAGGAGAAATCCGGAGGTGCACGCAATGCACCAGAACCGATCGGGTGAAGGGGAAGAGACATCCGTATCTGATGGCATACCTAAAACTCCTCCTGATGATCCCTAAACGCTCCGAGGTTCGATAGCCCATCGCCCGCACCATTGGTTCAGAAAAAAAAACCTACGCAAGCACATTCACTATACTGTTAGCGTTGTTAACTAGTAGTAGTCCTGTGGTGAAGTACTTACAGTGCAGTTCAGTTGCAGTTGCAGCAATAATTTGGGTTTGAATGCAACCATTCATGACGCCATGGTGGAGCTGCCAGAACCAAGTGTCCCTCCGGCGCAAAACCGGCTTGGCTGGATCGCCTCGACTGTGGGGAATCCAGAGGATCGCGCATGAAAGAACAAAGCATGAGGCATAATGCCTATTGGGAGGGAACCTGGGACTGTCCGGCCATTCCTCTGTTGTTGCTCTTGCATTCACATTCCTCCCCAACTTTGGGTCGAGAGGCACGGCTCGATCCCCACCTTCAGATCAGGGGGGGGAGGGTGAGGAAAAAAGGTATAAAAGGTCGCCGCGTTCTCTCCCATGGCCTATTTTCATCATCATCATCATCATCACTTCATCCCTCAACATCCTCTCCAAGAAACCTCTGCTCAAAGCACTACCTACCAATCAATCACCTCACCTCTTATCATCATCATCATTACCACCATGTCTGACACCAAGCCCATCCGCATCGTCATGGCCTGCGACGAGGCCGGCCAGCCGTACAAGGAGATCCTCAAGGCGGCGCTGGAGAAGAACCCCCTGGTCGAGTCCGTCCAGGACGTCGGCGTCAACTCGACCTCCGACAAGACGGCGTACCCGCACCCGGCCGTGGCGGGCGCCCGGCTCATCAAGGAGGGCCAGGCGGATCGGGGCCTGTTCATCTGCGGCACGGGCCTGGGAGTCGCCATCTCCGCCAACAAGGTGCCCGGCATCCGCGCCGTCACGGCCCACGACTCGTTCTCCGTCGAGCGCTCCATCCTCAGCAACGACGCCCAGGTGCTGTGCTTCGGCCAGCGCGTCATCGGCATCGAGCTGGCCAAGAAGCTGGCCAACGAGTGGGTGACCTACCGCTTCGACCCCAAGAGCGCCTCCGCCGCCAAGGTGCAGGCCATCTCCGACTACGAGAAGGAGTTTGCGACGGCCGTTTAACTTGCCCGACACCCACACCTTCCCTTCACCTCTCCTCTTGGTCAAGACAATCCAGACCGACCACAGTCCGAAGCGCCGGAGCCCGCCTCCCCGCCGTGTTACCATATCTATCCTATCCCATCTTATCTATTCCTTCAGTTTCAGCGACGCGTGGCGCGGCAGGACCGGCCTGCAATAATCAGAATGAGCAACGATACCACGAGTGTACGGATGAATGGCCGGCCATGTTATTCGAGAAAGCAATCGGGAGATGAATTGTCATAAATCAACAAATCCTACAAATTGTCATACAAGGTCTATTGTGCTGGTAGCTCTGTTCTGTAGCTTGTAGATTATACTATACCTCCAACTGTTCCCCTCTGTACTTGGCATCTTTCGATATACCAATCCATACAATCAGCGATGGTTAGTTAACTACACTGCTGGGTGCTGACTCATCTCTATTCTGCGGGGATCGAGCAGCTTCGACGCCATCCATCTTTATAAGACGATAGGCATCTTGCTCTCTGACACATCTCGATTCCCGCACGAGCAGTGGTCCGAGTGAGTCGTTGACAGACAGGCTGATCCCTCCACTGCGTCCCAGAAAGAGTACAACCAACCCTATCTTCCCATGCAATCAGTCGACACCAATTGCTCGATATCCAGAATTCTATGTAGATGGAAGAGAAGAGACCGATCATCCCCCACACCCACTAACTAACAACACTGTTTGTTTAGTTAGTTGGCAGGAGCGGATCATCCGCCCCACTTCCACTCCCCGATATCCGAATCCGCCGACAGCCAGTCAGTCCCCTCGTCTTTATTTGTCCACGGCGAAAAGGAGGGAGGGTCTGTCACGACAACCATCTACCCCACACATACAGCGGCATATAGAGAGAGAGAGAGAGAGAGAGAGAGAGAGAGTTGAGAGTGAGCCAGACGGAAGAACAAACAAACAAACAAACAGACAAAATGTCCTTCGAACTCAAAGAAAAGGGCAACAAGCTCTTCAAAGAAGGCGATTACAATGGCGCGGAGGAGATGTATTCGCAGGCGTGAGACCTCCCCTCAACCCCCTCCACCCCTCTCCTATCTTCCAAACTAACAAGAAAACCCCATCACCAAAAGTATCCTCAAAAACCCCACCGAACCGACCTTCTTCACGAATCGCGCGCTCACCCACCTCCGACTCGAAAACCACGCCTCCGCCGAACACGACGCGCGCCAAGCCATCACCCTCTACGGGACGAAATCCCCCACGAGCCTGAAATCCAGCTACTACCTGTCGCAGGCACTGCTCGGTCTGCACCGGCCCCAGGAGGCCTACGAGGTGGCGATCGACGCGTACCGGCTCAGTCTGGGGTCGAAGAACGCGCAGACGGAGAATCTGTCGAGGATGGTGCTGCGGGCGAAGCAGGCGGTTTGGGCGGCGAAGGAGACGGCGCGGCTGCGGGAGGAGGATGAGGTGTTGGCGCGCGTGGAGGGCTTGGTGGAGGGGGAGGTGGAGAGGGGCGTGCAGGAGCTGAAGGCACGGTTGGAGAGGGGCGAGATTGGCGTGGTGGGGTTTGGGGAGGATGAGAGGGGGTCAGGGGCGAGGGGGAAAGGGTGGTGAGGGCTGTGAGGGGGGTGTGGGAGCGGGCGAGTAAGGGGGAGGTTGCTGAGCGGGTGAGTTTTCTTTCTTTCTTTCTTTCTTTCTTTCTTTCTTTCTTTCTTCTGGTCTTTTGGGTGGGGAGGGGGGAGAATGAGGGTATATATACATATGCTAACATCACCAATCCAGATCGTCCCCGACTACCTCATCGACGGGATCACATTCGAGATCATGCACGACCCAGTCATCACACCCTCCGGCACCAGCTTCGACCGCATCGGCATCACCAAGTACGTCGAGCAGGCCAAGGTCGACCCGATCACGCGCGCGCCCATGACGGTGGCTGATCTGCGGCCGAACTACGCGCTCAAGGCCGCGTGCGAGGAGTTTCTGGACAAGAATGGCTGGGCGGTGGATTGGTAGTATTATCATCGATCATCTATCTATATATCTATCTGTATACCCAAATTAGCGAGCATTGGGGGGGGGCGGCGGCGTTGGGATAGATTAAGATTAAGATTGTATATAAGACAACTTGTAACTTGACTATTTTGTATAACTAACTACTACTGCTACCACTGATATATTATTGCCATCTGCTACACTACCTAGTACTACCTAGTACCACTAAAAATACCACTATCATCATTAGTATTAGCAAATCACCCCAGGCAGTACAGTCCGTATCAGCAACAATAATGCCAATCGTAATAACTAAGTAATTCTTGTTGATAAATCAGGCACTCAGGCAATCAGGCATCCACCCCCACCAAATCAACAAACCCCCCTTCCCCACCCCACTTCACCTCAACCAACCCCTCTTCTCTCCTCTCTCCTCTCTTCTCTCCTCTTTCCTCTTTCCTCCCCTCAAACCTCACCTCACTTCCACCCTTCCAAACATCTCATCTCATCTCATCTTCCAAACCCAACCCACCCCCGCAAACATTCAAAAAAATGTCCGTCCCCGCCTTCACCGCCGCCCTCATCGCCTCCCAGTCCAACGAGAAGTACACCGCGGAGGTGCAGACCGCCGCGGCCAAGGTCGATCTCTCGGCTCTATCGGCGGCCGTCGAGGCCGTGCTGGCTGGCGATGACGACGCCACGGTCGAGGGCGAGCAGGTCGTTGCCCTGAAGAGCGGCTTCGAGTATGCCACTGTTCTGGTCAAGATGTTGACTGCCGAGCCGGGGTCGGATGAGAAGTTGGAGGTATGATCCGTACATCTGCACCTATACCTATGCCTTATACCTGCACCTATACCTATGCCTTATACCTGCACCTATGCCTATGCCTTATACCTTATACCTATACCCACGTCCGGTGCTGGAGTTGGTTATGTGGAGGGTGGATTGTTATTGGAATGGGATCATGCTAATCGTGTTGTTGTTGTTTTTTTTGGTGCGGTGTAGCTGTACAAGTACTTCAAGCGTGCTCAGAACCAGACGCCCGCTGAGCCGTCGTTTTACCAGATGGAGGTAGGTTTTCTTTCTTCTTTCTCTTACGTATTTTCTTTCTTTGATTATGATATTATTCGATGATCATGACACGATCATGATCTGATAAGTGTGATGATGTGATGATATCTATAACAGCGCTGACAATACCATCACCTCACAGGCCAAGTTCAAGTACAACGCGTGGAAGGGAATCAGCCACATCAGCGAGTTCCGCGCCCAGGCCCTGTACATCCAGCAGGTCAACACCCTGGTCGAGAAGTACGGTACCCGCGATGCTTAGATTTAGCGATGTGTGGGTGGGGCAGACGATGTACATCCGGCAGCTCAACGGGATGTATAGAGTAGGGGATGCGGGTGGGGTAAACGATGAACTTATGAGCTTGCATGCATATCATCCATCAGACATGAATTGAACACTGCGGTTTCTCAATCCTCAATCCTCCCAGGTCTGGCCCAGCCAGTCGGGTTCGCTGTGGCCGGCGGTTGCGCACCACGGCACGTCCTCCGCGCTGTATCGCGTGAGAGGGAGGTCGTAGGGCATGCGGAAGCCGATGGTAGTGTCTGCGTCTGCGGCGGCGGTTTCGTCGGGCGTGTCTTTCCCGAAGCAAGGGACCATTACTGTTTGTCCGGTGGCTGCGTCCGCGTCTGTGTCACTACCGGAACCTGCATCCACGAGCAGATCCGGCCACACCACCACCCCGATCTCCCAGCTGCAGATCCGCACCTCCCCGTTCGCGTTGACGGCGGCTCCCCACGCCTGCGTGGACAGATTCGCCGACGTCACCATCGCCCAGTCGATCGTATCCATCTCGTCCGTCGCGAACCGGACATACGTTTTGATATGCGGCGCCGCGCGACGACGCCCGGCATCCCGCCTCCACCTCCGCTGCGTAGTCTTCGTATCTGTTTCTTCGACATCACCCGCCCAGTGGCACAGATACGGCCGCATATACTGCAGCTGCTTCTGCTGCGCCGCGCTCTGCAGTTTCATGTGTATCGAGCCGCCCGACCCGTAGCCGTTCAACGAGCGACGGATCTCGTCTGACGTGGGGAAGATGATCGAGAACGCCGGCTTCGTAGTGACCGCTGTAGACGACGGCGCCAGAGACGCGAAGAAGACCTCCTTCAGCCATTTATCCGTCTGCCCGAGAGATGCAACAGAGGATATCTGTGCTTGTCAGCGCAATATCACAACCACCGAGAAGCGGACGATCTACCTACCTGCGTGACAATCTGCGGTCTTCCTCCGTCCCTCCCAACAGGGACTGATCGCAGCACATCCCTTAAAGCTGGCCACCCCCACAGCGTCTTCGTCGAAACTCCCGACGACTCAGTGCTCACGTTCATCCTCTGCTTCGAAGGCACACTCGCAACTAGAGCGGCGCGAACAGCGCTGAAATCATACTGCGATAGCTGCTCAACCAGCGGGCCTGTCTTCTTGGGTCCATACGCTTTCAGGTACGCGAGGAGATCGCGCTTGAATCGTACTCCGGTGCCGCGGGGGTCGTTTACTTTTGCTACTGACTTGCTATCCTTCAGGAGCGGCAGCAGTGGAGATCGCCACACGGCCTGGCACATATTGGCCCAGTCCCCGGAGATCATGTTCGCCGTGTGAATGACCACCCTGGTGCATGAATTAACACCACCTTTCTCTCAAGCAGACACAGACACACCACCACCACCAGAATTAGTTAGAGGGAAAGGGAAAAAAAAAAGGACTCACTGAGCAAACCCATCATGCCTCACCAAAACCATCATCTTAGAATGATGCGTCCCGAACGGCTCCGGCATATACGCAACAATAGCCTCAACATTGGGGTATCGAGCACACGCTTCCTGTTCCCTGCCATATTAGCCCAGTTCAATCCCATTCCAAAGAAACAAAACATCCCCCCAAACCCTCAAAAAAAATAACCAAGAAAGATTTATATATGTATAGAGAGAGAGAGAGAGAGAAGAAAGAAAACCCACCTCAATAGCAACCCTATTCTCCGCCTCCCTCCTCCACGACCCATGCACAACCCTCACCTTGACCAACCCCCTAACATCCTCATCGAACTGGCCCATGAGAAAATCCACATCGATGAGGTAGTTGAACTGCCAGCATTCTTTGATCAGCGGGTCGCCGAGGATATCTCGCAGACGGACGGTGGAGAGGTTGTAGGGCGAGGAGGGGGGGAGGTCGCGGATGTGGGTTAGTTGGATGGGGGAGGGGATTATGATGGGATTGGGTTTTGGTTTGGGGGTTGGGTTGGAAGGGGATTCCTGGTGGTGTAGTGGTGGTGGTGATTGTGGTGGTTGTGGTGGTTGTGGTGGGTTGGGGTTGGAGCGGGAGAGGGATGGGGGGGTGATGGGTCGGTGGAGGGATGAGAGGCGGGATCCTGAGAGAGATAGAGGGGAGGAGGATGGATTGGGGTTGGGGGTGCGTTTGGCTCTTTTCGAGGGACGGTTGGTTTCGTCCATGGTGGGTGGTGCTGGTGGGAGTTGCGGAGGGAGAAAGATGGGGATGGATGGATGGATGGATGAGTGCAGTGATTGATGGGAGGCGCATGTCGCGCAGCAGGAACGTCGGTTTTGCTCACCACCACCACCACCACTGGCATTACCTCGTAAATTTAACCGACTGTTTTCTCTGCCACAGATTATGAAGTATATCTTATAGCATTAATGAAATGGGAATAAAAAGAACATCTCTTCACTAATGTACACCTAATAATACACAATATACACTACACTACAATCCACTACACTAAGATAATCCTGATATCACCACATGAACCGCTGAATCTTGCCCGGTTCCTGAGGCCACTCGAACCCACAGTACAGGAAGACGTACCCGGTCACCGCATTGATCACCAGGAACCAGTATGTCTCCAGAAACAGCGCCATGTTGGTGGCAACCTTCGCGTTCAACTCCGCAGTCGCATCGCGAGGGCGCTGTCGGTGCACCAGCGGCGTGGGCTGCGGCGGCAGGTGAAGACGCCACATCACCCACGGGATGATGAAGTAGCGCGGCTCGACAAGGGGCGCGGTGATCAGCGAGAGCGCCGTGGCCGCCAGCCAGACCAGCACGAAGCTGACCTGCGGCATGCCCTGGTGCTGCTTCTGGCGCTGCACGATGTGCTCCTGGATCCGGGCGAACGCTTCGAAGGAGATCGGCTCCGGCTTCGGGGGCTGGGGCTGGGGCTGGGAGGCCTTCTTGCGGTCTGCCTTCTTCGAACTACTGGCTTCCTTCTTCGAACTGGGCTCTTTCGGCGCTGTCTTCTCCTCGGGTTCGGTGGTCTGCGGAACACGCCCCAGCTGGGGGGCTGTGACCACGGTGGAGAATCCAAAGGCGGAGAGGACCATCCACGCGCACAGGAAGTAGACCACGACCGCGGCGTACTTGATGGCCGGGTGGATGCGCAGCAAGATGCGGAAGACATAGAACACATAGTGGCGGTTGTCGGCCAGGGTGAACGGGTGGACGATGGTGTTGAAATGCACCACGGCCAGCATCATCGGGATGACAGCCAGCGCCGTCAACAGCGCGGGGAGACCCGTCTGCTTCTTCGGGAAGCCGTAGTCAATGAACTTGGGCACGAGAGACTTCGGCAGGGCCATGTTGATGACCGGCGAGAGGAGGATGGGCCACGAGAAGAACACGATGTAAGGCCAGATGTACAGCATCTGCGGCAGATGTAAGCCCGCAGTGTGGAACTCCTTATGTCCTGCCCATTGTCAGCTCGGCCCATAAACACCATCAAGCATACCACATACCCAAAACGACGCCATCATTCCACACCACAAATGCCCCAAATCCTGCCAGTATGAGAAGATACGGGATCGCGGACCCCATCACGGTCCCGAGGTTGTTCACCGCAACCATGACCAGCGACACGGCGGTCTTGAAGTAGTCTACCCCCGTCAGCAGCAAGCCACACACACACACACACACACACACAGCCCCAACATAGGCAACTCACCTGCAAACGAAGCCTCCGACACAAACGGATCATACAGCTCATTCTGCCACGCGGCCTTCGCGACATCCGCCAAGCCCGACGCTCCGCACTTCTTGGAATTGCGGCGCAACTGCCGAACGACCTGCAATCCGCCCAGAAAGATCGACACCCAGAAGATGTTTGTCTGACGAAAAGCCAGCGCAGCCAGACCCAGCACAACAAACACCGCAGTCTGCAGCGGAGCGAGCCCACCCTGCGCCGAGCGCTTCAAGTCCCAGTTGTACGCCTCAATGACCACCAGCAGCGCCAGGATATCGGTGTAATACAGGCCGGAGAAGAAGAACAGCGGGGGGAAGAGACAGATGTTCAGCACGGTGTGGCTCAGCCAGGCGCCGGACGGTCGGGTGTTGCGTTTCTTGCGCAAGCTGTCCAGCAAGGTCTGCAGTCGCAGGGGCAGCGCGACGGCGGCGGCGGCCACGTTGGTGGCGCGGAGAGCTTCCGGGGTGAGGGCCGTGGGGGAGCCGCGCAGGAAGAGGGCGGCGACACAGAGCACATAGGACCAGAGATACAGGCCCGGGGGGGTGGTGAGCTTGGGATCCCAGTGCGTCCAGCGGCCAGCCCAGTAGGCCTGGGCCTGGGGGACGTGGAAGGCCTCGTCCAGATACGGGTCGGGGACGACGGCGTTGATCTGCGTCAGCCAGATGGGGAAGACCAGCAGCACGAAGGGAATGGCATAGCGGGCCGCCAGGGCCAGGCCCGACTTGGGTTGCGCATTCATGGTCTGGTGGGAAACAGTTGGAAAGGAGTGAACCAGCTGTCTCTAGAGACAGTTGTAAGTTGTAAGGAGCTGCTGTCATTTAATCCAATCCACTCACCAAATCCACTCCCGCCGGCCGGATCGCATGCAAACCGCACAAACACTCCGCATCGGGCAATTGCCGGCCATCGCGATCTTCGAGTTTGACCGTTGAAGACGAGCCCATTCAACCACAATCGAGACTCTCCAGGGCATGGAACACTCTGGGCCAACAGCTCCGCCCCGCCGCTGACACTTCTCCTCGTCCGCGCCGTCCGTGAGGGTCTAATCCATGGCGTTTCCCCTCCCGCGGGGCATCACGCCCCCGGAGATCTCCTTCCTGGCCGAGATGGAGATGGTGACTGTGCTGCCTCGCCAGCGTCTCGATGGACTCGAACTACTCGGTGTACGTCCCCCCCCCTCCTCCTTCCTATCGCCATAATCTCCCTCCATTCATTCATCCATCCTAACAAACCCCCGTCTACAACAACAAACAGGGCTCCCTCCCCACCCTCCTCCCCCCACGCCGTACCACACTCCCCCTCTGGCTCGCCCTCCTCCTCAAACGCCAACGCCGCGCCAACATCCTCCCCCCACCCTGGCTACACCCGGAATCCCTCGAACTGATCCTGGAAATCGAGACCCAAAACGACGAATACCAGCACGCGTTCTCCCCCCCACCACCGCTCCCAGGGCAACCGACCCTCGCGCACCGAGACCGAGACCGAGACCGCGCCGTCGCCGCCCCCGTCCCGCGCTACACCCCCGACGGCGACAAATACTACCCGACGCCGCCGTTCCTGCCCCAGAACGTGGCGCGCGATCACATCCCGCCCGGCGAGCCGCCGGCGCTGCCGTTCCACTGGCTGGAGGTGGGGACGATGCTGCTGGACGCGGCGAGCGATGATCTGGTGGAGCCGGATCAGACGAGACGGCTGTTGAAGGAGTTGAGGGAGGTGAGGACGGCGAAGATTCGCTCGGGGGTGGAGGTGTTGGATGCGGCGGCTGTTGGGGGCGGGGGGGTTGCGTTGACAGGTGTGGGCGCAATGGAGGTCGGTGAGGGGAGGGGGTTTATTGCTGGTGTGGTGGATGGGTTGAGGTATGTTTTTCTTTTTCTTTTTTTTCCTTTGCCCTCCCTTTCTTCTTACTATTCGTCTTTTTCTCTTTCTCTTGTTCGATCGGGTGCTAACGAGATAGACGGATTGGCGCGTCCAAGGAACAGGCGCGCAGGGAGGAGTTGGCCGAGGAGATGGCTAATGGCGGATATGATGCGTCGCAGGACTATGAAGATGATATGGAGTTTTAAGTTGTTCGGGCTGGCTGGCTGGCTGGCTGGTTGGTTGATGCTTTTGGTTGGAGTTCTCGGACGTATACGGTACATGACATGATTGGCATTGCGCGCATCCATTCAAGGGACTCGGAGACACTTGATCTGTATATATATATACCCTATTTATATCCCATTGCATGGATTGATGGCTTGACGACTAGAGAGAGTAGAGACTCCATAATGGATGAATTGAATGGATAGATGAATTTGTTGAATGATCATTCTAGCCCGGTTGCATTCCTCCAACGAAAAACACCACGCATGCGACGCTTTGCTGGCCCGACGAAAACCCGCCCAGAAGGACTAGGACGAAAAGTAGGAGTAGGAGAGAGGAGGTGTAGGAGGTGTAGGAGTAGAGACCGTCTCCGGAAACAAAACACAAAACGCACGAAAATGCCAGCATCCATTGGATCGTACACGTCCCAACGCCAACGACAAGAGGTATATAACATCTTCAGCAGGAGCCCGGGAATAAAGTAGAAGAAGGGGGCAAAAAAAAAGAGTAATCCAAACTGATTACAGGAACGAAATGAAAAAAAAAAAAAAAAGGCCACCACTTCCGGGTAACCCGGAACAGGGACCTCAACCCCCAAAAAAGAAACAAGAGCTTATTGGGCACTCTGCTCCTTCTGCAGCATTCTCCTACGTGCCGCCAAGATCATCTCGTCTCTCCGCTTCTGGAGCAGGCGCTGGCGCTCCTCCTTGCTCTGCGACCAGCCCGTCGGGGGGGTCTGCGACTGCGCGGGTTCGGGGGAGCTGTCGTCCTCGACTTTCGAGCTCAGGTTGTACCGAGAGATCAGGTCCTGGCCATCGGCCTTGGAGGCGGGGACGGGCGCCGATTGCACGGGGGCAGTGGCGGGGATGGCGACTTGAGGTTGGAAGGAGGGAGGGGGCTACAGCAGCATGTCTGTCAGCATTCCAGCGCCGAATGCGGGGGGGGGTTGTAACCAGTAAAGAGGTATCAAGCAGGGTCAGGATTTCAGCCACTCACCACTTCCAATCCGCGACCCGTCAGGATTCTCTCCGTGGTCGCCGCAACGTTGCCGCCGTTGCGCTGCAGGTCCCACATGATCTCACGATGGCTGAGCTGGGGGAACATCTGGGCGATCTGCTCGACCTGGGCCGGGTCGACCCCTCCGCGCGTCCGACTGCGACCGCTGCCGGCGCCGGCGTCGCCATCCCGGTTGAGGAACCAGCGGAGCACGAAGAAGGAGACCACGGCGAGGGTCAGGAGGGAGGGGATGTTCAGGGACGGCTCTTCGTCGGGCATGGTGGCGGGGAGGTGAGAGGGGCGTGTGAGGAGTCAGAGAAGGGAGCGTCGATCGGGGCTGGATGTCGCGACTCGGAACGAGGGAAGCTGACCGCCTCGGGGGGGGTGTCGGAGAGGATGCTGGGGTCGGGATGAGCTGGAGATGCGGGCGTTGGGGGGTGAATGATGAGGATGCCGCGGCAGTTTGGGGAGCGGCGAGGAGGTGGCGGTGGGACGCTCGGGTTCGGGGCGGGCGGAGCCGGACTGACTGCAGGCACGGTGACGGAGAGGGGGAGAGCGAGCCTGTGAAGGAGAGATGCGGGAATAATAAGCTAGAACTGGTGCTTAGGACTGGGGGCAGTCTTGCCGAGTACAAATATCAGAAGAAATAGCAGCAAAAGAGGAAACGTGGTGACTGAAAGCGAGAAGTTGAGGAGTTGCCAGCTCGGGGAGGTTTATATAATCCATCCAGCCAGCCAGCCCTGCCCGCCGCTGCTCCCCCTTAACAAGTCCTACTGAATGAATGAATGAATGAATGCATGCATGCTACAGTGCCACGATGCCACGATGCCACAAGGCTATGCTCAACCCCATTCACAGTAGATAAAATAATCAACATCATTAACACGTGTCGTAAAAGTCGAACTGCAGAATCATCCATAATCATATACATTATCCGAAAACACCCCGTCCCAATCCCCCCATCGCCGGCCACAACACTCCTATCCCAGTGTCCAACCAGAACATTAATGCACCCAGGAAATATGGACAAGCGAAGAAGAAAATCTGCAATCCCAACGCTACTTCAGATCCGCCGGGGTCAAGGCCTGCACCACACTCGTGCCCTCGCTGAACCGCGTCCGGAAGATCCGGTTGGCGTTCTGGAACATGCCGTCCTTCAGCGACACGATGATGAACTGCGAGCCCTTGAACCGCGTCTTGATCAGCCGGCCGATGTTCTGTGTGTGCGACAGATCCAGGGCCGCGTCCACCTCGTCCAGAATGTACATTGGGGCAGGCTTGAATTGCAGAAGTGCCATGATAAGTGAGAGGGCGATGAGAGATCTACAGACGTCAGTTCGGTCTCTCGGAAACTATCCCGGGGTTACATACCGTTGTCCACCACTCAGTTCGGTCAAGCTCTGCTTCCAGACCTTACCCAGCGACACCTTGACCTCCAGACCCTCGGTGATGTCCTTACCCTCCGGGGGAACCAGTTTGGCAAAACTGCCGGGAAGCAGGTCCGCAAAGATCTGCCCGAAGTCGGCAGTGACCTTGGTCCACGTCTTGTGCAGAGCCTCCTTCTTGTACTCGTTCAGGTTGACGATGGTCTCTTCGATCTTGCTCTTGTCACGGATCACAGTCTTCATCATGTTCTTCAGCGCGGCTTCCTTCTTCTCGACGCTGTCGATCATGTTCATGACCTTGGGGTTGATCTTCTTCTTCATCCCCTGGAATCGCTCCGTCACATTGCGCAGAGTCGACTTGCACTCGGCAATGTTTTGGTTCTTGAAGTCGTAGGCCGTGTTGGGACGTCCGAAGTTCTCCTTCTCGTCGGCGATCCACTCGTGCTCCTGCTCCATATAAGACACCGTCTGAGCCGCGGCTTGCTGGTCCTTTTGCAGCTTTTCCAGCTGGTGCTTAAGCTTCTGCATCTCCAAGCCGCCTTCCGTGACCTGCGAGTTCTTCGACTGCTTGGTCTCCTCGAGCTCCCGAATCTCGTCGTCGAAGCCTGTTAGCTTGGCTCTCTCATCATCCAGGTGAGCCTGGGCGATGTCATGGGCATCCTATGCAATGTCAGCAACCGGCCCCATCACCAATCGACGGGTTTCATACCTTGATCCGAGCTTGCTCTCTCTTCAGCCCTTGGACCTCCTCCATCTGAGCCTTCAGCGTGTTCTCGGTCTCGGCACTTTGCTCCTCTGCAGCCGAAAGATCACTTCCAACCTGCTCCAACTCCAACCGGGAGTTTTGAAGCTCCTTCTGCAGAGACTTGACCGAATTCGAATTCTTGGCGAGGCTCTTCTTCAGAGAGTCCAACGAAGCCTGCAGCTCCGCAAGCTTGCTGTCCTTGTTGTTGTTGAATTCGCTCATGTCCTTCTCGATCCGTTTGATGTCCTTGGATGCCTCACTCTGACGAGTCTTCGCGTCGGAAATGTCCTTCTTTAGCTGCTCGATGTTCGCTTTCATCTCTTCAACAGCTTGGATAATCTACTCCAGTCAGCTTGAGCCTTCGCACTGTCCCGCGAGGACTTACCGAGGAAGATGAGTTGCCACTAATCTGCTCCTCCGTGAGCTTGATCTCGTGGGTCTTGAGGTCCAGCTCCTGCTTGGTTGTCCGTGCGGCATCAAGTTTCTTCTTCTCCTTCCGCATAGTCTCCGCCACGGTGGCCAGCTGGCGCTCCTTGGTCCGGATTTCCCTCGTAATCTCGTTAAACTTTTGCAGGGTCACGAGCACGCCGCTCGAGTTGGGCGCACTGCCACCGGACAAAGTACCGGATGGGTCATAGACATCGCCCTCGAGGGTGACACTCTTGATCCGAACAGCGGGGTCGAAAGTGACCTTTTTGGCCGTATCCGCATCATTGCAAATCAAAGTGTTGCCGAAGACATAGTTCATGGCTGCCGTGATTTCGTCATCATATCCAATGAGTGACAGGGCAAGATCGACTTTGCCGGGTGCAATCCTCTGTGCCGCTCCGATCTTCTCCGCGGACGCAACAAAGGACGAGATTTTGTTGAGGGGAATGATGGTCACGCGCTTCTTGAGCCTTCCATTCTGAAGCAGTTGTGTACCGGTTTCGGAACTGTCGACAACAACGTTGTACAGACGACCACCGGCACAGATCTCCAGGGCGGTGGCGGCCTGGAGCTTCTCCTTGTCCAGAGAGAAGAGCTGGGCGACCAGACCCTTGACCTTGGATCGATCGAAGTGAGGATGGGGATCGGTGTAGTTGAAGTCCACGTTTGCGACCTTTCTCTGAAGCCCGTCAGCTCTTTGCCGCAACTCGCGAATCTCCTTCTGGAGTTCGTTTTGCTCCTGGTAGAGCTGTTCCTCGCGCCCGGGCTCGAATCCCAGCTTTGTGAGCTCTGATTCAAGCTTCTTGGCCTGGGACTTCAGCCCTTCCAGATCTTTCAGAAAGCCCGAGTTCTGCTCCTTGGCCTTCTTCGCTCTGGGCTCCTCTTCTTTTATCCTCTTCTCCAGGTTAGCGATCTTGAGCTTAGCCTGCTCTTGTTGTGTAGCAGACGTATTAGCGCGGTTACGGGCGTCCTGGAGCTGGCCCTGGTAACCACTTTCCTGGCCTTCTTTTGAGGCGACACCGGTCTGCAGAGTCTGGAGCAACTCTTCCTTCTGCTCAACCTCGGCCGTCTGAGCGTCCAGCTCTGCCTTTGCGGCATCGTATTCGGCTTGGAGCTTGTCGTAGATCTTCTTCTTCTCCTTGAGGGCTTTCTCCAAGTCGCTGACTGTTTTCTGGACCTCCTTGCTCTTCGCCTTCTCCTCGTCAATGCTCGCGTTCTTAAGATCGAAAACGGTGGTCAACCGAACGAGTTCGTGCGAATGAGACTTGACCTCATCCTCAAGAGCCTGGAATTGGCCTCCCTTCCGTAGTTCCTTGTCGCGGGCCGCTCTCACCCGCTTCATGTCCTCCTCCAGATGAGCGATTTCACTCTTTAGCTTAGTCGCATTGTCTTCAAGCGATTGCACCTTCTGTCTCTTTTGTTCGCATTCCTCGCCCGTGACCCGCAGACGCTCATTGCCTCTGAGGTAGTCATGAGACACGACCAGCCGAGTCAAGCGCTCCAGGTCGTTCTGGGTTTGCTGGAAATCAAGGAATGCGCGCTTTTCGGACCTGAGCTTCTCCAGCTTGGGCTCGATTTCCTCCTTGAGCAGTTCTTCGATCTCGCGCAATTTCAATTCCTTCTTGCTCATTGTTTTCACGGCTTTCTCCCTCCTATCCTCGAACATCCGTGTACCCGCCGCTTCTTCAATCATAGACAAAATCTCAACCGGCTTCATGTTGAGCACCTTCGTGATTCGTCCTTGCATAATCAGGAAATTGGGGTTGTTGATATTCAGCTGCACACTCTGAAACAGGTTCTGCACAGTCTGCTGCTGCGCACGATGACCGTTGATCAGGTATTTGCTCGTGCCGCCAAGGACGATCTGTCGAGTGACCGAGATGGTCGCATACTCTTCGAAACCGATGGGCGATTTGGCGGTGTCGCGGTTATCGAAGACGATTGTGACACTGGCCTTGGTCACACCGGCTTGGCCGCGCTTGTAGATGAGATCCTGGAGGTTTTGCGCGCGAACGGTGGACATGTTCGTGATTCCGAGGACGAAACAGATGGCATCGAGAATGTTGGACTTACCACTACCGTTGAGACCGGTAATGGAGTTGAAAGACTCGTCCCTACAGAGAAGTCATGGTCAGTATGTTGGGGGAGTACTCGCAAGAACTGTCACGCAGCGCATACCATCCCGAGATGACCGTACGCACAGCGTACGATTTGAAGCCCTGTGGGTTAAGTCAACAATCGCTCGTTTCCGGAGGCGATAGACAAGATGACTCACGTCGATGATGATCTCCGTGATCCTCATGGTTGCGACTCCGATGCAGCGCCAGCAACTAGGGAATCAGGGGCATGGGCGATGGGCGATAGGCGGAGGGACCGAGGACGTTGCGGGATTGACGGGCGTCCGGGGATTGTTTTGGCGGGCGGTGTTTTGCCGGTCGGGTATCATGTGTTTACGGTTTGCTGCTTCGGGGTTGGTGCGGCGAGGGCGCTCATGTAATCATGGAGGGGTCGACTGTTGGCCAGAGTGCAGTTTGTTCCTAATGCACTAAAGGAGTAGCATTCTCAAGCAATCGTCTTGGTGGCGCAATTGGTTAGCGCGTACGACTGTTAATCGTGAGGTTGAGAGTTCGATCCTCTCCTAGGACGTTTCTTTTTTGGTCTTTTTTTTTTCTCATTCAGTGTCTTTGGAAGGCCTCTGGTCTTCTTTCTCTATCTCCTTTTGGTGTTCTCTATGGATTCCATGGTCCTGGGCACCTTATCATGGTAGTGCGTATACATGAAAAGGCCTACAACTACCTACTTTGGCTGTTTCCGCGGCGGCGAACAGCCTTTTCCATCCATACAGTCGCGGTTGTCTCCCACCCAGTCTTAAGTTCCGATCGGACCGTCACTTCCTCGTGCATCAGATAACTAGTACCACCATCCATTAACTTCCATGGTTCAATAATCTGACCTTGGTCGAGGGCAACTCCCAAATTCTGAGAGAGCATCCGCTCTCACTCGCGAGGCTGTTATTTGACAACTGCTCTGGAACACTGTCTGTCCAGTTTGAGCGATCTTCCGGTTGTCGCCTTCGTGGGCAACGTCTTGTTACGACCATTACGCGGTGGGGGGTCTTCCACGGATCAGCTTGTTTACAAGCATCAAGGCTGACCCTGGAATCTATAGACCTCCGGTGGGTAACAGCAAACATATTTCAGGTGGGTCATGTGCGACGATGAATCGGGGCGTAGTGATACACCTCGTGGAAGAGCCACCATGTCATAGACTATGTATCTATGTGATAGTTCAAGTCAAGCGTGGCCGCAGCTATGAGACAGCCGGTCGGCCATGGATGGATCTCCTGAACTGCACGAGTCGAGATCCTTCTGGACTCATCGAGGCCCTGTAGTCACAGATTCAACCACTACGATAGCCTCTGATACTCAATGAGTCTGGCATTTGTTGACCTGGGTAAGTAAACGATTGGGTTACGGAGTACTACAGGCTCCATTGTTAGGTTATCCATGGAGTGTGCCGTTCCTTGAGTGGATGGCAGCAAGAAAGTCAGTACCCAATGGGCCGCTATCATAAAACATGCTTATCTGCAGAAACTGGCCTCTGAGCATTTGTTGTGCCTCGTGCCAGAGCGTGCCACTTGATCCCGGGCGAGAGTATTATGAACTTTGGGAGCATGTCGATCGAATGCAATGATTCGTGGTATCCATTGAGTTCCAAGGTGTTCGCCGGCAACAGGAGGTCCTTGGATTCATGAATCGGGACGTTTGAGCCGGTTATCACACCTCGTCTTGGTGGCGCAATTGGTTAGCGCGTACGACTGTTAATCGTGAGGTTGAGAGTTCGATCCTCTCCTAGGACGTTGATTTTTTGCTTTTTGGACGTTTTTGCTTCACCTCCGGACGGCTAATAACCAGTCTGGATCATCCGAGAAAGTCCTTGACCGGTGGAGGTAAATACTGGGGATTTAACCATCTGGGCGAACATGCTTTTGCTTGAAGAGGTCATCTGAGGTTAACTTAACAGGCTAGGGCCATCATTCTGGCCATAGGGCTGTTCTGACTATGAGCTGTTCAACACCTTTATCCTTCTAGGCTTCCCAGCTATTGGCATCAATCAGTCTAGATGCTTCTGGACTGCTGGTGATTATTTTCACTTTTGGGGTCTTTTATAGTGTATGTGTACCGGCAAATACTAATAGTCTGCGATTCTTGGTCTGACTGGCTTTTTTTTACTGGTTGTTATTTTAAGCTCAGATCTGGGAACTCTAACATCGGGAGTAGATCCTTCAGTTCAATTTATACTTCCGTCCATGATACTGGTAAAGTAGCACCCATCACATCCAAAAGTTTGTACTGCTAACCTCCAGGACACACAAAGCAAGCTTTGTTCGCACTGTCTACCTATCTAGATAAGAACTAAGATTTGTGTCTAATTCAGCCACAAACCGCAGCAAGATCTGGAAAACCCAAATACACCAAAAGCCGGTCTCAGATGGCTGCCTGTCCTAGCCCCGTGGTATAGCCCAGCCCTAGCCTCAAGCACATCAACACGTCTTGGTGGCGCAATTGGTTAGCGCGTACGACTGTTAATCGTGAGGTTGAGAGTTCGATCCTCTCCTAGGACGTCTATTTTTGCTCCATCAACTTCTTGCCCCACTACAAACCCTGCCCTCGATAGCGGCAGAATTAGCCGACATCCGACATGAACCGTCTTGGTGGCGCAATTGGTTAGCGCGTACGACTGTTAATCGTGAGGTTGAGAGTTCGATCCTCTCCTAGGACGTTTATTTTTCCTTTCCTTTTTTTTACCCTACCCGCCCGTTGTGAGAACTTCTTTCTTCGAGGCATAAGAAACAATCAACCCCTTCTTTCTTCTTTTCTCCCTTTCCCGTTCTTCTTCTTCTTTTTTTTATTATTCTGGCCCTTTTTAATGGTATACCGGGTTTTCTATTGGATAGTTAAAGGTTGTTTCTTTTTTTTTTTTTAAGGTTGTTGATGCTACTGTAGTAGGCAGTGTTGGCGTCGTAGATCAGTCAAGATATGGAAGTATTGCATGCACCCATCGTATTCACCTTACCCTACTTTGTACTTCTAGACTAGAGCACTTACTCTAGCTACTTCCCCCAGCACATGCTTCCTCCCAGACATTTTTTTCCCAGGTTTCCTATCTCTATCCAATACTGCCAATGGGCCTGTTGGTGCATACCTCCTTGCGATGTGGCAATCTCGACCGTCGTGGAGGTCACAGACTGATTTCTAGCAATGTAGAACAACCCCCCCCCCCCCCCCCCTTTTGCACCAAAAATCATGTATGACTGACTATACTGCTCACCACGGGAGGAGCCTACCAGCCCTGCAAAGCACAAAGATCGGTCATAGAAGTCATTTAATTCAGATAAATGTCCTGATTTCCCAGACGAAACCGACGACTAAAGCTTAGAGAAACACCAGCTGCTCGGCAGTACAGCAACACCTGAACAACGCACAACCATGTGGAAGGAAACTGGCAGTGAACCTAACGCCGGTGCTGATCCCATCCCGTGTTCCTCCTAGACATTCATGACCCATGATGCGGGATCCCCACGCGAGCGAGCCCCCGGTTCGGATCCATACGGTTATCCAGGTCCTCGTAACGGAGGATGAACTCGCGCTGCGACGGGTTAGTTGGATTGAACAGGCTAAAGAGGAAGAAGGGAACTCACTCGGATCTTCTTCCAGCTGGCAGGGTCCCACAGCAGATACACGCCCCTCTCGCTCACGCCGCGCTCCACGTCAACAGGCCCGGGATACGTCTCGTCGCGCGTCAGCCAGCATCGTTCGATCTTGTGGTATCTCCACTTCCGACCCATCAGTTCCTCGGCTACAACTTCCTGCAATATGTCTCTGGGCATGCTGTAGAAGATGTAGAATAGCGTCTCGTCACTGAAGCTGGGGATACGCGATTGGAGAGGCTGGAAGTTAGCGACACTGTAGCAGGACGGGAGATTGAAGTCTTGCTCCAGAGGAGCTCCCGACATCGACGCAACGAACGGCGAGGCGAACGACGTATGTAGAGGTCTAGAAGCATGTCAGCAAGCGCCCGATGACCAGCCGCGTGGAACATACTCCGGTTGATTCAAGTCTAGACCCAACGTCATCAGATCCTGTCCGACGGCGAGACTCGAGACATCCGCATTATCGCTGTGGATCATCCGTAGTAAGCCCGCGAGTCCAAACTTGTCCAGCTCGCTCATATCGGCCAGTGGTAATTGATCCGAACTTTGCGTAGCCCCCCCAGTCTCTTTCACGGTCGCAGGGAAGCCTGGCGGTCGCATCAGGTGTGGCTCGCTGTAAGCACCCGCGTTCGATATTAAGCCGCTATTTAACTCCTGTACCCGACTCAGTAACGGAGCGGAAGCACGGCCGACGTCATTCTTACCTCCTTTTCCTGTCCCGAGACTCGGTTAGACCCCTGATTCACGGGTGATCTCGATGTCTCGATGCCTAAGTAGCAGAATTAGTTCCACCCGGAGTAATGTTTCACCACACATGTACATACCCCCTGAGCTCGCAGTGACCGGCGACATTATCCTCTCTTGCCCGTTGACCGATGCGGCGACGATGCTGCGAGTCTGGGCCGGTTGGGTCTGGCTCACGCCCGCGAACGGGAGACCGCCGCTGTAGCTGCCAAGTCCTGTACTTTGCATCAATGACCCTCTCCGATCCTGACCGAGATCCGTGGAGACATTACGTCCGAGTGGGGGAAATTCCTCAATGTTTCCTGTCTGCGGCTGCCCTCCTGCGCCTAATTGGCCACTGATGCCCTGTCCGCCGTTCCGGAAGTCATCCAAGCGATTGGCAAATTGCGCGCCGGAGGGGAACACGTCTTCGTGCGAAGGCTGCGACTGCGGTTGTGGGAGGTGGGTTTGTGTTTGTGGAGCTCGCGAGGGGCCTGGGACGAGGCATGCTGCGGCCGTTGCACCGGGGTCTGCTGCATCGCGCGCTGGCTGGCGTTCGCCCATACGAGATGACTGGGGTTCTGGGCCTGCGACTGCGGAGGCGCCCCGGACAGCGAGGGGAAGTCTCTGGACAAAGGGGCAGGGTTTCTCAGCAATAAGCTCGACGTGTCCCTCAAACGGGCCCATTTCCCACGCCCGAGTCCTTAGGGGGAATGCCACACTCACGATAAATCTAGAGGCGTCGCCGGCTGCGAACCACTTAGGCTCTGTGCAAACGTCCCCATCGTTCCAATGTTGCGCTGCTGGGCGGCTTGTATCCCTGGCGTTCCGCTCACGGGCAGGTTGAAGTTCCAATTCGCTCCGCTACCTGTGTGGTCAAGGGCCGTTAGCTTTCCGGGCGAGTCTATGAGTTGAGACCAGACAGAATAGTCGCACCAAGTTTGCCATTTGGCAAGCGCGCCGAAGCCAACGCCGCATTTCGAGCTTGTGCCTGTTGCTGTGCGGGGAACCCGGACATTCCTCGTAGGGGCTGGGGCCCTGGTCCTAGACGGTCGGATCGGCGGTCAGCGGTATGGACAACATGATTGTGACGGGCAAGACGGGGGAGGATCGGGCAACTGCTTCCACTAGAGGTGTCGGAGAGAGGCTTGGCATGATGCTGCGAGGTGTTGCGAGTCGCGGGGGGAGGGGAGGTGTCGGGACAAGGGAGTCTGCAATTGAGGCGAGAGACTTCACTTGACGCGGTCCAGGCCGGACCTGGGCGCGGGCCCCGCTGTACACAATGACGCCCTCTCGCAATGGAAACAGTAGACCCGTCCGGCGGAGATGTCTGGAGATGCCGTAACACGACCAAGCGTGGGGATCGAAGGGGAGGGAGGGGGTGAAAAGACAAACCTGGGCGATTCATGGTGAAGAGGGAGGTGAAGGAGCAACGCGGAGGTAAGACCAAGACCGGAGGAGAATCCAAAGAGAGCGCGAGTTGGAGAGCGAGAAAGCGATAAGACGCAATGTGCAGCCAGGATCTCTTGCCCTCACTTCAGTCACTCTGTGGAGAGTGGCGCTGCACACGCGCGCTTCCGGTGGGTGCACAGGCCACACTAGCCGCGCACTGGCCTTGATGCCTGGCTTTCCCGGCCGCCGCTTCTTTGTTGCGCCACCGCCGGAGGTTTCGATGCTGCGGCTGAGACTGAGGGTTTTTTTCTAGAGAGCATTGAAATTGAATCCTGTAGAGCTACAGAGCACGATGTATAGAGAGTATAGATAGACATCTACACATGGTTCTCTGCAGCACACCATGCAGATACCCAACTACCAGCCAATCCAGACAGTATCAGCGTCTGCACGTTATCCCTTCCTTTTGAAGTACAGCCTCTCCAGAATAAAGGGCACAAACTACTCCGTAGCACTAACTACTCCCTACTCCGTACTACAAAAGAGTACATGGAGCACAGAGTACTACGGCATGCCTGTGCCACCCCAGCTCAGCCCAGCCCAGCCCAGCCGCGGCCGCCCCACGTGACCTAGGCGCCAAAAGTGCGTCCCGTTCGCTTTTGATTCCCGCGGCCGCAACAGGACCGACCGACTTCCTCCCTACGATCGAGTCCCCGTCGCCCTCGCAGCCCGTCTCCTCGTCACCATGCATCGCCAGTCGGTTCTACGGCTGGTTCGCCAGAGCGGAGGTCTCCCGCTGGTCGAATTGCCCCCGGCCTACCTCGCCCCGTCCCTCCATTTCTCCCTCAGCCGGTCGACCGGCCAGTGCTCGAACTTTTCCTCCACCGCCGCCGCCGCCGCTCGTAGCCATGGCCGCGATCTCAACAAAGTCCGCGGTGTGTCCGCCATCCACCGCACCGGTCCTCGGTTCAAGCTGGGCGTGCACAAGTACGAATTGCCCGAGCCCGTGTCCCCCGACGCGATCGGGAAGCGCGACCCCAACCCGGACCATGGCCTCTGGGGCTTCTTCCCCAAGGACCGCACAGCCATGAGCACCCCGTCCTATGACAACGAGCACGGTTAGTGTGGGATGTCCCCGAAGGGGGTTTGACACAGTGATGCTGACGACCGACCGCCAGGCCGCCCGTGGTCCATCCAGGAACTCCGCGAGAAGTCGTGGGATGACCTCCACGCCCTGTGGTGGGTCTGCATCAAGGAGCGCAACCGCATAGGCACCTCCGACCTGGAGAGAATACGACTGAAGGCCGGTTACGGCGAGTGGGAGTCTGTCGAGCGGAACCGCGTGGTAAGTGTCTCGCTGTTGGCCCTTGTTTCGCTGGAGATCATGCTATGATTGTTCCACTGGGTCGAATCTTCCCGCTTCTAGCTCACGATGCTAACCGGTGGCCACTGTTAGATCCGTGTCACGCAAAACGGCATCAAGCACGTTCTCCGCGAAAGATGGTACGCCTGGGAGGATGCCCAGCGCCTCTACCAGAACGGCTACCGGCCCCAGGATGAGGAGGTGAAGGCGGTGTCTGAGGAGACGTCCGAGAAGTCCGAGACAGCATGAGGGAGATGAGAGATCGATGCGAGACGTCATTTGAGATCGGTCCGGGATGCCCAGTTCCACCGTTGGCCCTGTATTTGTGTATGTAGTATGTAGTATAAGTTCCCTTTTTTTTCATTTTATTTCATTCCCCCCTTTCCTACGTTGGGCTCTTGCTCTGGGATGATGGGATCTCCTTTGTCTGCGTAATTAGATAGCACGCGGGCCGGGTTTAATTTCTGGGAGGAAGGGACGGGCAGCTTCCAGAAGAAAAGAACAGAGCAGTAGTGCAGTCCTTCACCCGATGCGGGCTGTCATCCCCGATAGTGGATGGGCAGATAGTGTCCAATAGTAGGGATCGCCGGGTCTGAATAGGACGAGGTCTCGACCCGCTACGGACACAGCAGGAGGAAAAGGGGCAGGGGATACGCATCCATCGAATTAATTGCATGGAGCACTGGCAATAATTTTTGCCTCGCCCGGTGCATCACCCTGAAAGTGAAATGGCATTATTATGAGGGCCGGTGGAGCCCTGGCCGGTGGGCGTTTAGTGCAGTCAGTCAAATAACGAATCGAGGATCCGCGGGGGGGTTCCAGTTCCAGTTCCAGTTCCAGTTCCAGTTGCAGCACCACCAGCACCTCCTTTCCTCCCCCTCGTCAAACTCACCGCTGCCGTCTCCGCATCTTTCTTTCTCCTCTTCTCTCTTCTACTCTCACTTACTACAACGACCACTCACTGCCAGTCTTCTATCTATCTTTCCTTCCCCTCCCCCAATAGAATTTACCTATACATTCCTTCCTCCTGATCATCCGCCATGGAGGAGATTGCCCCCGAGTATGATGTTGTGGTGCTCGGCACCGGTATGTACTACCCCGCCACGCTCTGACAGCTGTACTGACCCCCCCTCTCCCGACCAGGTTTGACCGAATGTGTGCTCTCCGGGTACGCCCTCCTTACTGCCCGCATCCCCTTCCCAGCTACTAACCATTTCCCTTCTCGTCTGCAGTGTCCTCAGTGTCAAGGGAAACAAGGTGCTCCACATCGATCGCAATGACCACTACGGAGGGTAAGTTGGGCAGCTTCCCGTAGCCCCCCCCGCCCTCGTTCACCAACTAACCTTGCGCTCAGTGAGGCCGCCTCAGTCAACATCGAGACGGTAAGTACCTTGAACTGCCTGGAAATCATAAAATATCGACTTCGTCACTAACACATCATCCTCGTTCAGCTCTTCAAGAAGTACGGCAACGTCCGCCCCGGCGAGGAGCCCTGGAAGAAGTATGGCCGCGTCAACGACTGGAACATCGATCTCGTCCCCAAGCTGCTCATGGCCAACGGCGAGCTGACCAACATCCTGGTGTCCACCGACGTCACGAGATACCTCGAGTTCAAGCAGATTGCCGGCAGCTACGTCCAGCAAGGAAAGGGCCCCAAGGCGACCGTGGCCAAGGTGCCCTCGGATGCCGCTGAGGCCCTGCGCTCGTCGCTCATGGGCATGTGGGAGAAGCGTAGAGCCAAGAAGTTCTTGGAGTGGGTGGGCGAGTTCAAGGAGGATGACCCCTCTTCTCACCAGGGTGCGTGATGACGTCTGATCGGCCGAGTCTCGGCGCTAACACGAGGCAGGCCTGAACGTCTCCCAATGCACGATGAAGGAAGTCTACGACAAGTTCAGCTTGGAGGACAACACCCGGGAGTTCGTGGGCCACTCTATGGCTCTGTACCCCTCCGACGAATACATCCAGACCCCTGGCATGGCCGTCGAGACCATCAACCGCATCCGCCTGTACGTCAACTCGATGGCCCGCTACGGCAAGTCCCCCTACATCTACCCCCTCTACGGTCTGGGTGAGCTGCCCCAGGGCTTTGCTCGTCTGTCCGCCATCTACGGCGGTACCTACATGCTCAACACCTCCGTGGACGAGGTGCTCTACGACGAGAGCGGCAAGGTCTCCGGCATCAAGGCCACCATGAAGGACCGTGACAACGACGCGGAGTCCATGAGCTTCACAACCAAGACCAAGAAGATCCTGGCCGATCCCTCCTACTTCCCCAGCAAGGCCAGAGTGACCGGCTACCTGCTGAAGGCCATCTGCATCCTGAACCACCCCATCGACAAGACCGACGGCAGCGACTCGCTGCAGCTGATCATCCCCCAGACCCAGGTCGGCAGAAAGCACGGTAAGTACTGTGGATCTCGGACTGAAGACTTGCGCTGACCCTTCAGATATCTACATTGCCATGGTTTCCTCGGCGCACAACGTCTGCCCCAAGGGATACTACATTGCCATCGTCTCGACGATTGCTGACACCGATGCCAACCACCACCTGGAGCTGGAGGCTGGTCTGGAGCGCCTGGGTAAGGTCGAGGAGACCTTCTTCGGCCCCCCGATCCCCCTGTACGAGCCCCTGGAGAGCGGCGAGAAGGACAACATCTTCATCTCGAAGAGCTACGATGCCTCGTCCCACTTCGAGACCACGACCGGTAAGTTTGATCAAGACTCATGTCACCTCTCCGAATGACCATGCTGACTGTTCCAGACGATGTGCGGGACATCTACCGCCGCGCGACGGGCGAGGAGCTGGTGGTGAAGGGTCTCCGGGAGGACCAGAAGCTTGCCGAGGAGTAAGCCCCCGTCATGCATATTAGGGTAAAGTAATCTGTCGCTCTGGGCGCTTTTGAATCGAGTCATAATTTCTTTTGGACTTTCTTTACGCTCACGAATCATACCACTATTGGACTCGCACTCTTTGGATCCGCATGTCTGCTTGCTTTCGAGTAGAACCGTCTGCACATATTCCTGATGACTTGGTGCCGTGCCTGTGAATAGGATATAGGTCCTTGATACAATCAACTACCTGTAGAAAGCTATGAAGCTGTATACCAGAGAGAGAGAGAGAGAGAGAGAAAGAGAGAGAGAAGACTCATATCTTCTCCACCTCCGGATCCGTATTCGCCTTCTCATGCTCCGCAACCACACACACCCCACCCCCTCCCCAACCCTGGCAATCTCCCCCTCAACAACACCAGCCGTTTCCCCATATGCACCATCTCACAACTCACCCGGATCTCACTCCCCACCGGCACGGGCCGCAGATACGTCAACTTCAGATTGCGACTCACCCCGCCCAGCGAATACCGCCCCGGAGAGCTCAGGCCCAGCACCAACATTGAGGATAGAACATCAATAATGGTAGCAGCGCACCCGCCGTGCAGGCTTCCCATGAAGTTGCAGTGTTGCGGCAGGACGGTGAGGAGGTAGGAGACGCGCGCGGGGGGGCCTTGCGTGGCGGATTCTAGCCGGACGTTGCTGGCGGAGGGGGAGAAGCTCCATAGCTGGTTGTTTTGTATGGAGGGGTTAGTTTAGTCTCTCTCTCTTGGTCTTGGGCAGGGTTATTGAGGAAGTAGAGAGGTGAGGTTCTGGGTATGGATATGTAGGTACCTCGCCTTCGGAATGGGTGGGTTGAGGGCCCGTTGCGAAGTCGAGGATGCGACGTTCGAAGTCGCTGAGGTCGGAGACGGGGCGGGTGGTGGATGATGGGGGCATTGTGGTGGTGAGAGGTTTATTCGGTAATGTTGTTGTCAGTCTAAGATTGATTTATTTTATCGAGTGATGTGATGTATGAACCGGTGAGAATGTCTTATGGCAGACAGAGGGTCGTATACTTCAGATATAAGTAGTTATTGATAGATAGATAGATACGTTTGTATGTAGTTGCTCTCGGATCGCCAACCCGCCCATGGATAAGCCGCCAGAACAACCTCGGTTCACGGTAAAAGGTCAAGGGAAACCGGCTTGCCTGTGCTCGGGTCAACTTCTTGATAGAAAATATGCCTGGTTGACAGGTGGATTTGGATTTGCGCTCGCTTGGCTCGCGTGTGTATGGTCTTGCTGGCGATGGGAATCTGTAGCTGATCTGTTTTGGAGATGGTAGTAATGTGCTGCGTATTATACAGTCATTGATCGTCGGCTTCCGGGTGGTGGTGGTGGTGGTGTTTGATGGTCGGTTTCCTCATAGCTATGCTATCGCCACTTGCACTCTCGCATGGTGGTGGGGTAGGTGACTCTGGTTTCAGACTCGGACCCACGGATACAGGAGAAGAAGAGAAGGAGAAGCAGGAGAAGAATGGACGTGAACACTACTACTACCTACTTACTAACTACTACTCACACTTACTCACCTGACCTCGCGTCACGCGGGGTGCCTTATTACTCAGGCACACAGACCGCGGCCAGACTCGCCCGGTCTCCGCCCGTCAACAATCAATCAATCCATCTCCGACATCTCCTTGCTATCTACCGCTTAGCATACACAACAACAGCAACAACCACTACTTTCTCGTTTCATTCACACCCCATCAGAGCAATGCCTCCAGCCTCTGCGCCTTTAATCCCATTCTCATGATTTGAATTGAACCACCTCCCTTACAACTCGCCTCCTAGCGTCCGACACCCTCCCTCGCAACGACCTACCTACTCGAAAATATTTCCTGTCTCCGCTGTCCGCATATCCCTCCGCCCGCTGCTACCCTCCCTCCCTCTCTACCTACCTACCTACCTACCTACCATTGAAACATAACGACATCGTCGCTTGACACCCTTATCGGATTAGGCGAAACTACACTGCCGTAAATTACGCGCAATCGCAAACAAATAAACAATGAAAGACCCGCGCGCCAGCAAGAGAAGACGGGTGTCGGATGTGGATGTGGATGTGGATGTACAAGTTGTGGACGAAGACGGCGATACGGCGATGCGCGACGATGCCCAGGATGGATCGCCTAGACCCGAGACGCAACTAGTGGAGCAGACCACGGAGATAGAAGCGCCGGCTTCGTCGTCGAGGTCGAAAAGGCGGCGGTCTTCACAGGGGGGGACGGTGGCTGAGACTGAGAATGGGGATAAGAGTGAGAATGGGACGAATGCTGCGGCGGAGACGCCCTCGAGGGCTGGGGTGCGGTCGAGTGGACGACAGCGCAAAGCGCCGGTGAGGTATGGGGAGGAGGCTGTGGACACGCCGACTGGGAAGGGGGGAGTATCGGTGACTGGGTCTGCGAGGAGTGCGAGGAGGGTGAAATATGTTTCGGATACGGAGGAGGAAGAGGAGGAGGAGGAGGAGGAGGAGGAGGAGGAGGAGGAGGAGGAAGTGGTTGAGGCGTTGCCGCAGCCGAAGAGACGGCCGGCTAGGACGCGGTCGAAGAAGGTGTCTGTTCGGTTTGAGGATGCGGCAGAGGATAAGCCCAAGAAGAAGAAGGAGGAACAGGAAGAGACTTCTACTCCGGATGATTATCAGGATGGGCTGGAGGATCTCGTGTCGATGCAGCTACAACAGGACCTGGCGAACAATGAGCTGACGGAGGCTGCGGTGGATGAGTCTACGCTCCAGGGAGCACCGCTTCCGGACTACGCGGAACGGTTCCAATCCCTGGTTCACACTGGGTTGGTGGAGGAGCTGCGGGTGTTGACTGGAATTGTCACGGAGAAGCTGAACGGCAAACGACGGGTGCCTTTGAAAGGGCTGGAGCCCGAGTACCACAAGGTCAACCACCTCATCGAGCAGACGGTTACAGTGGGAGAGGGGAACTCGATGTTGCTGCTGGGGTCGCGCGGGTGTGGAAAGTCGGCCATGGTCGAGACGATCCTCGCATCACTGGCCAGGTCGCACAAGAATGACTTCCACGTTGTCCGTCTCAATGGGTTCTTGCATACGGACGACCGGCTGGCGCTTCGTGAGATGTGGCGGCAGCTTGGCCGTGAGACCAACACCGAGGATGAGGCCGGGAAGGTGAGCAGTTACGCCGACACCATGGCCACGCTGCTGGCGATGCTGTCCCACCCGGAAGACCTCTATGGGCCATCTGACGAGCCTGGAACGGCGACGGCGGCCAAATCCATCGTCATCATCCTGGACGAGTTCGACTTGTTTGTCACGCACCCCCGCCAGACCCTCCTGTACAACCTGTTTGATATCGCGCAGGCGCGCAAGGCTCCCATCGCGGTGCTCGGGCTCACCACCAAGGTGGACGTGACGGAAATGCTGGAGAAGCGGGTCAAGAGCCGATTCAGCCACCGATACGTCTACGTGCCGCTCCCCCGGACCCTGGAGACGTTCTCGGACATCTGCCTCGCCGGGCTGAACGTGGAGGACGAGGAAGTCTCGGAGGTGCTGGACAAGGCCGATGCCCAAGAACAGGCGGTGCTCCAGTCTGACCGCTGGGCGCGCTTACTGGAGGGATGGAGGGCCTATCTGCAGGTAAATCAACTTAATGCCCCCCCCCTTCTGGTGTAATCGCCACATTGCTGACTGCCGATACCAGGGCTTGTGGATCGACGAGGCGTTCGCGGCGCACCTCCGACGGATTTACTACCAGACCAAAAGCGTGAAAGAGTTCTTCACGAGCGCGCTGATTGGGATGAGCGACCTGCACCACAGCACGTCGACCCCGTCCCTCGAGCTCCCCACAGCCACCACCTTCACCAGCCAGACGCTGTCCTGCCCGGACCCCGCGCCGCTGCCGTTCTCGGCGGCCAGCACTGCCTCCGCCAGCCCCTCGTCGCTGCCGCTGTCGCTGCTCCTCGCGGCGACGCGGCTCGCGGCGCTGTACGACCCCGGCCTGGAGACGACGACGCAGCCGCAGAGCGCAGCGCCACTGGCGCTGTCCTTCCCGGCGGCGTACGCGGAGTACGTCCGACTGCTGACGACGGCCAAGACGTCTGCGTCGGTGTCGGGAGCGGCGGTGACGCCGGGTCGGGTCTGGGGTCGGGACGTGGCGCGCGAGGCGTGGGAGAAGCTGGTCAGCTGGGGACTGATCAGTGCAGTGGGAGGGGGAAGTGGCACGGCTGATGGGCGGATGTTCCGGGTGGAAATCAGCTTCGACGAGGTGGTCGAGCTGGCCGGCACGGGAGGATCACTGGGACGCTGGTGGCGGGACGGTTGAGTCCGTTAGGCTTTAGCATGTCTCTCTGCACGGGGCAGCAGACTGTCTGTGAGACGAACCGACCGTTTAGCCGAGCCTGATGGGTGGGTGGATGCTTGCATTGCATGAAGCGGAGCAGTCTTGTCTATCCTGCAACCGGATGTATCGTGTATCTCGAGTTCTGGACAAGTCGAGGGGGAAATGAGTCGAGTCTACCTTGCGAAAGCCTCGTGGGCAGGCATGCAATGCAACAAGCAGACTGGCCTAGTAGCGAGCTACTGTAGCTACTAGCCACTCATCACCCCTGCCTTCACCTCAACATCGCATCACCGCATGCCTGCATACACCTACACCTAATACCCACCATTTATAACAGTTAACAGTATAACAGTATACCCCATTTACTCCAATACATTATAGCATGTACATACATAGATACATACCTACGTATGTATGCACTCCATGCATAGTAAGTAAATAAATAAATAAATAAATCGCCCTCCGACCGATCCCTCCCTCCCTTCCTTCCCACCTAGCACCACACCAGCCTGCATAAGTCCCACTCTACTAACCCGCTCCCCCTCATCCCCCAAACCAATTAACCATAATCCTTCCCCCCCCGACTAACGCCAATCCGGAAAAAGAACATGGGTTGGGGCATGCAGCTACTTATGCGCTTACAAGCATGGCAGGGTGATTCTCGGGGGGGGGGAGGATATGCAAGGTGAGTACCTATGTACTATACCTACCTACCTACCTACTACTTACTTGGTGTAAGGTAGGATGACTGTTATGTACCTACAGATAGTTAGGTAGCGTGGTTTTTGAGCCCACGCGGTGATCATCCATCCACCTATCCACACGTGCACCCTGCTTTAGGTACGTAGTATGTCTGGGTCCATCATCATCATTATTCATCTGGTGTCTGTTAACTAGCTATTAGACCTGCTCTAACTAGGGGAGGGATGTAGTCAGCTTGACTTCGGGCTGGGGCTGGGGTAGTGTGGTATTTTATCATCTACTTACTTTATCTACTGAAATATGTAGTCCATACGTAATTAAAGGAGTATATATATATATATTGATATATATATATATATGTTGTAAAGCTGCCAGTGCGTTCATTCACCCTGTCTGTTCACCCTACGTCCATCCGTCCTCTCTCTATTCAATAGAAAGAAAACAAGTACCACGTAACTGCCGATCCATCGCATCTCCAGCACGATAGCAGTAGCAGTAGCAGTAGCAGTAGCAGTAGCAGTAGCAACAAGTAAAAAGTCAGACACACTTCCTTGTATATAGATGACCTTGCTATAGACATTCCTAGTCTCAAGATGTGCGATGGTGCATGATGCATGGTGCATGGTTGTGGATGTGGATGTGGGTGGTAGTATAGCCGTTAGGTACTAGCTCACTCACTCACTCAGACTCAGTGAGTAGGTAAGTAGATAAGACAGATGGTTGATTGATTGATTAATTGATTAATTGACATTTATTGATTAATTGGATGATGAAGATGGCGGGATTAAATACAACAAACAGGTCTAGGGTCATGTCCTTTTGGGGGGGGGGGGGGGGAGGAAAGAAAGGGAGGAGAGACTGGTGATACTGATAGTCTGTTTAGTGTTTACTGGCTGGAGGGAGGGGTTGGGGTAATTTTGACAGGGATGGGGTTCGTCAGTGACATTGATTATGGTTGGTGTTTGAGACGGGGAATGAATAAATAAACAAACGAGGGTATTTGTTAGGGGAGTGACTGTCTGATAGGATAGTACCAAGTAGACAGTCAAGCCGCACTCCATTAGATGCCCTCATAGGCTCGAACGGACAGCCTCGCCGCAGCCCCGAGTCTCGACTTCCAGCCAGCCAGCCTTGTGCAACCTCCGGCTTCTGAACACGCCAGCCAGCCCGTCGTCCGTCGACCAATAATAACACCAATGCAATGCAATGCGCCAGTCAACTGTCAACTGTCGACTGTCATGCTGATCGGCACAACTTGCACCCTGAAGCCCTCAGCCTCGGTTGAGATTAGGTTCATTCTCTCCCTCTGTCTGTCTGTCTGTCTGTCTGTCTGTCCTTCGGGGAGACCAAGACTAGAGACAAGACTAACTGGACAGAGAACGCATCATAAAGGATTATGTACGGAACGACGTGCACTAGCCATGGCGATGCAGCGCGTCTGGCTCTGGTGCGATCCTGGCTGGCCTCAAGTGGGCTAGGGCGAATCGCGCCTCGTCGCCATCCACACTAATGCACGAAATGGCCTCTGGAACTGGGTGCTGGCCCCCAGTTGCCATCCGCGGCGGGGTTGGGTCGGGAAAGGGCAGGTAGGCTCATTGCCGGGCTGGAAGGTGAGAAGAGATGGTCTCTCATAAATAGATAGATAGATAGATAAATATAGGATCTCCTGGATGAATGATGATGATGATGGTGTCTGTCGGATTACTCCGGAGTAAAGATGATCGAGTACTCCGAATAATAACAACAACAACAACAGCAACAGCAATACAGTATTAATGTCAGCCTGGCAGCAGCAGCCCAGCCTCGTACTTCTTCGTCCGCGATGTCCATCCCATGCCATCCCATCGCATCACTGACTGGTCCATGCGCCGACGATGCAGTCAACCGCCCGCATGCCTCATCCCTGCCGCCCAGCACCAGTCAGCGTCTAGCTCCTCGCATGGCGGCGTGACCATGAGCGATGATCATTGATCCGAACCATGACTGTTCAATGTCGCGAGCCGATCAGGTTTCACCTGATAATCTATCTGGTATCTGTCTACTCCGTATCAGTGATTGTTTTTTGATTTTTTTTTTTTTTTTTTTAAAAAAAGGGGACGGATAGACTGACTGACTGACTGAAAGATACTCCTCGTATACAGGACGGAGTTCGAGTCGAGAGATGCACCCCGATAATCCCATTCCCCCCCCCCTTCCCCCCCAAATCCCTGAACCCAGACCGGGTGGGGCCCCGATGACCAAGTCTTGGGGGTTTCGCGTGGACAGCAAGGATCAGCGTGTGCCAAACCAAAACATCGAATGGGATCCCGCGCTGTTATCATGCTGCCATGCACGCCGGTAGCCCCTTGCTTCTGCAGACCTCCTCTTGTCCTCATGGCAGCTGGACGGAAAATAGATACTCTACGGAATACTGTACGGAGTACGGAGTACTAGTGTGTTTGTTTGCCCAGCTGTCAGCCGGCGTCACCCGTCATCCGTCATCCCGTCAGCAGTAAGTATGTACATGATTAAGTTGCCCTGTGGCTATAGATCTGAATCTGAATATCTACTGATCATGAAGCAAAGCAAAGCAAAGCAAAGCACATGATCACTGGATCCGGCTCCGATTCCGGCCGGCTCCGACTCCGCGTTCTCCGAGTTGAACCGCAACTCGCTCTTTTCTCCCTTCTCGCCCTATTCTCGGTTTCCGGTAAGCGTCCTGGCCGCTTTAACCAGCCTTGACCTGGTAATTTACCCGCTGTATGGGACTAGCCCATACTTACCTTACCTAGTACCAACCATACAGAACCCCCCCCCCCCCCATCCCCATTCCCCTCTGCCCAGTGCCAGTACGCAGTGTAACCTTCAAGGTTCGATGGCCGCCTCCCGGAAGATCCTCCACGTGCATTTCTCCAACTCTTACTAATTATTAATGGCAACCCGTCTCTGACTATACCCGCCCACGACGATATCGGCTGATTTCTTGGCCCGTCGCAGGTTCCGAGGCATCGCTGGGGCAGACTGTCAGACCAGACCAGGGCCGTCCGTCAGAGATGATGCGCCCAGCCCAGCCCAGCCCAGCCCATGATAGTCTGTCTGCCCATAAATGCAGACTGCAGCAGTAGTAGCAAACACTGACAGTGACAGTGGCAGTGGCAGGTCGGACTTTTTTTTTTTTTTTTTTTTTTTTACCCCAGTCCGCTGCATGTTTGACAGCCCCGACAACCAAAAGACTGGTAATACTACGTGTGTACTGCCTGCACAAGTATGAGTACCTTAAGGTAAGGTATCCATCCATGTGTCGTGTCTTCGCGCATACGATGACCTCATCGCCACTCGTCCAATCTTTTCACCCAGCTTACGCAACGGTCGGTACCTTATATCCGTAACCTCTCGGCCACTCGATCCGTACCCTGGGTACGGAGTACATACATAGATACATAGGTAGATACATAGGTAAGTACGTCCCAAGGGACCAAAACAGCCGAACGGAGTTCTCCGTCGTTGTAATCTTTTCCCCCCAACCATGGTAACCTAGCCTTCTTCTCGGTGCCGTCCTCCGTATGGGCAGGGCGTATCTACCTATCGACCAGACAGGTAAGATGCCCCCTAGTCTCACCCAAGAAATTTTTTTTTTCCCCTTCCAGTGGAGATTTTGGAGAGAGACAGAAGGGGGGGGATGGGGGCAACAAACCGCCCTTCTAGCGTCTTCCAGAATCCTTCCAGAATCCTTCTAGCGTCACTTACTCCCCCTGTTAGGCTGTTCTGAAACAACGCCCCAGCCCCCCCCCCCCCCCCCCTCCCTGCGCCTCTTCTCCTCCCCGGCTGGCCCTCTTTCCCACCCAAACCAGCCAACCAGCCAAGGTAGATTAACTCATTAACGCAACCGTGGATACGCGCCTCGCTAGTTTCTGAACAAACACCATAGTCACACCGTATGATGAATTGACGATAGGTAGGTAGGTGGGTGGGTGCCTGGTGAAAGTTTTTCCTTCCCTTCCCTTCCCTTCCTTTTCTTCTCCCGGTGTTCGACTATCGTTCCATTTCCATCGATCGGCAGATCAGTGGTCCCCCGTTCAGTGATTCACCTACTATCTATCTACTATCTTATACTTTGCCTAGTCAGGCTGGGCTCCGACTGTGGACTAAGTACTCCGTACTGGACTGGACTAGGTATCTATCTATCTATCTATCTAGGTATCTACTCACTTCTGGTGTCGGGGAATTATTGGTCCTGGTCGGTGTTTGTTCCCGAAGAGCTTATTATTACTCTGTTTGGAAGGAACACGTTGTTGACGGATGGGTCTTTGAGTTTGGGATTGCAGATCGGGGCGGATCGAAATCGAATATATGGGTTGTTTGTGCTACCTTACTACGGGAGTACTCCGTTCTTATGCTTGATGTTTACTTTACGGTAAGGCAGATGGATATTACTACTTCTAATGATTTACCAGGTGTTTACTTACCCGGGTAGTGCTATATTAGTAGTAGTAGTAGTAGTAGTAGTAGTAGTAGTAGTAGTAGTAGTAGTAGTAGTAGTAGTAGTAGTAGTAGTAGTAGTAGTAGTAGTAGTAGTAGTAGTAGTAGTAGTAGTAGTAACAATCTGTATAACTATCATGAACGAACGGCAGCGGTAAGGCAAGA